GTTGGATTTGGAGGTTTATGCGGTGTTGAGGGGTGGGTGGGAAGGGGGGAGGGGCGCATAAGGGGGCCTGTGTGGGGGGGTTGTTAGTATGTAGGATGGTGGAGCGATCGCAGTTAGGTGCGAGGGACACGAAGTTGCACGAGTTCTAGGATGAAAGACTCAGAGAACGAGGGTCGGACGAAGAGACTTGGAGATCGGTTGGATGCCGAAAGGACTCAAATATTGGAGCCTTGGAGATCGTTTGCATCCTGTGTGCCTTCCGGCTTCATTGGCAACGAGTGTCCATTCTGCCGTGTTGGAGATTGACAGGCAGTTGACTTGACATTTTACCACAACTCCGAAAGCTAGAAGAGTATGCTCACCTCATCCACCACTACAGCTACGGAAACAACTTCGTTCGCCACATTTGATGTACCAACCTTGGGAGACATCGCCTTAATTTGACTCGATAGACCAGTAATCGTCTTGTGGTCCTAGAAATTTCGATCTTGCCATGGAACATCCGGTCTGATATATATTCTTCGTGTCAGGAATGACTCATCAGTCGAGGACCAAGGAGAGCATTGTTTCACGAAGGCTAACGAAGGACGGACTCAGAGAGTTTTTCAGTCATTGGGGTCGATTACTCTGCTGGCCTTAAACAGTCACCTGCAACGCTGACAGAAATATTGATTAGACACATTTGGAACGACGAGGCTCGTGGCTATGCCGTAGTGAGTAAGTCTGTAAGGCCAGAAAACATTCTGGACAGTGCAAATATCACAAACCGCTATGGATGTTTTAACGGCACACAGTGGTCTTAAGGGTGGCAGAGTCACCGTGTAGAGAACCCGTACCAAGCGTTCGTGAGAGTTGGCAGTCACGTGCCGCTCAAACTAGGGAACCCGACGTGTTCCGCTATCGATATGGAACACCTCAACGCGTCCTCTAGCGCGTTACGATTTCGCACCTTCTTACCATACAGTTCACTCATTACTCAAGAGGTAACACCACCCTTGAGACTATGCGAACATACTCTCGACTACGTGCTTTTACGACGCGCAGCGATGAGCCGCCTACCAAACGCAGACGTCTCGACAGCACGAGAACGGACGCGACGCCTGAGCGAGACGCTGCGGAGACCGAAGACGCGTATTTGGCTGCTATAGATTCGACCAGCATCGTCTCCTCGAGTCCACTCAGGAAACAGCCAGCTCTGTTCTCGGACGACGCAGCATGCACCTCAACCCCACCATCGTCTCCTCCACAGCTCCGATTGTCTCCTCTCCCACCAAAGCGCAAGTCCGTCTTCGCGCTCTCGAAACGAAGCACGTTAAAATCCAAGCCAAATGCGAGACCACTTAGCGAGCGAAGCGACAATGTTCTAAAGACACCGCCTGGGAAGGAGCTTAAGAAGAGACGGCGCCTTACCCAGATGCAGATTGACCTTGGCGGAGACATCCGGAAAGCATGCAAGACCTGCGGCATGGAATATATACCTTCGAACAACGAGGACGCGGCACTACACAGGAAGTTCCACGCCATGAACGTAGGAGGCGTCGACATTGGCAAAGCATTCGATGATCCCTTGACCACCGAGAAGGTCTGGGCGGGCGACAGCGGCAGCTTTGTCGTGGTTGTGGATAGGAAACACACGCTGGCAAAACGCAACAAGGCAAAAAAGGTCCTGGAGCTGGTCAATACCGAGCTTTCGGCAGTAGGGGTCGAAGACGAGAAGCTCTGGAGTCGCGTCTCTGTGCCGTGTCCGCAGCCCTCCAGCGGCGAAGGTGGCAGCACATCTGGATCTTCAACCTCGCGACAGGACAACACATCCAAGGCTGCACGCTTCAAGGTATTCCTGTACATACAAGGCCGGAAATGCGTCGGCCTGTGTCTTGCGGAGCGGATCTCCGAGGCTCACCGGGTCGAGGAACCGAATGAGCCAAACGCGTCCGCAGCGGTGATTGGGGCTACAGCTCAGAGTTCTTCCATCTCCGCGAGCACTGGGATCGATCCAGCTATGGTGGGTATCTCCCGGATATGGACCTCAAACTCGCACCGGCAGAAGGGGATTGCGGCGAGGCTGTTGGATTGCGCTGCCGGCAGCTTCCTCTACGGTGCTAAGATCCCGAAGGACGAAGTGGCTTTCAGTCAACCCACGGAGAGCGGTGCGAAGCTCGCGAGGAGATGGTTCGGGAAGGAGTTCGGATGGCATGTCTATGTCGATTGATGGTGGGGCAGTAAGCAGTAGACCATCCCAGCTGAAATGGACAGCTCATAGAGTTCATTCTGCTGTGTGGTTAATCATGGCCAGCTGTAAGATGAAATGTCGAAGTGAACAGGCTGAAGCTTGATGGACGGAGTTGACCAGGCGGGGGCGGTGCGATGTGAGTTGCCGACCAAGGATTTGATCAAGGGTTGGGCGATCCTCACCGGGGCAAGCTCCAGGAACAACATCCGCCCACTTGAGCTGACCGCAGCTCTCGCACCTCAGTTTAATGTACATAGACAATAGATGCAATGCCCAGTCGTCTCTAAGCTGTCACCATGTCGGGAAACCCGTTTCGTCGTTCTACCCAACAGCCCGCTTCAACAGCACCAACCCCAGACCCTCTCCACCAGATAGCAAACGCCCACCGGCACATACCTGCTTTGGATGAGGGTATACAGCCCGTTTTCGACGTATGGAATACTCGGGGAATGACAATGCACCAGAAATACCTCGGTCTTCGGCGACCAAGACAAAGAAAGTCCGCATAACATCACCTCCGCGCTCTCCGCCGCAAGTGTCTAGTCCACCTCCGAACAATCCTCTTGTACGGCGTTTGTCTAGCGGACAGCATAACGGCTCGCCACCGCCGCCCATACGGACACTGTCACCGGAAAACAGTGGCAATCCACAGGACGATCCGTTTGGCAAGAGCTCGGAGGGAGGAGAAAGCACCGAGGATGAGGAGCTGATCCAGAATACACGAAGGAACTCCGGCAGCATCGGGCCAGCGGTCACAGCTCCAGCTGCACCCACAAACCCGTTCTCGAAGACGTTAGCGACAACAGAGCCTTCGTCGAGCCAAACTCCACAACACAGGGAGGCTGCAGCCACATCGGAGCGGGGCACTGCGGATCAGATTGGACCCGGTGCTGGGAAAGGCTCCATGGACGTCGATTCGTTCAAGAGGCTCCTGATGACCGGAAGTGCAGGTTCATCCGCATCCGCCTACTCGACGGCCGTCCCATCCGTCTCGACCCACCACCGGTCACAGAGTGGGATAGGAGGAGACAGCAGCAGTAGCACAGACACCTCCTCCGTCTCTAGGCAATCGATTTTTGAACCGGTGCAGGAACCACAGCTCGAGTCGCCTAGGACATCGTACGAATTATCCATCACCGATGACGACGAAAGCTCCAACCTGATGGGCGAGGGCCGGAGACCGGACAAGAAGAAGAAGCCACCGCCGCCGACTGGCAAACGCAGACACGGCAAGCTTGTGCAGCAGCGGGCGCCGCAGATCGTCTCGTTCTCCGACTTTTCGCTATCCGTCTCCTCTCCAGGCGTCCAGCCGCCTTCTCCCATAGACGCCAGTAAACCCTTACCGCCGCTTCAAAGAACATCGTCGGACCTGAACAAGCCACTTCCGCCACCTCCGCCTGCGCATTTCAATCCTGACGTCCAGCCACCGCTTCCAGAAGCAGAAAATGTCGCGCAGATCGCCGGTCCTGAAGTCACCGCAACCCCTCCTCCAATAGAAGAAGTTCCGTCAGCACAGCGCAAGAAGCCACCCACTCCACCCTTAGCTCGCCGGCAAAGCCAACGCAAACCGCTAGGCCCAGACCGCCTATCAAGCAACCCCACTCCCACACCGCCTCCTCAAGCACAAGAAACCGCACCTCCAGAAGCTCTCCCATCCACCCACTCAACCAAAGCCCCAACGCCGCCCCCAGCCCGCCGAACAGCCGCCGCTGCCACCAGCGCATCCACAACACCCAAACCCACCGCCCCCTCAACCACCGATCTTCCCGGTCCATCGCCTTCCTACCCGCCCACCTCACTCGCCCGCCACTCCTCCAGCGCCTCCGCCTCCGCCTCCGCAAAAGCCGCCCCCGCGCCCCCACCTCCGCGCCGCGGCTCCAGCAAATCCTCCATCGACCTCTCCCGGTCGCCGGAGGAGTCGCGGCGGCCGAGCGCCGAGGTGCTGAGGGGTAGTCTTGACGGTGGGCGGAGAGCCAGCGGGGCGAGTGCGTCGAGTTTAAGGAATGAGTATGCGCCGTTGGGTGCTGGGAATGGAGGCGGTGTTCAAGGGGTTGGAGGGGCTGCGGTCGAGGAAGCGCGGAAGGCTGGTGCCGCGAGTGGGAGTGATATCTTGGCGGAGATGGAGGCGATGCAGAGGGAGGTTGAGGCGTTGAGGGAGAGGTATCGGAGGGGTAGCTAGGAGGGTTCGCCTGGATTGGCAGGGCCGCGTCCGAGAGCGGTATGGAGCGAACGGCTGGATGTTGTTTTAGAGGTGTTTGGCTGGGTCGGGTTTCGCGGCAGTTGAGCCGGGAATGGGATGGCTGGTACTTGGAGTTTGGACTGATGGCGACGTTCATCGTTGTGTTGTGATACTGATTGCGGATATGACATCATTTAGAAAGTCACCACTGGCTGGGTTTCATGGTAAATTGTTGTTCGGTGCTTGTGCAGCAGGCCCAGAGTAGCATCTCCTGTTCAAGCGGCTACGTCTTCCAACTCTTGCAAGACGGTTCGACCGGAGCCGCTTCCCTTCCCCCGCGTCCTGGGTATCACCCACACCCCCTGCCTAAACTTCTGCCGTTTCCTCTCCCTCCACCGCTGCTGCCCCTCCTCAGTACCATCCCTCGGCTCAACCTCCAGCCCCTTCCCCTTCCCCTCCCTCGCAGCCTTCTCAATGAACTGTCCCCGCAACTGATACACAAGCGCGTCCAGCTGATCCGCCACCGCGTCGCCCTCAACCTCCCGTACCTGACGCAGTATCCAGGTGAACTTGACGGTACTAACCCACTGGTCCTCTTGCAGCGGGCGGATGACTCCAGCCCAGACAAGCGCTTTCGTGAGCATGGGCTGCAGGCCTCGCTTTCCCTTGCGGGTGCGCAGGAAGCGGTAGCAGTCGTAGACGCGGCGGAAGCTTTGACGTTGCGTGTAGCGCGCGTCGTGGGCGAAGGCGAAGGCAAGGATGTGGACGAGGTCGTGCCAGGGTTCTGGGGGCTCGGACGAGGCGGCGCATGCGGAGGTCGCGGCTGCCTTGGATGATCTGATGGCGATGTCGTTGAGCAGGTCGGTGAGTTCGGTGATGTAGCGGAGACCGCCGTCGACGGCGCGGATGTCGAGATCCGGCACGGTGTCGAGCCAGGAACTCATTAGTTGTGATGACAGCGCTGCAGCTCCTACGGGGTTACTCTGGAAGTGCGTTCGGACTGCTACTATGGCGGCGTCTCTGCTGAAGTAAGCCTCATTCTCAGGATCTCGGTCTGATTTAGGGCGAAGCCGATAGTGGTCGAGCTGCTGGAACAACCCCTTAACCATGAGAAGGGCATTGCGAAGGGCGTCGTCTTTTTCTCTTCCTGAATCATAGTACGGCTCTACTAATGCTCGGACAAGGTACGTACGGGGTACGGCCTGTCGAAAACGAGCGTTGGCATGCCTAGCCAGGTAGTGCTCAAAGCGTTCCGCTGACCTCTTGAATACTGCAGGTGCTAAGATCGAAGCGATCCAGTGCCGGAGCACAATGCGGGCGGCGTCTACTTCGGTTGTAGTGGACAGATGATGAACAATCATGACAGGCGGAAGTCGAGACGCTATCGTGTCATACACAGGGTACCAGTCCGACGGCTCTCTTAGATGCCAGCATTTCCGTAGAGATGCTAGCCACGAGTCAAGGACCAGTCCCGACGAGGGTTCGTCGGGGTCACTCGCCATTGCATCCTCAGCTATGGATAGAGTGACAGATGTTTTCCAGTCGTGAATAGCAGTAGGAGTTGCCTCACGTAGAACGTCAACCACGACGGCTCGAAGCGCATCATTGCCCTCTACCGACTGAGAGGACTGGCGAACCCAAGCGACCAGCCGCTCGCACATCGGAGGCTCTGGGTGTTCTTTTTCCGAAGGAAACGCGGACCGGTAGATAGCCATTTTCACGTCTGCTGGCATAAGCCCGCGCGGAACGAAGGAGACGTCCCATGCAAGCCTTTGGAGCACACCTGCACCTATGTCGTCAGTCGACCGTATTCGGCACGAACACAATCCGCGCCAGATCGATGTATAGGTCCTCGCTAAAGCGTTTAACTGCTCGTTTTCGGCCAGCAACGCGTCGGTTCCCTGTATTGCGTGCACGCGTCGGTCGTACCAGCCACCCTTGTAAGCCAGCTTTGACAGAGCTTTGATTCTGTCCAGAAAGTCGATGATGCTAGCGTCTTCTACTGTGCCGAGGACGAGTGCGCTCTCGAGAGTGGAAACAAGGAGGCCGTACTGTTGCGCCGATAATCCAATCTTTAAGGCCTGTCTGACCAGCTTCCGCAACAAGTTGGCCTCAGGAAGACTCAACATCGGATCTTGTACGAACTCAACGAGGATCTCGAAAGATACTCTCCCGCACAGACGCTCAAAGGCCATCCGGCTGAACAGTCCGGTATGCGCTTCGTGAGCCTTGAAATCGCGCATCAACGCTCGTATCTGGTCGATGTCGGAGGCTTTGCGCAGCCGCTTCTCGAAGCTTGAGAGAGGATCGATCTCTTGCGGTGGGTTTAAGTCAACGGCGAACTGATTGGACTTTAGGAGCCATTGGGGCAGCTTGGAAAGTTTCGATGCTATACAGAATCAATCCCTCGTCGTCACAAATGGACTGATGTGAGCCGATGTACGCACGCGATTGCTTTGGAGCCTGTTTCGGGGCCTGCGCAACCCGAGCTGGTGCTTCCCACTTCCAGGGCATGTCTGGTTGCTTGCCAGCCCCAAAGAGCGCGCCGAAGTCGGGCACCGCTCCCCCTCCTCCTGCTGTCGCGAGGCCCATCATACGACGTTTGGCCAACCTTCTCCGAGCCTCCAATGGCCCCGGAACATTACTGCCATAGCGCTTGGAGCTGGCGGTCGAGGACCGGGCGAAGCGGTGGAAAGCGTCGGCGAGCAGCTCATCGCTAATCCATACGTGGTTTCCGGCAGCGGCTTTGAGGCATTGAGCTGCTCGGCGTGAGGCAGCAGGGCGGGTTGACATGAACGAGCAGTGTTGCGAGCATTTCTGGGTCGAGCTTTGAGGTGGAGTAGGTAGCATCGCGGTAAAGTTACAGCTCGATGCCCGGGCGGAGGCTTACTAAGCTGTTCTGAAACTACACCCAGTCGGGCATCCCAGCTTGAAATGCAGTAGTTTTCACGTCGCCTGGAGAGACAGCTGGGCATTGTTTCATAGTCTGTTTCCGGCGTCCCGGTCATGCGCAAGGCGGAAGACCAGCAAGGCCCGGTGGGTGGTTCACTCGAACAGAAGTAACGACATGGTCAAGGGCTCGCAGCGTCCGTGAATGGCATGAGAGATTGAGGCACTGATAATATACTGCGTACTGTTGCTACCTTATGTGGAATGCTAACAGCTCCCTCCGTAACAGCGCTGTTGCTCCACTAAACGTCGTGGGAATAGCGCAACGGGACGAACCGCATGTGTGCCAGCTGCTGCCAGAGTAGATTTTCGGGTCTTTCTTGTGGCAGCGACTTAGCTCTAACAGCGTATCCATGCTGGTAGGGGAAGCGTCGCCGTGGGGGGAGTGACAAAAGCCTCTGCGTGACAGCCTCTCCGCCAAACAAGGAAGGCCACGGAGAGTCTAGGTTTTTGTCACCTATCTCATGTCTACAAGGTAGGGTACCTCTGGTGGACAGATCGAGCTGGCATACAGCAATGTCCACGACAAGTGTCACCAAAGAGCGTGCGATATAAACGGAGGTAGTAGATCTGCATAGCTCTATCGGATTGCCGTTAGAAGCCACGACAGAGCGCCAAAAATACGTGCTTTACGCCAAGATGTGTGTTGTGAAGTCGTTCTCGGCGGTCGGGAGCGGTGGCTTTTGATTCGGCCGGGAAACTCCCGCGGTTGACATGGCTGTTTGACATGGTTGACGCTGCTAGCGCTGTGTACCTGGCTATCACCGTGTCTGTGCGGAAATTGGAGCGTGACGCCGCACCCTGGTAGCCCATCTCCTGAAGCTCCAGGGCTCTCGTCGGGTCGTCCAAGCCTTTCGTTGCACTTCGTCTTCATCGCGGCGTTTACTCTATCCATTCCGTCGTCGACTCCACGCTCGTTCTGTTCTTCGATTTCAACTACGCTCTCTCTCGAACCCGAACGCAGTCTTTACACCTGTTGTTACACATTCCTCGACATCCCAAGGGGGGGTTCCGCTCAACCTGAAACGGGTACGCCCAAACTAAGGAGCAGTCGACCGAGCTGCCCGCACGCTGCGAAGTCGACGACCCCGAAGCAACCATCGAACTGGTTTCGATATCTCAGTCCCGCCGCCATCGTTGTTTTGCTGTTGCAAATCTACACCTCGGCAGCTGTCATTCACCAGCTGTGACGCGTAGGACAAAGGCCTTCAACCACCGTTCGGTCGGCAGGTGAAGATCTCGACACCTCACCTCAAGGTCCCAGTCGAAGCAGCTTCATAGCGACAGGCTTTCGGTACACTGTCGCTACTACATCCTTACGACCAGAGCCACCACTAGCGACGTGCCTGGCGCAGGTCTGGAACTTGCGAGGCATTGCCGCCGACACCAGCTCTTTGTCAAGTGCCATCCTCAAAGAAATCCCTCGCCACCATGGTCACCTCGATCCTCAAGTCCGCTCTCGCGGCAGCCTCTATCATATCATTCGCATCTGGACAGATATTAAGCATGCCGACACCAACGTACACGGGCCTCGCGAACACGCCAACGCAGGTAGGCTGCTTCTCGCGGTCCGAGCCTCTGGTGGACCAGGGGACCCACCAGTATCAGACCGACGGCATATGTCAGCGGATGTGTCTCCAGCTCAGCAAGCCAGTTATGGCTATGGTGGATGGGAGTAACTGCTGGTGTGGAGATTTAAAACCACCTAGAGACAGCGAAGTGGACGTAAACGAATGCAACACGCCGTGTAACGGATTTGGCGCTCTCCCTTGTAAGGCGCCCTTGTGTTGAGTTTCGCTCACAGGCTAACATGTGACTTTCAAGGCGGTGGGCCTAGCAAGTGGATCGTATATCTCACTGGCATCACGAAGAACCAGATCGAGCATTACGAGCCAGAGGCCTCCTCAGCAGTGGTCGCGTCTACGGCAGCGCCTCAAACAGCTTCGACCCCCGCCGTGACACTTGGTGGTCCAACGGTAGTCGTGACCGTACCGGGCTCAGAACCTACCCAAACCGGGTCGAAATCTGAATCCAGCGGCCCCAACACCGCCGGCATCGCCGCAGGCGTCGTTGTCGGTGTAGTCGTAATCGCTGCGATCGTGGGCGGTGTCTACTTCTTCCTCCGCCAACGGAAACGGAAGGCAGTGGAAGAGGAGTACAAGCGTAACGCTGCGGCCAACGAATTCATTGGCGGCAAGCCTCCCGGCACCAGTCACTCCTCACTCAACGACGCGCGCCTTGATCCAGAAGCGATGATGCACAGGCGGCAGAGCGATGGCAGTATTGCGGACAACCAAGACTATTCTCGAAGAATCCTGAGGGTAAGTCTGACTTCTGTGATGGAGGGTCGAGACAGAACGCTAACATAGCCAAGGTCGCAAACCCAGACCGTGGCTATTAGGGAAACGGCAGCGTTTACGATCACGACCTCATTTAGACCCACATCCCTCCGCGTCCTTTATGCCGATTCTCTGCCGATAGCCTTCGTCATATACCATCAGGTTCTTCCTGTCGCAACCGCTCTCCTCCTCAGTCCCGCTTTTTATATCATGTGTTGGGTGTTTGGGTTGCTCTGGCTGCTGTCGTGGATGGTGGGCAGCATACTAGGAGAAGCCTCAACCGCTCTTTCCTCTCGTCGTGGATCTGGAGTCACTTGTGTGATAGCTGAGCGATGGATTTCCCTCGTCATGTCGGGCGTGAATGGCGGTATAAGAGTACACTGGTCACGGCTCTGACCGATGTGGGAGGCTTTTTAGACGGGGTTCTCCAGATTTGCTTTAGTGCTGCAATTAAAAGCGAGCATTATCCACGTTTTCACTGAATGGGTCCTTGCCGATACTGGCTCTAACATCTTCTGGTGTGGATGTCACCACCGCGGACCAAGATCCATCTAGTCACACTGCCCGTGATCTCCGTTCCGAACCTCGAGCAACCTTGAAAAGCCGACAGCAGAGTAAACTCCCCGTGGCTGATTGACTTCTATGTGTGATACCTCACAAAACCGGCTCAAGTCCTCGGCACCGCCGCTCCTAAGCCAACTTGTCGGCGCGTGAGGTCAGTTTCCCATTCGAGACGCGCCGAGGAAACTCGATGTGCCAATCAACCCGGAGCCCTTTTCCGCCTACACGACTTTAGCAACATTCAGTCCTTTCTGTCACTGTATTCAGTTTACAAAAAGCTCGGACCACCCGGATTTTAGGTAGCCTTATCCGCTAGCGTCAGAACCCCGGAGTCGCGTCGCCGTCACTTTGAGCGCGTCGCAAAAAGTCGCAGTCAGGCTCAGCCTCAGTCTTTGCCGAAGAACGGTTGACAGCATGGTGGGCCCCAGAATACCATCGAAGCGCGCGAGGGCAGCGATCGAGGACGACGTATCGGAGCTATACGACGTTCAGGCATCGTCGTCCAATGCTCGGCGGGCATCTGTACGTCAACCGGGCCTCGATTAGCTGCGCTGCGACACTGACAGAAGCGCAGAACAAAAAGCAGCGCCTAGCCGTCGCCAACGAAGACGACACATCCGATCCATACTCCTCCGACCGGAGCGACGAACGCGGGGATCGACGGGATGGCTACACCATTAGCGAGTCCGAGGAAGAAGAAGAAGAAGAGGAGGACACAGATATCGACGAGCTAGAAGAAGAAGGCGACATCCAGGCGACGCAGAGATATGTCTACGACAGAATGCGGGAGCGCAAGCAGGCGCAGAACATGCCCGCCGAGAGCGCCATCATCGAGGAAGTCAGATGCTACAACTTCATGTGCCACTCTAAGCTGGAGGTCCATTTCGGCCCGCTCATCAACTTTATCATTGGACACAATGGTAGTGGGAAGAGCGCGGTGTTGACGGCGTTAACGCTGTGTCTCGGTGCGAAGGCTACGTCTACGAATAGGGGGCAGAACCTGAAGAGCTTTGTCAAGGAGGGCCAGGAACATGCCACGTTGAGCGTCAAGATTAAGAATCAGGGGCCCAATGCCTTTAAGTCGGATATCTATGGGAAGTCGATCATTGTCGAGCGGCACTTCTCCCGCAATGGCGGCAGTGGATTCAAGCTCAAGAATGCAAAGGACAAGCTTATCTCGAGCAAACGAGCTGATTTGAACGACATACTCGATCATTATCAGCTACAAATCGACAATCCGATGAACGTGCTGTCTCAGGACATGGCAAGGCAGTTCCTCAATCACTCAAATCCGCGCGACAAATACAAATTCTTCATCAAGGGGACGCAGCTCGAAGAACTGGACCACAGCTACCGAGAGATCGAGCAGAGACTCGACGAGTCAGAAGTCAAGCTGGTCGCCAGAGAGGAGGATGTCAAGGCCTTCGCCAAGAAGAAGGATGATGCGATGAAAAAGATGGAGCATGCCGACAGGCAGCAAGCCTTGCAGCGAAAAATCGACAACTACGGCCATCAGATGGCCTGGGCGCAGGTCGAAGAACAAGAACAAAAACTCCGGGAAATCGACCAGCAGATACAGCAGGAGAGCGACAAAGTTGCTCAGTGCGCCAGGGAGGCTGATCGCGCATCCGACACTTACGATCGCGCGGCTCAAGTGCTAGACAAGATGCAGGAAGAGGAGATTCAAATCCGCGCCGGTAAGGAAGAGCCCGAGGAAAGGCTGAACCAGGTTAAGGAACAGTTCGACAGCAACAAGGAAGAGCTGAGGTCCACGCTGTTGCAGCAACGCGACATCGGCGGCGAGCTTCGGCAGAGTAAGGCGGCCATGGCCAAGATTCGGAAAGAGATTGCCGACGAAAGGCAGCGGCGGGAGGGTGCCAGCGGAGTCAGCCACACTCAAAAATTGGAGGAGATCCAGGATGCGAGAGTAGCAGCAGACGAGGCAAAAGCCGAGTTTGAGGCGCATGGCCAAGGTGTTGAACGCTTGGAGGAAAACCGTACGCAGGCTCAACAAAGAGTCAGGCAGTTGGAACCTTCTAAGCTTGCAAAGGAACAGGAGGTTCAAGAATGCCAAGCGCTCATTCGCAATCTTACCCAGGGTCAGGGGCAGTGGATGAACGCGTACGACCCCAAGCTGGGAACGCTTCTCCGCGCGATTGAGAACGAGCGAGGATTTCTCGAGAAGCCAGCGGGTCCCTTAGGCCGCCACATAAGACTACTCAGACCACAGTGGTCTTCCGTGCTCGAATCGTCACTCGGCGCCCACCTCAACGCTTTTGTCGTCACCAGCAAGCAAGACCAAACTCTACTATCAGGTCTCATGCAGCGAACTCAATGCCACTCGACCATCTTTATCGGCAAGAGCACTCCAATCGACACTTCCAGGAACGAACCCGAGGCCCATCTAGACACTTGGATGCGAGTCCTAAAATTCGACAACGACGCAGTCCGCAACCAGCTAATCATCAACCAATCGATTGAGCAGACCGTGTTGATCGAGAAGCGGCGAGACGCGATGGACTTCATGTACAGCGGCGCGCGACCAGTCAATGTCAAAGTGTGCATGTGTCTCAACGACGAGTCGAAACGCGGCTGGGGCCTCCGACTCACGTATTCGGGCGCGGGCAGCGAGAAGATCGACCCTGTTGCCGCGTACACCAAGCGGCCTCGCATGCAGACTGACGTCGAGGCTCAGGTACAGCTAGAGACTGAGAAGCTGCAGCACCTGCGTCGCGCGCTTAGTGAAGCTGAACAAGCTCTGAGGGAGGCGCGGATTGCTGTGAAACAGTGCGATCAAGCGCTTGTACAGCACAGACGGCAGCAAAAGGATCTTCAATTACGGTCGCAGCAAGCTGACGAGCTGTGGGAGCGGCTTAACGACGAACTCGAGGCGGAAATGCCGTCCGATGGCAAGATCGAAGCACTGGAGACGCAGTTGCAGGAAACCCAGGAAGGAGAAGAGTTTCAGGAGAACGCCTTCCAAGATGCTGTGGATCAGCGAGACAGGATCAACCAGAAGCAGCGAGAGCTCAAGACTCAGATGGACGAGATCCAAACTGAGATAACCACCATCGATGAACATCTAAACAAGGTCAGCCTGAAAGTACAACAGCTCTCTGAAAAGCGCCAAAAAGCACTTTACGACAAGAACCGCGCGCTTCAAGCCACCGACGATGCGAGGCTAAACAAGCAAGCCTTCGAAGAAAGGCGCCAAGAGCAAGCCGACAGGGTGACCGAGTTCGACGGCCAGGCTCGACAGGTCTCCGGCGGGGTCCGCGTGCCCGTCGATCCAAACGAGACGACAAACAGCCTCGACAAGAAACTGGAAAGACTCATCAACGAGCGCGACGAAGCGCAGCGACGACTCGGCGGCACGCGAGAAGAACTGGCGACACGGGCTCTAGAAGCGAGTGCAATTTACGAGACCGCGCTTCGCCGCCTGAGAGTCGTCGAGAAGGTTGTGCAGAGTCTCAAATACGCTAACAGCCGTCGGAGGGTGCGGTGGAACAAATTCAGGCACTACATTGCTAATCGTGCGAGGGTGACGTTTGCGTACTTGCTTGCTGAGCGCAAATTTAGGGGGTCGCTGAATGTGGACCATGTTAATAAATTGCTGGATATACAGGTGAGTACTCTCCATTTGTCAGGGTACTGGTGGAGGAGCTGACGACCTCTAAGGTGGAACCAGACATCACCAAAGCCAGCGACAAAGGTCGACAGACCAAGACGCTTTCCGGCGGCGAGAAGTCCTTCTCAACCATTTGCCTTCTTCTGTCCCTCTGGGATGCCATGGGCTCACCCATCCGCTGCCTCGACGAGTTCGACGTCTTCATGGACAACGTGAACCGGGATGTCAGCATGAGGATGATTGTGAGTGTTCCCCTTGCTTTCGTATCTACTTCAGACCATGTAAGACGAAGTGCTAATATTCTTCGCAGATCGAAGCTGCCCGCGCGGCTGTCAGCAGACAGTTTGTCTTCATTACCCCGCAAGCTATGGGCAATGCAAATATGGCGAACGATGTCAAGATCATCAAGATGAGCGATCCGGAGCGCGGGCAGACGACGTTGCCTTTCGGCGGCTAGTCTCGAATTCCGTTTTCCGACTTGAGATCGGTTTGCTGGAGACGAATGCTTGCTATTGCCGATATCTACCAGGAGATCTAGTACAAGTGCTCAAAGATAGGTTCGACTGATGATGCCACACGCTACGGCCACCCTTGATCAGGCTTCAGTCACGTTGTTTGGCTCCTGGCGTCGCTTGGAACACCCATGTCTGCGGACCCCTCGAGTTCGACCGGCTATGCAGGGACTGCTTGCATTCGGAAGGAGGACGCTTTGGTGCATTGCTTAGGGCGAGGCGTTGGTGGCAAGCTTCTAGCATATAGAGACATCCCGAGGAGCTTTCTGCGGCGTGCTGATGATCTGAGACACTGATTTGGGACGATTTTGGTGTATCAACCCCTTCCTCTTCATGCGCTATCTATTCCCACAAAGAGATATTCACGAATTATCCCGGTGCTGCAATGGTCTAGACCCACGGTAGCAAGAAACAAAGCCCACCCCACGGTGCTTATATATGCGTCAGCTTCTCCCTCATTCTCATCACGATTACGGCGCAGGACTCCCTGCCTACACACCCGGCCACATTATCCCCCAACTTCCTAACTCCCCAACTCCACTCTCCTCTCCAACACATGCCTCGCCTCCGCCTCCGATAACCTCTCCACCCCAAACTCCTCCAACACCTCCCTCGCACTCTCATTGTTCGCAAACAGCCGTCTCTCCACCTCCCAGAGCCCCAGCCTCCTCTCCCTCTCCCCGGCCTCCTCTCCCTCCTCCTCCTCCCCGTCTTGCATCCCCCCCGCCTGCCCCCTACTAGCCCTCAGCCCTACTAACCCTACCGCCTCCCCCATCCGCCTCATCCCTCTTTCCGCAACCCCGGTCCCGCAGACATTGTCGATGGCAGCGCACAGCGCCGCGAAATCAGCAGCCAGCTGCGCCGCGCCCGCCGCGCTGAACCGATGCCGCATCAGCACGCCGTCCCAGAGCGCCTCATCGAGCGCGCGACACAGGGCCCGCGTGATCCGCAGCAGCGGCGCGCGCGCCAGGGCGTGCGAGAGGAAATGCAGCGACGCGGCCAGATACGACAGCGCCGGGTCGAGTTCCGCGGACGTGCTGCTCACGGCCGCAGTAGTGGCGCTGATGCTGCCCCTCCTGGCGCCCCCGCTCCCGCTCCCGCCTTCGCTGGCAGAGCTGGCAGCGGCGGCGGCGGTGACGGGCACAGCGCTCCACGGATTTGCCCGCTGGTACCCTCGCAGCGCGGCGCGCAGGTCGTAGATTAAAGTGTCGGTGATGATGGCTTCGGAGCGGATGCGGAGGCGCGAGTAGGCGGCTGCGGTTTCGTCGAAGAGCGCGCCGTTTGTGGTAGTGCCGACGGCGGGAGAGGTGCTGGTGGCGATGTCGGAGAGGGAGAGGGCGCCCGCGATGGGGGTGGAGGTGCGGGTTGTGGGGGTGGTGGTGGAGGGGGGGCGGGAGACGCGCTGTTGGAGCTCGGTCCAGAGGTCGAGGAAGAACTGGGTGGGGTGGTTAGTCGGGGGTTGGGTGGGGGTGTGAAGGGGGCTAAGGGTGCTGGTTCAGGGGATCAAATGGGGATTGTGTTGATGTGCGTAACTGGGTACAGGCAGGAACTTGCGAGGAGAACTCACGATGTCGTCGCTCCAGTCCCGCATGGCCTTTTCAAGATACTCCGCGCTGCCGTATACTCTACACAGTCGATCCAAACCAGCAACACCCTGAAGAGAAGCCTGTTCTTCTTGACTGATGCCCTGGACCCTCCGGCCAATCGAAGAGGTCAAGGTGAGATAAGCCTCAAGCCCCGAGTGCAGCCGCTCGTGGAACCTGTCAAAAATCGATATCTGGATATCGATCAAGAAGCGAAGTTTCTGCGAAAAGGACGACAGCGGTCTATATCTATCCGTGATAGTTTCGAGCAAGTCGTTGACCCGTATCGCCGCTTTGCTCGGCTTCGTAGCATCCGGGTCCACGCTGTCATAGTCCAGCTCACCGGCCGAAGGGTCGTCGATGATGCTCTGGTAGCGCGAGAGGGCAAACTCCTTCTCTACTTGCAGCCAGCGCCCGAACCAGTCTTTCTGGACTAGCACTTCCCAGGCGATGCCTTTCCAGCCTTCCACGCCGGAGCCGCCGCTGTAGCGCCATTCATCTCGGATGGCGGTGTCGAAACTCATGATCTCTTGGATCAGGTGGCTCAGGAGCTGCGGCTGGCTTGCGACCTGAGGGAGCATGGAGAAAACCTTGGCACGGAGCATTGGTAGGAGTGCTGTGATGAGCGCAGATGTTGCGTCGATGTATGCAGGGTTCATGCCCAGATCTGAGCCCCGGAAGTGACGCAGCAGTATAGGCTGCAAGTTGTCGACCATGAAGTCGTTATACTGGCTTAGGAGATCCGCAACATACGAGAGGAAGTATTCAGGCTTGTCGAGGCGGTTTGTAGGCCGGTCGCCCTCGAAGTGGAAGCGGAACCTCATCTCAAGTGGTTGCACCAGGACTTCGAGGGGGAGCAGCACGGCTGGCGCTTTGTTCTTATCTTTCGTCGTTGCCGCGCTTTCCAGGGCCTCTAACTCGGGCTTCTGCAGGTCCAGGAGCTTACCAGTGCTCTTTTCCCAATCTTGCTGCAGGTTTGGCGGTATAGTGGCGTCTGCTCTAGGCCAGTATATCTTCTTTAGGAGCTGCTCTAGTTCTGCAGAGAACGCGTCCTTGATTTGCCTATGGAGGTTCTCGGTTGTCTTTGATATGTGATCCAAAAGATGCGGTGCCGCTCCCTCTGCTGCATCCGCTAAAGGCGCGAGGCTTGCCGTGAGTTTACGGAGCTGCCTATATTGTTCCATGGCTGCTTCAGGTGATGTCTGTAGGCGAGTGCGGCCTTCGGAGTTGATCTTCTCCACCTCCTGCAATAGCTCCATATACCCGCTCGCAATGTCTAGCCGGCGCAGCTTGTCCATGCTAGATTCAAATTTCCCAACAGCATCGTCGCTTGTGTCTGATTGCGCGATGATTTTCAGTCGACGGTCAATGTCTTGCTGCTTCTTTGCGAATTCTCGAGCAGCACGCTGAGACGATGATGCATACTCGCTGTACGAGCCCTTTGCCGTCTGAAGGTCCAGACGGGCATCTTCGAGCTGCTTCTGGAGGAGCTCGTGTCGGTCACGGACACCAGCCAGCAAGGAGTCAACAGACTCAAGATCGGCAAGTGTCTGGAGCTTATCGTCGAGATAGTCTCCCACCCGCACATCCCTATCTTCGGGCTGTTGCATCTTCTGCGGCCTGGCAGACGAGTTAGTTGGGACCATAACGGAAGGCCTTTAACGGGTCGACGAAGGTCAATGATCGAGGGAAGCTTAAAATACATCATAACATCTGTTGGAAACACAAGCGGGCAGACATGTGACCAATCCTAGTCAGGGGTTGTTTGAGGACGAAATAAGATATGGTGTCTGGAAAAACAGTACGAAGCTTCTGGCAGTCCGCTGCTAGACGTAACGGTGCCCATCACGACCAGGCACCCGTGCCCAAGTATCACGATGCTGAGCACGTGTTTTCCACATTTTGATTAGGCGGGGATACGTTACGGCTGTTTGACAACAACAAAGTCACACTAAACCAAGTTGAACATGCCATGCCGGGCTAGATGACAGCTCGGCTACACGTGCGCCACAAAAGCAACATGACGGATGCAGACGTTCAATGAAAGGCAGTGGCACTCACATCTGCTGCTGCGCGAGCGACGGTGTCAGCGAGTGTGTGTTGATGTTGGATGTCGGCGCGGAAGGCTTGCCAGCAATGCCGCGTGCGTGGCTTGTCGCTTCCCGATCGTGCAGGGGCTATCTAAAAAGTCCGTTGCCGCATCTCCCCTGCTGGCTTAGTCGACGCTACATTCACGATTGAGCTAGGCTCAGGATCGTGTTACGGGCGAGCGGTAAGACCGGCTTCATGCTGCAGAAAGCGTTAGACGTTCAGCAGCTTGGGTCTCCAGTACACTGATCACCCGAGGCGCCGTCGACATATGAACCGTGTTTCAGTGGTCCAGCTTGATGCCGACGAGGAGCTTCTTTGTGTGCGGCGACGCGTTTTCGATGCAACCTTGGTGAGCTAAAGGAAAAAGGCGTCCGATGCGACTTGGCGGGCGATAGAGTTGCCGCACGCCAACGCCTCGACAAGCCGCCGGATCGAGCCACTTTTTTATCTGGTAAAGAGCAGAAATCAAGAATGCAACCCGGCCGTCACCTGCCCTTTTCGCTGCAGACTTGAACCCAAGCCTCGCTCTCTTTGGCCAGCCGCCCACGTTTTTCCGTGTGCTTTTTTCGATCCACTCACGACTCGTGGCCGAGATTAAAGATCTGATCTAACCCACCCGGGACAGTGGATGAGCCTTGCCTCACACACGTCAGCCAGCCCGCAAACCCTGCCCTACTCAAAGCTTGCTGTCCCACGTCGTACTCCGTCACCGCGAGCCTCGCACGACTTGCCAGACGTCGAAAGTAGCAGCATCAATACAACGACATCAACGCAGCCTCGAAGAAACTCCCAGAGGTCGCAGGCGAGTCCCATAGCTACGCCGCAGCCATGCCGAAGGAAAACAAGAAGCGTGGCCGGCGCGAGGAGCTGAAGAAGCGAAAACGGGATCACGGCGACGAAGGACACACGAACAAAAGACGCAAGTCCTCAGGTGCTGTCGAGGCGGAGGAGTACATCTCGCTCGGCCAAAATGGCGATGTCGGACTCACCTCCGGACCCGGCGAAATGCCATTCTATGGCATGCTCGACGAGGAAGAGCAGGAATACTTCAAGCGGGCCGACGAGATGCTCGAGCTGAACCAGTTCAACGACGACGAGGAGAAGGTCTTGTTCCTTACCAGCGTCTACCGCGAGGCTGAAGGCAAGGAGCTCAAGATGGCTAACAGCCAGTCATGCTCGAGGCTGATGGAGCGACTTATAATGCTGTCGTCGCCTGATCAGCTTAAGGCTCTTCTCCAGAAGTTCAGCGGGCAGTGAGTGTTCTGTGTTCTCTATGCTCGGCCAAGCTGACATCGACCAAGCTTCCTCCACCTCGTCCAACACCGATTCGCCTCACACTGCTGCGAAACACTGTTCATCCGGTCAGCACCCATAGTCACACGAGAGCTAGTAGCACCACCAGAGGAGGACAAGGGCGATCCGCAAGGCGTCTACGTGTCCATGGAGAACCTCTTCCTCTACGCTATCAACGAGCTCGAAGGCAACCTCGGGTACTTGATGACGGACAGGTTCGCATCCCATACCCTACGGGTTCTTCTCGTTGTACTGTCCGGACAACCTCTTGAGCACTCTGCAACAAAGACACTGCTGCAAAGCAAACGAAAAGAAAGGATAGCTGTCAACGGCGCTGAGAAGACCAACGAGTTCAGGCTTGAGAAACGCGCGGTGCCCGAATCTTTCCTGGCCGCATTGGAGAAGATCATCAGAGAAAGCGTATCAGGACTAGACACGACGTATCTCCGCGCTCTTGCTACTCATCCGACGGGCAACCCTACTCTACAACTACTGCTTCAGCTCGAGCTGACCCAGTTCGGCAAGCAGAGAGCCAAGGATGAGGCTTCGATCATTCGAAAGCTGCTGCCCGATGATCCCGTCGTGGAAGGCACAGAGAGCGCTTCTTTCATCAACGGCTTGGTGTACGATGCCGTCGGGTCACGGTTGCTGGAAACTATTATCGAATACGCGCCGGGAAAATTGTTCAAGGCACTGTATAAGGAGTTCTTCAGGGAGCGCATCGGCAGCCTAGCGCGAAACGAAATTGCTGGATACGTCGTCTCCAAGCTTCTAGAAAGGCTCAGCAAAGAAGATTTGGCGGAAGCAGCGAATCTCATCCTGCCACAGCTCCAGAGCCTGGTCGAAAGAAGTAGGGTAGCTGTTATCAAAACGCTCATCGAGCGTTGTGCAGCGAGGGGCGTCGATACAACCGCCATTGCGGAGCAGCTCGAACAAGCGTACGGCGGTCCGAACGGATTTGAAATTGCAAGACTACTCAAACTAGGCGAAGCTACAACAGAAAATGGCCTCCACCCCCCCTCCGAGAGCACCGCCGCATCCACCCACCCCGAAAAGCGGCACGGCTCTCTACTTGCACAAGCCATGATCGCCGTCCCGGGTCCTCTCAGCGAGCTCATATTCGAATCACTCGCCCGGCTCGGCACGCCTCTAGCGCTCAAAGTGGCAAAAGACCCGACTGCCTCCCGCACGCTGCAAGCAGCCCTCACTTCGCCGAACGCAAGCATCATCTTCCGGCGCAAAATGATCCAGCAATTCTACGGGCACATCGCCGAGATGGCGCTGGATCCCTCCGCATCCCACATCATCGACTCCATCTGGGACGGCACGCACGGGCTGGCCTTCATCCGCGAGCGCATCGCCGAGGAGCTGGCGGAGAATGAGGCTTCCCTGCGTGAATCTTTCGTTGGGCGGGCGGTGTGGCGGAATTGGAAGATGGATCTCTACAAGCGGAGGAGAGGCGACTGGGTCACGGAATCGAGAGTTAGCGCGGGGAACGATGGGTTCCAGCCGTTTCCGGAGGGCATCACAGGCAATCAGAACCTGGAGAAGAAGTCAGGGATTGAGTTCGCCAGGCAGCGGCACGCGGCTGCCAAGGCGAGCAAGGGCAAGGGGAAGGCACACGACAAGCACAAGGGCCCGGCGCCTGTCGCTGGTGGTGCCGCGGCGCAGCCAAGGTGACACGGCAGACTTCACAGCTCACAAAAGGGTGGTACAAGATCTGCGCTGCAATCTGACTTGTCGCGTGCGAGGAGCGGGGAAGTGCTCGCTTGGTTGCAGGCGGTGGGCTGCGGCAGATCGCGGATCTAAGATTTAGTCTCCGGCGCTAAGCGAATGGAGGCGCAATGCTGTCATCACGTCGAGAATACCATCATCAGTTTTTTTCGGTCTGCTCGATCTGAGTCTTGCACGAATCTTGGCTGTGTGTTGCTGGTGCTGTTGCTGTTGCTTGTTTCTTCCTGTTCTTCTTACCATGGCCTCGAATTCGCTACCAAACAGGTCCGGCAACCCTTCCGATCCGCCGCTCAGTCGCGCCGACGACGTCTCAGAGCTCCTCGATGCAATCAAAGAGCTCATCGTCCCCTTTATTCGAGCCGCCGACGAGGACGCAGCCGCGCTGCAGACAGGGCATGGGCTGGTGGTGAAGGGCGGAGGACCGAGGACGGCATTGGTGGAATACCATCCTCCCCACAAACTGGGGCCTCTGCTGGACCTCAATCTCTCAGACGAGGGGAAGGGCAAGGAAGGGTTGCTGGAGATAATCCAGAAGATACTGCAGTTCTCGGTCAACACGTGGACGCAAGGGTTTATGGACAAGCTGTACTCGTCTACAGATGCTGTACGTAGAAATTATGCACCTTCAATACTAAAATCCATACTCTTCTTCTGCCTCTCATTGCCGTCCATCATATCCGCGCAACCCACCCCGATCCCGACCTCAGCTCCCCTATCCTAAACCTACCCCTCCAAGCACCCCAAAGCTAAATCGTCCTTCTTCCCCAGGTCGGCCTCGCATCCGAGCTCCTCCTCGCAGCCCTCAACACAAACGTCCATGTCTACCAGGTCTCCCCCGCCCTAACCCTCATCGAAAAACACACGACCCGCGCCCTCGCCTCCCTCTACGGCTTCCACGGCCCCCACGCAGGCGGCATCAGCCAGCCCGGCGGCTCGGCCTCCAACAGCACCGCCATCGTCATCGCGCGGAACACGCTATATCCAGAGACCAAGCATGACGGGCTCGGGGGCCGGAGATTCGTGCTCTTCACGTCCGCGCACGGCCACTACAGCGTCGAGAAAGCGGCGCAGATGTTCGGCTTCGGCGCTTCGGCGGTCAAGGCCGTGGCCGTCGACGCGGCCGGGCGCATGGATGCCTCGGCGCTTGAAGCCGCGGTCAAGAAAGCGAAGAGGGATGGCGAGACGCCCTTCTTCGTCAACGCCACGGCCGGCACCACCGTGCTGGGCTCCTTCGACCCGATCGACGCGCTCGCGGACGTGTGCCGCGACCACAACCTCTGGCTCCACGTCGACGGCTCGTGGGGCGGGCCGGTGGTCTTTAACAAAGAACTGAGAAGGGAGCGACTAAAGGGCGTGCAGCGCGCGGACAGCGTGGCCGTGACGCCGCACAAGATGCTCGGCGTGCCGATGACGTGTTCGTTCCTGCTCGGCGCCGACATCAGGAAGTTCTGGAGGGCGACCACGCTGCCCGCGGGCTATTTATTCCACAACGTCGAGGACAGCGAGCAGGATCTGCCGGGCGTGGATGGGGACAGCAACGGCGCACATGGCAGCGGCAGCGTGAAAGAAGTCTTCGACCTCGCCGATCTGACGCCCCAGTGCGGCCGTCGCGGGGATGCGCTCAAGTTCTTCCTTAGCTGGACGTTCCATGGCAGCGACGGGTATAGCGACATGCTGGACCGCGCTTTCGCCTCCGCGTCGTACCTGTTCGGCCTCCTTGACTCCCATGAGGATTTCGTGCTCGTGTCTAAAGCCCCGCTGCCGTGCTGCCAGGTGTGCTTCTACTACGCGCCGGATGGGAAGCTGGATGAAAGGGATGCGGAGAATAGTAGACGCACGCAGGAAATTGCGAGGAGGTTGGTTAGGAGGGGGTTCATGGTTGATTATGCGCCGGGGGAGAGGGGAAAGTTTTTTAGGGTCGTTGTTAATAGAGAGACGAGGAGGGGGACGCTGGAGGGGCTGGTGAAGGCGATTGAGGCCGTGGGCGGGGAGGTCGTAGGAAAGGCGTAATGGGGTTGTGTGTAGCTTGGTCGTGTACAGCTTTGGCGTGTTTATAGGCTGTTGGAGGGGATTCATGTGTGTATAGACGGCTGTCTAGAGGTGTATAGAGCGGGTAGGTGGGGATCTTATTCATAATGCAGGGGTGACTTTGTTCATAAGATTCACGAGGCGCGAGAAGCAAGAAATACAGATGTACCGTATGTTCAGTATCATTACCATCTACATACTCATACAACTATTACCCCTAGCCCCTACAACCTCCATGGGTATCATCCAGCCATCCTCCAGCAGCGAGCGCAGCTGCAACAAGCAAGCAAACAAGCGAGATGTGTCTGCGCATCCATGGCCATGCAGCTAGCCAGCAAACATCCAAAGCTCTACTCAAGGGGTATCTTCGACATAAGAGATGTACGGCCGTAGCAAACGAAGCGAAGCAAGTCATGCGAGGGACGGAAGTAGCCCGAGACGCCCAGCCAGCAAGGTCTAAGCGAAAGGACGGAAATAGCGACAAGGACGAAACGCTTGAACGCAGCAAGGAAGCAAAAAGAGCAAAGCGTGTATGCTGAACAACCCGAGAGAGCGATTATGGGGATGTAGTATGGTGGAGAGAGAGGTACGCAGAGCAATCATGCGCTCAAGAGCGAAACCTATGGTGTAACTCAACTGCCAAAGTCCTTGATCAGGCCCGACAGGAGCATGCAGAACGTGGCGTGCAGCTCGACGAAGAAATCGTCCTTGCCAACAATCTCGGCCAGCCCTTTCGCGCGCATGACCTCACGGCTCACACGCGGATAGCCATCTGGATCAACCTTCTTGGCGGAGAGGAAGGACGACACGGGCGTGATGGTGCGCGTTGTTGGCGAGCTGTGGGTGGACGAGAGGCCCTTCTTCTCCGGCGACATACGGCTGCTCATGTTGGGCATGGTGGAAGCCGAACAGCTGAGCGGTGGTGTGCTGCGCTCGCTAGTGCTCGGCCGTGAAGAGGAGGCGCTCGATTCGCGCTCGAGAACCCTATCGGCCATGGCGATGATCTTGCTCGCGACGGACTCGAAGATCTCGGTCACCTTCACCATTGCTTTGCCGATGCGCCAGCTATCGCGCCCGCCGAGGGCGATGAGCGCGTACGTGCGCAGCTTGCCTCTGGCGCGTGGGTCGGGCAAGCGGAAAATGTACGCAATGGTGTAACCGGCTACGGGGTCGCCAAATACCAAAGGGCCAGATGGTGAGCCCCGCGGAAGCATCTCGCAGGATAGTGTCCGAATGCAGGAGCGGCGGAGGAGAGAATACGCAGATGCGGAGGTGGGTTGTCTCGTGGTGATGTAGGTCAAAGTGTGCGTATGTGGGGTTTGGGAAACGAAGAGCGGTGAAGGAGGTGACGACGTGGTTGTGCTGGGCGGTGAAGGAGGAAAGGTGGATGACTGCAGCGACTGTTCGATGTCTACCGCGTCGGCAACACCATCGCTGTCGTTATCGGATTCCGTCTCCCTGTTGTGAGCGACAACAGCTTGAGACGTCCGCAGCACTGGGCTTCCGTTCCTGGTGCGCCCGTCTTTTGACGGGCTCCCTGGCGCCCCGGCTGGAAGCCTATCGCTGACATTACGCGGCACTAGAAACGCGCAGTTCCCGCACGAGTCCGCGTCGTCTTCAAAGGTTTTGCTGAAACGCTTGTAAACCTCCCTCTCCCCAGGAAAGCTGGGAAAGCTGGGAAAGCTGGGAAAGTAGGGGTTGTGGCTGCCCTGTTTCGGGCTGGTAGGCGGCGTCTCGAAGGGCGAGGAGAGAGGTGGTACTTGAGATGGGAACTTGGCGTCCCAGGGCGCGTCAAAGGACGAGTACGAGGAGTTGGGGGGGTCGTCAGAAGGAGGGGTGTCGCATGTTCGGCAGGTGAGACACGTTGCGGCGGAGGTCTGGGTGCAGAGGATCGAGGTCGGGCCGTGCAGCTCGCAGAAGTGAGCGAGCGAGATCTGAGTTCAAGCGCGATTAGCGACCATTATCTCCAAATACATGTAAGGCGTTCGCCGCGCCATCCGTCGACCGCACGCGTGTCAAGCGCCGCAGGGCAGAAGACGCATCTCCGGGGCCGTGGCTTGGACAGATGGGGCAGGGAGTCGCGTGCGTTGTCTTACAATCCAGTCCATCTTCCTGCTTTGTTTCAAACTCGTCGCACCGGGTCCATGGCTTGCGCTTCGCCGGTTCCAACTCCGCAGGTGATGGTGGGGGTGTACGAGCTCAGCTGACTCTGCCGCTTTGCTGAAAGCGACTCCCGCGCAGGAAGTGGCCAGCTGGAGCGAGATAGACGCGCGGGAGGGTGTATCAGGTGGTGAGAGTGTCGCGGGGTGGGTGGACTAGCAGGACAGTGATCGCCAGGTGCTGCTCTTCAAATAGAGCGCGGGCGTTGATGGCGATATTGGACGCGGCTTGGGAACTGCTGGCAAAAGGTGGTTCCCGAGGCTAGCAGCGGCATTTCACGGTCCAGGCAAGACAGGACACGGACAAATGCGATACATGAAGTTCAGACGGCGCTGCCCTCGTCGCCGGAGGGCGTCCCTGAAGTATGTACTCATGCCGGCAGCGCGAGGTACATGGTGGTAATGGGCACGGCAGTAGAGAGGGAGGCACTTTTGGGGGCATGCATGCTGATCGGGCAAAGCGCATCTCGATGCCGTGGGCACGGAGCACCAAACGTAATTCACCGCCTTCAGATTACTGAGTAAAGCTTATCGGACGCGTGCCATTGGCCAGCTGTGAGCAGGACCGTGCGCAAACCTCAAGCCATCCCGGGCTGTTGTCCGCCTTCCGCTCATCTTCCGCCGTTCTTCTGCTCCTCAAGAGGCTTAGCACCCTCTATCCAGCTCTTCCCTTCCCGTCGCACCATGGGACGCCGCACACGCTGCTGGCTGAGACTCTGCGACGTGAGGAGAGGGTGCTCGCTATCTCCAGTGTGAGCGCTCACATGCTGATAGATAGCGAGAGCTTCATTGCGATGCGCACACAGTTACGAACGCAGAGTAACGCAAAACTACGAAGGCATTACATCGTAAACACCGTCAATGGCTCTCTTGATCGGCAGCTTGGCCGGCATCAACGGCCGTCCTCAGCACCTCAATTAGTTAGGGCTTGACAAGTCTCAGATCGCTTCATCACTACGCTCCTCGCAGGCGAGAGTCGCCTACGGCGAAAAGGTGGCCTCGCTGGCGCTCGCATCGCTTCGCGAAAGAAGGCCTCGCCGATGCTCCTGACTGCTAGCTGAAACGTCATGATTCCACTCGTCGCTAATAGCGCCCAGCTTCCAAACCGTCATTTCCGTCCGGAGCGCTTTGGAAGAGCTGCCGCTGCTCCAGCGCCTTATCAGCTCCAGCTGCACGAAGCCTGGATGCGGTGTCACGCGCGTGTTTGGACATGCGGTGCCATCGTGGGCGGCCACGGCCCCGGAGCTGCTGTGAGAGATGAGCGCATCGCTGGGAGCTCCTGACGATCTGTTCATCAGTCCTCCGATGTTCGACGCCAAAGGGCGACATCTCGGCCGAGGCTCGGGGGCGCAACTCTGGATACTACTACCTTAGACCATAAAGACTCCAGTATTGTATCTCTCTCTCTCTCCACTGCTCGCGCGAGCACCTGCTGCATTGACAATGTCTACTTTAATATACCAAGGCGCTAACGCGGAGAGAGCGTGGGCTCTTGCTTGCGCCACAACGTGTTGAGAACCCACAGAGGGTCCCAGCACGGGCCAAGCTTGACCTTCCAGGGGAAAGCGCTCCACATCGCCCACAGAAGGGGCCACAACTTCACGTAATCTTCAACAACCTCTGAGCAAACCAAACTGCAAGGCTCAAGATTGCACCATCGACCCTCATGCGCGACATTGCTGGGACGGAAGTATCCGACGCTTGTTGCCCTGGCATTGAAAGGGCAATAACAACTTCGACACGCCGCCGGCCAACAACTCCAAGCTCAGTCGAACAGACCATGTGTCTAGACGCGCGTCTCCAACTTCATGTGAAAGCAACCTCGGCAGCCACCACGTATGCACCTAAGGTTCTGGTTAGTCCTGCGTGCTGGCTTGCCTCGAGCGACTTATACCGGAAATGATGGTTCGGAATATTGGATCCGACCCGTTGCTTGTCGTCAGTATCGACTCGGCATCATCCATCCGAGTCGGAGCCATCTCCTACTTCATCTTCGCCATCAGATTCATCATCATCGATATCGGTCGTTCGTGGTTGGGGCGGCGATGCGTAGCGCCTGGTATCAAACCCCACCAACCCGCTAATGAAATCTCGAAGTCCAAGGGCTGGGTCCTCGGCAGCTTCGTCTTCCTCGATCAGGTTTTCTGCCATTAGCACATCCTGCGCCGCAGCCCTCCATATATCCTGTGGCAAAGGGATCGCAATCTGAGTGACTGATATGCGGTCGAGCGGAATGAGAGGCGACTCGACGCAAATCTTTGTCCAGTTCTCCCTCCATTTCGTTGTCTCGTGGGGCGAGACACTTTTGACGAACGCGACCTGAGCTTTCCTTCGTTCGTTGTATGAGCTTTGCGACCAGATCTTCTCGACCTGCCCCAGGCCTCCGAGAAGCAGGACAGTGCCAATCTCTTCGGGAGACGCTGGCTTGCCAATCCATCCCCTCATGAGCTTCTCCACCGGACTTGCATAGGACGGCGGCCGTAGCTTCTGCTCGAATGCTTGGAACAAGAAGTAGCACATACGGTGACACTCCAGAACATGTCTGGGGTCGTATTTGGTCAGAATCCCTTTCTGTAGGGGTTTGAGGTACTCCATATTAGAACAAGCATAGAGACGAAATCCGTGCTTTGGGTCCGATTCCGCCACGCATTTCTGCAGCAACAGCTTCCGGTATTCCTTGAGAAAATGTCCAATAGTGAAGAGCAGCGGAACAGACTTCTCGTACATCCTTTCCCATGCCGGTTGAAACTTCTCCCGTTTACGCACCGTGTCTCGCAGCAGTATCTTCCTCGCCACGAAGTCGGCTACATTTCTCGCGAGCTTGCAGGCTATGGCTTGCTGGCGTTGGACCTCCAATATGTACTGGAGCTTGGCTTCGCCGAGTGTAGGCGGTGGATAGAGCGACCTCTCCAATCGATTGAGTTCATGCTTCGTCCAACTTCGCACAATGTCCGATTGACAAGCTGCCACCATGCTCCAACAGGCATGTGAGGTGAGACGAAGCGCCAGGAGATCGACGAATACTAGCTCGCAAAGAATCTGCGCCTGGAGCTCGTATGGGAGGGCAAGTAGCCGGCCGAAAAATGCGGCATTCCTACGTATGCTGTCAGCGCGGATTCCCTTCTCCCAAGAAGCTAAGTCTGGTGTAGGCTTGAGCTCAGCCTACAGCCAACAAGTAGCACTTACTGCTGACTCTGCCCTTGTTCCCTGTTATCTTTCTCGTCCCCTTTGACATCCTTCTGCTTGCCCAGCCGAAAGGGCAGCTTGCTAGGCATTCCGCTGGTCCTCGCGACGATGCTCGGTCGCTTGCGCTGGCTGACGTCTTCACTCCCCGAGCGCGAAGCTTCTCCAGCCGCCATCGACGCCGACGCAGCAGGCGCACTGCCGCGCCTAAGCTTCCCCAGAAACCGTGCTCCCGACATCTTCCACACCTGCAACACGATCTCTCCCAAGCTCTTCTTGACGGCTTCGCTCTTGTCCGAATCTCAAAGGGAAAGCGCGTGCGAGCGTGGTCTAATAACCTAATCCTCGCCTGTCCGCACCGGAGAGATCTCCCTTGCCCATCTGGGCAGTTCCACACATGAGCGTTGTCGTTCGGTGACATTCGTCCGAGAAGCTTGGAAGCCGTGGACTCGTCTGGCCCCGGCGGAACGGTCCAAAGGGTGACCCGAAAAAATGACGGCCACGCAAGATCACCGAAGACGCCCCGCCTCATAGTAATCTACCTTTGCTCGCAGTGGTGTTTCCGCACCCAAATTTATATGAAATAGCTTACGCACTTGACTATGCTTAGCAAGGATATAATAGCGTTGACTTTGACATAAATAGGTCTATATAATAGTGGTCTTGAGTGTTGGTGAATTTAATATAGTTTTTGCGTGGCCGCGAATATTTCGGGTAGCCCTTGGTCGAGGATGGCCGGCTCTGAAAGTTGCTGCAGGGCGCCTCAATCGATAAGGCGCGGGGCGGAATTGCCCCACACCTCCGGAGACTCTTCCGCCCGTTTCTTCAACTTCATGTTTCCATCTCAGCTTTGAGATTGATGATGGCGACCTGATCTTTCTCTGCTTGCAGGCGCACAAAGGAAATTGAGAAGTTTCCGGCTTCGGGGGCGCTCATTGCGCACCGGGCGCAGCTTTGCGAGACGGGAGTCCCGAAAAAGCGCTCCATAAAATGCCGTCCAGCTCTTGTATCCGTAGCTCACTGACATGTGAGACAAGTCCTCCATGCAGCATGTCGTCGCGATAAGAATTGACGCTAGACTCCTTTGACCGGTGCTAGCCAGGTTTTCTGGTACGACTGTCGAACAAAGCGCCTTAAGTCTGCCCAGGTGCCGTCGCGTCTCCTAAGTGAATCTTACTCTGCACAAATCCCTTGCAACCCCCCCATCCCCCCAGCCCCTCAAATCCAACGATACTCCCACCGCCCAGACCGCGAAAATGAACAACCAGGGAAACACAGGAGGGCCGTCCGGCGGTAAGGACGACTTCCTCGACAAGGGTAAGCTTCTTACTCCCCATCCCCCCGCCCATTCCCCATTCCAATCTACATCTTCGGCACGTCGTCCACAGCCACGGCCACTCTGGTCGCCCTGATCCACAGCTAATTAGTTCTACTCGCAGGCCTCACCGCCGTGCAGAAAAAGTACGGCGGAGCGAAGTTCAGCGATCCGAACAAGAACAAGGCCACGAACGAGAAGATTGTAAGTTTTGATCCCTGCTGGGGCACTGTTGTCTCCTCGACCGTTGTTCGACCCCCTTCAGCCCACTCCTACCTCACCCCGCTCTAGCAGAGAGGCATTCGTGGCTGATGCATATCTGCGTGAAATCTAGACGGACAAGGCCCGCAGCATGTTCGAGAAGACGACGGGGATGAAGGTTCCGAAATGGTTGTCGAACTAAGGGGTAGGCGGATCGATGTTGGGTTGCGCGTGACGGCTGGCGGACGTGTAAGATGGGACTATGACCCTCAAACAGAAATGAATGAACGGTAGCAACACGAGTCTATACCCAACTGCCCAGCTGGCCGCGTTCGATGGCTATGTGGTCAGCATGGTGGCTTTCCTGTGTTACAAACAATGCTCTTCGCAATTGGCTCAGAATACTGCGAAGTCGCGGTAGTCGCGCTTTTGATCATCTAACTTTTGGTCCAGCAGCCTAACATACCTCGATGCCGCCTGCAGACTACCAGTCAGATGCGGTCAGGTGGTGTAGCATGTGGGACAAAGCCCTTGTGCAGCATACAGTTACGGACGTTAGAGTCTTCGAGCCAGGCAGGTTTTGAGTTAAGACGCTGAACAGTCTTCGCAGCACCTCTCCCCCTTCCCCCCTTCTTCTCCCCCATCCTACGCCTTTCCTCCCATTATATCGATCCAGCCACCCTTCTCCCAGCTAGCCAGTACCACTCACAAGCTTGTGAGCCCGCCTTGCTTTAGTCGTTTCTTCCCATCCTTAAGCCATCCCCCAGTCATCTAGCCTCCCCCCTCTTCTACAATTGATATGTTCATGTCTAACGTACTGAGAAGGGAATGGATAGGGGAGGTCATGAATAAGATATCGAACCGAGGGGGCCGGCTACCTACTGGCTGGCGATGGAAGTTAGGGAACAGAATGAAACATGTACTGAAGAGTACAACGAGGAGGATCTACCAGGAGGATGTACTCTCAAAATGGACATGGATTCCATTAGTGCTTGTGTCAGAACACCGGCTGTCCCGCCACTACGACCATAGCTCTTTCAATCCCCGAGGCTGCCTTTCACCTGCTCCACGCATCTCCATTCTTTCGCCCTCCTTATCCATCACCATATCCACATCCACATCCATGCCTAATGCCTCCCTCCCCTCGTTCATCACTTCTTGACACCCCAAACATCCCCGCCCCCCTGCAAAATCCCCTCCTCAGCCATTCCCCCCAACAATCCTCTCAATGCCTCCACACCGCCGCCAAACCCGCCCGGCACAGCCATCTTCAGCATCATCAAGATCCGCGGCGCAGGCATAGCGCCCTGGTTCGTCAGCATGCCGAGGATGAACTGCCTGTACAGCGCCGTGTTCTCGTCCAGGACGTCCTGCTGGGACTTGATCGCCTGCACCGCAGCGGGCCGCGCCGCTTGAGCCTGTGCCGCTGCCGAAGCCGCCGCCCCCCCTGCGTCGCCAGAAGCAGGAAGCCGCTCCAGCACCTCGAAGACATCGTCTCCCGGCGCTGTCTCCTTGAGCACGCCCCTACCGACCCAGAACTCCAGCGCGTCCCTGACAAGCTCCTCGTCCATCTCGAGCCCCGCTTCCAGCTGCGCCACGCTCCTCCTGACCTCCCCACTCCCACCGTCTTCCTCCCCAAACGCGTCGATTACAGCAGCATGCCACGTCGCGACCTCCTCCTCGACGACGCGGTCCTCAAGCTCGAGCCTCACGCTCGCCCGGCCTAGTGCATGCATCCAGTGCAACTTGCGCATATCTTTCACGCGCTCGAAGCCCGCTGAATACCGGCTTTGGGCGGCGCGGACGGCGGCGGGGGGAAGGAAAGTGTCGTCGCGGAGAGGGGGCCAGAAGAAGGAGGAGAGGATTTGGGCGTTGAGGGGGGGTTCGCCTTCCACGTCTACTGGTGGGGGCACTGTGTTGTTTGTGGCATCAAACGGATTGCGGCTGATGGTGCCGCGGATAGAGGCATCGATGCGCTTGCTCTCGAGCACATCCCGCAGCATGACTTCGCACGCCTGGAGTTTCTCTTCCCCGAGTCGCAGCTTGAAGAGCTCGAGGAGGCGGATCTCTTTCTCGAAGCCCGGCGTCGTGGCGGACAGGAGATGTGCGCCGAGGATGGCTTTGAGCTCTGTGATGAAGTCTTCACGGTCGTAGAGCGAGAGCAGCGAGGATATAATATCTATTGAGCGGGACTTTCTATATTCTGGCCCCGCGTCTACCGGGTCGGGCGTCCAGGCCATGTTGCCCCAGTCGAGGTCGTGGTCGTGGTCGTGCTGCGAGGCGACGGGGTGGAGCATCTCGGTTGCGATTTCGAGGGAGATGTCGCCGGTGGGGTGGAGGGTGTTTCCGTTGCTGTCTTGAACGTCGGCAAGGAGGCTGGCGACGATTATGCGGGCTGTGTCGGGCCTGTCGCGGAGATGACGCCTGATGGGCTTGGCGACGCGGTCCAGGAGGACACCTTTGGGGTCCATTTCATTGAAGGCGCGGATGACGTAGATGTAGACGTTCAGAATGTGGGTGGTGGTCGCGCCTGCGTGGAGTAGACGCCTGGAGAGCTGCTTGGAGAAACTGATGGCGAGGTGGCTTCGAGCTGCTGGCGTGGTGATGCAGTCCTGCGATGGTATAAGTAACTCTTTCTTCGAGGGTGTACGTGGTTGATGTGATGCATGCCTTGAGATCTAGGATAGCGCCCAAAGAGCGGTCCCAGTTGACAACGTAGTCAAATAAATTGCCCACTCTCGCTCTGCCTAACCACTGAGTTGCCATATCCTGCCACTGCTGTATCTCCAGGGGTCCAAACGGCTGGCTCGGCCCCCCTGCATTCAAGCACTCCATCACCTCAGTCGCGAACGGCGCGAATCCCTCCTTGATCCACCGCCTCAGCTTCTTGGCGACTGGCGCCCGCCCATACCAGTCGACCTTCATGTGGTGGCTGACAATGAACTGGCCTAGTAGCTTGTCCATTGCATGGGCAAAGGCGCGCTGTGCTTGGTCGCCTGCTAAACCTACCTCCTGTAGACCACGCAAGAGGCGTACTGTGCGGTTTCGCGCATGTAGCACGTCTTCCCTCGTCGGCGTTCTTCGGTCCGCTTGGCCGGGATGGACGTCGAAGATACGACATGCTGCGTCGAACAGCACGTAGCGCAGGGCTTTGGAAACAAGCTGGAGAGGTACTGAATGCGTAATGACCGAATCAAGATCTCTCCGAAACTTCGAGGCCAGGTGTGTCGCTTTACTGGGGGCTACACTCTGTTGTGCCGTGCTAGTGCTGGACGTGGCATCGTGGATGATGGGCAGGACATAATCTCTTAACGGCTGCAGGTACAGAGCTTGAGCCTGCCCGAGCCTGTTCACTGTTTCTTCTAGGAGGCTCCATAAATTTCGACAGTCAACCTCCTAGGATCGTCAGATACCAACGCAAGCATGCTTCGAGGACGAACGTACGGGCTTCCAGAGCGGCTGGATAGTAGGTTGGACACAAGCGAGGTAATGGCCACGAATTTCGCTGATGTACCAATCCAACTGCACAGAGTCAGTATGGAGCCGTCATGTCAAACGAAAGTCTCAAATACCAAGCCTTGTCCATCATCGCCGGTTGCTTGCGCTCCTTCGCCAACGAGTAGGTACCGCAGGGCATCGGACACGTCTCGTGTTGGCGCCTGTTTTAGATTCCATTGCGAATTCTGCGCAAACGGCGCTCGTGCCAGGCTCAAGTATCTTGTCGCAACGCTCCATGCTTGATTCTGCTTGATTTCCTGCGCGACCGGCCGCGAGGATAGGAGCGGGCTTGTAACATCAACTCCGCCAAACGACTGCCCCTCCCCCGTAAACCCGAGATCAGGTGTTGCAAGCGGGGTCGGCGTTGTATGGTGTGCTGAAACTGGGAACACCGAAGAGAAGACCAGGGCTTCGTGGCTTGAAGCCATGGTTATGGTAGTCATGGTGGTTCTGGCATTGTTTGGTTGTTGTTTACACTTGAGTCACAAGTCGCAGACTCAAAAGGCCATACGAAAAGTCCGTTGCCGAATCTCTGCTTCAACATATCTACTTCTAAATTCACTATCAAGCTAGATTCGTGATTGTGTCAGTTATAGAGCTGCTAGACTGATATTATGCGGCAGAAAGCACAGAATGTTCAGCAGTTTAGCGCTTAAGTGCATCGATCACCTAAGGTGTCTTTGGTTCAGAAATTGTGCTTGGGCTATCCACTTTCAGTGCGGCAACGGACTTTTCAGATGGCCTTGCTCATCTCTCATGGATAATCTACAATTACATGAGCTCGCGCCGTCATGGCGGGCCAAACAGCCACCGTAAGTGCATACCTACAGAGAAGGAGACTCCAAACCCTAATAAGCCCGTGCAAACCCCCGCAAATAATGCTCAATGGCTCTCTACGAACGCCGAAGACCCCAGCTCCGCCCGTCCATTGACAAACGACCGTGGAAGTCAGACAAACACCCTCAGCGCTACAGCCGACCATGCCTGCATTTGAATATAGAGATTTTGTCGTCATAGAACAGGATCTCCCGGAGCTTCAACCGTGGCTCCTTCCTATCATCCTCATGGGTGTAGGAGCCTTCGTCGTCAGAATCGTTATGGTCGGCATCCGAGCCCTCGGATTCCGTTTCCTCACCCTCGCCGGCTGCGCCCATACCTGTGCCGTCGATGTCGTCGTCCTCGTCATCGTCTTCATCGTCTTCGTCGTCCTCGCTCATTCCGTCCACGTTCTGATAGCCAGTCGGCATGCTGAAGGGCCCGCCGTCTAGAGATCCAGTGTGAGCGTGATGGGAGTCGTTGTTTTTGCTTTCTAGGATCTCGAAGCACTTATTTACAATGCCCATGTAGCATATCTCGATCTCCGGTCGCAAAGTGACGATGTCTTCGATCTGATGAGCCAGTTCTTTGGGGTCGATGTTGTTGCCGTGTGCGTGGTCGGCCACGTGAGGGATGTACAACGAGCGGACAGTGGGTATGTTTGGTAATCGCTGCAAGAAGAGATGCTGCTGCTCGTTAGCATAGCCAGATAGATCGAGATAGACACATGGCTTACCCAGTCACGATAATCGATGCTCACAGCAAGTTCTCTGAGACTAGTCATCTTGCCACTTGTGATAAACGAGAGGATCTCACGGTTCAGCATCCACCTCCGCCATTTGGCGCTTGTTGTAGCATGGCCGTGGGAGTCTCGCTCGCTGCTATCGATCATCAACTTCTTCAAGCTGCCGCGGTGTCTTCGCAATGGTCCACGATAGATTGCGTCTACCGTAACACTTGAGGAATACGATCGCCCTTCTTGCAAGAAAAGAACCTCCAGACTATTTGGCGCAAGGGTCTCCTTGAGGAACGATATCAGCGAAGGTGAGACGGTGTTGGTATGGATCTTCTTGAGGTTGAGGGCGTAGTCGGAGCGGGATAAATGCGATATACTGTGCCGCCTTGCCGAGGACGGATACGGAATACCGGGTGCGTTGGAAGACTGGGGAAGGCGAGGGGAATACGTGCGCCGAAGAGACTTCCAGAGTTGCTCATGGTTGTTGCAGTGTAGCAACGTCAGAGATGTAAGCGCTGACCAGTCGAACGCTCTCCGTAATACATTGACCGAAAGGGGCACGCGCTCCAACTCCAACGTGTGAAGCTTCAGCTGGCCGTCAAGCAATGGTCCGTCTCTAATGATATCCGCTTTCGGCCGCTTCGGAGAAGCAGTCGGAGTAGGCGTCCCTGAGCCCTCTTCCACCGTGACCTGCTGTTCTTGGTCCTTCTCTAGAGCCTGTTCTGGCAGCTGCTCTGGATGCGGTTGTAGGATCGCTACTTCTGCATCCTGGTCCGTTGGTGAAGCGTCTTGAGTTGGAACCTCTCCCGAAGGTATTAGTTCCGGCTCCGGCTCCCGGTCTTCAGTGGCAATGGAAGGCGAAACAACCGGCTGCTTTCCCGAATGTGCGCGGTCCGGAGTCCTGTGCGCAGACGCTTTCTCTTCCTCTACCCGCCTGTTCTGGCGCACATTGTATACTCGTCCGACCAGGACCCCCAGAACTCCTCCTAACCTTTTCTCTCCTATCGAGCTCTGTGCTGTCCAGTTTGTGCTGTAGTCCACCTGCTGCACTCCCTCACCTTCCCAGACAGTTACCCAATCTCGCGGTTGTGCGTGACGAGCAATACCAACTCTTAGCTCCCTGAGGCACTTCTGGGACCGGCCTATCAAAATGCTCATCTCATCGAGGTAGGGAAGCTCGTCGATATCTAACACACTGAGACTTTTCAGAGCTGACAAGACTGAGAACGAAGGATGCTCTACGCGCTCTATCGCTGGAACAGTGACATAGTGATGCGGAGCCACTGCAACGGCTGTGTGGGGATTGTTGATTCCACTGGCTTGACCAGCGATTGGCGGCGGAGGCGGCATTCCGTTCAGTGCTGGAGGTGGTGGAAGTGGCAAGGAGTCCAGCTGCGAGTTGTCGTGCCATCGGACCCATACCCGTTGCAAGCGACAATCGAGACCGTCATCTCTGTCGGCTAAAGAGGAGAGAGCTAGCCAGACGTCCCGTAGAATCCCGGTCGGCATGTCCCACACAAAGGTCTCGAGACTACGCATCCGTGACAGCGCCAGAGCAACGAGCGTACCAAGCATTTTCCCGCCCTCCTTCGTGATGAGATATTCCTGCACCCAATCTGGCGGTCCATTACCAAGCGAAAACTTTTTGGTGTAGTTTGCATAGTGGTTGCCCCGGCGTCTCTTGGTGAGCGGGAAAGGATTGTCGCCCGCTGCCACTTGGCTAAGGCTGCGGAACGCGCTTGGAGGAGCGCCGCTGCGAGACGCTGACGGTGCGTAGTATGGTTCCTCGCCGAACAGCTCATTCGCCATGACCAGCGTCGCGAGTCCATATGTGAGAGCGTCGACTCCTGTTCGTGGCTCTGCGGTCGCTGTCGCGTCCGGCCAGACGATATCGAAACGGGAATAGATATAGGGTATCGTTAGGCGGTGGAGCGCCGAATGGCATAGAGCGAGTGAGGTCAGATCATTTGTGTGTGGTAGCTACGGTAGATTAGTAGGCGTGCTTCCTGTGCCGCGAGATCCTTACCTGATTGATAATCTCCTTGAGGATGTCCACCGGCAGGTTTAAAAATGGTGAGACTCCCTCTTCCGCCACGAGTGGCTTGGACGCCTTCTCCTTCCCTTTCAAACGCTTCAGGACCTTGTCTTTCGGCGTTGCTAGCTCTGAAGGTTCATCGGCCAACTGAGAGTGGGATGCAGTTGGGCTTGAGGGCTCAGTCTCCAGCGCGAGTTCCGGCATGTCTTTCTCTATCCCGGCTGAGGCAGCTTTGTCAGGCGTCGACAGGTGGTCATAAGCGACTGGAGTACTTTCTCCGCTAGAGCACTCAGAGGTGGGCGGTGTCGAATCCATGGCGCTATGGTTCCGCTGAACTACCTAAGGAAGTCAACGCGGTGCAACAAAGTCTCGCGGTTCAGGGTAGAACGCACCAAATACCGGTCCAGATGAAGACAGCTAATGAGGCGCGAGAACCTGTGCGGTGAGGTGTTCACGCCTCAGCTGCGCCCTACTCAACTACCTGCGCTCCTCGAATGTATGAATGGGGTGGTGGCTGCGCATCGGGCAAGGAGAGACGCTCGCGAGGTGCTCACAGCCGGCGTAGGGCCTGGGCGAGGAATGATTGAGGCTAATTCGGCGGCAGGCAGGTGAATAAAGAGGGGTGATGTTGTCGCGGAGTAGTCAACTAAAGGTATCTCGCAAAGTCCCGGAGGTTCAACCTGATGTTGCTTTGACCAGCCGGGCAACCGTTCTTGCCGTGGGGTTGGGGCTCGTGAAACAGACAGCGAACCCAGGAACGACCTGACAGCTCCCACCAAACCTGAGGCAGATTTATGTGTATTTCATTAGTAGCACACTAAGTTTCCAGCTTTGTATCTCAAGGCGCACACGGTTCAATCAAGCAGCGCAACCATGGATCTCACTCGGGCCAAGGTGACGCATTCGTGGAATCTCTAAACACTAGAGACAACCGATCAATACTCGTGATCTCGCTTCTGGGACGAGATACTCACTGTACCGGAACTCTAGTCTGATCCTCAACTATTCCGCCAATCAAAAGTCTGATTGGACTTCCAAGTGAGTGAGCAGCTTGGAGAACTATCCCGGAAGCATCGTAGGAGAAACGACTCCGTAAATATGAACGTTAACCCGCTACGGGAAGATCTTCATCATTAGGTAGAATCTAAGTGTGAATATCACTTCTAACGCCTGATCTGATGCTCTTGAGATCGCCCTGGACCCCCTCCAGTGGATGTGATTCGCCAGCGAAAAGCAGTCTCAACGCCTCCCTCACCCTGTTGTACCATACAACGCCGCTGCTGCTGTACATTTTCACTCAAAGACAATCCCCATCACGACTGCATTACTTCCTGCGCGTCATGACTTTGGTGATTGCATGCCTGATTACCACGCCCGCCTTCTCAGTCTCTCGTTTCGACAAGCCAGCGGTGACGCACACCTTGAGGGCGGGCTGCGGCTGCCACGGCTGGTCTCTAGGACCCGCACCCAGCGGCGCAGGCATGCTCTTGAGGCGGGTAATAAGCACGCCGTTTGCCAATGCCTACGAGTAACATTAGCACGTCCTCGTTCGCCCCAGGAGAGAAGCAGAAAGCGTACTTCATCAACAGCATCCTGCAGCAGGGACTCCTGGTCTTGTACACTGAGCTTTTTGTTCTCAATCACCTCCTTCTTGAGCACAAGGAGCATGATCGGGTTCTCCGGACTACTCGTACACCTAACCCAGTCACTCCTCGGATCCAGCTGCGCTCGCATACTCTTGATGTTCTCCCTCAACGTGCTGATCAACTCCATACCCGAATCCTCCTGCAACATGTTGATGGTCTCGCTCGCCGTTGTCGCCAGCATGGCAGGCAGCGCAGCAGAGAAAGTGTACGAAGCCGCGGAGATGCGCTGATGCTCGACGACTTCCTCAGACCCAGCGCAGAAGCCACCGCCCGCGCAGAGAGGCCCGGCGAGCGAGCCGATGATCATGTCGACGGCTGTTGCGTCGACGTTCTGGTGTTCAGTTAGCCCACGGCCGGTGCGGCCTAGGATGCCGTAGGACCAGGTTTCGTCAAGGATGAGGCGGAATTTGTATTTTAGTTTTAGCTCGATCTGTTGGTCCGGAGGGGATCAGTCTTGACTACTTTCCCAGCGCTGCATTTCTTGCAACGCAGTGGATTGAGGAGCAACGCACCAGCTTAGGGAGGTTGGGCATATCACCCACGTTCTCGAAGAGCCCTTCCGTGATTATAAACCTCCTCGTTAACGGCTTCCTCGCCTGCTCCTTCGTTACTCGCTCCAGCACTCGCTCCAGATCCTGCATGTCGTTGTGCTCATACCACCGTATGGTGCTGCGGGAAATCTGTATGCCCTTCCGCACAGCGTAGTTAACTGCTTTGTCTGCGACTATAATATCGCCACGTTTCGAGAAGGCCGGAATAACGGAGGAGATGGTCGAGAAGGCTTGAGCATAGACTATGCATGCGTCGGCGCCGAGATGAGAGGCAACGTCCGCTTCCGTCTTCATGTGGACGTCCTGCGTGCCGTAGAAGCCTGGAGGACCGCATGGTCCAACGCCGTAGGTGCGGAGAGTAGCGATGGCTTTCTCTTTCAAGGTCTCGTTTCCGACGAAGTTGTAGAAGTTGTACGAGGCAAGGTTCATCACTGTACGGCCGTTCGAGAGCTTAGACCTGGGTCCTGTGGGCCTGGACAATCTCAGCGTAATCCTCTGGGGCGAGGCCGGAATGATAACTACCCCACGATGACAGGCCTCTTCTCATTCTCCAACGCCTCGAAGGGCGTCTCTGGAGCTACAAGAGGCTCCGGTGTCCAGTCCTCGACCAGTTCGTCAATCTCCTGTTCATCCATAAGCCCATGTTCGCTCTCCCATCTGCGCTAGGTATGCCCTTACGTCCTCGGTCAGCGCTACATGCTTCTGCTTCTGCGTCGAGTATTTCGGCGCCAGAAGGTACCGAACGGCGAACAGGAAGAGGAAGAGTTCAATCGCAGAGCGAACAGGGTCGTTCTGGTAGCTGGACTTTATGTATCGCAGGATGATGGCGGAACCGGGCATCTTCTGGAACCGCTTCGCCGCATTATCTAGCCAGCGCGCGAACGTGTTTTGAGCATCTTGCAGGTCCATTGTATTTGCTGGGGGCAGAAGACGCAAAACGGCGCATTTCGCGATTCGGAAGCGTGAGATGCTCAGGGTCAGGAACTTAAAATTACATATCACCGGTAAGGCTTGACACGTGACCAGTTACACCTTTGAGTCTTCGCTTCTCGAGGAAGTCGCTGTCGTATGAAGAGGACCAGTCGTGCTGGCCACAGTAAGGACTTGCGGGAAGTCTGCAGCAAATGAACGGGTTGGTTTGGCTGGACAGGAGGAGCGCAAATGCATGCTTGACGTATTTGTTGACCGAGCGAAAATCTTGTTGCAAATGTGTTCCATTTGTTACGATGTATTGCCTATTTAACAGCTGAACTGAACCAAACCAGCGACCTCCCATGCCTGTATATTATGTGTGCAATGCGATCCGCTTGAAGAGGTATAGCGGAAAGATTCGAAAAGCAAAACGAGAGTCTATCCCACCAGAAACCCCGACCCTACATGATGCAGGTCAAAAATCGCACTCATTATGTAAGTGCCGCCAAAGCTGACGAGCATCGATGTCATGGAAAGATGTTGTACAATGTACAATGCGCCAACAATGCCTGCATAGAAGACCAATCAACAGCCCGCAACTACGAGAATGCATAGCGCATGAGCCTGTCCGCGGTGGCCGTAGCGGTCGAGACCGCGTCGCCGCCGCCTAGACCGGTGCCGGTAATCGTCGCACCGAGAGTATCGTTGTTGTTGAGACCAGTCGGTTGCATCAGATCCATAGGCATCTCCGGCAGACCCGTCAGGAATCTGCTCGCGACGATCGGACCAACGATCAGGCAGACGAAGACGATGAGAATGACAAAGTAAAGGATGGCGTAGCGGATGATCCGTCGCTTTCGCAGCTTGGTCTGCTTCAGTGAGTAGATGGGAGGTCGGATTTGACGACTGTTAGACGGTTAGCGTGCGTATCTTCAAGTGAGCAAAGCTGATACATACCTCGGACGGAGCCAGAACAGCATGACCGAGTGGAACTTGTCGATGTACGGTATCAGAAGCACTGGGAGCATGACAAACAGGATGAAGTGACCGAGGATGAAGTCGGCGGCGAACATGCCGAGCTCGGTGATTTTGCAAAGGAACTCACGGCCAGGCTGGGAGAGAGTGTGCCAGCCCATGGCGTACCACTTGCCGGTCCACCAGGCGATATTCGCGGTATCGGACTTGAACTCGCGGGTCAAAGCCAAAGCGATGATGAGCTTGAAGATGAAACGCTGGATGGCGACGACAGCGATCATCCCAAGCAGGGCCTTGGCGAAATCCCAACCTTCGAGGAAGAACATGACCTCGAAGAAGGCCAGCAGCATGAAGACCGAGATGCCGTGAGCTATCGCAGCCAAGACGGCGCCAAACTTCTTGCAGCACATGCTCAGAAGTGGACCCATGCAGCAAGCCATACCAAAGAAACCCGCGAGGACACCAGCGTTGACGGCAATGGGGCCGACAGCAACAAGCGCGACTCGAATGAGAGAGTTCGTAGGCTTAATGTCCCCTGAAGACAGATCTGGGTTGGTCTCCGTGGTAACACCGATTTGCGAGTTGATGAAAAGGTATGGTATTACCGTGATAGCGACCAGAACAAGCGGGCCGAGGATCTCACTGAAGAAGATGTTCGTAAAATGAGCTCTAGGAACATCGCCAGACAGCTTAGCTGAGGGATCACCAAGGGCCTTTCGCTTGTAACCAGTCACCCGGGTTCGGGACAGTCGGCAGAAGCCAATCCAAGAGGCGCTGTGGGACCTGGTGTTTCCGCGAGACAGCCATCGGAGGTACTCTCGGTAGTCGATGAAGAAGTCGTTCCAGGCGAATTGATGGGGATTAAACAGGAACGGCGAGATGCAGAGGGCCAGCAGCGACACCCAAAAGTAGATTTGCCATACGCCCCAGGTGGTCAAGGTAGCGAACAGAAGCATCATCAAGGACCTTGCGCCGATGTAGATCGATGGCCCGGCGAAGCGGGAGTACAAGATACCGAACGGAATACGAGCGGTGGCGAAACCACGACCAGTACCAATGTACCTGGCACCGCCGAAGGACAGATCCTGAGTCAGCGAGTTGGCGTAGATCTGGCAGACGAACACCTCGAACAACGGCGAAAAAGACGAGAAGTGCTTAGCAAGACGAGTTGCCGCACGCCAGAAGCCGCGCTCTGTCAGTTCCTGGACGACCAAGGGCACGAACGATATGAAGAAGACGATGAAGATCGAAACAACGCAGCGCTCCACCCAGTCGAAGATTGGCACCAGATTGGCGCATCCGGTAGGGAACAAGGCATCAGTGATCGGTACGTCCTTGTCGTAGTTGCAAACGATCGTCTCGTGCCTGAGAGCTCCTAGGTTGATGATGACGAACATGAAGCATTGCACCGACAACATGATGAACAAGTTGTTGACGTGGAACCCAGGATGTGCGTAGTAGAAGGACAGGAACCGATCGAGAGGAAGCTGAGTGCCAAGGTAGTAGTACTCACGAGACAGCATCTGCTCGCCCATGCCAGTACCGATCTTGGTAGTGAAGTTGAGAATTGAGCCAAAACCAAGATCACGACCCTTGCCACACTGGTAGTACTCGCAGTGCTTTATCCTACCACCACGGATGAGAGCGTTCATGCCGGCGTAGATGTCTTCGTTGAGATGCAGACCCTTCTGAGCCTTGGAGACACCTCCACGCGTTGTCATGAAAATACCGTTGAGGAAATCCGGATGGCCGTAATGCAGCTTGCCACCGATTTGAGCCAGTGTACGAGCGAAAAGAGTACCGAACGTTTGTTCCTTGCCGGCTGCGACATCGCCGAGAATACCGATGTTCTCCGAGAAGATGTATTCACGAGCACCAAGGATAGCAACAGGGTTGAAGTTGGCCGGAGGGATACCTGGGGTGTATGGAGAGACATTGTCCGTTGTCATCTCTTCGAACTCAGCCAAAACGCTTCGAATCTTGAGACATTCCTCGAGATAGTTGTCCTGGTTAGCATCGATAAGCTGGATGTACTCGCCACGGTAGAAGATGATGCAGTGGTTCTGGTTGTCGGATTTGCCGTCACCAAGGATAGGGTTGCCAGAGAGCTGGACGCGGAACTTCGGACGGCGCATGCCGTTCTCCATGATCTCAGAGTGACCGTCGATCAGCGCAGAATACAACCGAGGATCTTCACCCTCGTTGACAGGAGGCTCCTCATCGAGGTACGCAATCTGGAGATCGGGGTAAGCACGGAGGAGGAACTCAGTGTTCTCGCGCTCTTCCTTCGAGAACTTGGCATAGCGCTGCATGGAGACGACGATCTTGAATTTGCGTCGGGCCATGCGTTCGAGTTCCCGCTCGAGCTTGTCAGAGTTGCCACCGAACATTTGCACAACCTCCGGGTTCTCGACTCTGTACAAGAGCTTGATAGCGCGGCTGTAGTTCATGAAGCCAGAGATCGTACGGTAGAGAGTCTGCGAACGGAGAGAAGCCCAGATTCGGGTGCGCAAAGTATACTCCGGTGCGGCTGACTTGAAGCCAATGCAGTAGAACGGCAGGTCATCAATCTTGCTCTTGGCGGTGTCCTTCTCGTTCTTCTCATAATCCCCGTTATACTGCGACGTCTCGTCTGCAAGAATCTTGGTATCCTTGACGAAGCAATCCCACTCATGGGGGTGGAGCTGCTTGAGGTACTCGAGAAGCGTGACACGCGAGTAAGGCTCGTCTTCACGGATAATCTCACGAAGAGACAAGAGAATTTTCTCGCTGTAGTGAGGGATCATAACGGTGAAGGTAGGCATGTTGTCGACCGGCAGAGGCTCCGGAATTGGCGTGGACAAAGACTGAGCAAAGAAGGAGATACGACGCTCGGCTTCGCTGTGGGACGGGAAGAACTCGGTCTTGAACGAATGATCCTCCTGGGACACGAAGAAGGTCGGTGCACGGAGCGTCCTCTTGCCCTCTTGCTCGGATGGCACCTGGTGGTAGAGCAACTTCTGAACATGGTCAATGGCCAGGAGATGCTCCCGGTACATGGAGATGACGATGGCATTCCAGATCTGCGAGATCAGGACTTTCGGCTTGTACTTAATCTCCATGTCCGTTGTAGCAAGAACCTTAGAATAGATTCGCTTGGGCAGGCGCGAGAAAATGTTTCTCCACGGCGTCCAGATCGACACTCCAAGGTAGAACGATCGAGCAATGGAGAAGATGCAGTTCCAGATGATGTACCAAAGGTAGGTATCCAGGAAAAAGAGACACAGGTCGGTGAAGAACATGATACCCAGGAGGATCTTAGGCTGGTAGTAGCACAGATAGTCCTTGACGATAGCATCGCCCACACATGTGGTGATTTTCATAGTTGAGAGAATGCGGATCGGGTCACGTAGAGACAGTGTCAGGAAGAAGTATGACTCGGTGAGCTTCAAAGCAAAAACCAGAATCCAGATACCATACGACATCCACATATCGTTGCCGTGGAGGCGCGGATAGCTGGCAGTGAAGGTCTGACTGGCAACATACTTTCGCGAGTTCCTGGTAAGGTAGCTTCCAAATAGACCACCGAGCGGCATGATCGAGAAGAATAGGAATGTCGCAAGGGCTACGAGGAACTGGACAATGCCAAGCACTCTTGCAATTGTGCCAGTCTGCGAAAAACCAAATATGTACCCGCTGGGTGCCACGTTGAGGACGAACACTCCCAGGAGGAAGAACAAGCGCTTCGTCAAGTGCTGAGCTCCGGCCCATTTCCTAGGGACGTAGGACCACTCGACCAAGGTAGCAATAAGCATGATCAACGTTGCGACGGCACCGCCGAGGGCCACTGCTGACATTTGAGCAGCCGGATTGGGTTTGTTGTTCCGCTCCTGCTCGTAGTTCGCCGTATAGAAAGTAGGTGAGTGGAAGGCAGTGTAGAACCAGAAGGTGGTGAGATGGATGACCCAGATACGATTGAAGTTGACAATCATGTGGAACCACGAGCGGGTCTCCTTGTATGTCTTGAAGAAAACCTTCTTCCAGTGTACGTCTTTGAGCCTCTCAAACCGCTCCGCAGGGGGCAGATCTACTAGCCGAGTTTTGTCCTCGAATATTATGCGCTCGATGCCCTCGGGATACCAGAACAGCTGGTTGATGTCATCATAGCCGATAATCTTTTCATGATCCCGCTCACGGCGAATGTACTTCCCGTCTTGGATCTCGTAGCCCTGGTCTCTGCAGTAGGTGTACAGCGGAGTGACGACGTTGTTGAGATAGGTGAACTCGTCAACCGGCTCCACCCGGTTCTGGCAAGCTGGGGAGTTCAGGAAGTCGTCGGCGCACTTGAAGATGAAGCAGAGAGCTTCTGGCATGAACCGGACCTGATTGGCCTCTCCCCAGCAAAGGAGGTAAAGCGCGATCTGACGGACACGGTCATGCTGGGACATGCGGTTCATCCGAGTCTTCCAGCGATACTCTGCTGCCTCCAAGCTCTGGTCACCCTCTAGCGCCTGGAGTGTCTGCTCCTCATTCCCCGGGTTCTCGGATGCCTTCTTCTTGGCGGCCTTGCGGGCTTTCCTTGTCCTCCGGTTGGCCTTTCCGAGTTTCATGTTGGCGAAACCCACTGCATCGTCGAGATCGAGATGAGCAGCAAAGTACCAACGCCGGTAGTTGGCATTTTCACCGCCAATATAATCGGCGTGGAGTGACAGAAGAGCTTGGTTCGGCGTCATACGGGAGGCACGGGAGTCCAAGAGCGTCATGAGGTGATCGAACATGTTGCGCATGCTGTCTCGCTGGAAGCCGAACTTCGCGGTGAGATCGAGAAAGATGTCTTCTATCTCCTCCTTTGATAGGGGAATCTGAGCATCAGAGGTCCACGCTGGATAAGGTTCTCGCGAACGCTGGCCGGCTGGGAGAGCGTTGCCGTACTCCATGCCGTAAATGGGTGTGGATGCACCAGACGACCTGTTACCAGCGTAGGACACTTGGGAGGAGGGAGGACGATAGCCACGACCACCGCCTTGGCCGTCGTTGTAGCCATTGTACCGCTCATCCCCGCGACCGTAGTAGTCCATGTCCGCTGCACGGGCCATGTCAGACCTCATGGTGAAGTCGCTGAAGGTCTCGGATTCCTCTTCGGAGTCGTGGCCGCGGCGGCGAGGCTTCGCGCCATTGCCGTTCTGGTTGTACTGTGGTTGCTGTCCCGCAGCTGGTCCACCTTGATCGTAGTACTGATCGTTATAGTACTCATCTTGGTACCCTTGGTTGCCCTCATAGTAGCCATCTTGCTGGTACTGGCCCTGGCCGTTGGTGTCGTAGTAACCGCTGTGTGAGCGCGTTAGCGTTGGTCATCTGCAGAAGCCACGCATTACGTACGCTTCATCGTAGTAGGCGTCGCCGCCGTGCTGTTGCGGGTATTCCTGGTTGTTGTCATAATACGCTTGATTGCCATCATGGTAGTAGGCGTCGCCGCCCTGTTGTTGGGCGTAGCTATCGTCGTGATAGCCTCCCTGAGGGTGTCCCGACATGGTGAGAGATTATTATTCGAAGTACTGAATGTGGACTGGCCGGAGTCAGCTCTCCAGTCTAAGCGTGTGACGATGCGTTGTGAAAGGGAAGTCCAGTTCAGGAACGGCGGACGACCCAAAGGCGAGTCCGAAGTTGCGCAGCGGACAAAGAAACACTCACGTCAAACAACAACCATTACTCAGGACGAGAAAGCTCGAAACAATTCCGCCGTATTAGAGAGGAACAAGATCGTCAGTGTCGTGTGTTGATGCGATTGCGAGCGAGCGGTCGTGTTGGGTGAGGTGAGCGAATGTCGAAGGTCGCCCTGAAGGAAACGAGAAGAATCAAGAGATGGAGTTCTAAGCGTTCTGGTCGAGAAGACGGAGGATGTGCCTGCTTGCACGCTGTGATGATGTTTTGACGCCGAACGAAGGATGGCCGGTAGTGCTTTCTTGTTGCTGTTGAGACGCGTGGCGGCCGCGGGTTATCTGCGACGGCTCCGCTGCTGATTGGCTCGAAGCGCCCCCTTCACTATGCCGGATGCAAGGCAACTGCACGTCCGACGATTACACTGTCTCCAACGGCTCCGTCACCTGGTGGATGTGAGAGGGCACGCTGCAGAGCGCAGGTGTGTATGTTTGGAGAACGAGTGTCGGAGAGGGAGGTTGAAAGTCTGGAAAGGGGAGCAGGAATGGGCAACAGAAGAACTTTTGAGGCCCGGGTGGCTGGCTTGTCGGGGGCCGCTTAGCGAGAGCAGCAGCAGGGAAGGCCCAGGGGCAAGAGCAGGATCCCTAGCAGCACCGACGGCGCCGCCCCTTCTGACTGGATGGCAGCAGATTTGGGTGGGTACGCTTAAGCCTCCTATTCAACGTCTCCCAGTCAAGCAAATTACGACAAGATCGCCTGCTTCGAACATCGCGCAATGGAAGCGACGTAGGGGCCGTTCGTAGTGCTTGGTCATTGCCCGCGCGACGGTAATAATGAGTGCAACGGGCAAGCTACATCGAATTGATGGCAGCTGCGACAAGCGACAACTCCTTCCCCAAGTCACAGTCTGTTTGAGAGAGCGCGCCTCTGGCTGCGAAGCACAGGAGCACAGCGCTGCGTTCAGTCCTCCGCTCTGCAGGTTGCCCATCACCATCGCGATTGGTTCATCACCAGCTGCTGATCCGGGGAACATCGCCTGTCTTCAGAATGCTATTAACAGACCTGTTAGCCAGGAGATCATCGTTTCCAGAAATCCCTTTTGCCGTCCACCTTGATGTTACAACGCCTCGGCACTGAAATGACCGCACGCGCCACACATCCGGCCCGTTGGTCTCCGCTCTCCCCAGACGATCTCGGTGGCAAAGAGGTGAACTCTGTTTCTAAATTTACTCCAAAGATAGGTGCACCCAAGTGATTCCAGTTCTGAAGGACAGAACTCTGCGCCCATTGGGTTCTCTTGTATCTGTTACGGTGCCTTTGTTGCCCTCCACGTGGTGCAGAGATGGATCTTCGCTCCTCGAACAGACTATCCATGCAGATTGCACCACGGCGCCACTGACCTAGCAACTAACCGCCAAAGCCGACCCTTGACCACGACACAGGCTGATGAGCGATAGCGAAAAGAGTCTAATAAGACTGTCGAAGCGCAAGCCACGGCGTGTGCGCAATCGCAACAGACTGCGTGGTTGCGCCGAGCTTCTGCGGCAATCCGCTGAGCAACAAAAGATGCTTGAGTCTTTGAAACACTTCTGGATACGAACAACCCCATCCACTTCGATTGCATCTTGGGTCATCTATCGCCAGAGATGCCACTGCCGCGAGGCTTGCATGCTCCACCTCGAAGCAGCACGTCACGACTGGGGCTCTTTCGTCGGCGGTCCGGCTAGATCACCACTCGTCGCCTGCAAGAAAATCTGCGGCCGCTCGGGCATCCTTGAACCCAACGAGTAAGGGCAAGTTCCCGGGAGCCTTGATATGGCAATATCCGCGGTGATAATAGGCGGGCGACTGATGATTGACCGGCGCGCATGACAGTAGCCGCCTTGTGGTCCATGTCGAAACACTAGCTCGTGCGGCTCAGCAAAAGGCGACCGGTTTCACTCCCCAACGTCGCATGTTGACAACCTGTGCGTCTCACAGCAGGATGCGACTCCAGACGCACCCATACCGATAGAGCATCACGATTGTCGCGTGGCGGTGCGCAAGACATGGCCGTTGCAATCCCAAGACCGTTGACGGCAGCTGATCTCTTGACTTTTCGCGGAGGGGTCTCTGTGGCGAATATGCAGCCGCTGTGAAATTCCGTACACACAGCGGACTGGATGAGCTAAACAATCTTAAGTTGCTGAATGTAAAGTCCTGACACACTCGAAGCGAGCTGTCAATTGCATAAGATTCGTGGGTTGACAGAATCTTGCCAACGGAAGTTATTGATCTTGATCAATACGCTTCTTCTCAGCTACCAGTTGTGGCGTCCAGGTTGCGCTCTGAATCAGAGATTGTATCACTTGAACAAGCATCAGTTCGTGCCAAAGCAGGTTCGTCGAATTGACAGCCAACAAATACATAAGACTGCGCAATAAATAGCACGGTTGGTCAGTCTCCAGCTTTCTCGTGACAAGCCCAGGAATCCTGTTCGAGCTGGTGGTCTGGATCGACCAGGAGCCGACATCCGTATTGCCACCTGCGCTTGGTTTCCATCCGCAGCTCTGCAGTGAACGACGCAGGGCAGAGCCCAGAGTGAGGATTGTTGCCAGTGAATACCTAGGCAGTTGCTGACTACATGAGCGTAATGAAAATTGCATCCCTGAGCCCCCTGTCCGTAAAGGGTCCAGAAGATTGCGCGTCAAGCTCCGGCGCTGTTTTATTGACAAAGAATGCAAAGGCGCCGCATCCCCTAGCCCTTCCTTCCGCATCTTCCGTCATTCCATTCACCACTTTCGAACCTTCCCTCTGTTCTGCACCTTCACTACTACTCTGATCATTAGCTAATACTCAGCGCCTTCCCACACTCGTTTGTGCGGTTTCGATCTCTGGTCCGACGTTGTTGTTTGGAGAACCGCAAACCTTTGGATAGACTGGTTACCCAACAACGGCTCACGGCAGCATCGTTTCTGGACAATACCGATCACAGAAGAAGTAAATTCTTCGCCTCATCATGAAGACAGGTCTTGAATTCGCCGCGACCGCAATTGCCGCCATAGGCTTCCTGGCCTCCTCGGTCACTGCGGACGTTGACCCCATCGTCATCAAGGTACGCCACATACTATGTCTATGATTTGGTCGTGATACTGACCTTTCGCTAGGGCTCCAAATTCTTCTACCAGAGCAATGGCACACAGTTCTTCATGAAGGGTGTTGCATACCAGCAGGATGTCTCAACAAACACTACAGTCACGGAGAGCGTCGAGTATAGAGATCCTCTCGCCAATGAGGCAAATTGCCGCAGAGATATTCCGTTCCTGCAGGAGCTCCAAACAAACACCATTCGTGTATACGCCATTGACCCGGCACAGAATCACGACGCCTGTATGCAGCTACTTCAAGATGCCGGCATCTACGTCGTAGCGGATCTTTCGCAGCCGGGCTTATCTATCAACCGTGACGACCCTGCCTGGAACGATGACCTATACGCGCGCTACACACAAGTGGTGGACGTGCTGGCGGACTACACCAACACACTTGGATTTTTCGCCGGCAATGAAGTCTCCAACCAGCCCAATAATACCGCTGCAAGCGCGTTTGTCAAGGCTGCGGTTCGCGACACCAAAGCCTACATTGCGCAAAAAGGCTACCGGAAGATTGGTGTTGGCTATGCGACTAATGACGATGCTATAATCCGCGAGGATATGGCTGATTACTTCAATTGCGGCAATACGGAAGAGGCCATTGACTTCTGGGGCTACAATATCTATTCGTGGTGCGGCAACTCTACATACAGGGAGTCTGGCTACGATAGGCAGACAAGCAACTTCGCTTCTTACTCAGTGCCCGTTTTCTTCGCCGAGTATGGCTGCAACCAAGTCCAGCCTCGTACTTTCACCGACGTTGAGGCTTTGTACAGCGAGCCGATGACCGACGTGTGGTCTGGTGGTATCGTCTACATGTATTTCCAGGAGGCGAATGACTACGGTAAGTGAGAAGTCGCACTCAGTTCACATCACAAGCTGACGCCTCACGTCACAGGTCTTGTAGAAATCGACGGAAACAATGTCGAAAGGAACGAGGACTTCACCTATCTTTCGAGTCAGATCGCAGCGGCTACGCCTACTGGAGTCGCCATGAACGACTACAACCCGACCAATACCGTACCTGCAAACTGCCCATCGGTGGCCCCTACTTGGGGTGCCGCGTCTTCCCCGCTGCCGCCAACCCCGAACAAGGAGCTTTGCGAATGCATGATGGATACCTTGACGTGCACAATCCGGCCTTCAACCAACGAAGACGACTTTGAGGATCTCTTCGGCACTGTCTGCGGCCTCAGCGAGCAAGCCTGTCAAGGAATCTACCACAACGGGACGACGGGCGAATACGGCGCGTACAGCATGTGCAATGCTAGGGAGCAACTGGCTTTCGCCTTCAACCAGTACTACCAGGGCCAGCGGAACAACCCAAGCGCTTGTGACTTCGGCGGTGCTGCGGCGACTCAGGCGGCTTCTTCCGCACAGGGCAACTGCGCAGCGCTGATTAGCCAGGCTGGCACTGCTGGCACAGGCTCCGTCACCTCTGTTCCTAGTGGTGCAGGTGGCTCCAGAAGCTCAACCGCTGCTGCTAGTGCTATCACTGTCCCAGCCTTCAATGTCGGTCTGCTTCAACTCGGTGCTTATATCCTTGGAGCTACCCTTACCGGCGCGGGCATGATTCTTCTATGATCTGGATTTGCCTTCGTCTTTCCTTTGTTACTTTTAGGTTACAGCGGCTCCTCTTTCTCCGCGTGTCGATGTACAGCAGACCTGGGGTTCCCTTACTTGTTAGAGGGATTCGAGCATTTGCGGCTCTGTGGAGTGAGTAGCTGCAAGACACGATGGGGGCCTATTGTTTTGATGTCTTTTACCTACTAGTGCCTTGTGTATCAAATCGGAAGGACGAGCATCCTCGAAACTGGCGCCGCCACACGTAAATCTTGCAGTAGAATCAACATGTCGTCCTTACTATCACTTGTATGAGTAGGGTCTGGAGAGCTTTCTGCCTCTATCTTCAAGTGCGGAAAGCTTCGCTCATATAGAATCTCCGGCATATTATAATAAAGAAGGTCACGTGCTCTTTCGTAACCCGTAAATCCTATGCCTCTCACTCATATACTGAAATCCGATCCAAGGATACAAATTGACCCTGTATATCTCACAAACTGCGGCACACGTGCTGATATAGACTCAGGTCGAAGCTACATAACCCTTCACCAAAATCGCTGTTGATCAAATCATCTCTTCCGAGCTTGGTTGTTGCCGTTTTCCGGGCAGCGCGACTTTTTTCTTCTGTGCCCTTGCTGTAGAAGGACAAAGGCTTTATCGACTTTCTATTCTGTCTAAGGTTTCAAGTTTTCCAAGTCTGTATGGGTTAAGCTTAATGGGTAGTCGCGATAAACGTGTGGGTGTACGTACAGAGCCCGAAGCAGCTGGATGCTCCACCTGACGGCATCTGGAGTGGACCTACTCGTGTTCTACTCGAGTCAAGAGACATGACTCGTGTGGCACAATACCATGTGGACTTTGATTCCACATTCCTGAGGGAATTGGCAAGGATGCATTGACCTGTTTTGGGTGTTGACATTCCTCAGCGGTCTCACTTGGCGTGATGCCTCTACACATCGCCTCACCTCCACGGCTTCTTCGTTCTCTTTGACCATTCAAGTTTGGCCACTGCCTTGTGGGAACACTCTTTCCTCTCGTCTCTCTTTTAGCAGCTCAGTCAGTCGTTACACTCGTCTCCTCCCGCCGTTTTGAAGCCAATTTATCCAATTCTGTAACCACAAATCGTGCCGTTTGACAAGCATGCGCCACACAATGAAGTCCATCTTCTTTCTAACGCACGCGGTTCTTGCTATGGTTTTCTTTGCCTCGTTTTCCACCAGCCAAACCGTGACCGTCACCCGGACCAGGAGCAACAGCAGCTGCTATCCGACCACACTAACACTCAGCACGACGACAGTACCAGTAACAGTAGTCGTATCGCCAACGCCATCACGAGATGCCGCCTTTAATCGTGGAGAACCATTCGTCATTAGCATTCAGGTACCTGCCGGGCCGACATTTATTCAAAAACGGCAAGAGATGCGTTCGATCTACATCATGGCGAATGGCAATACCACTACCAATGCCTCGATGGCAGCCGAATTCCGCATCCTGGACAGCAGGTTGTATGTCAACGGTATCAAGATGAGTGTTGCACCGGGTGTGCGCAGTATGCCTTTCGCTGTCGATTCCAACCCCGGAAGCATTGACACATCCTTCTCGGTGAACAGCGGCGGGCTCAGTTGGACAGACTCGGCATTCACTAATAGCACCGCTCAATTCTACAAGGTCCCGCCCGAGGAGATAGACAATGCCCTCCTCTTGGTTCAATTTATTGGTGAACCGGACCCTGAACTGGGATTGAGTCCCATCAACATGGCGGCGCAGCGACGTAGATTTTCCCCGTGGGCGCTAGAAGGCACTTCGTCTTGTGTCTTGTGGCGCTATTCATGAACATCGGACAACTGCTAACATTGTTATCTAGGAGAAGAAGCAATCCGGCAAGAATCTCTCATGTCAAGCATGGTGATGGAGCCCACACAGACCACCATCGAAGAGCCACCCTTCTCGTCCGCATGGATGGGCATATCCTCCTCAGGAGTTTGGGTGTCACCCCCTGCAAGCTCTGCTGTTCCAACTCAGTCTTGGAGTCCTGATGGCGCCTGCGGTGCAACTAACGGGGGCTTCATGTGCTCTGGTGCGCCTGATGGCGAGTGCTGCTCTCCCTACGGCTATTGGTGAATAATTCTCTCTAGCAGTTCAGGCAGTGGCTGCACTCTGACATTATCCCTGCTGATATCCTCCTAGTGGCTCTGGCGTCGGATACTGCGATACCGGCTGTCAGCCAATGTATGGTAGATGTTGGGATTCGTCGTCCTCTTCAATGGCGCCCCCGAGAGCCTCCTCTGGCCAGAGCTCCGTCTGGGCTTCTCTGTGGAGTTCGTCGACTATGCTCTCTATGAGCATCTCACCCATGACCTCGTCTAGTCGAACCAGCTCGAGAACGCAGAGTACCGGCATGGCCGCTATGACTAGCTCTCAATTACCAGGAGCGTCATCTCAAGGCGCTTCTGTTGTGTCGCCTTCCATGTCACCTGTTAGGGAAAGCACCCTATCCGCGACGCCTACCTGGGCCAGTGATGGTAGCTGCGGCCCATCTAGAGGCAACTACTCGTGTTACGGCGCACCCGATGGGGAGTGTTGTTCGCAGTATGGGTTCTGGTAAATTTTCGCTCTTGGAGACTGGTTCAGCTTTCTCGGATCTGCTAACTCGTCCGTTTGTAGTGGTAGTGGCCCGGGGTACTGCGACGCGGGCTGTCAGCCTGGTTATGGCAGCTGCGGGCTCGTCTCAATTTCTCCATCGCCCTCAGTCCTTCCAACTTCTGCGCCGGGAAGCGGGTCTTCCATGATGGGAAGGTCATCGTCGACTTCGAGGACGGGTGTAGTTCAGTCCTCAGTGATGGCAGTGCCGTCTTCTTCCATAATGGAAATGTCGTCTTCCATGATGTGGACGTCGAGTTCGTTCACAATGGGAATGTCGTCTTCCTCAACGACGAGACCGATGTCTTCCTCAATCACGACATCGACGTCTTCCTCCATTATGGGAATGTTCTCTTCTCCTATGATGAGCATGTCTTCTTCTCCTATGATGAGTATGTCTTCTTCTCTTATGATAGGCATGTCTTCTTCTTCTATGACGGGAGTGTCGTCTACGTTCTTGATGCGCTCAAGTTCTTCATCACCCACTATGGTGATGTCTGTTTCATCATCTACGTCCGGATCCAGCCGGCCTTTTACCACTACAGCAACAATAGCCACAACTACAAGAGTAACGGTAACACCTTTATCGAGCATGGTGGCGCCGCTGTCTTCTACGGCTGCAACATCCAGTCCTCGTTCGAGCGTCGCAACGTCCAGCCAGCCCCAAACGCCGGCCACCAGTGTTTCCCCGTCTCAGCAGCGGGCTACCACTACAACAACATCCTCGTCTAGGCCGGTGCAGGCAATAACGACTACAACGTCTTCTGCAAGTCAGCCCCATACAACTACTACAACCACTAGTCCAACTCAGCCTCGAACGACAATAACCACAACGACCTCGAGCCAGCCAAGGACGACCACGACAACCACAACTTCGTCAAGTCGGCTCCATACGACAACGACCACTACGACAACGACGACATCAAGCGCCAGTCCATCGTTCACAGGAGCTATAGCTACTGGTGCGGTCGCCTGTCCAGCATCGGACGGCAAGTACTATGCCTTCAATAATAACTCCCAGGTCTTCCAGATAGAGTGCGGAAAAGAACGCGGCGGTTTGAACGCACCAAACACCCCGGTCTACGTCGCCAACATGACCGCCTGCATGGAGGCTTGTCTGAACATCGCAGGGTGTGTACAAACAATCTGGGCTAACAACACTAATACCGGACCATGCTACCCCAAGTTGAACATCGGAGGTTCAGTCTCATTCAACAATAACCGATGGGGGGCCATCCTTGTCTGGGGCGGTCCAAACCCGGACAGTCCTCCCGTAGTTGTTCCAGAGCCAACACTCTCTGAAGAACCTGCTTCGAGCATGCCGGTTGTTACTACCGTTAGCGCAGTCCCGTCCGCCTGTCAGACGGGCCAGGCACCATTGCTCCGTCTTACGGCGCCTACACCCCTGGCAGGCCTCTCACCGCCCGATAATGGCAGGTATGACGATGATTATGGAACTATAGAGCTGCCATTCAAGATTCAGTGGTACGGTGAAGCCCAGAACACAGTCTATGTTGGTACCAACGGAGTAAGTTTTCTCTTCAGAAACGTGGAGACAAGACTGAGGCGATCTTGTGGTCTTCTGCGCGTCCGAGCTTGTGTACTAAACTTGCGCCGCAGTATATCACTTTGATCGACCCCACAACCCAATTCGAGGTTCGGAGCATGCCGTCTAGCTGGCTCCCCAAGTTCGCCGCCGCTCCTTTTTGGGACGACCTCTATGTTGAGGATAACACGGATCAAGGCATCTGGTACCAGATTACCCAAGACTACCTCATCATCGAATGGATCGCTCAGCGGCGGGACCCTACTGTAACCGATTATGTCCAGTTCCAGCTGGTCTACGCCCGTGCGAGACCTGGAATTGTACAGTACAGGTACTTCATCACGGGCAACGGGAACGGGAATGCTGCGTCTGTTGGCGTGCAGGGCGGTGAGTAGAGGCTGAATTCGATAGACAGAGACGCGCCTTGCTGACCCGGATTCCAGATCTTACAGGGACATCTGAATACGCTACCATTGCCGCTACCTTCTCGTACAGGCAGTCGAGGATCCTACCTTGTATCCAGGTTACGTGCGATACCAATGGGAATTCGAGCAGTCTGTGTACATCGGCACCGTTCACAGAGGTGGCTCTCTCGTAGGTCCGGAGTGGGTGAGATAGAATGAGGAAAGTGACTCTCATGGATTGTTTTGGATATGCTTGCGTTGCTACAGATGGACACCTTGTTGGAGTGCTACTTGCATGAATTTATACGAACAATGTTATTGTCCTGTACTTTGCCACCGCCGAGTTCTGGAACGTACAACAGGTTGGATTGTTGTTCTGCATGACCACGCTTGCAGCTTGTTCTTTTCCTGACAGCCTTCGAGATATAAATGGAAGTGATCCCATCCGCATCAGGATGATAACATACTCGAAACGCTGTGGTTACGCGTTCAGTCAATTTACAGTTTCAATCTAAGCAACATGGAAGTCCATTTGATGAAGTGTGCTTCATCCAGCCTATACCGAGGGCAATGAGGCTACATTTCGAATACACTGGGAAACCATATCTCTAATATTGACTCGTACAATGCCACTGATTATAGGATGGGATTTCAGAATCAGATGGTGGTGCGTCATGTCATCGCCAAGGACTTGCCGCATGTGTTTTCCAGCCACCGCGACCGCGCCCTCGGCACCAGCCACCCAACCCGCGCGCATGGCAAGAATGGGACTCGACGTCAACCACGCCGAGCGCTCGGCTCCCTCATATTCAGCATCTCTCGCCTTCTCTCTGCCCTTCGTACCTCTGATAGATTGCCAATTGCTTCCTGCAGCTATCCCGTCCCTGCGCCAGAGCCCTCTCACCGACTTGTCACAGAGCTTCCAGCCGCTCGCTTGACGCAGACTGCGTGGCACTCTCGGATTGTTTGATCACAGTGCGCCCAGGTCAGGCCACGACACATCGCCCCTCCACCTACCATTAAAAAGCTGCAATTCAGCTTAGCAGGAACCACCGGGCGGACTGGCAGAGCATCGACTGGGTGGACTGGCAATTGCATCTGCGCTTCGCCAGGCTCGCATACTGCGCGCCTCCGCATCGGGTGACTTGGCTATCCAACCGTCCCTCGAGAGCGCATATAGCTGCGTTTGCCCTCCTCCGCTTCGCTCCACCGCTTTCCGTTGCGCTCGACACTCGAATCCTGCCGTCCGTACGCTACTCCACCGGCGCATATATACCATCCCCACCCTCACATTCCACATCTCCACCCACAATGGCCCGCTCAGTCGTGTCTCGCGCCGTTGTGGTGCGCCAGCGATACGTATGGCCCGATGCACAGCTCAACATCTGGACGATCGTGATGCTCGCGACAGCGGGGACGATACTGGGCGTGTTCGCGCAGTTCATGCAGATTCAGAACCAGATGCGGTTGGGGACGCCTTGGTGTGTGAAACCCGCTTTCCAACTTTCCACTCGCTGTTGCAAAACCAGTAGTAGTACGGAACGTATGTCGATGTGACAGAAGGGTGCTGACAGGGACGGCAACAGGCTATTCCCCTACGGCGTCACCGTCGGCGCCCTCACAATCGTCTTCATCATTGTCGAGCTCATCCTAATCGTGCAACGGAAACTGATGCCTAACGTCATGATCTTGCTCTCCTTCGTGCTGCTCGTGCTCTTCATCACCGGAATCATCGCCACGGCGATACAGTTGTTTGGACCGGATGCAAACATCAACGGCCAATGCCAGCAATACGTCAACAACAACAGGCCCGTGGGGGCTAACATTCAGACGCTGGCCTGGCTGCAGCAGAAGAACATTTGTGAGCTGTGTTTGAGCAGTGAGAGGCTCAATGGATTAAGGGCTGACTGTGTGAACAGGTGATTGTTGGATGGCTGCTTTCGCCTTCTGGATCATTGGCGCCGTCTTTCTGATATGGATGATGATAATGGCCTCGCAGGTTAACCAGGACGCTTACGCCTAGTCTGACTGCTACTGCACCTATTTGTTTTTCACGCTTCGGGCATTCTCATTTCTTGATACATATTTCGGGTCACATTTATATGCCGTTGGCTTTTTCGGGCAAGCGGCATCTCCGAGCGATTGCGGGCGGCGTTTTTGGGAGCGATCCTTGTATGAGCAAAAGATGGGATACCATACGGCTGTTTGGGGCAAGATGATGCTATTACGATCAACGGAGCTGTTTGGATGCACATAGTAGGAGACAAAAGAGAATGTAGATCATCAGTTTGTTATCTTTCGGCTCGGTCTTAGGAAGTCATTCACAAGCGATCAGGCGCGGTATCCTGCATTGCTCCCTAACGCTTCAGACACGACAGTATGAGCTGCTACACAAGATATACACCAGTATCCAAGATACCGCCCACAATCGCCGTTCCTATGCAGCCCCTGTGCCCTCGTCGTCACAGCCAGCGAACGGGATTGTAAGCAGAACGCTGTATACTCTTTTCTCCAATGATTTGACTTAGCCGTTTGGCGCTCTTCATAACCTGTCGTGGAGCACATTGCACGTGGACATGGCCCATTTCCAGAAACAGTATCGCATAGTATCCGATCTATGATAGAGAACAATGTAGCTCGGCGCTGTTAAGCTTCGTGAGCCTATCTGCCGAACTATGCAACCCCCGTCGCCTCCAAAAGCTCCGCCAATGCAGAAGCGAATCGTACAATCCAATCTACGAAACCGATATGATTCGGATGCAAGCACTTAACCCCCCCTAACCCTCAACGACCCTGGTGCCCCTCGCCCTAATCTCCTTCCTCACACACTCGACCAGCTTCCTCCTCGCAGCAATCTTCGCCGCATACGCCTGCACCTCCTCCGCCGAGACGCCCTTAACGCCCTGCACAGCTCCCTTCCCACCACCGACACCATCGCCAGGCGAAGCCCCAAACTCCTCACGCGTCGGACTCGTATCCGGCGTATAGAACAGCCCATACGTCCTCCCTGTCCCCGCCTTCGCAGCCGGCGTAGGCGTCGCAGCCGCACTCTCCACATCCGCCGCAAGCCTCGCGCGGCTGCTCGTCGGCGGCGTCGAGAAGGCAGCGTCTCTGCTCCTCCGTCCGTCAAGCGTGCCGTTGCTGACAAGACTTCGGCCCAAGACCGATGATCCAAGACTGCCGCTGGGAGCGAGCCCCAGTTTCCGCATCTGGATCTCCAGGACATCGAGGTCGGCGCTCTTGCGCTGGATCATATCCGTCATCTTGGCTATTGTGTTCGTGACCGCCTCGACCGTCGGGGCGGGCCTGGCGGAGCGCGCACCGGGGAGCGAGGCTAGCTTGGTGCGCAGCAGCGTGACGCCTTCCTCCGCCTCCCGGAGGCGCTTCAGTAGCTCGGCGAAGCGCTCGCGCAGGGTCTGCTGCTGCGCCTGCTGCTCGGCGCTGAGCGGCCTTCTGCGCTGCGCAGCGACATTCTCCGGATCGCTGAGCGCGTCGACCTGTTTCCTGACATCGGTGCTGCGCTGCTTAAGGCGCACGAGGTCCTTCCCCAGCCTTGCGATCTCGGCTTTCTTGTCGCGCACATCGGTGACGCGGCCCTGGTCGAGGTGCTGCTCGAGCGCATCCTCGACGTTCATCAGGTCCTCGATCTCCACGAGACACCACTCCTCGTCTTCGTCGTCGTCGGGGTCCAGGTCCGCCCGGCTGCGGCCCTCCTCTTTGTACAGCTCCCTGTGGCCCTTGACGAAGGCCTTCATGGAGCGTGCGTTTAGACCCAAGGTGTCGAGCATGCTGTTGATGTCGCGGTAGACCTTCTCGATCTGCCCGGGGATGCCGGGCTTGCTGACGCGGCCCGCGTAGTCTTGGTGCGCGATGAAAGGCTCGAGCGTCGTGGTTGCCGGGACGTCGGAGTCGAGGACTTCGCGGATGCGCGCGTCTTCGTCGTCGCTGAGGTCTTCGGGGGTGTATTCGGGTTCTTGCGGCGGTTGAGCGAGGCGCGATGAGGGCCGCGACGCTTGGCGGGCGATAGGCTTGGCTGCCGGGACGGTGAGAGGAGGCTGGCGAGCCGGACGGAAACCTGGTGCTGAGGCTGAACGGATGGGGCTGGGCGAGCGGAGAGAGGTGTCGATATTGGGGTTCGTCGGAGGATGGAATGTGGGGCCTTTAGGGAAGCCGGCAGGGGTGTTGGAAACTGCGGCGGGGGGCCGGGCAGGTGAGTGTGGAGGACTGCGGGCTTTGGACTCCTGTGCCGGTGGGAAACTCCATGTAGTGGGTTGGGTATGGCGGATGGCAGGTGGCGGTGGCGAAGGGACTCCTTGTTCTTCCCCTTCTTCCTCCTGGTCTTCTTCTACGTCGCTTTCTGGTAATGCCTGACCTGCTTCCTCAACTTCGCCCTCCTCTAGTTCACTGTCTACACTTTCAGGTAACGGCGAGGGAGACTCGGAGCTGGGCTTCTCGACTTTGATCGGAGGACTGCCAGCGATCGGTGGAAGATCTTCTTCCTTCTGAGGCTCCTTGGCTTTGGGAAAGCCAAATAACGGCGCTGCTGGCTTTACTGGCTCCTCCGGTACTGCGAACTGGAAAAGAGGCGCCGATTGTTTCTCCGGTTCTTTGGACCTTGCTGGCCCCAGTATAGACGCCGTTTGCTGCTCCAACTCTTTCTGCCTCGCTCTGAAAAGGGACGGATCTGGAGGCATAGGGGCTTCTGGTTCTGCGACGGGTGATTGCGGCTCTGGAGACGGCGCTTTAGCTTTCGGCGTCTCAGCTAGTTTGGCTGGCGTGAGCTGGGGCGGAGGCTGAGTCGATGGCTGGCCAAACATAGATCGCGGTACAGCGTCGGGCGTAGTGGAGATATCCTGGAGCTTCGGACCTTCGTCTGTCCCTGGCTCCTTCTTGACGGGCGTCGCTGGCACTGCGGGCTTGGCACTTTCGCTGAGCGCACCGCCAAATCCGGAGCCGAAGAACGAACTGCCACTTGGGGTATCCGGTTTCGGTAGGTCGTCTTTTGCGGTACCGTCACCTTTGAAAGTCGATCCAAGCTTGAAGCCATTCGTGGCAGGGGCTGTTTGTGGCTGCTGGGCCGGACGATCTTGGGCCTGGATGCTTGGGGTCTGCTCATCCGCATCTCCCATCTCAGACTCCCGAGTTTGTGCGGGAACGGACGGCTTGCCGAAGACCGAGGTCGTGGGTTGCGATGGAGTGCCAAACGCCGACGTACCGAATATGGACTGTCCACTACCGACGGTGGAACCGCCTCCTGTGCTAGAGTCAATGGTGATCGTTGATCCAAAACTAGGTTCCGTTCGCATACCGAAGCTTGCGCCGGGTGTCGTGGTTGACGGTGTAGAAGCAAATACAGACTGACCCGGTTTCTGCGGTGTGAAGCTTGCAAAGGGGGACGCAGATGGCTTGTTGTTGTTGTTTGTAGCGCTAAAGCTAGAGAATGGAGACGCTAGTGCACCTGTATTGCCTCCGCTGAACTTAGCAAAACCAGAATCAGGTGTAGATGCAGGTGCGCTGCTGAACGGATTCGGCGCCGGCTTGACATTCTCATTGCTTTGGGGCTGTTGGACACTCGTCGTAGATGAGCCCCAAGGGGAGCTCTTCTGTCCGATGCCTCCCACCGCACCAAAGCCACCGGCGGAGGAACCAAACGGTGTTGTAGATCCAAACGCAGGTGCGGCGGGCTTGCCAAACGCCGGTGCACCGAACGCCGGTGTGCCAAACGTAGAGCCGCCCATTGGTGGCGTGGTGGTACTTGTACCTTGAGGCGCCCAGGGCGACTTGCTGCCGCCGAGTGCTGAAGCCCCTCCGAAAGCGCTGCCCGTGCTTGACGCAGGTAGGCCGGGTGAGCCAAAAGCCGGAACAGCAGGTTTGGCGAATGTGGACCCAAAAGCTGACGGCTGCTGAGTGGGCGCTGCGCTTGCGAAAGGTGTTGGCTGAGGTTGTGCTGCTGGCTGTTGACCTCCACTGGCTGCAACAAGGCCCGGATAGCCCGTTTTCTGCCGTATGGAGTCGTTGTATAGTACCCACCAGGCGCAAAGAACACCCTCGTGATTAAGTACCATAAGCGCAGGCAAAGGTGTCGGGGAGTAGTCAATCTCTTCATCGCTCGGGATAGGCCGTGGGACCTTCTCCTTGCTGGAAAGGTCCAAGGCCATGCCGATAGGTGAAGTATCTATCATTTCGTCACTGACTGGAAGCTCCGCGCGACGGTTGTCATTGGCAATGCCGGTAGTGGTGTAGGTGTTCGTGATCTTGTCCGCTGGCGCATCAGTGGTCAACGGGGTTGTTGAGCGTGTGAAGAGACCGATCTGGCCAGCAGCGGTGTTGGATACAATCAGCATGTCGTTGAGGGCGGGCGGGAAATCCCGTAAGCGTTGGATGAAGTAGTGTGGCGGTAACCGCTCCATGCCAAAAGGCGGACACGGATCGACCAACTTGAAGTAAGAGTAGTTTGTCGTTTTCGGCTCCCGATGGACAAGGTGGAATGTCGGTTCCGGTGTTTGATCCTGGGACATGGAGGAGGGATAGTGCACCACGATGAAGTCGTCGTTCGCCAGCCAGGTGATTGAAGAAACTGTAGTAGTGTCAGCTCTGCCGCACCTCTTTATATGATGGTTGTCACAGACCATGCTGATCGCCTTGAATCTGCGGAGGTCTAGGAATCTCAGCCTTTCCAGCTCCTTGGGGGTCCATCTGAAAGGCAGTGCCGTCCCCCAGGCCCGCTACAAGTTGTTTTCCTTTGTTGCTCCAGGATACGCAGCTGACGCCGGTTTTGAGCACCTCTCCGTTCGGCCCCTTCATCAGCTGTCGCGCCTTAAGATCGGCGAGCAATAATTGACCATTAGACAGAATGATCGACATGTAATGCGCGTTCTCCGGGGCAGGGTTCGGCGCAAGCGCGCGAACAGCGGTTCCATTGGTACCAATCTGGAATGACGACTCCTTGTTGCCTTGTAATAGCTTCTCGACCTCATAGATCGCAAGCCCGCCACCGCTCTCCGCGGAGATGACGAGAAAGTTCTCATCGGAGGAGAATGCCACTTGTGATATGCGCGGATTCGGTACGGTCAACTCCGGCTTGAAGGGTTTCACATTGTTCTCTGCAGGCGCATCTGCGCCAAATGCCTTCCGAACAGTTTCTGTGCCAGCTATCACGAGCGCATCCGGTCCGGCCGCGGCGACGAGTCCACGTGTTTGCGCGATGCTGAGCAGAGACGAGGTGGGTGGGGGAAGCGCATTTGTAGGCCAAGGGGTCGGTAGGAGGCGCACTTTGCTTTCGCCTGCCAGTGCCATGAAACCCAGTTGCTGTAGCCATATGTTAGCACGACTCTCTGCCAGCAGGACTTCTTGAAGTAGTTGGCAGAGGCACTAGCCATACCTCTGTCTGGATCTCCTCTAGATCAGGGCCGGCATTCCTCTGCGCAGCACCGATGCCTCCCCCAGCTCCCGCGGCATTTGCGAAGCTGAAAGCCATTTTCGCCTTGAGGTAGTCGATGCGAGGGTTGTGGGGTTGTGGAGTCGGCGGTTCTAGGGATTTGCGGGCATCGAGATGGGTGACATGGGTGACATGGGCGACTTTGGCTTCCCTAGGCAGTGAAGAGAGCGAGCGGCTATGTTGGAGCTTTGGGGGGCTTGGGCGGAACAGCTCCAAGCTTTTGCGAATTTTGGCTGCTGGACGGGGGAAGTGTGAAGCTGTTGCGGCGGACACAACAGCGTCTTGTCGGCTTCATAGCCAGACGCGCTTCCGCTGAGGCGCGAGGCTTCACCCAGAGCTTCAGCGCTTGGACGCGGGATTTGCCGTGAGAGCTTCGCTGCTGCGCGTAAGTACCCGTACCCGTAGGCTGCTGAAGCTTCGTGTATCGGTGTTGCGTGACAAGGGATAGAACAGCTTCATCGACACGGCTGTCTTCTCATCCCTCATTACATCGCCCTTTCCTTCTGCATAAGTGATCGCACTGTCCTCCTTCAGTGCAGACATCACCACTACGCCACATCCGCACTTCTACCACACACGCCGATCATCACAGCTCCCGTCTTGCCCACTACATACATCACCATGCCGGGCTTCGACTTCAGCAACCACAACCGCAATGCCGCCCTGCACGCTCAGGGCGTGCCTCTCCCCAAAGCCACCTCGACCGGCACGACCATCGTGGGCTGCCTCTACGACGGCGGCGTGGTCATCGCCGCCGACACACGAGCAACCAGCGGGCCCATAGTAGCAGACAAGGTAACCCGCAGCCCAGCCTTTCCCTACACCATAGCCATCACCTCCTGTCTTTGCTTCGCACAGGCATCAAACGGCTAACCCCAAACCCACGCAACCAGAACTGCGAGAAGCTCCACTACATCTCCCCCCAAATCTGGTGCGCCGGCGCCGGCACGGCCGCCGACACCGAATTCACCACCGCGCTCATCTCCTCGAACCTCGAGCTGCACGCCCTCTCCACCGGCCGCACGCCCCGCGTCGTGACCTGCATGACGCTGCTCAAGCAGCACCTCTTCCGGTACCAGGGCCACATCGGGGCCTACCTCGTCGTCGCCGGCGTCGATCCCACGGGCGCCCACCTCTTCACGGTCCACGCGCACGGCTCGACCGACAAGCTGCCCTACGTGACCATGGGCTCCGGCTCGCTAGCCGCCATGTCCGTCTTCGAGACGCAGTGGAAGCGGTCGCTGAGCCGAGACGACGCGGTCAAGCTGTGCGCGGACGCGATCCAGGCGGGCATCTTCAACGACTTGGGGAGCGGCAGCAACGTGGATGTGGCCGTTATTACGGCGGAGAAGACGACGCTGATGCGGAATTACATCACGCCGAATGTGCGGGAGAAGAAGCAGAGGAACTACAGGTTCGAGAGGGGCACGACGGCCGTGCTGGCCGAGAAGGTCATCAAGAGGGAGGAGATTAGTAAGTATGTCACTGTGCATGAGTTAAGCGACGAGAGCGTGGCGGGCGCGGCGGAGAAGATGGATGTGGATCTTTAGGGGGAGGTGACAGGTGGTGAGGTGGCCTGCGATGTGCTGACCGCGGTGGTTTACGAAGAGCACCTCCGGGCGGTGTTGTGATCGATAATTCAGGGCGCTATTCTGGGGGTTTCGGATTCCGGACGCTGTACTCTTACAGGCCTAGAAAGTCGGCTGCTCAATAGAAGGACATCAACTTGATTAATCATCGCCCCCATGGGAACACATCTCATCTCCGAAGCCTCTCTCACTGTGATTTTCATTCGCTGCTCGCTGTGAAGCGCGCCAATAGTCTCGACCTGTCCTCGCTATGATAGAACGTCCAGTCCAACTACGCTACGCCCAGCGCCGCAACCTCCCCCATCTCCTCCCTCCGCTCGCTTCCAAGCACATACGACGCTTTCCAGCGCATCTTAACCGCCCCGCCCTTGCCTCTCTCCACGCCCAGCAGCCGAATCGTCTGCGTGATGCCGTTGCTCTGCTGCGGCGCCAGCGAGCGGCCGGACTGAGGTTCTAGACGGAGGTTGAAGCCCTGCGCACATGTCAGCTCTCCGTAGCTCCTGCACAAGGGGAGCTCCTGGCTCAGGTTGGAGATGGGAGACAGTGTTGAGGGAAAGGAGGAGAAGGGCGAGAAAGAGGAGACCCGCCTTAGTCACAGCAACCTGAAATGTAAGCTCGGAAATTGGTTGCGCCGTGTTGTTCGATATCCGCGAGCTAATCAGTATCGCGTCGTCGCTCTGCCGCGAGACGCTGAAGACGGTCTTGATGGCGCTGTTCGTGACGGTGATGGCTTTGGGGGAGTCGGGCAGGGCCGAGGTGAAGGTCCAATCGTCGTCCGTGGGAGCTGCGGCTGTCGCTGGTGGCGGAGGTTTAGACGCGAGTGCGGGAGTGGATGTGTCGTCGCTGAAGTCGAAGAGGGCAGCGCTAGGGGAGGGCGCGGGCTTGAGGGATTGCTGGAATTGGAAGGGAGAGGCTGTGCGGGGTGTTGATGATGTGAGGGCGGCGAACGGATCGGTGGGTTTCTGTGCGGCTTGGAGGTGGGGTTGACTGGCGATTACTGGCGTGGATGTCGAAGAGCGGATTACTGGCTGTGTGGTTGCTATCGAGCCGAAGGGGTCGTAGTTCGGTTTGGATGCGGACGGCTGAGGGGGTGCTGTAGGTTGCGTGAAGATGCTGGATATGGAAGTTTGTGGCTTGGACGGAGTTGATAGTGAGGAGAGACCGTTGCTGGTTCCCAGACTTATTCCACCCCCTTGCCCGTAGCTGTCGCCTCCAAGTGACAAGCCGAGCAGGTCGTCCTCGAGGGCATTGCCCTTCAGTGCCGGCGCGCTTGGCGCTGCAGCGGATGAGCCGTCAGTAGCACCGGGAGCTAGTTCGTCAAGATCGCCAAGATCGATCAAAGACAGCTCGTTGTCCGGACCTTTCGACACTCCTGCTCCACTCGTACCCAGTGTACCCTTCGGTATCTTGTTGGCCGCCTCGATGTCCCCCTTCTTAATAAGCTTGTACCGCTCAATCGTCCGGTGTATGCTATCGTTGATCTCGAAAAGCTTCGCCACAGCCTCGGTATCGTCCGACTCCTCCTCGCACATCTTCTGGATTTTCGGCTGGGCGCTGGCCAAGGAGTTCGCAAGTTCCTCGTACACGTCTCCCTCCTTAATCTGGTCCCCTGGCTTATGACCCTGCAGCATCTCCTCCAGGAGCTTCGCCTTCTGCTGTATCTTGCCCACCTCCTCCGCAGCCTTGGCGCGGTAGTCCGTCTTGTTCCTCGTGTCGTACCCGGCCATAACCTTCATCAGCCTGTTCGCCTCTTGCAGGTCCTGCGGCCCGCCTCTCCGTATCAGCTCCTGCAGCTTCGCCGACTGCGCCGCCTTCTCCTCCTCCTCCATCTCCTCGGGCGATCTGAGGTTCTGCAAGCCATTAGCCCCCTTCCTCACCCCCACGTTGTGTTAGGCAAACCCTACATCACTCGGATTCAGCACCGCGGCATCCTCCCTCCTAACCTCCGGGAACTGATACCCCTTAAAATGCAGCAAGCGATGCATATCCCTGATAAACCCCAGATCCTCCTTGTACCGACTCGTCTGGCAAATCGTCGCCCTCCACTCCTCGATCAACTCCAGGATCCGCGTCTGCGTCCGCGTCGGGTGCATCGGCGGGCGCTCAGGAAACCGGCGCACCAACTCGTTCAGGAACTCCTTGGTCGAGATCTGCAGGTGGAACGGATACCCGCAGTTCTTGACGCAGATGTCCAGCAGCGCCAGCGCTAGTAAAGACACGTTCGGGTTGCGGTGGTTGATGTACGACACGATTGCTACGGCTGCTTCGCGCGGCGCGTTGCCCTTTTTTGCGTTGATGAGGTCGGCGATCTCGAGGTTTAGCGCGAGGTTCGGCTCGTAGTTTTCGGGGGAGACGGCGTTCACTGGGAGGAGGCATGTCAGCGAGCTGTGGGTATATAGGGGAGGCTGCTTGTATGTACTGATGTAGCGCTGCAGTGGGGTGGTTGCTGGCTCGCCGAAACCGCCGAAGCGGTCTCGGGCGGCCATGCGCGCTGATGCGGCCTCCACGGTGGGCGATCGTGTGGCGTCTTGGGGGGGAAGTGTGCTGGTTTGGGGGTTGTGGTAGCAATAAGTGTCACGGAATCTCTGCACGAGCTTGGTAGTGTCGATGTCAAGATGCAGGGCTGGGCTGGGTGGAGGGGTGGTCAAAGTGGCTTTTGCGTGGCTTGCTCGGCCCGCTGCGGGACTTTGGGCACAAGGGCGATCCGGAAATGTCGTGGCCACGCAAAAACTGTATTGAATCTATCAACACTCAACAATACTGTTATATAGACTTATTAGTATCAGAACTAATGTCATCCTCACCTTCCTATATGTAGCTGCACTCTTAAATTAATCTATATAGATTTGGGCGCGACGTCTGACTTTGAATATTAGGTAAGTTAGTATGAGGTGGGGTGCCTTCGGCCATTTTGCGTGGCCATCCTTTTTTCGGGCAAGCCTTGGCATTTGACGTCGCGCTTGAAGCATCACCGCATCACCGAACTCCTCCATACAAAAACTCGCCTTCCCTTCTATCTCTACTAAGCAACCTCATCATTGTTCAACTCCCAATCACTCCTCCAGTCAGCACTTCCAACACCCCTCCCAATGGTCCGCCACAAGAAAGACAACTTCTCCTCGCGCGGCAAACGCAACCCCGCCGCCGGCCGCCCCCCCCGTCCCGCCCGCCAGGACCGCAGCGACGAGGCCACCTCCAGCACCGATGGCACCTCGCAACCCAGCAACACGCGCACCCGGCCCTCCTTCAAAGCCGCGTGCTGGGACCTCGGCCACTGCGACGCAAAGCGGTGTTCCGGCAAGCGTCTAATGCGTCTCGGGCTGATGCGCGAACTACACGTGGGCCAAAAGTTCGCCGGCGTGGTCATCTCGCCCAAGGGCAAGAAGATGCTCTCGGCAGCCGACGCCGAGCTGCTCGAGCAGTATGGCGCCGCCGTTGTCGAGGCGAGCTGGAAGCGCATCGAGGAAGTGCCCTTTGCCCGCATCGGCGGCAAGTGCGAGCGCCTGCTGCCCTACCTCGTCGCTGCGAACCCGACCAACTACGGGCGCCCGTGGCGGCTCAACTGCGTGGAGGCGCTGGCGGCTGCCTTTGCCATTTGTGGGCATATGGACTGGGCGGAGGAGATACTGGCGACGTTTTCGTATGGGCGGGCGTTTTTGGATATTAATGCTGCGCTGTTGAGGCGGTATGCGGCGTGTAAGACGGAGGAGGAGGTCAAGAAGGCCGAGGAGGTGTGGCTGGCGAAGATTGAGAGGGAGTATGTGGAGGGGAGGGCGGAGAGGGATAACACGACCGAAGAGGACGCGTGGAAAGGGGGGAATCTGAATAGGGTGCCCATCGACGATTCTGATGAAGAGGACGAGGACGAGGACGGAGAGGGAGAGACGGAAGACAAGGACGGCGAAGCCGGTGAGGAGGATAATGAAGACGAGACGGAGGACAGAGATCCATTCGATCTGCCGGAGGAGTCCGACGACGAGGAGGAAATGGCGGAGCTGCGGAGACGTGTTCTAGCCTCTAGACCTTTTGCTAATCCCAAAGACAACGGGAAGAAAGAGCCCGAGAGGATACCGCAGACAGAACCACCGCCGGCGCCGGAGGAGGACTCGGATGCAGAGTCGGGCTCAGATATCGGCCAGGATGACGAGTTCGACAACATCATCGACGCGACTCCGGTGACAGACAGGACTGGCATTACCGCTAAGCAGCGGTTGAAGGAGCAGGACAGTAGCATGAGCGCAACGTTCTCCAGGACCGTCGTTGGCGCGCCGAAGCGGTGGTAAGAATACTCCGGGGATGGCCTAGATAGCTTATCATAGCTGATTTGCATGGACATGCATGATTCTATATCCTTGAAAGCGTCGGTGTCGCGACGTATCGTTGTGCGTGATCTATAACTTCACTCGATGTGCAGCGCCCGAGCTATGAAGCTCACCGATTATACGACATGCGAAAGGTTCCATTATCATTATTCTAAGGCCCGGTCGGGGCACCGCATGATGCTGACTCCCCCCTTTGAAGGTCCAGCAGCGAGCCCGACCGTCGTGCATCTATGTGGAATTATCAAATACCCAAAGGACTTCCCTCTGCGTTCTTCGTCTCTAGTCCCCCAAGCGCGTAATTCTGCACTGCGGACAGATGCTAAGAGAGAGCACAAAACGCCAATGCCGCCTGGCGGCCGCGCTGACAAGCTGAGTGTACCGAGAAGCACAGCAACAAACGCACTCTGGCATTCGCCCTGCGCCTGCATGCTGAGCACGATAAGGATAGAGTGGGACTCTTGCTGTCTTGTCGTCGCAAATGCCTCTATACTGCAAGAGCAAGCAGTGAGGGTATATTACAGTCAGCCACTAGCATCACTTCACCGTGTGATGATTAACGAGAAGCCATCGACCCATGCCGCAAGAGAGCCGGAGATGCCGGCGATGGCGTAGCCGCGTGGGGGTATCAGAGTGTGCCTGCGAGATGTCAGCTTCTGACCAGTCGAGGTTCGCCATGCGCTACGCATGCACTTACGCGCTGCCGCCTGTTGGGTTCCCAAACATCTCGCTCCGCCGTCCAAGGGTGGTCAAGATCTGTAGGCCATCTATCCAAAGTCCTGCTCGCAAGTGGAACCCCATCACGGTCTCCCCTTTCCGCGTGTCGAGCGGGAACTCGCTTCCGCCTGGCTTACCTCCCCTCTGGCCAAAGAGTTGGCTTGTGGAGTCCTCATAGATGAACTCAATGCCATCGAGCGCAAAGCCATGGTACACCTTGATGCTCGTCAGGAGCTTGGTTTGGATGAAGGCGCTTTCGAGAATGAGCTCCTGCGGTTTCGATCCGTCCATCTGCGAGAATCCGAGCTTGCTGCCTTTGAAGCCTGCCCGGCCGTCTGGCAGCTTTACGCGGTTGCTCTTGGAAAGAAGTGCGCTAAAGTCTTCCACTACGTGCTTGCCTTGACCGCAAGAATGGAGCTCCAGCTTCAGCTTCTTGTTGCGCTTCTCCTCTGGTAATCTCGACCGAAGGTCTGCTTCGGTGAGAGTGACTTGCCTGAGCGGGCCGCCGTTGGCACTGGGTACGGGATACTCTAGCCAGTAGTGGCACACATCGTCCCCTTCTGGGTAGAGCTCTATATATGCGATGCCTGACGCTGCAGTCACGAGGACCTGGTTGTTGCCTACCGACCAGACCTGGATGCTGTCATCCGAAGAACTAGGTGAATCGACGGGTTGGCGGAAGCATGGGTGGTAGCGGAAACGAAGACAGTCAAGCCGATGCCACGTGCACTCGTCTTCTTGCTTAAGCACGCGCTGGCCTTGCGACTTCGTCCTGGTAGAGTACGGTTCATTGATGCTGAAAGTACGATTCAGCCTGACATAGTCCCGAAGCATCACACCGGATTCTTGATGAGGACAGCCGAACAAGTGTCCGGTCTCATGCAAATGCGCACCGATGCCGATGTTGGCTGCCTCCCAATTGCTGCCCGACTCGTTGCAGTCGTTCGCTACGTGCTTTGTGTCAGTCCGTGTGCAGTCGGTGAAGGCTGGCACAACTTCCTCGATGCTGGCGGGATAGCTCTGCAGCGCGTGAGACCCAAAGATTGCAAGTTGAACAGTGCCGTCGCCACCACCCAGCGCCGCATGACCTCTCACAGTGCCGACTTGGGAGTCCCAGTGGGTGTCCAGGAACATGCAGGAAACGTAAAGCTTCTGTCCTGGCCGCGGGCGAAAGTAGTTCTTGACAGACTCCATCGCAATGCCATACAAATCGCCTTTCTTCTGCGCCTTTTCATACTGCTGCGCCAGATCAAGGTTCCGTATCTCCTCGACAGTTTTGTCGCTGCGGATGATGTGGATCTTAGCCTCGTTCCTCATCTGTCCGGATTGTGAATCGTGGTAGGTAAGCGTGCCCTGAGTCCATTCTTCTTCGTATCGGAAGCATCGCCGGCCGAAGCCATGGCGGTTCATCTGCTCTCCTGTGAACGCTTGCCACAGGTACGCAGCCATCCGGAACTTTCGCACAGCGGTGTGCAAATTGTTGCCTTCCCTCTGGATTCGGTCCGGGACAGCATCGTAGGTCTCCGGCGAATCCTTTGCTAGTATTATTGCGAGTTGCAATGGCGGTACGGATGTCAGAGGCAGATAGTTAAGTTGCAACATGGAAGAATGTCCGGAGCTGCCGCTAGACAGCTTGGTAGAGTTGAACTCGAGGCGTAGTCGATTTGGCCCAGGTTGGAGGTGGACCAAGGCTTTGAAATGGGAGTCGCATACTGGCCACTGAGTGGGTGGAAAGCTATCATGGTGGTGATAAATCGTGACGGTGCCGTCTAGCAGCTTGAGGGTTGGTTCGCCGATACGCCCGCGTATGAGCAGCACCTTCTGATTCACCTAGCAAATCGGTCAGCTTCAAAGCCCGACAAGTGTACAGTGAAGATGCGCCGGCTGGCGGACGAAGTTGACCCGCACGAGAGCGTCAACGAGAGGGCGTAAGCGCGCCGAAGCATTGAAACATCTTGTTGCCGTGTGCCTGTTATATGTTCTTCACCAGCCAGGACCTCCCCTGCCGACCGGCAGCTTGCTCAACAATATCCGGTACCTACCCAGGAGTTTTCGGAAACCGATGTTACACAGGGCGCGAATGCCGATGTGCCCGAGAAAGGTCTCTGAAGGCCGTTGGCGGTAGTCGGGGAACTTGCCGTGCCCTGCGGCAGCTTGCATCAGCATAAGACTACCTATCGTGGATAAATTCTAATCGTACGTTTATGCTGTAGCGTTTCGTACTGACCATAGGCCGAACCGGGGACGCACTGCCACTCGACTTCAGGTTGGTTTCCGAGTTCTGCGACGGTAAAGTGCTAGGCGGTGTCGTGGATCCGAGATTGGAGGTGAGCGTTGAGGAAGACTGGTTGTTGGGTGGGTATCTTCCGTTTGCGCCATTGCTGCCATTGCTCGAGCTGCTGCCGTCGGTCGAGCCGTTGGTGTCAGGCTTCTCTGCCTTGAAGCTAGATCTGCTCTTTCGGCGCAACTCTTTGAGGAAATTGGGCATCCTGGCTATCTACCAGGTATGCGGGATGGGGTGATGGTGCCGGGGTGTTGAGGATTGCTCTCGAGTCGCAAGCAAAGGTAACGAGCGCGCGCAAGGATTCGACGCGCTTGGTGCAATGAGGCTCAAACGAGTGTGTTCAAAGTGGTGGGGCAGCAAGGTGAAGCCGGTTGCTTCTTTCTCTTTTCCGAATCGGAGAAGGCAGGCTTTGGAGGGCCGAGAGAGTGGGTGTGGAAGCCGCGAAGCCAACGGTTGCGGGAAGGCGCGCCAAGCCGCCAGTATCTCTGCACTTTATCTGACCCACCAACTACCACTCTGCCCGTGTCACGCACCACTGCATCAAGAGCACCGCTAGGCCTGAGAATATGTTCAGCGCCTTTGTGATAGCAGTCCAGAAATCATCACTGCATGGGGGATGAAGTTCAATCCTCTGCCATCGACAAGTGCGACTGAAGCAATCCGGTACGGCCGCCATTCGACGACGACGATGACATGTGAGGCTGCGACTAAGCGGCGGGATGTGAGACTTGGCAGCGGAGGTGGGGCCCGAGGAAGCCCAAAGCAGTCAAGCCGAGCTAAGAATACCGTGATCCTTGCGGCTCGACTGAGATGCGCCTGCAGCAAAGCGGATGGCGCTCACGGTGGAAGAGCCCGGGCGTCCGCGCGGCCACTCGCAGGGGATCACCTCCAGGGCATTTGCTGTGCCTGAGACTAAGTGGTGTCTAGGTAGTTTCAATCGACAGAATTGCCGTCTACTAAGAGTCCGTCGCAGCCATGTGTAAGACAGCAACGACGTTGAAGGCAGATCCAGATCGTGCTTGGTTCAGGGACATGCGTGATCTCTTCCTCAACCCCAGGTTGCAAAACTCAACATCGTGGTTACATTTACGAAGCTTTACTTGCTGACTCACTATTACCGTACCGAAACATACGAGACGTACGAAACATACCGCCAGAAGCTCTGGCCACTTTCTAACTAGGACTGCCCTGCTCTGCATCGGACGATCTTAAGGCGGCAGAGCATTCCTCGTGAGACCGTGCACACGCTTTCACTCCTGGAATCATGTCACTGTCAATTCGTCCTAGTCACTTCACCGCAAGAAAGCAACACTCGACCTACTCGCAAGAATAGCATCCCACTTCAATCCCCTTGCTGCCTCTCTCTCGGACCTCTTCTCCAGCAATGCCTCCCACCGAGCCCCCTAGCCAGCCCGCAGAAGTCGCTACAAAGGTGCTGAGGAGAGCCGAGGTCTCCAAGGTGAGAACATACGCAGCTCTCTTGCTCTGGGTGTCCAGCTAATCGGACTATCTGCGAAAGGCCACTCGAATTTTGTCCTCTCGTCTAGCCTTAGCAAACGTCAAGATCAAGCATGGCTGGGAGAATCTATCTCTCGACAGCATTGAGCCCCGAGTGGAACAGGAGCTGAAGCGGAAGAGACCTGGCGGGTCAAGCACGCTTTCAGATACCTCCTCTATTACATCACAGCGATACTATGCTCCTGGCGTGCTCGACTCGTCACCTTTGGCGAAGCCAATATTCTCCGACGACCTTGGGCGGCCTGGCTCTTACAAGCGGACCAGGTTCTCCCAGCCTGCATCCAGCAATCACGCCCGCCGGAAGGTCCGGACGTCAATGGGCTCCACATCGTCGTGGAAGAGCCAGTATCATCTCCCAGCGTCTTCACCAGCCTACCATCAGCGTCATGCCAGCTACCAAGTCGCCCACGTTCCCAGCCTGTCCTTCGTCTCAGAAACGTCGACTATCCCTGACGACCCAGCCTCACCTCTGCTTTCAGAAGATGATGATACAGACCTTCCAGTTCACTCGTTTGCCGTTGGTACATCAGCCAACAGGATACATTCACCAACACCTACTCGAAGCCCTCGCACTCCACCTCCCGGTCTGGCTCGCTCAGGCCGTCTGCGTAACGATGCCTTTACCGCTGCATCTCGCAACCGACACAATGGCGAAGAGGGCGTAGATCTGCTCATGTATCTCGCTGCCTCCCCTTCGCCTGCTCAGGCAGCTAAGGTGAGTTTTGATCCGGCATCCTTCCCCTTATCAGGACTAATACTGATACCCTAATTCAGACGTCTACCCGCGTCTTCCCCCCCTCCACGCCCCCACCAAAATCCACACCTCTCCCTTCATCCATGATGACCACCCCTGGCGGCGGCATCGGTGCGCCCTTCTCTGGCTTCGGGCTTAACACACCATCTGCAAACTTCAACTTCGCCGAGTTCGTCAACATGACACCAAGTCCCGCTCAAGGAGGCGGGAGCTGGGGAAGAACACCAAGTACAGCAAGGACACCATTGGCTGCCAGGGAAGCGAGGAGAAGGCTCAACTTCGACAGCTTGCTTCCACCGAGTCCCGGTGTAGGCATGTTCGAGAGAACGAGCCCTGCCAAGGGGGCGGGGCTAGGGATGGAGCTTGGAGGGGAACTAGTGTCATGAGACGCGAAGAGCGAATGCCTACGGTATTGAGCGGACGGCATACGGCTCGTCCTATAATCAACCCCACGAAGTTCATGAGGAACGAACCACACAATTGCAATGATTGCTTAACGGCAGGCATGGCACAGCTAAACATGTTGCTCTCACCTGCGGCTCTGCTTGTCTCGCAGCCACGAGGGTATCAGCTTTCATTTTTTTTTTTTGGATAAGCCGGCGATCTTCATGCACTGCGTTTTTGTCATTCCAGGATACCACCTTCTGTTTAAAATACATAGACCGCCGACTCCGCGGGCACGCACACGCAGCGTTTACTTTGCGTACGAAAACTGTCGCATCGACAACGATGTTTTCGCAAGAAACAGTTATCAATAGCCATAACTCAAGCAACCAAGGCACACACAAACGCCACATCACAATGTCGTCAACCCGCCAACCCGTCCCATCCATCCAATCCCTACCGACACATCCGTGCTGAGACGTGCGGGCTGAGCATTGCCGAAATGACTCACCCCAAAAATCAACCCACCCAGCCATCGAATTGTTCAACCCGATCCAATAGCCCATCCGCACGGTTTCCCATGGCAAACAGCGATAACAAGAGACGTGCACAAGAACGGCATGTCTTCAATTTGCGCGCCTTGGCCCTGTTTTCCCGCCTTATCCGCCGGCGATCCGCATGGGCATTAATTCATTTGTCAACCCCACCTCGCTTTACGCGCCGGCCTTGCCGGGACGCGTCTGAGCGTGCTGACGCTAGACCCGGTGGGGAATGGCAGGCATGCACGCAATTATCCTTACGTACTTGGCGGGGCTCTTGAGTGGCTCGCTTGGGGCTCAAGACAGGGGTAGTGATGAGGTCAGATGGGATTGTGGGGGCTGTATTGTGTTGGGGCGGTGCAGTGTACGGTACTGTATTGTATTGTATTGTTAGTGCTACAAAAGGTAAATCTTCTCGTTCAAAAGAGCAGGACACCGCATTCAGATCCTTCAAGTATCTGTGCTTCCGTTCACGGGTTGCGATGGGGATGTGATCAAGGACGGTGTCGTGAGAAGCACGAACGTCCAGACTCATAGGGCCTGTGCACCTGCCTGAAGGTAGTTGTTTCCAGAGGGGAGGCGGAGAGTCGTAGTCAGAAGGACAGACGGATAGGGTTGTTGTGAAAGACTTGAGACAATGGGAAGCAGTCTCAGGGGAACGGAGTTGTCGAAAACATATGTAGTAAGTCAACGACACGTTCACCTCCGCCCTATCCAAAGTCACACCTCAAACCCCTCGACAACGCCTAACACCTCAACCCCTCCACCCTCGCAACAATCTTCCCCACAAACCCGTCTAAAGCCGCAACACCCTTAACGCCTCGTGCACTGTTGCCGCCGTGCAAACCTGGCCCACCGCCCGGCATAACAAGCACCTGCGCACCAGTCTCAATAAACTCCTTTGACCCAATGAAGCGAAACGTCACCAGGATGTCTTCGTCGCCGCTGTCGACTTCGCTGGCTGTGCTGCCGCTGGCGTCACTTGCGTCGTCTTCGAAGCCGAAGCCGCAGCTGCCGTCTGCGTCCGGGTCTGTGGGGGTTCGCTAAGAATGGGTCAGTAGTGGTTAAGGGGACTGCTGTAGGCGCTTTGCCGCGCAAGCCGGTGCTGTTGATATGGGATGTGAAATGTGGATGTGAAGCTCGAAGACAGTGACGCTGACCACCCTAGCGCGTGGAGTCTTCGGAAAGCATAGGGAGTGCGTCGGGTGCTGACTGCGCTGAGAGGATCGGCGTGTCCGTAAGTCTCGGATGCTTCCCGAACGCCAGCGGCACAGCGGCGTCAGACGCTCCGTGACTTTGAGACGTATGCTGTATGCCTCCCATCATCGCCATGGACAGCCTTTACAACGTCATGGAGATTCATCGGGTGCTAGCGTTCAAGGCGAGATGCACAGCTCAGTGGCCGTTAACAACTTCCCAGGTTCCGCCAGCGGCCATGCAGGTAACTAGCGCGGGGAGGTTAATTGTGAAGAAGCTTTTGCTTTACTTACTTTTTGTGCCTGCTCGTCTCTCCTATCGTGTGGATTTCTATCATTACTGTCCTCATCGATGGCTACACCAACAACCTTTGCTCCTGCTCGTACGCTCGCCGTGTAACACACCACAGCGGAGCCAATGCTGATCGCTCTCATGCTTTGCGCTGCGAGACCCTCAAACCTCGCTACGAACTCCAACTTCGCTTTTGGCACGGTTGAAGCAGGGCCGGCAAGGACCATACCCTTCCTTGCCCGTCCAATAGAAGGCGTTTCGATGGACCATCCGAGCGGCTGAAGACCAACAGTGCCCACCTGGCCGGCTTGCAAACTTCGGACAGGAAGGCGGAGGTTACGTATGCTGATGATACGAACACTACGATAGTCGCGGTCAGTCTGACCATTCCTCGAGCCACCCGTATGCGGGAGCGTCAGGTGGCTCTGCTTGTGTAGTGCCCCGGGAAAGGAAGCGGATGTCATGAGTTCAGCAGGCCGAAGATGCCTCTGGCTATCACCGCGGATACCGCCCGTATCGTTGCTTTCGGTGTAGAATGGCCCAAGAACTAATTCGTCTCCAACATGAAGAGTTCCGTACCGCACGTGGCCGCTTATGATGCAGCTGTGGCTTCCAGCGTCTTGTGACGGGGAGGAGACGTGCTGTTTGATATATACGTCCTCAATGTGAAACAAGACAGCCGGTGGTTTCTCTGTCTCGGTCAAATTATCCAGAGGCGCAACCGGTGGCGGTGGTATAGGTAGCTCGTGGAGGACAGCATGTAGTTTGCCAATGCCAGTACCCTTCACGGCACTAGTCAAAATGATCGGGACTGTGCCAAGCAAATCGTCTGATAGAGATCCACAAGCAGTCGTTGCGTCTCTCAAGTCAGATGCGGAGATGACTCCTAGATCAGACTCTGATACTGTGGAGCTCGTGTCAGATAGAATGACAGGTTTCTTTCCGGCAGCTTTCAGCGTCGACAGTAAGCTGGACAACGTCCGTCGCAAGCCAACTTTAGAAGCAAGATCCAACTTGGTGATGACTATGACTAGAGGCAGGTTCAGGTTCAGACAAAGATTGAGGTGAGCTCCAGACAAGTCACCGTCTGCAGTTCCGCCCCCGATTGACGCCGTCGAAGAGGGACTGTCGCTCGACTTACTTGGCCCAGGGTCACTTCCGTCTGCAGGAACACACAGCAATGTCCAATGCGGCGCCCAGCCTATAAGTCCTCGGACAGTTGTGCGGCGATAGCGTAAATGACCTGCAGAGTCGGACAAGAATGCAAGACGTCCTGAGTGAGCCGAAGTGTGTATACCCTCCCAAGAGGATACGTTGTGGGAAGCATAGTTGATAACTTCAACTTCTTCTATCTGGCCATCGCTGGTTGCAAGACTGCGATAGCCGATCAGCTCCTGGGTCACTGAACTGGTCATACCGGAAACCTGCTCGTGCATGTGTTTGAGTAAGCTGAGCCTGCTCTTCCCTTTGCCGTTGTCAAGCGTTGCAGTCGACAGGCTGCCAAGCAGGGAAGACTTCCCGGATCCGGTTTGTCCAGTCAACGATACTCGAAGTTGCTCAGTCGACTGACGGGACTCGCCTCCATCGAGAGCGCAGACTGCTGCGTCAAGTTTCTGAGCCGCTGTCAAGGGGCTTGGAGGGTGCCAATGTCCGTGGGGTTTGATGTACGCCTCTGCAACCCACAGCTTGTCCTTCCGTGGTTGACCTTCCGGATCGGCGGTGTCGAGCGGGTCGAGCCACTCGCAATCACCAATGGATTCCATTCGGAGGAGGTCCACAGTACAGCCTAGGCTTGCGGCCATCACTCGAAGATTGTTGAGCGACTCGTCCATTTCGTCGCCCGCAAGGCCCACAAGATTTCCATCGTCAGAAACACCGATCTCATAGAGGGCGCCTTTACTCTCCTCTAGGCCAGGGAACAACTCGCCTACCACAGTAGGCGCATTCAATTGCTCTGTCATTTCCGGGAGTTGCGGGATGATCAACTTGGTAGAACCTGCTTGATGAATCGGTGAAGACTCTCGCAGCCGCCACAGTAACTGGGTTGTGAGATGTTCGAAGCGGTCCTGGCGCGGTAGGTTTGAGGCGGCCAGCGGCGGTGTACTCGGGAGCAGTGGCTCAGAGTCGCTACGAAGAGTGCGAGCAGGCGGTCCCAACTTCTGCCGATAGGATCCTGAAACGTGGGTGCTTCGGCTGACTCTCGAGAAGGTTCTCCGCGGACGCAATAGGAGGTGCAGCTTGTACTCAACCGGACCCTCTTGAGGCTCAGGCTCTAAGGCGGCTGGCGCCTGCCTCGGCGTCACTGCGCGCGGCGTCGACCATGGCGATGAGACTCGCGGCGAAGCCTCGCTCCAAGAAAAGATTGACTCCATTGAATTGGAAGCTGATCTACGAGATGCAACGGATACTCAGATTAAAAATTTGCAGTGATCCCGGTCTTGCAATTCAAGAAGCCTGTCCAGGCTCTTTGAACAGATTCCTTTAGCCTTACCAAGGATATTGAGATCGTCTTGTACTGCCGTCGTTATGAGACACGAAGATAGTTCAACAGTTCGCAGACACGACGAGGATCGCTGCAGGGGTCTGGACACCCTTCAAAAATTCCACACAGAGGCAGACTTCAACTCGCAACGCGTGGAGACTAAGGATTACAAACGTGCTCTCTGCCCTTCGGCCACACTTTTGCGTGTACTCCGCTGCCCAAGCTCTTTCTGAAAACAACGTGTTGCTCAAGCGATGCACAGTTCACGAATGGAGTCCGGTAACGACCTGGTGTTGGTATGCGAATGATGTGTCCGGAAAAGCTGAGAGAGTAATCGTATCATCTTGAAGCAATTCTTGAAAGCCAACTCTCGCGCGAATAGGCGAAGAAGCACCAAAAGATACTCGTCTCTCAAAGGGACGAGGACATTGTGCCAGACAATATTTTGAAGATACCACGAAATGCTGTTGCGATGGAGAGGTGAAGCTCAGCATCATGTCGCTGGGTAAACCCAACTCCGCGTCCACGTCGACAGCAATGAGTCAGCACCTGCGGGGCGGCTCTCCTTCCGCGCAAGTCTCTCCGCGGATGCTGCTAGCATTAGATCAGGCTCCCATGGTTTACTGCCACCGTGAGCCGGCGTAGCAATGGCCCTCATCACGGTGCATACGCGGCCCCAGAGAGCAAGGCCTTGCAGAAGACACCGCCTCACCGGTTCTGATTTGGAATTTTGGCCTTGCAACGGCATCAAGCGAAACGCGAGGACGCGATGTAGCATTTCCGACTGCCCCAGTGCTTAAGCGCCGGCCAACAGACGGCTGTGCGTGGCCAAGCACCGGTCGCATGTTCGGTCGCCAGGGGGGCCGCGTTCGTTCCAACGTCTGCTTGTTGACCCGGCGCTTGCTCTTCAGATTTCATTCGAGCGATGCTGCCAAAGCCCTGACTCGTTAGTGGGTTCGCACGCTTGAGCCCGTAAGAACCTTAATCCAACGGTTGCTGCGGCTGTTTGTACTGGCGTACAGCTCAGCTCACCTGCAAGAAACACAAATACGATGCGTTGTTTCGCTTGCTTAGCCCTGAGAGAGCTTCTCAACTCGTCAATTAGACACTGACGCCGGGCTAGAGTAGTGAACGCCTTGTATGACAACCTTGGAAATGCCCGTGCAATCCGCAACTCCAACCATGCATGACCTCCAGATGTAACCCTACAGAACAGCCATCGTGAGCTCGTGCCGCTCCTTGCCGAAGCATAAACATTCCAAATGGCTCACGTACGCCTATTCGCCCTCTGACGTTCGCTGCGGCTTGCATTTCTCATGCGCCATGTGCCCGTTTCGTGCCGTTGTCCGCGTGAACTCTGCACCGCACCGGGAGCAGTACGACTTGGCTGCTGTGCCCGACTTCTCTCGCTGGTGTCGGAGGAGGTTGCTGAAAGTGGAAAACTGCCTCCCGTTGCAGCCATGCTCCCAGCACTGTGGTTTCGGGCGGGAATTAATCACCCGAACATTCCGGTCTGGTGTTGATGATGTCGCTGTCAATGCCTCTTCTGTGCTGCTCGGTATGTGATGGGGCGTGTAGTGGACCTCTGGAGCTTGAGTATAGAGTTGAGGAGATGCTGACACAGCGGTGTAGCCCAGCTGATAGCCAGTCGCCCCGTACTGGGTAGATCTTAGTGACAGTCAGCCGAGCAGAGCAAAAGTCATGTTGGAACTCGCTCGCATACCCTGCATAGCCCTGGCCGTAAGCGGCATTGCCATGACGCTGACTTGGTACACTGGGTAGTAAGGGTGGGTATGACAGACTATGTGAAGGGGGAGATGAGGTTGCTAGCGCTGTGCTATAACTCATAGGTGCTGAGCTGGCGCAGAACGAGGATGCCGACGTTTGGTAGGGACTTGTTTGGAGCGTTTGAGGACTCTGCTGATACGACTGCGTTGACGTCCCTCGGCCTGATGTCCGTCGCTCATCCAGTTCCGCATTGCTGCCTAGAAACGGAGGGGTAGTCTGAAAAGATGGCGCATAGGCGGGTAATGGGCCGCTTGGCTGCGAGAGCGAATGTTGTTGCGTAGCTGGCTGTGGATTTATCGCATATCCTAGGTGCGCATGTCAGCGCGCGATCAAAGAGGCGTGTGTGGAGACTAGCCTTACCGCTAGGATCAAGCGGAGTCCCGTAGGCATCGTAGGATCCGTATTGCGATGGCATCATGAGGCCCAGTACACTGCGCTGAGATTAGTATGGAGGCGCACCGAAGAGGATGCTCCTATCGCACCTCATGTCCTGTAGCTCAAACCGCTGATCGGATCTGATTTCAGAGTCTTCTAGATGGCTGAAGTCGACGCTCTCCGACTGCAGGACCGGCGGCGGCGATAGACGGATATTCCGTTGAAGCTCAGGTCCAGACGCAAGATGATAGCAGTAATCCTGTGCGTTTGCCGGCCCCAATAATGGGAGTCCCGCAACGGAGAACTCTGCTGAGGACTGCGGAAAGGTCAAGAGAAGAGGAAGGAAAGGAGGTCGGAGTGGTTCTGTTGCCTCTTCTTGAATGGTGTGCTCTATGCTTCGATTCAAGTCGCCAGTAGCTGGCAGAATAGCTTGACTGGTTGTACTGCTGACAGTAGCGTGCTGTGCTTGAGATGGTACGGATGCGGGACGAGGTGCTGAAGAGCGTCTTGGACGCAACGATCGACGCTCTGGAGGTTGAACCGCAAGATTCTTACGGTTTCTTAGTCTATTTCGTCGTGAGATGGAGGAGGACTTTGAGGGACGGGGTGGCATAGTAGAGTGAGAGAGTCATCGATTGAGACTTTGCTAGAGAGCGACTCTTACCCTTTCGTTTGGTCAGCTTGAAGAGTGCTGAGGCCCTTATATCAGCATTCATAGTAAGTGCAGCTATTAGGTTGTCCCGGGTATTTCTTTGGTCTTGGTCGAGATTGGAATAAACATATGTCTGCGCCTTGCGCAAGCGGACTAGCAACATCATATAAAGATATCTCAAGGTTGATGGTGAAGAAACCAACGCTATTTTCCGGTCGTGCGGCCTGTCACAGTTCTCGGTGCCTGAAGGATTTGATACCCTGTAAGTGCCATAGAGTTGGATGGCCAGCGAGCCGGCCTGTCCCTGACCGTTTCTTAGGTATGGCGCCATGGGTGGGGAGTGTCCCCTCAGTTCTTGTTTAATCGACAGCCCTCACCTTCAGATAGTGGCAGGGCCGGCGCCCGTGCCTAAGACCCCATCGGTGAGCGTTGAGCGGCAGAGCGAGTAGCTCCAGGCGCCAGAACTCCCTCCGAATAGGCATAGAGCAGCACACTCCGCCTAAAGAAAGCTTCCAGCCGCATACCGCAAGCTCACAAATGGCCGGCAGCCACGCAGACTAGCCGAGTCTTTCGTCACACCCGCAGCCCATAGCCAGCCAACCGACCCGTCGAGTCTGGAGTCTGTTGGTGGTGGCGCATCCGGTAGATCATTGCATCAGTGACCTGGAAAATCGAGAGCAGAGTAAGCCTTACCGGCGGGTGTTTCAGGTTTTGGAAAATAGACATGTTCAAGTGTCCAAAATAGTGACACCATAAGCGGGTTTAACGGCCCCAGGGAAGGATGAGACTGCGCCGCAAATGGACGGTCTACCGGCTTTGTTTGGACCGCATCGTCAAGCTGTGACTCCCGTCGTTGGAGAACCGTGCGGTTCTGCCTTCGATATGTCCATATTAAGACAATGCCCTTGGCGGTGGCTGTACGCTGCGGGAGAGCGAGGTGGTGGTGCTGGAGATGAGATCTCGCCGAACAATTCCCCCGAAAACATGCCCACGCTCTGATTACTTCATATGGCGCCGACTGCGATGCTCACGCCATTCCAATCCGCCTCATGATGGCCAACGACTACAACGACGAGGTTCAGTGCCGGTCTTCGTGCTCGGATTGAAGACATCCGGCAGCCACCTGGGCATCTTTCTAGAAGAGAAGGCGCTCACTCCGTCTAAGACCATGTTTGCCGCGCCAGGCTAGAGCAGCATGGGGAGTAGGCTAATCGGAATCGCGGAATGGTCCTCCCAGTTTCACGCCAGTGCCCACGCCGTTCGAAATCGGTTCGCGGGCTAACGCCATGCTTGGGAGATCGACTCGGCGTCTCCGTTCTGCGCCGCACGCCGACCCTGCAACCACCACACCAAGTCTTCATGTGGCTGCGAATTCGCCGTCCGTAGAGCACCCTGAGGTCGGTAAGAAAGCGAGCGGCGTCTGAGAAGCGAGCGAGACCATAAGATCACCAAGTGGTGCACTATCGTAAGATCAACGTGCTCACCAGTTCTTCACCGTTAGACAAACACCTGACAGCTTGGGGGCCGAATGCGCAGCAGGCCTGTCCATGGGTAGATTATGTGGCTTGCAGTTTAAAAGTCACAGGAACAAACGCTCATGCGCGGACGAATTGGAAAATGCACGGTTGGTGATCATTCTACCCGCACGTAACATTGCAGATGCTCCCACCCTCCGCGTGGGCGGTGTCGGCTCTGAAGCACTCACCCGCATATCACTGTGACCAGCGGTAAGTCAACCGCAGCCGCCGATCTTCCACTGCCATGGTAGACCCCGTCATTGGAAGGGACGACCCTGCTGGCAGTCGGGTCTCCAATGTCTTGCAAAACTTCTAAGAGCCCTTGCCGGAATCAGGGATTGCCAGCGAGTCACAACAGCTGCTGTATGGCGGTCAGAGGCGTCAAACCGCCAGAGCGTTGCGTCCTGTCGTCCTTCTCCTGCTGCAGTGCCCGTCTAAAGGCCGTGATGTCCGCCACCTTAGCCCTGCAGTATGGTTTGGCTAGTTCCCGGCGCGGGAGTACCAAGCAACATTGATGCATACGTGGCGCTGCAAGGTGAAAGAGTACCCGCGACAATTGTACTTAGCGTGCCTTGTATCAACCTCAGAAGCAACGAACGACATCCGCACATGAACCCAACGATTGAAGGAATTGCTAGTGCAAACTTGCTTGCGTAGAAGGCTTGAGCAAAGCAAGTCGACGGAGCGATTTAGAGCAACCTTTCAGAAGTCACGATACAATTGGTGTCGAGTTGTGCCAGCCGCTAAGTCCGGGCTGTCTCTCTATTGCAATTCAACCCATTGAGCCTACACTAAATTGCCCCACGAAAGGACAAACGCCAGTCTTTCGAGAAGCAAGATTCAAGTTGCTGCGGATTACCATGTGTGTTCCATGGAATCATGTTGACTGTCAAGAGTTCGGAATGACCGCCAGTGCCCAGACTTCCTCATAACTGTGTTTACCTTCACCAACACGAAAAGCTTTCTTCATGATGAGCCGTTGGCGAGGGGAATCTTACTCAACGCTCTTTGAAAAGTAGCCATCAAGTCAGTCGTATCCTCGAGACCAACGCTAAATCGGATTAAATGAGCTTCAATCCCAAAGGATGCAGCCTTGATTAATCAATCAGCACTTCGCTGTACACGAGCTGTCGGAGAGCGTACACGTACCCAATCAAGCTCGGTGTAGTGGGCCAGTATCGTATATGGGGAGCTCAGAGTGAAGTTCGTCCCAAGACTAGGTCCTTTCGCAGTATCCAGATTGTCGAGAAAAACGATCGCATCGGCAGGCTTGTGGAAGGTTGCTGATAGCAAGCCACCGTATCCGCCGTTCGGCGTGCGGCAGTGGTCATAGAACTCTCGACCTGGACCGTACTTCGGATAGTTGACTTGTTTTACTGAGACATTGTCAACCATCAACGATTCCTTTGTCGTTTGACCAGAACCCACCTGCTGGATGCGCACGCAGGATATCGCATATTGCTTCCGCGTTTACGTTGGTCCTTTCTATACGCGATACAAAATCCCTACTGTTGCGCTCTAGGAAGATAGCATCCTCCGGCCACAGGTTGTCCTCGTATTCCGTGGCCCATGTCTGTTTCAAAAGGTCGTAGTACCGGCTCTTTGGGTTGAGTATTGCACTTTTGTTGTCAGCCTCCGGCTTGTAAGTAAAAAGCTCTGAAGGCACCCACCTTCCACCCATAACATTACTGGCGCCGCTGAAAATCTTTGTCAAGCTGCTTACTATCACATCGGCGTAGGGCAGCACGCTGACGTTGAGAAAATTGCCGATTGTTTCGTCGACTACGACACCAAAATCGTACTTGTCTGCCAAAGCACGAATGCGTCGTAGGTCTGGAGTCCTGAGCAGAGGATTGCCGGGGAACTCGCAGAAGAACGCGAGGTACCTTTCGCCGTTCTCCAGCCGTCTCTCTAGATCGTCTAGGTCTTCGGACGATCCGTGGCCGTAAAATAGACAGCCAGGACCGAATTTTTGCAAGATCTTGAGCGTGTCGATGTAAGGAAACCCGTAACTTATGCTCTTGAGCGGACCTCGAGCGATAAGCATCGATCTATGGGTATTGAAAATCGCGCTCATCCCTGTTGAATACAGGTAGACATCATCTTCAGAGAAACCGGCGACTTCCCGTGTCCTCTTCATATCTTGGGCCATCTCCAACGCTTCTGTTAGCTCAACGTCGGCAGTCAAAGAACCTGCGATGCGCCGTCTGACCGCTAGCTTGGCGTTCGCAGCAAAGGACAGATCCAGGTTTCTTCCAAATCTCTCCTCGACGAATTGGGTAGGGTCCTGCCCCTCGGTTGTTCCGTTCGATACGCCATTCGAATTTGCATGGCCGCTTAACGAAGGCCGCCTCGCACCCAGATCAACAGACGCTTGCTTCTGGTATCGCCGGGGCCCTTTGCACATGCGTTGAATGCCCTCAGATCTAGTCCTTTCCGCCAGCAAACCATCCTCGAATGCTTTGTGACAGTACTCCGCACGCCGGCTGGAGACGCCATCGCCCGAGTGCTGCCAGAACGTCTTCGCGATTTTGAAGCTCTCTTTCGGAAACATGACCGCAGATATTTTCGGTGACACTTTGCGGACACCTTCCGCCGCTGCCTTCTCGTGATCTGGTACTAGGTCTACGACCCGAACGTAGTTTGGTCCCAGTTCCGGCGCTTGGTCATGGAGGAAAGAAACGCAGCGTGCAGCTACAGCATGAGATGGGAAAAGCATAGCTTCTTCCCCTGGCAAGCCATATTTCTCAGCCACCGCGGCGGCAAATCGAGCGATGGATTTGTGTATAAAGAACCTAAGAAGACCCTTTAATCAAACTCATGACTCATGATTGTTCACACAATTTACCTGGGATAGCCAGTCTGCATCCTGCTGACGACCCAATCTTGACCCTCCTCGTAACCCACGTTCGCCCGCCACGTTGGTAATGACACACTTACGGCCTGTACACAATGTCAATAGCTTGGCTCAGCATATGCGGGGAGCAGACGTGATCGCACATGAGCCGTCATAGGAGGAATTGACTCCCCTACATTCTCCTCTACTACGGTTAACGATACTTCCATTGTGGATGGTATGTATGCGCAGTGATCCTCCCACGGTAAGGAGGCTAGCTGACGTGCTTGGGTAATGACAGGAACTTTTCTGGTAGAGTTAAAGAATCTTAGTCTTGGACCCTGACACAGAGACCGACATCGGGGGAATTAAGCTTATCGATAATGCTGCGCCGTACAGGGGTCCCTTGTCGAGAAGTGCCATATTCTTTGAGAAATTTTGCGACATCAAAGCTTACTACGGACAGTGTCCAAAGAACTGCCCTACGATGGCGCCACCAGCACTCAAGAGAAGGAAGCTCAACCATAGCTCAAACGGAGACGACAAGAGATTAGCGCAGTCGCCTCTTGTAGATACACCCGGAACGAGCGACGCCGACAATGTACCAAGCAATGCATCGAATGCGGACATGGGCTCTGTCGCAACCTCTTCACAGGCGGACGAAGATGAAGATATGGACGAGGACGATGCGTATAACCCTGATGAGGAAGAAGGATTCGCAGAAGAGGAGGATGGTCTAGAAGACGAGGAACAGTCCGAGTCGTCCCCCGAAAAGGTAGAAAAAGCGAAGCCCAGCAATGGACATCAGCATATTCAAGGAAACAACGGCTTTCAGGGTGGAGGCTACACTGGCGAGGTTTACAAGTCAAATCTGTTCAAATTACAGGTGGACGAGCTGCTTCAGCGGGTGCGACCTAAGCACGGCAAGAAAGAGGCGTATGCTGAGGACGCCCTGCGGACACTCAAGGCTATTATTGAGCGCATACCAGATCGTGAACCTCAGGCTGTAAGTGCATTTGGCTTCGCTTGAGATGGTGGTCCGTCGTCTAACGTCTTGCAGATTACGAATGCCGAGAGATCATTGATCAAGTCTAGTAAGATTGCTATTCCTTTCTCACACCCACGACCACCGAAGGACGCACAGTATAAACTGCAATACTCCAAGCCTGCCAGTGTTAATGCTGTCGGGAGCTATCCACTGAAAATAGCGACAAGGACGGGTGAGGAACTGTGTATTGATCTGGCCGTCATCATGCCCAGCGCTATTTTCCAAGAGAAAGACTACCTCAATCACCGCTATCTCCACAAAAGAGCATATTATCTCGCATGTATCGCAGCTGGGCTTAAGGATGACAAGTCACACCGCTTCAAGTTAAGCTTTGACTACCTCAACGGAAATCATTTGCTGCCAGTTGTCTTAGTAAGGGGTAACGGAGATGGTATCAAAGGTGATTCCTCTGCGTCTCAGTTTCAGATTCGGATCATGCCTGCTATATCCGACGGCGTTTTTCGAGCAGACAAACTTCTACCAGTGAAGAATTGCGTTCGGCTCAAGCCAGGTGACGACTCGGCTTCCGTGTCAGAGGCTTCTCCAACTCCGTACTACAACGCGTCCGTAAGAAACGACTGTCTCGTTACATCGTATCTGAAACTGTTACATGGCGCGTCTGGCCACTGCGAGGCCTTCCGAGATGCGTGTATCCTTGGCCGCATCTGGTTGCGCCAACGTGGATTATCTAGTGATGTGAGCGGAGGCGGCTTCGGTAATGTTGAGTGGGCTGCAATGGTCGCGCTGCTCCTGCAAGGAAGCGGGAAAGAAGGAATGCCGATAGTCTCCACAGGCTACAGCAGCTACCAGCTGTTCAAAGCTACGCTACAGTATCTTGCCTCTAAAGATCTGTCAAAGCATCCACAGTCATTCGGAGTCAAGGCTGTGATTCTTCCGACGACCGATGGAACTCCAGTGTTCTTCGACGGCCCAAGGGGCGTTAACATACTGTACAAAATGACTCCTTGGTCGTACGGGCTCTTACGCCAGGAAGCCCGTTCCAGTATCGCTATGCTTAACGAGAACATATTCGATCAATTTGTTCCCACTTTTATACTGAGGGCAGACCCCCCGCTGTACAGATACGACCTGCTTGCTCGCATACCGGTATCATCGCTGGGTCTCCCTAGCAGTGGCGAAGACACCGACGAGGAGCTTGACAGGATCTGCCGGAAAGTGTACTCTTGCCTGTCCCATGGCTTGACAGACAGAGTCAGCATCATTTCCATCAAGAGACCTGAAGATCATGCTTGGGACTTAGGGTCGAGGAGGTCATCCCAAGTTCGCGACGGCTATCTACTGATTGGTTTCCTTGTGGATCCGGCGAATGCGAATCGTGCGGTGGACCATGGTCCGCCCGCAGCAAGCAAGAAAGAAGCTGCCTTGTACCGCCAGTTCTGGGGCGACAAAGCCGAACTGCGGCGCTTCAAGGATGGAAGTATCCTTGAAAGTGTAGTGTGGTCGAACAAGGATTCGCCGCTGTCTGTTTTTGAGCAGATTGTACAGCATGTTATGACAAGACACCTGGGGTTATCAGTTGCGGAGAATATTACCTTCATTGGCGATAGCTTTGATCACATGCTTCCTGGCGGAAGTCACGGAGTTCAACCAGGCGTCGGGCCCTTCCAACCCACTATGTCGGCATTCCGTACTCTGGAAACCGACATGAGGGCATTGGAGAATCTGCCGTTGTCGCTTCGACACGTCCAAGCGGCTGACCCTCAGCTCAGGTATGCGTCAATCGACGTACCGCTACTGAGCAGTGGGAGGCCAATGTCGCAACCAGCAGACGTTGTCATTCAATTCGAGGGCTCTGCTAGATGGCCCGACGATCTGATTGCGATTCAAAGGACTAAGATCGCCTTTTTGCTCAAGCTAGGCGAGCTGCTGGAAGAAGCCGTAGATGGGCTGTCCGCTCGTGTAGGACTCGAAAGCGAGAGCAGCAAGATTCTCAACCAGTCTTTCCTCGACGTAGTATATCCAACCGGCGCAGCATTTCGGATAAGGATTCACCATGATCGAGAACAGACGCTTATAGAGAGACGTCTCAAAGATAAGAGTCTAGATGGCGCTGCTCGTGAAGAGGCTGCGGTCACACTAGCTGCGTACAAGCGCGACTTCCTCCGCTCTTCGACACATACGCAGACTATCCAGAACCTCTCTACACGCTTCCCTATGTTCTCACCCTCGATACGCCTCGTTAAGAAATGGTTCGCCTCCCACCTCTTAGCCACCCATCTCAGCCCCGAGCTCATCGAGTTACTCGTTGCCCGCGCCTTTCTTCAGCCATATCCCTGGCAAGCACCTTCCAGCCCTACGACCGGCTTCCTCCGCACTCTGCTGTTCCTCTCTCGTTGGGACTGGCGTAACGAGCCACTCATCGTTGACCTCAGCGGCGAGATGAAGTCCGAGGAGTTCTCGGCCATCACCACTCGATTCGAGGCTTGGCGAAAGATCGATCCTGTCCTTAACCGGGTCGTGTTGTTCGTAGCCTCGAGCGAAGACCCCGAAGGCACGACCTGGACAGACAATGCCCATCCGCCTCTGGTGGTTGCGACGCGGATGACGGCATTAGCTAAGGCGGCGAGCCAGTCTGTCAAGCAGCAAGACGTCGATCTTGAGCCGGAGTCCCTCTTCGTTTCGCCATTGACCGACTACGACTTTGTGCTACGTCTCAGTCCGCAGTTCACGAAAGATGGCCAGAGGCGCAAAGACAAAGGCGGTCCGAGAGCTCAGTACAAGAACCTGCAGCTTCAAGCTGCTTCCGTGGAGGAGCGTGAGCTTGTTGGATACCAACCTGTTACGCTCTTCCTAGCGGAGCTGAGGGATGTGTATGGGCACGCGATTACCTTCTTCTATGATGAGAATGCCGGAGATGTTGTGGCTGGGCTGTGGAATCCTGGCACTGCTAGGAGGGCATGGAAGGTCAAGCTGGATTACTCTACCATGCCAGTATCCAAGAAGACAAAGACAGCAAGTGAGGAGGAGGACTCTGTTGATGTGGAGATTAACAAGGAGGGGGTATTGAGCGAGATAGCGCGCCTTGGAGGGGATCTGGTGCGGAAGATCGAAGTGAACCGGCGGTAGGGGCAACAGAGGATCCGTCCTGTGCCTTTTCTGAGCGTCAGCTCGTTGGCATACTGAAAGCGCTCTACGCAGAGTGATTCCAAAGTAGCTCCCCTGCGTATTTACATACGGCAGTACAACGTAATAACCTCACGCTACAAGTTCATGAAGCGTCTTACGTTCTTTTTGCAGTTCCTGCGACTGCTGACTTTGATGTCGAAATGATACCTTACTCATGTTTCCAATAAAGAACTCGAATCATGCAGGGTTTACGCCAAGCTTTACCCCAGATTAGCGACACGCGCTAGCGGGAGCGAACCGAACTCCGGTGCATCTAGAGCTGACAGCGACAACAACATAGCAAGAGCCACACCTCCACAACCACGATGAGATAAGACGAGAGAATATCGGCCTCCCCTCGGCGCACAATCCGCGATGAATAGCCCGTCTAAACGGCGCAAGAAGAATGACGGAACTGTCCAACCCGTGCGGAGCTTGGACTGGTTCTTCTCTAAACAGAAGGATGGTTCTAAGGGTCCAGCGGGTGTACCGAAGATCCCCAAGGACGTCAATGGAGAAGGCACTAAACTGGACAACGGCACGAGCCAAGGGTTAACGGACGAGGAGCTTGCGCGAAAGCTGCAAGACGAATGGAACCAGGAAGATGGTGAGCAGAGCAGCCGGATGGTCGAAGATCCGCCTACGCAGGATGCCGCACCGCAGGAAGATAACGGCGGTACTGAGATGACGGTCCCGGTTCCAGTATTGCGAGAAGATGTATCGTCACAAGGTCCGCCGCCCAGGGCGCAGAAGCCTTCACAGTCGGCCCTCGTCGCGAAGAGCACGCTATCGCTCCAATCTAACGCCGCGGACGAGGACACCATATCCACTTCCATACCCTTCGACGAGAGTCCGCTCACCTTCAATCCTTCGAGATACATATCCGAATTGCAGGGACACTGGGACAAAGAGAGCGGGGGCCGCGCAACATACGCGCTGCTTACCCGCTGCTTCATCTTGGTGAATGAGACACGAAGCCGGATCAAGATTGTAGATACACTCGTCAACCTGCTCCGCACAATCATAGAAGGCGATCCAGAGAGTTTGCTGCCTGCAGTCTGGCTTGCGACAAACTCCATCTCCCCGCCATATATCGATCTTGAGCTTGGGCTTGGCGGCAGCGCGATCTCGAAGGCATTGCGCAAGGTCTGCGGATTGGACGCGCAGGGGTTGAGAAAGCTGTACGACAAGTATGGCGATGCGGGAGATGTGGCGTTCGAGGCGAAAAAGCGGCAGTCGTTCACTTTGCGCAAGCCGAAGCCGTTGACAATTAGGGGCGTGTTCGATAGTCTGGTCAAGATTGCGAACAGCAAGGGTACAGGTAGTGTAGATATCAAGCAGGGTATTGTCGAGCGTCTGCTGCAGGATGCGCGTGGAGCGGAGGAGAGCAGGTATGTTGTGAGGACGTTGGTTCAGCATGTAAGTAGTGTAATCAGCCCTCTATCTAACCGTTATGCAGCAAAAACGATGTTTTCAAGGTGTTCAGGACGCAAGCTAACCTGACTTCAGCTGCGCATCGGCGCCGTCAAAACCACAATGCTCATCGGCCTAGCCCGTGCCTTCATGCTCTCGAAGCCGCCTAACGCCGACTTCCTGATCCGCTCGCAAGCCGAGCTCGCTGCACTCGACAAACCCTCCCTAGCCGATGTCTACGCGAAAAACGAAGAGATCGTCAAAGCCTGCTTCGCCCGACGTCCAAACTATAACGATCTCATACCCACACTACTCGAGATTGGCGTTTGCGACGAGCTCCTACTGCGGTGCGGCCTTGCGTTACACATACCTCTCCGGCCCATGCTGGGCAGTATCACCCGCGATCTGGGTGAGATGCTCGTCAAGCTCCAGGGCCGAGACTTCAGCTGCGAATATAAGTATGACGGGCAACGGGCACAGGTGCATTGCGACGAGCGCGGCAAAGTTACCATCTTCTCTCGCCATTTGGAAATCATGACGGACAAGTATCCCGACCTTGTGGCCTTAGTCCCACAGATCCGCGGAGAAGGCGTCAGCAGTTTCATCATGGAAGGCGAGGTTGTGGCTATTGATCGCGAGAGTGGTGAGCTCAAGGCTTTCCAGACGCTGGCCAATAGGGCTAGGAAAGATGTCGTGATTGGTAGTGTGAAGATAGACGTCTGTCTCTTTGCATTTGACCTCATGTACCTCAACGGAGAAGAGCTATTAAACAGGCCTTTTAGGGAAAGAAGAAGTCTGCTTCGGAGTCTGTTCGTGGAGAAACCGCACCACTTCACTTGGGTCAAGAGCTTAGACGCAACGTCAGCGGACAATGAGGCTGTGTCTGAGTTCTTCAAGAGCGCGACGGATATTAAGTGCGAGGGTATCATGGTCAAAGTCCTCGACAACCTCCCGAATCCAGATCTCATATCGGAAGACTCGGAGAAGACGCCCACTCCGCATCCTACACCGACCAAACCGAAGCCAGCGCCGACGAAATCCAAGTCACGGAAAAAGTCGAAGCCCGCAGATGTGGATGCTCCAGCAGAGAAGGAAAAGGAAAAAGAGAGAGGCACCCGCCGCAAAGCTCTCCTCTCCACCTATGAGCCAGACAAACGCGTTGACTCCTGGCTAAAAGTCAAGAAAGACTACAACACCTCCGCCGACACCATCGACCTAATACCAATTGGTGCCTGGCACGGCATCGGCAGGAAGTGCAACTGGTGGTCCCCAATCCTTATGGCTGTCCGGAACCCGGAGACCGGATCTCTTGAGGCGGTCACGAAGTGCATGGCTGGCTTCACCGACGCGTTCTACAAGGCCAACAAGGAGAAGTACAACGACGAAGACGAAGAGAATACGAATGTAGCAAGGAAGAGGCCGAGCTTTATTGAGTATGGTGGTACTCCGGCTGTGTGGTTTGAGCCGCAGGAGGTGTGGGAGATGGCGTTTGCGGATATTACTCTGTCGCCTACGTACACGGCTGCTATTGGGCTGGTTAGCGAGGAAAGAGGACTGAGTCTGCGGTTCCCGAGATTCCTGAAGGTGAGAGAGGATAAGAGTATTGACGAGGCGAGCACGAGCGATTTTCTTGCGGAGCTTTGGAGGAAGCAGAAGGCTAAGGCGCCACTGCAGGAGAAGGCAGGGGAGAAACTAGAGGAGGTTGAGGACGACCTTGAGTAGACCTGTTCTTATACCAAATCCACTATTCAACTATCTATGCTTTGTTTGCTATTCTGTCCCAGCAAGAGTCGTCGAATGGTGTAGACCACATCAATGAGGGAGTATACAGCTTCCTGACACGTGAGCAACCGTTAACTTACATAGGGCTGAAATAAGCTCCCGTCCCGAAGCAGCCCAGTGACGTCTCTCTGCATTGCTGCACCTCGATTCCTCCAACACCCCACCATCAAAATGCAGCACCACGCAGAGAACCACTTCCAACCTTTCAGCACGCTTCAGACACCATGGACATCATCCCGTCATCCCGCTTGACCTCCCTCACTAAAGGGGATGCCACAAAGGGGGCATCAGAGCCCCTCACCGACACCGCGAACCACTATTCCATGAAGGACAAAGTCATCGCCGTGACCGGCGGCGCCCAAGGCATCGGCCTCGCGACCGTGAAGCTCCTCCTCGCACGCGGCGCCAAAGTCTCGGTGGGAGACCTCGACGACGAGGCACTAGATGCCGCCCGGAAAGAGCTGGAGAGCAGCGCGGACAAGGACAAGATACGCGTGCAGAAGCTGAACGTCGCGTCGAAGGACGACGTCGAGGATTGGATCAGGGAGACGGTCAAGTGGGGCGGAAGTCTGAATGGCGCGGCGAATGTCGCGGGGATCAATGGGCCGGATGCGGGGAAGGTTACGCTGGCGCAGACGAGCGATGAGCACTGGAACGCTGTTGTGTCGGTCAACTTGATGGTGTGTACGGTCAGTGGGAAACGGACGCGGTATGATGGCTAATGTGGTCGCAGGGCATGTTCTACTGCGTACGGGCCGAGCTGAACAACATGCAAGGTGCGGGCAGCATTGTGTGCACCACCAGCGTGCAAGGGCTCATCGGATTCCCCATGACTGCGGCGTACTCGATCACGAAGCACGGCATTGTGGGTATGGTGAAGGCCGCGGCGAAAGAGGTGGGGGAGAAAGGCATCCGTGTCAATGCAATAGCACCGTACGTGACTCGCATAGCTGTGCATACACGACGAAGGCTGACCTGGCTACAGTGGCGCAATAGATACGCAAATGGTATCTGAGAAGGATCGGGACAACATCCAGACACCGATCAAGAGGCTGGGTAAGCCGGAGGAGTGTGCCCATCTGATAGCGTTTCTTCTGAGTGATGAAGCGAGCTTCATTACTGGTGCTACATACGCCATCGATGGAGGTTGGGCGTGTTGAGGCTACTCGACAACCAAATAGAATGTTCACATGTAAGCAAGTGTCTCATCTAAAGTTACTGAAGATCTGCGCTCACAGAATACAGTTCGGGTCATAAATTAGGGGCTTTGTAGGTGAAGGGCATCCGGCAGGATTGACAGGCCTGATTAAGCCTCGCTGTTGCACATACAGCGGGCTACAAATGTTCTCTAGGTACACTAAGACTCTGCAGAGCGGATGGTCGTCGAGGGTATCAGTCTCCTCGCCTTGTTGAAGAACGCAGATGACCTTACCAAGAATTCATCGCAGATTCACTACGACCGCATTTTTGACGTGAGGTGTTAGCATCGCGCCTTTTTGCTTCTACCGTTTGCTCATCAACTACACCAGAGCATGTGCAAATCCAAGCTTGCCGATGCTTGATTCTGAGCGCCGGCAATATCAGTATCTCTCAATCAGCCACGTTCTCCTTTTCCCCTCCTCCATATCCGCCAGCATCTTCTGCTCAACCTTCTTCATCGCTACGTAGTCCTCTATCAAGCTTTCCGCCAGGACATGCTTCAGTTCCTCGTCTTTTTCCAGAGCGTCAAGTGCTTCCTCGATGCTCTTTGGCATTCTCCGCTTAATCCCGTATTCCTTTCTCTGATCGTCAGATAGCTTGCTCGGATTGTCTGCATTCCGAGTCAGCATTTCCTGAAACAGAAAAGTCAGAGGTACACCCACGTGGACAGTCCTTAGCGCTCAACTCCGCTCCTTCACGTGCTCTTAGACCTAAAAGACCGGCTCCGATCACAGCCGCCAAGGCGAGGTATATGTTCGCCATGCCATCCATACATCTCAACTCCCACCTCCCAGGCTGTACCCTCCTCAGTGGAACCTCCCGGTTCTGCGTCCCCCACGCCACCCACGTGCCTCCAGTCCAGCTATTGTCAATCACCCTGTCGTAACTCACCGCCTCTGGAAGCGAGAACGCGCAAACAGCTTCCAGATGCCTCAACACGCCGGTCACCCAGAAAGCCATCTCCTTGGTTTCCGGCACGGCCTTTTTCTCCACGGAACTGAGGCTCACGTGCGCATGCGCAGCCGTCCCGACGCCGGGCAACGGCATCGGATGCAGTGTCGCTCGCAGACTATGCGTGTGCGCAATCTGATGGACCACCTGCCGCGCTTGTACAAGCGTGTCGATCGCCTCCAGCCCCGGCAGGGGAGGTAGCACGAACTCGTATTGGCCGGGCCCAGACTCGGCGTGGAACTGCTGCACCTCTATGCCCATGTCCGAGAGGGCTTCGGTGATCTCGGCGAGGAGAGGTAGGGCATCGTAGACTTGCTCTGGTGTAAGAGTACCCCATGCATGGTTCGTTGCCAGCGGAGTATAGCGGTCTGTGTCGGCCGAGGAGGGGTCGGTGCGGTGGAGAAACGTAACTTCGATCTCGAAGCCGATGATCAACGAGATGTTGTGTTCGCTTTTGAGCTCGTCGAGAAGGAGCTGCAGCCCCCCTCGCGGACATTCTTTGATCGCTTTGCCGTCTTCGTCGCGCCAGAAGCCCATGACGCTTGCAGATGGTAAGGGGTCTTTGGCGTGCGTCTTTCGAAGAGTGGACAGATCGGGCTCCACATACAGCTGGCCTGTAGTATTTACGGCAGGAGTTACGGTGTCGTTTTGCAGGGTTCCTGTGTTGCCGCGTGAGATCCCAATGCCGGAGCCGGACTCAACGATGTGGATGAATTCGACGATGGGAAGGATGCGGGCACGGAGGGTGCCCATGTAGTCGAGCCACTGGAGGTATATGTATTTGGTAGATGGGTTGTTCTCTATGAAGGATTCGAGGGAAGACGTGCTGTAGTCCGAAGAGGAGGGGTTGGGTTTAGGATTGTGGGTGAGCGATTGTTGGCTTGATGATACATCGGAGGAGGGAACGGTAAGAGAAAGATTGAGGTCGTAGAGCAAGTTGGAATTGGTGAAAAGAATAGCCTTCCCTAGCTCGATCGCTTGAGGTATGGTGAGGACGTCCTTCACTACATACTCGACCGCAACCTACACGAATCGGACCGGATCAGCTTATATCAATATCACTCTGCTTCGTTCTGGAGGGCGTCGGACCTCTTCAAGAACCTCACGGAACTGCTTTGTCGCTAACCAGTAGGTCTCAGGAAAGAAATGCCCATCTGTTGAGAACAGAAGCTTGCTGTAGGGAGACAGCTCGAGCGCCTGCCGTATGATGGATGCTTGGCCATCCTTGCTGAGCATGGGAAACACTTCACCTAAGTCAAGATAGACATTCATATAAACACTCGCAAGATATCCTGCCTCACGAGTGTAGGGATATGAGGAATGTAGAAGAACAAAAGGAACAAGCGGATACTGCTCAATCAGCCCTTGCATTTCGGCAGGATTCGACCGTACGAGCTTCAAGTCAGCGTCTCCCAGACCAGTGTGAAATTGGATCGGCTTGCTGAGCGAGTCGTTGTCTGCTGCTCGTATGGATATGATCTCCAGTGTCTGGAGGACGAGAAAGTCATTCAGAGCCTTCCTGCTAATGCGGTAGTTCCCTCTGTCCACGCAACGGGCTACATAGTGCCCAAACGAAGGCCCAACTTTGACCACGCATTCCTCGTAGTCCGGTTCGATATTGAGGCCAGTCCGGTAGCAGATAACTGACTTGAAACCTACCACCTCCGGATTGTGCAACGCTCTCAGGATCTCGCTTTCGAAGGCCTCTGTGAACCCGATCCAGGTACCGGCCATGTATTCCTCGGAAGCGATGTCGTCTTCTGTGGCGTTTTCTAGCATCTCCTCCAACAAGGTTTCCGCCACGGTTTCTATCCTGACAATTCGCTTGCATGAACTGGTGGTGTACTGACTATGCCAGTCGTAGGGATGCACATGCTCAGCACTCCCCAGACCATCGTCAACGAGTATAGTCTGTATACCCTCGAGGCATCTCCTATGTAATTCGTCCCGGCGGTGGTCCAGCCACTCTGTCCGCTTTTCAAGAACATGGTCCCAGTCATCATCTGCGTTACAACCGTACAGCTCCCTCAGCTGTTTGGCAGCTCGCATGTGCGATAAGGACGTGAAGGTATCCTTCAAAGCCGGCCCTTGAGCCTCCGTGGTAATGGACTCGAACGGGTACGCATCAAGCTGGCTCGGGAGCAGAAGGTTGTGTGCGTGGTTGTCGATGACGGGGCAGTTGCGGATGACCGACCTGAGGTCTTTGAGGCTGGCGCTGCGATTTGCGGTCATGGTCGATGAGTTGGTAGAATCCTACGGTATCAAGACATGCTGATGGTAGTACTTGTAGTGAATCCACCGCATTGGAATCTACTGATGTCCTCAGGCACAGCCTGCTCCCTCTTAGGTTCAGATGCTCAGTTCTGAGGAACCATCCAGCAAGCTCTCATTATGAGGTAGTAGCGGATTCAACCGGAGCCCTGTTTCAGGGACTTGGGTGCAGGTGACAGCTGTGAACCCCCAAATCCCACTCCCCACAACCCCAGCTCACTATCGATAGCGACCCCGTAACTATCTCCGCACGCCATATCGTCATCCCGCAGGGTCGACCGCAAATCGTATTGCTTCAAGAATGGGGATGTGAAACCGCAAATTCCTATGTCAAAGATGCGGCAAAAGCCACGGGAATTGCACCGCTGTGCTTCGGAAGCTTTACAGCCGCACTCGAGCATCTAAGAGGCCAATTCTCCAAAGCTATTACCCACAGCATGTGAAGGACTGGGATATACACCTCGTATGCTGACTGGAAGATACTGGGTAGGCCATTTGAGATATCACGCTAAGCAGTCTGGTGTCCTTTTCTCGTCGTCTGACGTACTGTTGACCTCAAGCATAAGCATGCCAATGTCTAAGTCTAAAAAGAGATGACTGCTCCTAGAGATTCTTGCTGCTTCTCAGTATATATCTTTCCACGATATTCTGCCTGCCTCCTAAGGAGGGTCCATACCCTTGAAAGAGAACCGTAATCCTCATCCACGTGCTATCAATTTCTCCATACACAGCCTCGCAATGCACAACATCCTCATCATCGGGGCCACCAGGGGCCTGGGTTCCAGTCTCGCCCACAAATACGCCAAAGCCGGCAAGGCCGTCCACGCAACAGCGCGCTTCACCCCACCGCAAGTGGTCGATTCACGCATTACCTGGATCTCCGACATCGACATTGCCCACGAAGACGCGGGCCGCCGCCTTGCTCGCCTCTACGCCGGCGACTCCTCCATCGACGTGGTCATCATCACGGCCGGCTACTTCGCCCTGGAAACATTCGATGAGCCCAAATTCGACGATGAGGTTCAAATGTACAAGACCTCGGCCATCGGGCCGGTGTTCATCATCCACCATCTCGTCAAGGCTGGATTGTTGGAAAGGGGCGCCAAGGTCATCCTGGTGTCCAGCGAGAGCGGCAGTATCGGGCTGAGGCATGAGAGCGAGGGCGGCGGGAACTTCGGACATCATGGCAGCAAAGCTGCCTTGAACATGGTCGGAAAGTTGCTGAGCCTTGATCTGAAGAACCAGGGAATTGCAGTAGGATTGGTGCACCCAGGCTTTATGAGAACGGATATGACCAAGAGCGTCGGATTTGACAAGTTCTACGACGAGGGTGGAGGTGAGCTGTTTGATGGGAGCTCGGTCGGCGCATGGCGGGCTGACAGATCGCAGCGGTGACGCCAAATCAAGCGGCCGACTCTCTCATCGACTTCATTGCGACTTTCGACATGTCCAAGACTGGCCAGTGTTGGGCACCCCGCGGGCCTGGGTAAGTTTTCCGTCTTCTCCAATCTGGCGTTTGATCGAATTGCTGATCGATAGCAGTGACATCGGCACGGTGGAGCACACGATGGGACCGAAGAAGGACCTGGCAACACCTTTGCAGCTTCCCTGGTAAATGTGGCCAAAGAAGACGCACGTCACGGTCAAGAGATTTCGTACTGCTATTTCGGTTCCTTTGAATGGACTCTTTAATTCTGTATTGCGGATGATACGAGGCTATGAATTGCCGAAAAGCGCTGGGCGTGGATTATGAGTGGGACTAGCGGGTTCACTGTACATGGAATATGCTAATGTATCAACACCAATTGACTAACTGCCGCTGGCCTGTCACGAAGCACGTCCTCGCCCCTTGTTGAAAGCAGAAACCTGACATTAGACTTCAGCATGAGGATGTAGGTACACGAAAGGAGTGAAGAATAGCCTTCCTCGAGTCACCACACAAACACTGGACTAGAACAAAGCTTGATTGACCTTGGAGGCCGAATCCGTCGTTCCGCCACCAGGACCGACAAGGTTGAACTTCCTTTCCTGCCGAATGGGAGGAGCTCGAGTCAAATAGCGGCTATCAAAGTAGGAGAGTAGGACAGTTTTCTCATAGCAAATCGAATGCTGCACATGGGGGGTCAGGGAACGCGAAGCGAGCATGTGTTCGCTGCGACAGATTGAACGCAGATGGGCTTCATTTGGAGTATCAAACTTTGGGAGGAGGTCCTCAACCCCAAACCGCTCAACCAACCATCTCTATCCATGCGATGCTGATGAAACCAAACCATCTCCATGATAGCTACGCTGCGGCCGCAAAGCAAAGATTGTCAACAGAAATCTACGAATGTGCCGCAGGCTGCGCAGCACCCGGATACGCCTCCCCGCTCCTCCTGCCCTCAGCGCTTACTCTGCCCGGTACGACTCCAGCGGGTACGTCTCCAGCCGGCGCACCTCCAGCCGGCAGACCTTCAGACACGCCCTCGGTTCCACTCAGCGTGGGCTGATCCTCGATCGCATCATCCTTCCTGGCCCACTTGGGCGGCTTAGTCCACTGCGGATCCTGCCAGGGGCCCTCGTCGCTAAGCTGGCAGCCGCCAGGGCACTGGCACGAGCCTCCAAACTGCTTGGGCAAATTTTCCTTCGGGACTTGCGCCAACAACTCTTTCTCATACCCGCTCCCCAAAACGTGAATCTTCTGCACCGTAACCGGATCCAAGAAGCGCTTCACGACACTGAAGACGCCGCTGAAGCCCCACGGCGCGTTGATGATGTACAGCTTGCCTAGCCGCTCGGGGTAGTAGTTCTGGGAGATGGCGGAGACCTGCCCCACGAAGCTGTACACGGAGGAGGCCTTGGAGATGCCCACGCCTTTGAGGTCCATGATCGTGCAGCAGGTTTCGAGGAGGTGGCCGGATTTGCGTGACGTCGCGGGCAGGCGCGGGTCCGCGAGCTTCTCGTACTCGCACACCAGGTTCTGGAGCATGCGCTCCTGCGTCGTGATCTTGTACATCATGTTCAGATCGATTTTGCCGAGTTGCTCTATGTAGACTGGGCGGCCGTCCTGTGGGGGTTGTTAGGAACGGGGTAGGAGTGAGAGAGTTGGGGAGGGAAGGAGGCGTGCCTTGTCCGTCTTGTGGTAGTATTGCGTGTAGTATTCCAACACCTTGGGTTTCTCGGTGTACTCGAATGTCTGCACGAGGCGGTCTACACCGCCGCCGAACTCCTTTCTCCACTTCTCGCAGTCGGTGAACCTAAGCGCTGCTGGTTAGGCGTGACGTGCGGACAATCCATGCGTAAGGGACGTACATTTGCTTCGCAAGCTCCACGTTGAATTTCCGCGCGCGCAGGAACCGCAGCTGTGATGCCCCTCAATCAGTCGCATTTTCCTCCGTAAACATTGGATCCCAAGCGCACCATGGTCAATGTATCAAGGTTCTTGGTATACCCCGCCTGCTCCAGCATCATTCGTAGCTGGTGCACCGCCGCATCTTGCTCGGGGGTAGTATGGCCAGGGTGACCGCTTTGTGGTGTGGGGCTCGTGGTAGGGAAATCGTAGTCGTCGTATTTGGGGTCGAGCTGCATAGTTGGGTTTCCCGAGGCCATTTCTATGTGGCTGCTCTGTCTGTTCTAGACGATAGGTGAACAGTTAATATAGGCGGTGTGGTGGGAGGAAAGCAATGTGGGGGTTTTGCACCTGCAGCTGTGTCGGAGATGGAAGCGGTCGGGTTGACGTTCAGGGTCCACCAAGTTTGGGCACGTGGAGCAACGCTTTGATGTCCGGTTGACGGGCGCCTGTGGGGTTGTTTGATTCTCACCGCCATGAGCCATGAGCGTAATGTCGATTGCGTTGTAGATTGACATGAGTGAGCAAGACGCTTGATGTGCTTCATACTAGCAGCACACTTGCGTAATTTCGCCTATAAACCATAGTGGAGACGCTCAACAAACGCCTATCCTCTAAATAAACAGAATCCCATCCCAACTGCGACAAGGAACGCACCGCGCTGTAGCTGACTTTTGACGTGACCTTATGAAAGGACTTCGCTGTTGTTGTGACCAGGCCAGTGAAACGGAAAAGAAACATGGGAAACCGGTCTACCAAGATGGTCAACTCCAAATGAACCAGCAAGAACGCGAATTCATCCTCCTGACGATTAGTATACTAGCGGAGCGGTGTTGGAGGTTGTTCTTAGGTGATGCAGCCTGACAAGCGGATAGCGACTTTTTTCACCGCTCGCTCCTAATATCTTTGCTTCTCGAGCTCACACTCGGCCTCCTCATTCCTGGTTCCGTGCTCTCACTCCTCGAGCTCTCCGTACTCCGTCTGAAGCTCGCGCTACTGCTTCTCCTCCTCTGCCGCCTGGTTTCATCCGGATCATGCGGAGTGAGACCGCTGGCTCTCGCGAAGAGATTTAGTATATCCGTCAGGCTGACGACGCCTGAAAGACGGCCTGACATGCTTGCGCCTGGTATCGCAGACGCTGAAATCGACGGCGAAGGGTTGGCGGTGTAAGGCGGCATCGCCGTAGGTGGCAAGGAGGAGATCGGGGGTGGCGGCACGAAGACCGCGGGTGTGGCCGAAGGAGTCGGTGGACCTGAGGAGCCCGGAGAGGGAGCATCGACTACCCACATGCTGTAGACAGGAAGTGTCAGTGAGATTCTGCGTATGTTGAGTAGATATGGCTTACCGGTGGGATCTCGTGGCCACAAGCTTGGCAACGGTGTGTGCGAGAGTGGAAAAGGGATTGACGTGGAAGACGGGAAAAGAGTCTTTGCCGTCATTCATACCGCGCTCGGAGAGAATGACGGAGATGAAATGGATGCAGGAGGAGCGTAGGAGAGGTAGAGAAGTCGTCTTCGTGAGGAGCTGTATAGTCTTAGTTAGCTGCGGCAGGGCAACTGGGTGTCAGAGTTTCGCAACTTACCCGAACATCGACATTCGAGATGTTGCCAACAACATTGTTAGAATTGTCTAGGACTGGTAATGACGTGACGCCTTCATGGTTCATGAGTTCGAGAGCGTCTGATAAAGGTCGGTCGCCGCTGAAAGCTTCCGTCAGCCAGGTTCTAGCATTTTTCACAACTGTGGATGGCTTACTTGATAGCAATGACAGTCTTTGAGCCAATGTTCAAATCTTTAAGGCATTGCTGGTAAAGCCGTTCGAGCGCGGGAAAGGTACTGCGGTTCTCCCAGAAGAACCTGACTAGCCGGAGCTGCGTCAGGATACCCACCACGTCCGAAGTACCTTCCTTGACCACAATGACCCGATGTATCCCACTGCCGAAGACTTCCACCGCCCTTGTCAGGTCAGCTGTATCTGGAAGCGTTACAAGAGGCCCTTTCCTTCCCAAGTCCTTGACGTCCTTGAGAGGTATCGGCTTTCCTGCTCGTCCTCTGCGTGCGAGCTCATTGAAAGATGCTGTATGCTCTTCATCAGGGTGAGCCAAGCCCACTACGAGCAGGAGATATGCGTTGAGATCGTTGTAGTCAAAAGTGCCAACAGCAGCGCGTGATTGCTCGTTTTCGCGTAGAAGCACTACATTTGGTGCGCCGTAAGATATCAACCGCTGCGTAGCCGTTAGCTTTACGAGCTTCGAGAGCCTCTAAGTCCACCGGCAGCAGCTCACGTTTGTGGCTTCTTCTACGCTTGTTTCCATCTCCACGAACCTCACATCTTCCTGGCTGATGATCTCGCCAATCTGCACTGATCTCCAATCTCTTCCAGCAAGCTCCGGAGTGCCGTTTCTTGCGACAGGTGGATCATTCAACAGTTCTTGAAGGGCCTGCTGGTTGAGCGAGGGTTGTCGTTGGGCGCGAGGGGAACCAGGGACACCGCGAAGGTTTTCGGCGAAGCTCTGGCGGTGGCCCATAGAAGGACTGCGAGGTATTTGGATGTTGCCATTCAACGGGGGTGATCGAGGCGTAGAGTTGGCCATTGGTGCCAGCGTCAGTGAATTCCTCCTCGGTGTCGATCCAGTGCCTTGGGAGATAGGGCGGTCCGCCATGGCCGCTCAGGCTACTGTCGGGTTTGAGGTTAGCGCAAGGATGCCAGTAGCTATTGTGTTGCTATGCGGGTCTGGAAGCTTCGAAAGCTGCTATGTATGTGGCCGTGGGTACGCAGAAATAAGTTGAATGAAGCTCCTGACGCGGAGATCACAACGCTCCCCGCGCATGATGCTGATATGCCTAATTGGTGGGGGGCGCGAATCACATGACTCCCTGTTTTCGAATCACGCGCGGCGCGTCGAAGGGCCATACAAACAGTCCTTTGCCGCATTGAGAGCTACTCATAGCTCTAGAAGTAGATAACCCTCAATCACCGTCCACAGACTAAAGACCCCTTGGGTGATCGATGCATTAAAGAGATTGACTGCTGAACATCTTTTGATCTCCTTTGTATGGAACCGATCTAGCTGCTCTGCGGCTGACAAGATTACGAGTCTAGTTTCATCATGAATCCGGTATTGAACAAGCAGCAGAAAAGAAACGCCAACGAGTTTTCAGATAGCTCTTGGTCCATGGGAAGCTTACCCCTCATGCGACCACTCATCAGCCGCTTCGTCTACCTACCTCAGCATCAATCCTTCAATCGACGCTTCAATTTTACGAGTCAACAGTCATAGCCGCCCCTCCGGCCAAATGAAAGAGGGTAGAAGAATCCGCCTCGGAAGGATCTACCTTGGAGGGATGTACTTCGATGAAGCTCTATCTAAAGTCATAGAGGCCTATGGTCTCGTGTGGAAGGTTGTCAATTGTTTCGACGAGGATACCTTCCGTAGCTTGCTGCTCAGACAGCAATCGCATCTCCCATCGTTCGAAAGAAGGTCAACGGCAAACTCAACGAGTTGCGGGCTGAAGAATTGGAGAGAATCGTTGACTTCGATCCCAACTGCATGCGCGTTTGGAGGGAGCTCAATGTCCACCATCGTGGAAAGACTAAGAGCCAGCAGCGCGACAGCGCTGATGATGCATACGAGCTTATCGAAAAGGGAGTTCTGGTAACCGAAGACACAGCCCATCCGGCAACCTCCTTTGGGACGAGGAAGCAGGTCTTGGAAACCCTACTGAGAACCTGGGAGTTGCGAAAGGGAACGCAAGGCGCGCACGAAGGGATTATTCAAGCGGTTGGAAAAGTTGTCAGAACAATCATGAGACATTTACAAAAGGCGGTATAGCAGCTCGGGAGATTATTGGGCATGGGAGTACGGCTTGATCGAAATAGTAATCTGTCACGCTCCCTAAGACTACCCAAATCTTACGCTGCCTTTGTTACCTGACTTTTGAGGCCAGCGTCGCGCTCTGTAACCCTTCCCTTACGTTATCGCGTAATCTTCATTGAACATACCTATGAGCAGCCCTTTGATTTTGCTCATGTATCTAGTCAGATCACATGATCGCGTAGTGGCGCAACGCGAGACGCGTCTCACTAGATCTGGGGCTGAAGCTGTAGAGTAAACAACCATCACACTTCTCACTTGTTACCCAAATCACGTTCAGACAGCCCGTAGGCCTAATCAATCATGTCTGCTCCTCCAGCCAAACGGCAAAGGGTCAGTAGCTTCGACGCACCGCACGCAATCATCCCCCAATTCGATCCAGTAAAAGCTATCAACGCCCTCAGCGAAGGCACTGTTCGCCGAATCCTACTTGACGCAGCACACACGCATGCTTCTGTTCTACTCAGAATCGACGCTGCATACAACGCACTGGTGGCCCGGGAGCAAGCTAGGGTGATTGACTTCGATCATTTCAGTAAGAGTGTTTGGAAGGAGCTGAATAACGATCACCGTCACGAAAACGGATCCAGACAGTACAATAGCGCCGGTCCCGCATATCACTACGTGGTCAGCGTGATCGATACGATTCGAACGGAAGCAGGGCCGGAAAGCTCGCTCGGAACCAGAATCAGTGCTCTGGAGACGCTGCGGAAAATTGGGAAGAGCATTGCGCTGTCTGGAACGGATGTGCTGGGCCACGAAGTGATCAAGTCTTTCCAGCAAACAGACTGTTTTGAAGAGACCATGCGGGACATACTCGAAGTAGCAAATGAAGAGGAGATCGTTGCTGCCATGTCAGACGAGTTCATCGACAAACTCGAAGAGCTTGTTGGGCTTGGCGAGGGCCAGTGTATTTTTGAAGGTCTCCCTGAAGTCCTTGAGCTCTTCAGAAACCCCGAAGATACCCAGAGTGAGTCTAGCAGTGACGGAATCTTGGAGGTCTACGACAACAACGAGGACGGGAAAGACGAGAGTGTGAATGCACCCACGAGTAACATGGGTAATAATGTGGCCGGTCAGGGAGTTGTCGCCGGGATTACTGCTTGAGCAACGTGGGATCGATCTCTTACTTCATGTGCCTCTTAACCTATATACAGCTGGCCGCCCTAGGCTTTGATATCTTGCTGAACCTATGAACCCATTCGGGCATCGTGCCGTTTTACTCTTTCTTTCTCAATTGTATTGATAGCTTTCTTGTTCTGATTCTTAGTGTATATCGAACGCTCTGGGTCTGGGAGTCTTGCCCTCCCACAAATCAGCCATGACTTCCCCATCCATGATTTCGTGGACGTATGCCTCGCCAATCAGCACGAACTGGACTTGGCGAACTCGCTACTCAAGGTTGTCCTGGTTGTTGCAAATCGCATCAACCCATAAGATCGATGGGAAGTGGTCCTCCCGTGTGTGCCGTAATGCTGGATCTAGGTTGGTAGTGACTTGCATCTCCATGCATTAACGGTGATGGGTGTTGTGACATTTGGTCTCCCGAAACATAGGAAAGGTCCCCGTATTCTAGCTTGTCCAACAGGAAATCTTTGACCAGAGTGCACTCAGTTGGTACTGTAAATCTCCATGACGGACGAACGGTAAGAATCCTAACCTCAACATTTTCGTAGTTGAGCTCCTCGTATGACTTGTGTCGACCTTGTGTCAATCGAGACATGGTGAAGCCGCAGAGGGAGCCGAACTCCAGATGGAAAGGATATGACAAGCAAAGAGAGACGCGGCTTTAGTCGAGTTTGAGCGAAGGGTGAATGTCTGCAAGACTGGGAGTTAGAGATTGCGAGGTGAGATGCTGATGCGAGGATTTAGGGAAGTGTCACGCAAGGCTTCCTGCTGGCCGTGTGCAACCTTAAATGCTCCCGCACGCCAGCCATCGGCTGCATCTAGGGGCTGTGCAGGTGGTATAACTCATAAGGATAGCATGTTATCATAGCTTAGCTCGTACAAGCGCTTCCAACGCGAAGTGCAACAGTAAGTACTTACAGAAGAACCTGAAACCTCCCAGCCTCTTCGAACAGCGACCAATGATCCATGCCTGGCCAGACTGTACACCCGTTTGCCAACCTACCGTTATCCAATACACCCAAGCGTCATCACCTCAAATGTCCAACATACTCCTAATCCTCTGCGGTTGCGCAGTCTCCGTCAACGTGTTCCCCGTCATCCCCGTCGCGCCCGTCGCGCCCGTCATCGTGCTACCAGCATCACTCTCCGTCCTGCCTACCGAAGGTCTCCTCTCGCTCGCCGTCGGGCTTGGATCCGCGAACGGGTTATCCGACGGCCTCGTCCTCGAGCGATTCCTCACGACATTCATATTGCCCAACTCCACATTGGCGCGAATATTCCGACCAGTCGGCCTCCCGCCCCCGACCTCCGTCGTCATGGCCCTGAGCCTAGCCTCCGGATCCATGAAGTTGCCGCCATTCATCTTGCGCCACCAGCTCGGCTTCTTGACGATGCCGAGCTCGGAGTCGATGGAGCGGCCGCGCTCGCGCCGTTTAGCGATGAGCTGCTTGTCTTCGTTCTCCTCGATGTAGCCGTAGATGATTAGGACGATCATGATCAGCAGGGTCGGCGCGTAGCCGAGCGCAAAGGGCCAGACTGGGTCGACGTCGTATTTGAGGAGGCTGATGCGCCAGATCCAGGCGGATGCGATGGAGTAGGCGAGGCGGATTGCAAGGATGAGGTTGATGAGGAAGAGTTTTGTCGGGCAGTGGTGGCAGAAGTTGTTGAACTTGTTCCAGAGACCGGTCGCTTGCGGCTTGTAGTAGTGAAGGGAGTGGCGGAGCGAGTATAGTATTACGAACCAGGCTAGGACGCCTATGATGGCTCCGGCTTTGAACCGAGCATCCGTAGCTGATGTCTCGGCGAAGTGAGCCTGCTGCCACGCTGATCTTTGGCGCTCGATGTTTGTCCACGACCGCGGGATGGTCATGAAGAAGTTCTTCCTTTATTAGCTAGAGTCAAAATCCTATGAAGGAGCAACGAACCATCCAAGCGAATAGATAGAAGACCAGCGGCAGATAGAATTCGATTTTGCTACGTTTGTCATCCTGGGGTAGCCGGTATGGGTCGATATCGCAAATCTGACGCTCTTGCCAGGAGCCCCTAGGGGTAGTTAGCACATCTGCAGTCGGCCATAGATTGGAGGATCTCTACCAGTGCCGCGTGGCTTCCCAGACCATAGCGAGGGTGCCGGGGAACATGAGAGAATAGAAGAAGCTCTGCAGGATGATAGCGGTGCTCTGCAGGTAATTACGCTCAATGTCAATGCCCGTGATGGTGCTGATCATCGCACAACCCGCCACAAACAACATCCAATACCACTGCCACCGCCTGCCGATGATTCGGAATCTCTTATCTTCTCGAAGATACATCTTCCCGTGTTTGCGGAGGTTGATCAAAGTGAACATTACGGTGGCGGTGAAGAGAGCCGCGAAGGTGATGCCAACTTTTCCGCGCGTGCCGATGCCGTTTATCGGTACATAGCATGTCGTCGCGTTGATCCAGCTGCCGTTGCTGAGGAAGTGTGGCTGGTATTTTTCGAATATGATGAAGCATCTCGAGTTGTTTGAAATGGTGTTGTTGCTGTAGAGGGTGTAGTTCCAGTGTTCGAGTGCTGTGGTATTGAAGTGCACGCCATTGATAATCGTATCCGTTGAGTTGTCGCCGTTGCCAGGGAACGGCAGGAGTTCCCGTACATTTAAAAGCCCCATCGCTGCTGGACGAAGCTGCTGTGAGGCGTAAAGCCGCTGTATAGGTCGTGTACGTCGGGCCTTTACTCCGTTTTGAGGTCTTGTAAGCAAAGCAAATGGCAGCGATGCTGGCGAGCTCGTCGCAGGTGTTACAAAGCGGCAGAGGAGGGGAAAGGTTGCTGCTATCGAGCTATCCGCGTCGTCCCGGCTGCGGCGTATGAAGGATGGAGGCGGCGAAACGGTCGGCGGAGGATGAACGCTATAGTATTCGTACAAACCCCCAAGAAATCCTGGCGGAACTGAGGACACAGTCTTCACTGCACAACTCCACGGTCAATAATGGAGGAATAGAATCCAAGGCGTTACTTTGCCTGATGCGCGATTTGCGCTAGGCTCTTCCCGCCCGCACTCTCATGACGGTGGTGCATTGGGCCGATCATCCGTGCGGGCTCTAACTCAACACCATGCCAAGAATATATCCTTCGTCGTGAAGCAGCACAAACGGGAGGCTCTGCACGGGACGGATATGTGAAGCGCAGGTTCAAGTGCCATCATGGACGACAAGTACAAGAGCATGAGTCTGCTAGAATCATACCGCCACCAAATCTTAGGTACGTACACGATCCAAGCATCCTCTGCAGCAAGAAATCACTCATGCCGGCATGATAGCGAACGCCAAAATCATATTCGGACCCAGTCGCGAACTAGACATCGTCACTATGGGCTATGAGACCGGTGCATTCTTTCTGCACTCGGACCATATTGCCGCAGCAGTCATTCAGCGCGTTCCAACCGGCATCGTTTTGTGCATCCGCACCGATGTCAAGGACAGCCGGTCAGAAGCCATGGAGGCTCTGTTAAAGATCACGGAAGAAATGATCATGGACAAGCTCGGCGATGCTGAGATGGGCCAGTTCTTTGATCTGAGCGGGAGCTCTACTGCCGTGAACCAGCATCAACCCTCACCGCGGTATCAGTCGCCGGCGGGCGAGAGACCTGTCGCCTCTGAGAAGCCACGTTGAGCTGCTTCGATGGCCGGCATGTCTTCACCTTTTCGACGCCTTAATCGGATGGCACGTCTAGGGATGGGTTCCTTGTCCCAAGACTGGACCAAGCTTGCCGGTGGCTCGCAAAACAGCTACCATCATAGCTTTGCAGGAGCAGATAATTCCTCAAGCCCTCCAACTTTCTGCCAAAGAACCTGTCTCTGGTCCTGGTATCCTCAGTTCCCAAAAAGCCGTTCATGGGCGGTTTGGTTTCACCCGCGGAAAGCATTGACGGGGATCTCCCGATGCACTGGTTGGAAACAGAATTAAGGAGGACTGTGCAAGAAGCGGTGTACCTCTTGGCTCGGGAGTTTGACTACACCCTGGCATTGCAGCTGCGAAGAAGTTCGGGATACGGATATAACTGCCTTGAAGCGATTTGGCGAGGTAACAGTCCGTTCGAGCGGGTTCGTCACAGCTCTTGTTTCTGTTTAGGAAAGAGTGCGGTTTTTCAATGGGAGAGGATGGCCTGCGGAGTCCGTGGTGGCGGGGCCTTTTCTATAACGGCTCGGAGTAGCTCTACATCCTCCTTTCTTGACTTTTTGCGTGGCAGAGATTCAACTCTGGTCGTCATCTTGTCTCTCCCCGTTGCACCATCCTTTCTGTTCAATTTCAACCGATCGAGTTAAGCTGCTCTTCGTATTTCCGCTGTCTGGTCAGCTGAAAGAGCATCTGCCACGCTCAGCATATTCTTCCCCGGCAACCGTTTTCCAAAGTCAAGAGGACCCATCACGATAAGCTCGCAAGGAACTAATTCCTATATGTCTATTCCTGGACTCCTCATACACCTCATGTTCTATCAAGAGACCTCAAATTCTGAAGTTGTGGCCAAAGCGCAGGGAGCATCCCAGCAACTATCACGACCAGAGGCTGGGCTCACTTGGATACGCACGTTATAACAAAGGCGCCTCGAAATCCGTTGACTCGCGTGAGCAACGTGATATCCTGTATTATCTCGTCGTCTTCGTGCCTCTCCCAATGGGTTCTCTTCATCATTCAGACTGTCATAGTACACTTGCACGTCCATCACTGGGCCCCACCGCCACGCTTCGCCCGCTTGCCCAAACGCCCTGTTCTGATGCATGATGCGATCATATCCTCCCCCAGGCCCAAAACTCCTCTTCCACACCCAATAACGCCATCAGATGCTCATCTAGCACCAATATGTGCACTCGCCGCCTAGTCCAGCTCCCGCACAATATAAAAAAGCAGGTACGCATTCGCCGCCAACACCTCTGCCTCAGAAGCCAGTATGACCTTACTATCATCAAACTGGAACCACTCGCTCCCCTCCCTCGAGTACGAGATATAGTGTCCCGAATCCAGCTTTCCCTTGTGCACCACAACGCTCGAAAGCTCATAGACACAGCTTGGCGCGGATTCCGCGTTCACAACCCCCTTCTTGCTTTCCGCCGCCGCCGCCGCGCTCTTCGCCCGCGTGGTGTACGGCCACATGTCCAACTGCAGCGGAAACCTAACATTTGTCTCAATCTTCAACGACGCAGCTTTCGAGTGCTCGAACCGCTTCAGGTGGATGCACAAAACGGGCGGCAGCGTCTTTACACTCAGCTGCTTCGTCGCGGCGTGCTGTCCGCCCTCGCACTTCTGGCACGTATACTCCGCGGCCGGCAACTTCTCGCGCGCCGTAAACCTGTCGAGACACTCCTTGAGCTCGATGTCTGCGCTCTTGGTCGGGTCCGCGGCGTCGAGTTTGCGCCGCTTGGTCTGGCTGCGAAGGTCCAGGCTGAGGTCCATGATTGGATCGATGGCGGTGGTGACGTTGTGGCATTTGTCGCAGGTTACGGTGCTCGTGAGGTGGCCGTAGAAGGTCTGGTGGATTATGCAGGGGCAGGAGGTGGAGGATGGGGAGGAGTCGGAGGTCCCGCCGTTCTCGGAGTGGAGCGCGTGCAGGATGAATTGCATGTATTCGTGCGCGTCTTGCTGCTGGTAGCCTGCCAGTGCCTGAAAGACGCGGATTAGCTGTGCCCCATGGTGTTGGACGCAGACGATGAAGCTATGAAGTCGTACCTGCGCGCCCATCCAACTGGCCATGAGCATGCTGACGGCGCCGTAGCCCTCGGTCTTCTCGGACGAGTAGTATTCTATGAATATCTCGTCCAGGGCGCAGCTGGTGCAGGACTCCTTCTCGCAATCCGCTGTTCTATGCCCCTCGCTCAGGTAGTAGGCTCTTATGAAGGGGTTGTGGACGAGACTCTGTAGTATGACGCTCATGAAGCACGTCTGGCCCATGTTGTAGAGGCCGCGGAGACCGATGGCGCGGCAGGGGATGAAAGATGCTTGTAAGGCGACCAGTCGAGCATCTTCGGGGTTGCTGAGGTCGTCTGATTTCCGCTTCTTTCCTGCGCTGGTATTAATAGCCATTACTCTCTGCTTGGGTATCCGGGGGTCTGCCAATCCACTAACCCCTTTGTAACCGGATGTCTTCGAGAAGGGGATCGTAGACGAAGTCGTGACATTCGCTGCAGTAGAGACAGCCGGACCGTGACTCCACCGCTGTGTGGCCAGTCAGCACCGAGTTTCACGCTACCCAACATGACCAGCCTCACAGAAACAGTGTCGTTTCGTCTCCCAGTGCTTCTCGCGCGCTTCCGGCGTGTGTACACTGGGGCATTGTAGGCAGAGGTACGTCGGCGTAAGGCATATGGAGACCCGTCCGTCCGCTCGGGCCTTGGGCGTCTGGGCTATGAGGCTATGTCGATTGTGGATGACCTCTTGGAGGAGCGTGTAGTTGGTAATGGAGTGTTTCTTAACTTCCTTGAAAAGCGATTCCAGGTGGTCTGGGAGGGGCTATCAGTGCTTGTCCGCATGCTGAAGTTAAAAGACATACTGCAGCCATAGGCAATCCGTGTTATGGTGCTGGAAGCCATGGGCTGCTTCGTCTTTGTGATTTTCGGCGAGGCCTGCATGCCCGCCTTGGGCGTGACGTTCATGGTGTCCATGATGGATGTCGGCGAGCGCGAGAGGATGAAGTGCTATAACTACATGGCTTGGATGAAAGGGTTGAACAGCCCGTGGATATAAAGATTCGTCAATGGGAGCATAGCTCAGCCATGGCGAACCGTTGCGCAGTCCATGTCAAACGGCGGTTGACCCTGCATTGGCTTCGTGATGGTGCAAGGCGTGCCGAGGCTTGACCCACGCGCTGCGCCGATCTCCCGCCCCCGTTCCCACACTTAGGTTGAAATCAGCCCCTTGACGCACAGAAGCTTGGAAAAGAGTTTCTTAGACACTCTTGCAGCGAGACCGAGTATCCGGGGAGCTTACAAAAAGAAGGTTTACTCGCAATCACAGCTTACGAAAGCTGCAAAAGGAGACTCGCGGTGATTACGACACAGACAAGATTCGAACTTGCGAGGCCGAAGCCATTAGATGACTGATTGGATGCCCAATTCAAGTCTAACCCATTAACCACTCTGGCACTGTGCCAATGACAAGAACTTGCCGGCTTTGTAATAAATATCCCGTCACATCTTCCCACGCCTGAAAACCTCCCAGAGTGTCGGTGAATAACTTCCTCGATTTGCAATAACGTTGTGGTGCAGGTGCACGGGACGGAAAGTGGGTATCTAGTCACCCCTGTGTCTAGCTCTGCGGCACCAAGAACGATCTATGTGTTAAGCGCAGCGAGTAAGTTCACCGTTTACAGTTCGATCTAACAGAATGCGTCGGTAGCCTTGACCTTTGGGTCTTTTTCGGAGCAAAATGCTCCACTTATGTTGCTAGACAACACATCATACGCAGACTATCATGCATCAAACAAGAGAATGAACCTGGATAGAGGACAAGCTGCTGCTATAAGAACACCATCCACCCCGTCACGTGGCCATCCCATCTCACACATTTCAGACAAGTACCGGTTGATCATTAAACGCTGGGTTATCTAGCGCAGCTCGAACTTCCGCAAATCGCAGTCGTCGGCGTCCCGAAAAATCTCTCCTTGCATGAGGCCTAGAACGTAGCACTCGCCCACAAGCTTTTCATGGTCTTCGAATCTCCGTAACACGAAGGGAAGCCTGCCGCCCAAGAGTACAGCCACAAAGTCGCCTTGGCACAAAGCCGCTGGTCCCAGCCCGAGGTATCCTTTCCGCGTCCTAAAAATCCGGCGCCCGCTGCAAGCATTGGATGCTGCCTCGAGGAATCGCTCGGCTCGAACTGGGTCCGCTGAGCCGGCTGTGGTGACAGCTAATCCTACTGCATGCTGGAAGGCCCAGAAATCGGCAAGATGATTATCTGAATCCTGGATCAGGCTTCCGTACCAGTCTTTTCCGGCGGTCATCGTCCAGGCAAGGGCTATTATGCCTTCTTCAGTGAAATGCTCGGGCCAGATGCTTTTGACCTCCTCGAGTTTACGCGTTATGGGCCCAGAAAGACGACCCACGCCAGGCTCAGCCTGATATGATTCTCTAGTCAGAGGGTCCATTGGTCCGCACTGCCCGTTTTCGAGACTGCTCTTGTGAAGTTCACGAAACAATACAGGATCAATTCCGGAACTGCCTTGAAGTGGAGCAAAGTCCCCTGATGAAAACATGGTTGTCGAACTTGCAACAACGTCAAACTCTATGCCGTTGACTACCAAGGCATCTCCATCGAGGCCGATAGCAGCCTGCCGAGAGTGACCACCAGATGCTTCGAAAGTAGCGTTCGTTGGTGCAAGCATCATCGCGTGAGCTTTGTCCCAATCTGGAATCCATGATGGGCGAAGGACGTTCAGCTCAGCTCCGTGTTGCACAGCGGATAAAAGGTCAAGCCTATTGCTCTTCTCGATGATCTTTTGCGCTGCCTTGATGTACACTTGGTCGACAGATAGGTTGTAGTCCGGATCTAGGAAGAGATGTCCGTTATCCGGATCAGCATCAGAAGTCGGCAGGCCAAGCAGGCCAAATACTCTATCTCGAGGATCAGTACATTCTAAGTGCCGCGTCATTTCCAACCACCGTAAGAACGAGGGAGCCTCTTCAATTAGCGCTGCTTCCGTCGAAACTTGATGCATGAAATACGCGTTGAACAAGCCGGGCATGCAACGCCTTCGCGCTGCTTGGCCGTCATCAGTACGAATCCAGGCGGCGGCCAAACCCACCCAGCGCCAGTCGATTTCAGCACCTCCCCACATGAAGACAGCAGAACGAGCGAGAGCAACTTCTTGAATCACCCAAACGCGGCAAAACCAAGGGATTTGAGAAAGGATCCGCATCGACTGCCATAAACATTGTTGGTTAGAAGATCTCCATTTAGGCGGTATTGAACGTAGACCTAGACTGGAGCTGGTAGTCCAGCAGAGCGCTATTTGACCTTGACGCTTGTCGGCAGGGAAAGCGTTGGAAATGCGGCAGATAAGTGAGAATGCGGCTTCCGCACGATAAATGCTCTCCTCTCCGGCCCAAATCAGCACCCTTTCTGCTCTCTTGTAGATTTGTCTCATGAGGGTGACCTGATGCCCTCGCTCTGCTGTATTGGATTGGTTGATGGAGATGGCATCAATCCAGAGAAACCGAGAGCGACGAGTCTTCCGCAGTCGCTGAAGTCCATCCCAAAGATTGCCGCTGATTCGGAGAACGCAGCCATCGCAGATAATCTTGCGGCACTCGACGTTCTTTGGACCCCAGTGGTATGATACAGCTTCGTACGAGAGCTTGTCTTCCTCAAGAGAAACGACATGTAGTTTGCAGTTTATAGCGCGACGATCCTTTGAACCTGCTTTTAACTCCAGAACGCGAATGAAATGAGGCCCCGGTAATTCGTCATACGCATAATCTTCCGTAACGTACCATGCACACGAGTCTTCTTCCATATATCCAGTGCTCATCTTAATCGTATTGAGATTGACGGTATTATTCATGACATTCGGCAATGATATTCTACACGCGTAGTAATCTCCTTGATCACAAGATCAATGCCGGGACCTTCTGCAATGAGAGACGCTGACTCACGGGCATACCGATATGATACCTCATTCGCAGTTCTGAACACAGATCTCTTTGCAACCTGCTTTGAGAGAGTATTCACATCGTTTTGAGTCCAATCATCGTTGCGAGCAAGGGAGATCAGAGGATCTGTCATGCTGTTCGCCAATTGGCTGCCGTGGCTGCCTGTAGTGTGTAGGTCGTGCCGCCGATGGAGGTGGTGACGAGCTGCGCCGTGGAGCCGCGGTTCAGGGGACAGGCAGTCTTTGCTTGCGGTCTGCGGACGGCTCTCTAACGTTGTTGGAGTTAACGCTGTGGGACAAGAGAAGACTGAGCGGAGAGAGTGGCGGGATGACTTGGGCGAGAGAGAGCTCTCGACTGGTGGAGTTTTCGCTCTTGGTGTCGCATGTCCGGAGCCATGAGATGGTTCGCCAATGCGTAGAGGCAGACTCATCGCGGTTAGCAGCCGAGCATGGAATGAAAAGAAAGAGAGACGTGGTGGACAGAAAGCAAATACAAACCGATACCTGAATAGCTCTCAGCTAGCAAGGCTGGCCGGCTGCGCCTCAAACATTACCTTGGCAGCCCATAGTGTTGTATCACGGGCATGGTAGGCCCTAAGCCGCAACCTTTTCTTCGAGCGCTCGTAGAAGAACAAGCAAAGTTAGCTTCGTGCTTAGGTCCGCTCTCCTACTCATAGAGTCATAGGCGAGCGAGGTGCCAGAGCGGACACAAAAGAAGGCCGCCGATCCCTTGCTCTTTGCGTGAGAGTAGGGTCACGAGCTTGTGTGTAACAAAATTGTACTTTTGAATTTCACAAAGTAGCTCTCGAGTTTACGCTCCATAAGTCCCTGGAGTCACGCAGCACTTTGCCCTCCTTCATGAGCTTCTCAAGAATCTGGATCAGTCCTCTCTCCGCCGGAGCATGCAGGTTCTCTGGGTAATCCTTGTAAATCACCTTAACAATCTCCATTGCCTTCCAGCCCTCTTTTGCAGCGGCTACCTCACCCTTCTGCTCGTCTAATACCTCGAGCACCTGATTCTCCCTCTCCTTCCGGTGCCGTATGTACTCCAGCACCATCCCCTTCCCATCCTCAATGACCGGACCATGGCCGGGGTAAGCGCGACCAGAGAACTGCTGTGACATCTTGTCAAGGCTGTCCATATACGTAGCTAGGTCTTCGAAAACGGCAGTGCCTTGGCCTAACACATTATCACCTGTGAACATAGCATCTTCCTCTTCCAGGATGAGCGCCATATGGTCCTGTGTATGGCCTGGGCAGTAAAACGCCCTGAGCGTGGCGCCAGCCGTCTCAAATTTCTGACCATTTTGAATATCGAGCTGGCTCTCGCCTGGTTGGTTCTTGTACACGCGCGCATGCGGCGACACGCTTAAAAGATCGTCCACGCCGCCCACATGGTCATGGTGCCAGTGTGTGAGTATTGCCTGGTCTACTGATGCCTGCTCGGACGACAGGACGCTCTTCAGCGACTGCAGCCAGGCGGGCTTGCCTTCCCCGGTGTCGATGAGGAGGCGCTTAGGGCCTTGACCGACGAGGTAGGTGTTTGTGCCTTTTGCCGTCAACCATGCTTCCTGGTAAGAGGTGATGTAACCGGGTACCTTGAAGAGTAAACTATGCGAGTCAGACCGTACGGTGGTTTGTTATAACACCTGCCTTCCGTACCTTCCCAGGATTTCCGCCGAGTATGCGAATGACCCGTGCGCTGAGTCTTTCTATGTCCGGTAGATGGACTAATTGTGCGGCCATTTTATGTCCTGCGAGTTTCCTGCCTTCTCTTCTGCTGCTTAAGGCGGAAATATAGACATAAGCAACGATGTTTGCAGAGGTGAGACGACGTTCTGCTATCCTTCCCCGGATCCGAGGTTCGGGGATTAGATAGCACTATCGCTTAGCCCCGGACTTCGAAATTACACTGTTTCAATACGCAGTTCATTACTATCCAATATCTGCACAGGTTCTCGATAATCCACCTTAGCATCAACATCGTAGAGTCTGAGGAAAGATGGCCACGCTTGACGAAGAGGACGATATTCCGTAAGTTTTCCTAGTTGCCGGACGACCATATCTAATCTAAATACTATAGACAACTATCTGCAGGCGCCCTTGATGCACTGAAGGAATTTTACGGGGAAAGAGATGCGCATCAGAAACAGTTCGAGGACCTGAAGTGCCAGGCAGAGAACGAGTTTGGAAATGACCAACCGCTCTCTATGAACGCTTTTACCGAAGACTGGAATGCTAGTCAGTTTTGGGTATGCATTCATCTCGCTGAGCATAATCAGAGTATTTATACGCCATAGTATAGTGACGAAACAGCCACACTGCTGGCTAGACAACTGCTCGACGGCGCCAGCAATCACTCGTGCATTGCTGTTGTGTCAGCCCCCAGCGTCTTCATACAGCTCAAAAATCTCCTAGTAAGACCACAAGGCGTAGTAGTGTTTCCTATTTGAAAGAACAGAAGCTGACGGATGTAGGTTTCCTCAAACTATGCTGTCAGGCCTCAAGTATCCTTGCTAGAATTCGACGAACGATTTGCGGTGTTCAAAGAGTTCGTAGCTTACGATTTCGAGCATCCCGTTCGACTGCCGGGTACCGCCTCTTCCTTTGCTCCAAGTGAGATTATCATCCTGACCATCTAAGCAGCCGACTTGAAAGGAAAGTTCGACCGTATTATCTGTGATCCTCCATTTTTGAGCCCTGACTGTCAGACCAAAGGTAAGAAGAGAGACGGCTAGTCCAAGCCAGTCTTTCCGTGTCCGCTTACAGTCCTTCGGTAGCTGCTCTGACAGTGCGATGGCTTTCGAAAGCCCCGAGCCCAGTGACGGAGACATCACCGTCAGCAGATTCTCAACCTCAGGACAATCTGCGGCTGATCGTATGCACCGGCGAGCGGATGGAATCCTTGGTCACTAAATTGTATGGCAAAGCTGGATTGCGCACCACCACATTCGAGCCAAAGCATTCCAAGGGCCTAAGCAACGAGTTTCGCTGCTACGCCAACTTCGAGTCGGATGCACGGACCTGGACGTATTGATTGCGCCGTCCACAATCCATCCGGCGACATTCAGGGAAATGTTCTGAATCGGGTGATATGTTTCATAACGTGGGAATTCGTTACCGCGCTGTCATCCGAACCAGTACAGGATGACAACCTAGCGTTGCACGTCAATACCCCGCCAACCAGAAAGCTCCCTCGAGTACCTCCTACCTCTATATTCTTGCAACTAAACCGCGACATAAACACAATGGCCTGTATATTCTGCAAAATCATCAAGGGTATGTAGCACGGCTTAAAGCAACGAAGCGTGTACTGATCACAAGACCCCAGGAGAAATCCCTTCCATGAAGCTCTTCGAGAGCGACAAGACCTTCGCTTTTCTTGACATCCAGCCGCTAAGCTACGGCCACTCCGTATGATTTCTCCCTCTGATCAGCTCAGTTGGACGTGTCTGCTAATTTGCTCGCGCCCAGCTCATAATCCCGAAGCACCACGGCGCGAAGCTCACCGACATCCCCGACGACCAACTACACGAGATTCTGGTACTACGGCCCTTATTTTAATCCCCAAACCCCATGTGAAGAGACCTCACGCTCACACTTGACAACCCCAGCCCGTCGCAAAGAAGATCGCGGCAGCATCCGGCTGCGACGACTACAACATCCTGCAGAACAATGGTCGGCTGGCGCATCAGGTTGTCGACCATGTAAGCGCCCTCTATTTTCAACCCCTGCGTACGGAGGACTTGATCTGACACCCTTCTCAGGTCCACTTCCACATGATACCCAAACCGAACGAGAAGGAAGGGCTGGGGATCGGTTGGCCAGCGCAGAACGCGGACAAGGACAAGCTGCAGAAGCTGCTGGAGGAAATCAAGGCGAAGATGTAGAAAGGAATCTGAACCATGACGTGTCTCAAGCTCCTGGTTCAGCCATGGACATCCACGAAATGCCGATGGCGCTAAGATATATTGAACTACGTGCCTTGCCCCAGCCAAATTGCTTAGCATGTACAGCTCCATACGGATGTTTGACATACATCCTGGTGACAATCCGGCCTGTCCCAGCCAACACTGTTGCTCCCGCCAGACTCCGTGCCCATGCTACATGGTATAGAAAGTGTACAATGCTGAAGGTACATCCACCACCTGCCGCATTCGTCGTGTAGTATACGCGCGGCGCCGCACTAGACGGCCTCTCCTTCAATGCAATAGATGTTCTCAGAAGCTCTTCGACTCGAGAAACTTGACAATCTCGTCCTTGTACCAGCCCTGTAAGCGAGTAACAAGTTAGCGCTGTGCTCCGGTCATAAGTTCATCCAGTCCCCACACGCGCGGAGGAACAAGCGGTCCGATGTGCCAGCAAACGGGGCAATTGCGCTCCGTTCCGGTGCGGCGTCCTACGATGGGTCGACCCTATTTCCTGAAGGGGCGTTCGAAGGGCCGACGTATGGTTTGATAAGCATAATAATCCCTACTCAAGAGGTGTGGCAGCTGCGAAAGCCATGTATCGCTTGATATGTGTATGTACCTTCCCCCACGGCCTTGTGCCGGTCGCTTCTATACCATGCTGGACTGTCCCTTGATTCCTCAAGTCCAAGCAAGGCAGTAGAAGCAAAGAGAGTGTGACCCACCTTAATGATAACGTGCTGCGTGACGGTATTGATCATTACATCCTTCTCTGGCAGCCCTAACAGCTTCTGCATGTCCTGCCTCAGCGCCTGCACATCCCCGGCTATCTTCTTGACCCGCGTCTGGTGCAGATTCCCGCCGCTCTTCGCGAGCTTGTACACGGGCAGTTGCGAAGATGGGGTTCGCGAGACGTGGTATTTCAGGGGCGTGGTCGTAGGAGGCCTGGGAGCTGCCGAGGGGCTCGAGGAAGAATTGCGCGAGCTTCGGCTGGAGCGGGAAGTTGAAGGCGAGGGAGGCGGGGGAGTTGAGGGCGCGTGGGAAGACGGGGTTGGTGGAGAGGAGGTCTGAATGAGAGTGGGTGAGGTGGTTACGGAGGGCGGGGGAACGGGTGCGGTTGGGTGATGGGACGCTGTAGATTGTTAGCACGTCGTCGATTCTGTTGATAGAGAAGCTGTGGCAAGCCTCCAATACCTTCGTTTCTTGATCGCGCGCAATGGGAGAAGCGGAGGACGTGTCGGAGAGCGGAGGTTCTTGGAGGGCCAAGGGGTCGCAGGAAAGGCAGGAGAGGGGGAGCAAGTGCCATTGTATCTAAGCTGAGATGATGTGAGGGTGTTCAAGCTGCCCCTAGATCCGTTGACACTGCGGGAGTCGTGTGATGGTGGTATTCCCGGCCTTGGGCCCAGTCACGGAGAGTTCGCCATCGCGATGCGATTTCTCGCTTGCAAAAAGTGCAGCCCACCGCACAGAAACACCAGCCAACGTCACTCTACAACACCGCAACCCACGCTTGACGCCGCGATACCTCTACCATCCTACAGAAAACACCAAACATGGCTGACACTCAGACAAACGGCGCCACCGCGTCCGCAGACAGCCTCGCGCAATACGACCTCTTTCCGAAGCTGGTCCAAAACCTCGATCGACATCTGGTCTTCCCAATTATAAACGCCATGGGTGACGAGGACGACGCGGAGATCGCGCGGTTACGATTCGAGCTCCTCAAGCCCACCAACATGGCCGATTTCTTGGAGAACCTGGATCTACAGCTACACGGAAAGCCCACCCTAGACTATCAAAGGATGAGGGAAGAAGTCGGTGGGAGAATGCAGCAGCTCCGAGAAGAGACAGCCTTGATCAGCGAGATACTGGAAAACCAAGATGTCATCAACCAGCTGCGGAGTGACAAGGAGCAAAATCTGAAGTTCCTCACCGAGAACTACGGCGTCACGGCGGACATGGTCAACAAGCTATATGAGCTGGGACAGCTGGAGTACAGCTGCGGGATGTACGAACAGGCCAGTAATACGCTCTTCAAATACCGGCTTCTGGTAAGGCGCCTCTCACCCATCACTTGAAAAATCACCCCAACTCACCCCACCTAGGCCATCGACAACCCCAAAGTCGACGAAGCCGCCTGGGGCAGAGTCGCCTGCCAGATCCTCGCCGAAGAATACGAGTCCGTGCTAGACGAACTCAACAAAATCGCCGAAACGATCGAATCCCGCTTCTTCGGCGCGCCTCTGCCCCAACTCCAACAGCGCGTCTGGCTAATCCACTGGTCGCTGTTCCCCTTCTTCAACTACGAGCCCGCGCGCGACATCCTCACCGAGCGCTTCTTCCAGCCCCAGTACATCAACACCATCCAGACCGCCTGCCCCTGGATACTGCGGTACCTGACTGCGGCCGTCATCACGAACAGGCAGCGCAGCCGGCAGAGCAATCAGTACCAGAAGCAGCTGAAGGACTTGGTGCGCATCGTGCGACAGGAGCTGTATGAGTACCGCGACCCGGTGACCGACTTCATCAAGGCGCTGTACGTCGACTTTGATTTCGAGGAGGCGCAGAAGAAGCTGGGCGAGGCGGCGCTCATCTTGCAGAAGGACTTCTTCCTGAGCGACAGCGCAGATGCGTTTGTTGAGGCGGCAAGGCATCTGATCTCGGAGAGCTATTGCAAGATTCACCAGAGGATTGACATCAAGTATGTTGCCTGCCCACCCCATTCCCGTCTTCCCCTCTCCTTTTCCCCAAACGCATTACACTCGTTCGCATGCTCACCGCTCCACAGGGACCTTTCCACTCGCCTCGGCCTCTCCCAGTCGGAAGGTGAGCTGTGGATCGTGAACCTGATCCGCGACACCCGCGTCGACGCCAAGATCGACTACAAGGCCGGCACCGTCATCATGAACCACCCGCCGCAGAGCGTCTACCAGCAGATCATTGAGCGGACCAAGGGTGGCTTCTTCAGGACGCAGGTGCTGTCAGCCGCGGTGGGGAAATGAGGTGGTAGTGATTGGTGGCAAGAGAGTTCAATCGCTAGCTATGCTGGCGGCCACAGCTGGCGAGTCACTGGCGTTCGGCTTAAGGTCCTGGGTGGCTGTTTTGCATTGCGCGGGGGATTTCAGGGCCGTTGTGGATGCTACGTTGAGGGTCTGGTATCAAGATGCGCGAAGGCAGGCGGGATGTGCTCGTGTGGGCTAGAGCGTACTCGTAGATGAGCATGGCCTCGGGAGAGTCGCTGAGCAGCCCGATACAGGACTTGTCGGTGACCACAAGCCAGCAAATCAAACGCTGAAGATATACAGTCGGGTAATACCTATGAATCGTGATCGGCTCATCTGTATAGCGCAGATCTGTTTCAATCACACGACTATCCAACAGCGCCCCATGTTTGTTTTTTTCTACAGTGTTCCCACGGCATGCATATCCTGCGTGCCCTCAGTCCAGTGCCGCCGAAGCAAAACCCCATCAATTCATCCAACCTAGCCAAAGAGAACGCCATCAGCATAGACAGGTGGCAGAGAGAACCCAATAAAAAGGAAGTGATAATGTACAAAGTGGAAAAGGAGTAGCCACCTGATGATCAGGCTCCGATCAACCAAAGCTCTTGCAACGGGGTAGATCCAAGATTTCCACCATCTCGATTCCCTTCTCCGCTTACACAACCGCCATGCAAAACCTCCCACCATCCCACTCACCCACCCATCCCAGCAAGCTTACACAGCAGCCTCAACGCCACCCCATCCACACTCGCCGTAACCATCGCACCCATCAGGACCTCCCTCTTCGGCACGACATCCAAACTCAGCTTCCCCGCGGACTCCCACACCACCTCGTCGACCTCTTCGCCCTCGGCATCAGCCTCCCCATCCACCTCGCCATCAAGGCGCCCCTCTTTCTTCCCATCCCCACTCTTCTCCTCCAGCCGCCTCAACATCCCCAAGGCCCTATGCGTGATAAGCCCGAAGCCCTGATCTTCGACCCTGCCCCTCCCTCCCGGGTGCTGCTGCTGCTGCTGCGCTTGCGCCTGTGCGGCCTGCACCATCCCCCCTTCCTTCGCAAGCACGGTGCACAGCCTGACCAAACTCTTCGCCCAGCCGTCCTCGCTCGCGAGCCAGCGTCTCGCGACCCCGCTCTCCGGCCCCGGCGCCAGCGCCGCCAGGATATCGGCAGCCAGCATGCCTTGCATAAGACTCGGCTTCCGTATCTCGACCACACGCATCTCGGCCGCGGGGGTAAGGGTCGACTTCGCGCGGTCCGGCACGATGGAGACAGCGAGCGCGAAGGCGCGGGTCAGAAGGTCGTGGGGCGGGTGCGAGGAAGCGTCCGCGGCAAAGAGGGCGCGGTAGTGGTGCCGGTTTGGGTCGTCGCGCGCGAGGAGCTTGGCGAGGGCGTCGAGGGCGGGGGGGAGGTAGCGGTGAAGGGCTGGGTTGTAGGGGGTGAAGCGGAGCGATGTTGAGTGAGAAGCGGATGCTGAGATTGCGGTAGTGTACGAGGGCGCCGGTGTCGGAGCGAAGGAGAGCAGGAAGTGCAGGATGTTGTGCGCTTCTTCGCGGCTTGGGAGCTCGATTTTGTCGGCGACGTTGGAGAAGAAGGTTATGGTGTCTTTCATAAAGTCCTGGGTGTTGGCGTAGGTGCGGAGGAGCATGTTGCGGGTGCCGAGAAGCCGGACGGTGTTGGAGAGGAACTTTATCACGGGTGGGGATGAGAGGAGGACGTGGTTGAACTCGAAGAAGGATACGTTGCGGAGGATCGTGGTGATTGCGATGAGGCGGTCTGCGGCCCGGTCGAGATCGTATGCATGGCTGCCGAATTCGGGTATGTCTTGGAGAGAATCGACTTCTGCTCGGCAATTGCGGATCACATCTTCATAGGGCGTTAGGTCCAGAATGTCGGAGACCTCGGCGGCGTCTTCGGCGAGAGCGTCAACCTGCTCCTCGGCGCAATCGATCAGGATGTCGATAAGGTTCTCGCACTTTTCAAGCTCTAATCGGAGTGCGGAGTCGTGAGACAGCTTAACCAAATGATCCAACGCATACCGCATTTCACCATGAATGCCCGACTGGAGGCTCATGCTGAGTGCACGGATATCGATGAGGCCCATTTCTTCGAGGCCGGGTATGACGGGCTTGAGCCTATGAAGTTCTGATCCCACTAGGCTGTGCATATTGTCGGCGACAGAGAGACCGCCGTATGTGTCAGATTCGGCGGCTTTCGTCTTCTTAGGCGTATAGTTCGGACCGGTGTAGTATTTCAGCGGTTTAGGGGAGGGTGGCGCACCCGTGACCCCGTTGACACTGTTCCCTAAGGTTGAGCCGCCTGTCGAAGGCTGCCGTTCATGCTTCACGTCCGGCTGTCCTGGTGAAGCGCTGGGAATGCGAGGCTGTTGACCTGGGACTTGCGGAGGTGTGGCATCCAGCTGCCTACTCATGCTCCTCCTGTGCTGTGCAGCGAGTGCGCTCTGTTGCCGCGATGGAGCGGGATCTGCTTGCGGTGTACTCCAACCGTTCAGAGAAGGCGTGGGTGTAGAATTCGGCAGTGGCGTGGATTGTGCTGGCGTAGCTGGGGGCTGTGGCTGCTGTGACGGCAATGCTCGTTGCTGGAGCTGTTGCAGATATTGCTGCTGTTGTGCTTGTAGATTTTGGCCGGGTGCTTGCATTTGCTTCGTCGGCGACATTTGCTGAGGCCCTCCCATGCCCGTCATACCAGCCATCTGGGCTTGTTGCTGCAATTTTAACATTTGTTGCATCTTCGCCTTGTTCCACTGAGCAAGCTCGTACGGCGCAACGCTTTTCTCATAGTGATATCTCATCTCCTGAGGTGCCGTCGGAAATTCTGCTGGAGGGAAGCCTAGGGCATGGGCTATTGACGGCCACATGTTCATTTGGGTTACCCTTTGCGACCCCTTTTGTCTCATTATGAGAGCATAGAGGTTCGCTAGGTTTAGGGGGCGGCCGGCGATGGAGGGATTGGGGTCGAATCGGTCGCCCAGACCTTGGCTTTGCATGAAACTTGCGACGGCTCTGTTGAAGTTCTCCGAATTGTTCCGCTGGGCTGTGGGCATCTGCTGCTGACCTGGCTGCATCCCACCGGTAGCAGACATATTATGCTGCTGCGCAGGCGAAGCCATCATCGGGTTTATACCGCCAGCCTGAAACCGTTGCTGGACCTGCTGGGCGTGCTGAGCGGCGGCGATGTTGTTTTGGGCCAACTGCTGCTGCTGTTGCTGTAGACGTATCTGGTACTGCCGCTGCGCTTCGGCCTGGCGGACCTGGAGATGCTGCGATAGGTTGACACCTTGTATACCCGCCTGGAGGGGTGGCTGGAGGTTCGCCGACGACATCTGTGGCATCGGCCCGTAATTCTGACTGTAGCCTGGCATCACCGGCGATCCTTGCGCGAAATTCATCCCACCCATCTGAGCCATCGCAGGGTTTTGTGCATTCGCGCGGTTCATCTGCTCCATCGAAGGCGACATGCCGAGACCTTGTTGCTGTTGAGGGAACGGATTGGGAGACGAAGTTTGCATCCTCGGAGGGGCGCCTGGTGGGCGAAACTGCGAGTCCTGCATCGTCGGTGAGGGCGTCGCATTGTTAGAGCCGGCTCGTTGTAGGTGCTGGTACGGCGTTGGTGCCTGCATTGGTTGTCCGCCGTGTTGCCCATGAAAGCCTGGGTATCCGACCTGCTGCGGCGTCTGCGAGCGCGACAGACTGATGCTTCCAGGCGCCAGCCGCGGCGATGCGCCCGTGCTGTCATCTCTCGGCCGTGGTCGTTTGGATGGCACGACGGGGTTGACTTGGTAGGGCGTGTTCTGGAAGGCTGCGGGAGAGGCATTGCGCACACTGCCATTCTGGAGTCGCTGCTGCAGGCCGGCACTCTGAAGCTGGTTGAAGTCTATGTTGTTCGCGCCGAACATGGAAGGGTCAAGGGCGGCCAGGTTGGCGGTCGGGTCGTGGAGGTTGCCGTAGATGCCATTGCTGGTGTTGAGAGCGTCGGGAGCCCAGGCTGCGGCATTCATGCTGGGGGCTCATTCCATCTGCGAGGCAGCGACATGTCAGCCTATGGTCGCGACGGCCATCGCTCCCATCTCAAACGGTCGGTAAACAACGAAAACAAATGAAAAACAATGGGCTGCATGAGTCGCGCGACGCGACGGTTGGATAGATGACGAGACTCCGGTCCGGCAGGGAGGGAGGGAGGAGAGCGACGCGCGTGCCGAGCAAAGCGAAGCTGGGACAGGCGGCCAGCAAACGCGTGCGGTGCCTTGCAGGACCGAAACACAGTCGCCGAAAGACGCGCTGGCGGCACGAGTGCTGGCGAGATTTCAGCGGGCTTACCTGCTATCTGGCGGCGGGGCTGGTTGGACGAGCAGGTGTCCTGTGGTTTCGATGAAGTGAGAGACGCCCGCCCAGATCATCCTTTTTCCCTCTCGCTAAGGCCCAAGCGCCGGCCAACGCCCGCAGCCCGCCGCAGCACGAGCACGCTCACGCTCAGCAAGACAGCGGAGTTCACAGCCATTGTCTGCTTCTTTTGCGTCTGCTTTTGAAGCAGCACGATCGGAGCAGTTTGTAGGAGAAAGACAGTGCGGCTTTTGGAAAGGACAGGACAGGCCAGGACAGGATCTTCGGGCCGTGCCAAACCTAGGGAATGCTTCTTACCCACCTTCTCCCGTCAAATGAAAACGCTAGTCTAGCCACCTGGGCTCATCCACTTCCGGCCAGCAGCCTGCACCCACGACGCCTCTCGCCTTTCCCTCGAAAGAGTGCACCTGTTTGGGCCGCCAAGTGACACGAGCTGGTTCAACACCTCCGCAATCACGGGCTGGTTTGCGTCTGTCTGCAAAGGCAGCGTCGCTTGTCCTACTCCCACCCAGCCATCCATGACCGCCAGTTCCCAGTCTCCGGTGCCAGCTCAGGACACTTAGGTAACCAACTCTCTCGCCGCAAAACTTGCGTGTCCCAGCTCTCAGGCCTTCCAATTCATTCAGTAATGTACCTCAGGTAGGTTACTCGACGGCAACTGATGCCGCAGCGCGAAGAGATTGACGGCTGACGCCGGCCTCGCATCCTGAGTGCCGGCCGGAGATTTATCATGAGTTATGCGGTACCACGACTTCTGCCTCCATCTCGGTGTCGGCTGTTCCATTCGTTCCATCAGCCATGAGAGGCACAGTTTCGTCCTTCTCAGCCTGCGGGAATGGCATTCTGCCCACAGCTCTTACCAACAATGTGAAATGAGGCCACCTCGATCCTTCGAGCTCGAAGACGATTCTCCGCCGCCCTCCAAGGATATTTGGCAAGGATCGGCTATGGTTTGCAAGTCCCTACCGTCCTCCGGATTCTTCGGGAGGCTGCCACCATGGCCCCAGTGAAGCCTGTAAACCAGTGATCGAGGAGGGAAGGCAAAGAGACTTATGAAACAAGCAACATCCCGTGTTCATACAGAGTTGAGATTGGGCAGAGCCCTGAATTGTTGATCCCTCATGCAAAACCCTCAAAGCGAGCGCGGAAATGCCACCCGAGACACAGACAATCTACCCCCCGGTCAAGGCTCACTAAAGTCGAGACAAGTGACATGCACCATCTTTCAGAGACTCCGCTTGCGTCAGGTACATTGAATCCAGGTGATCATGACGCACCAGAAGTCCGCCTGGCAGATAGCAAGAGGGGCTTACTCTGAACTCTCGCCCGTTGACTTTTAGGTGCTCTATGACCGGAATACTAGCTGTGCTTTCGTACCCAAAGTTTCGTAAAGTCCGATTCACCATGTTTTCTGTGTGGAGTGAGAGGATGGCCGCGGATCACGTGATATCGGGTGCCAAGGCCGTCACCTCTGGAGCCTCGCGCGCCTCGCCGCGAATGGGGCAGCAGTCCATCATCAACCAAATCACCAACAGCTACCAAACACGCCCGAAACCTCTCTCTCTCCCGCTTGCATCAACGGAACACACTGTCACCGACCGACACAAATTCTCCTCTACATAACACATCTCCGCTATGGCCGACGTCGCCGTTGACAGCCCGGCCAACAGCGTGCCACCTCACAAGAAGCAGCTCTCGTCATCCATACCAAACATCGACTCGTTAGAGGGCTTCGCAACTGAGGGCAATGATGACTACTCAACTTTCAAAAAGCTCCAAAGGCAACTTGAGTACGTTCACGGCCAGGTGGCGGACATGGCCGGTGCAGGGCTAACCTGTCTAGGTACATCAACCTCCAAGAAGAGTACATCAAGGATGAACAGAGGTGGGCTTGAACGAGGTGCATCCTAGCGACATGAGCCAGTAGTGCTGACGGTGTCGCAGGAGTCTCAAGCGTGAGCTCGTGCGAGCACAGGAGGAGATCAAGCGCATCCAGAGTGTGCCGCTGGTGATAGGCCAGTTCATGGAAGCCATCGATCAGACGTAAGGGGAAGCACGACAACAGCAGCCCATGATTTCTGACACATCCGCAGCACGGGGATAGTACAATCCTCAACAGGCTCCAACTACGTCGTCCGCATCCTCTCCACTCTCGACCGCGAACTCCTCAAGCCGTCCTCCTCCGTCGCCCTTCACCGCCACTCCAACGCCCTCGTAGACATCCTCCCACCAGAAGCCGATTCTTCCATAGCCATGCTCGGCGCCGATGAGAAGCCGGACGTCACATACGCAGATGTCGGAGGTCTGGACATGCAAAAGCAGGAGATCCGAGAAGCCGTTGAGCTGCCTCTTACCCACTTCGACCTATACAAGCAGATCGGCATCGACCCTCCTCGTGGTGTCTTGCTCTATGGGCCTCCCGGAACGGGAAAGACTATGCTTGTCAAAGCGGTCGCCAACTCGACAACCGCCTCCTTCATCCGCGTTGTCGGCTCCGAGTTCGTGCAAAAGTACCTGGGCGAGGGCCCACGCATGGTTAGAGACGTTTTTCGGATGGCGCGCGAGAACTCGCCTGCCATTATCTTCATCGACGAGATTGACGCCATCGCCACGAAGCGTTTCGATGCCCAGACCGGTGCGGACAGAGAGGTGCAGCGGATTCTGCTCGAGCTGCTGAACCAGATGGATGGCTTCGATCAGACGTCGAACGTCAAAGTCATCATGGCCACCAACCGTGCCGACACGCTTGATCCGGCTTTACTACGACCAGGCCGTCTGGACAGGAAAATCGAGTTTCCCAACTTACGTGATCGCCGAGAGAGGCGCCTGATCTTCTCGACTATTGCAAGCAAGATGAGTCTGTCACCCGAGGTCGACTTGGACAGCCTGATTGTGCGGAATGATCCGCTATCCGGTGCCGTAATTGCGGCCATCATGCAGGAAGCGGGTCTCAGAGCGGTGCGGAAGAACAGGTACAACATCATCCAGAGCGATTTGGAGGATGCGTATAGCAGCCAGGTGCGAAATACAACGGAAGACGCGAATCGTTTCTCGTTCTACACTTAGGTGCAAGAGGCGGATGGGTTGGATGTTCGCGGGCGGCATCACCGCAGCAAGTGCATGTTCGGAGAAGGGAACATCTGGAGATAGACCGGCTGTATCCTATCATTGCGATTGTGCAAGGCGTTTGGGGAAGGCCTTACCGCCGATAGAAACCGGACTGTAGCATAGGGACAGCAGGCAGTCAGGTGCACTATAAGCAGTCGTCTGCAGCCGCCGAAGGCAGCACTTAAGTTGCTGTAATCTTTCTTTCTAACAGCTTCCCTATCTGTCGTTCCTGTTTTTGTCACAGCTGCATGCTAACACAGACTCCCCTCACAACACAACACAACACAACACAACACACAGAACAAGCTTCCTGTCATTGGCCCGGTGCTCATGAGCTTGTACTTCTAGCCGTTTTACTAACAACACTCGACTACATTTCCAAGCTCAACTTCATCGTTCCGTCATCCTCACTGTACTTATCAGTTTTTATGTTACCTTGACCTGTCGTTGATGATACACAATCACACAACACACACCACGAAAAAAGCCTTTCGCAAACGGTGTATGTTGTGGCCAGACGAGACCTTGTCTCCATCCAGTAATTACTCCGAGTCCGTCCATCTTTCGATCAAGGATTTAAAATCCCTTCCACCAGTGCAGCGTTTAAGTACAGCTCATCATCAGCCAACCGGATGGAATCTGCGTACATGGCTTATCGCCTTGCTGAACGCCCTCGCAGGTTTCCGAAGCCGGCGGTCGGGATCCCGCTAATCGATCAGCTGAAAGCAACCAACGACCTACCAGGACAGCCTGGATTGCTCTTCCTCAAGCCTCTTCTGCTGCCAATCCTGGGATACGGCATGACTGTAATGTATTGGTGCTGGCAGACCGCGTCCATTGTGGAGGCAGAGTCCTTCGTTAGTAGCGGCAAGCCGTGCCCGGGAAACGCATCACTTCCGATCTGAGACAAGCGTACACCTGGTTAGGAGGTTTCAATGTGCCTGTGCCGGCCTATTGAACCGGACACTCACTTGAATGGCGCCGATTCTCTCTTTTCTAAAGATAAAACCGACCGACAAGCCGCACTCACTGGCAGCGCTGAAGTGTGAGACCGCAGACACTCCCGATGAGAAAGAACAGTAGGCGGTCTTGCAAAGAGGTGGGCCAGGAAGCTGGAAGAATACAACCAGTTGTTGAAGCAGAGGCAGAACTTGCCAGACGGATTGCGGACGAAGAGAACTAGAGCGCAGAGCTCGCATAAACGAAACCACTCCAGCGACGAACAAGCAACGCACACCAAAAGTATAAGCTGGCAGTCAAACACCCTACCTGCTCACATCTATACACCGAACTCGAGCGGGAGTGGACCATTTCGTACATCGCTTTAACGAAGCTGATCGCATTGACACCGTTGTGTGTTACACCTTCCACGGTTGGGCCTTCGAGTCGAAGGACTGTTGGCCATAGTCAAAATGACCAAGTGGTAGTCTCGGCACCAGGGCTCTTCCGTAGCTCTGATAAAAGTGCAAATGCAAGAATACGTTGAAAATCTCACAGCACACTCGCGTCGCCATTCGGATTACTGAGGAACAGTAGCCACGTCATGGCAATTCCTATGGATGGGTTCAGCGGAACGAAGTCAGCCACGACGCCGATGGACCTCAAGGATCCAACCTTAAGGGAGACCGCCTGTTTACTGAATGATCTTAGGTATTTACAGCACACGTACTGCCCAATCGTAGTGTTGGTTAAAGTTGGATCTTGATATCAAAAGAACTCGGACAGGCTTGGGGCATCTTTTTCTGGATGCCAATCGACTACTCTCGAACAGAGTCCAGGCCTGCTACAAGTATCAGTCTGCCCGACTATCAACAATTAGAAGAAGATCTACATACTCCTGGCACAGCTCTACATCACATGTGGAAGGACGGAAGCAACGTCAACCCATACGCCATCGAGAGCAAGCCTTGCTCAATCCCTGGATGGGTTCAACTTCCGTGTCGATGTCATTCGGTCAGCCGAGTTCCGCTCCCGATTCCCACTCTACATCAACAATTACTTGCGCTACTCCTCTCATCGGATGGATCTCCAAAGTCCACCCTTCTTACCGGCGGCTGGCGTCCCAGTGCTCGGACTGCCCCTGCACTCCAGCTTCCTCGGTCACCCTTGACTGGGCCTGGAGCCCTAGCCAGACATCAGTGGTCGACCGAAGTTCTCGAGCCGTATACACCGTGGTAGGTTGGGCCGTCGCTCATGTACGGAGAATGATTGGCGGTCCTGCAGACAACCTATGTGTCCGAATACCTCTAACCTGGGCCATAATAGCCCACCATGAACGAGAAGCTGGAAAACTGTTCCTGTTCCGGCCCGTCATACACCAACCAACAAAATCCAAAGAGCAACCCTAATACAGAATCTCTCTGATGCTGAACCAGAACAACAAATGACACTCTTCATCGGACAAACTACAGGCACTTTCCTCACTTCGCCTTATTTCAGTCTCACGAAGCTGGACGAAGCTGGCAGAGTTCTCAAGCGCATCTTTGCTCAAAGCCTTCCTATTCGGAATGATTACAACCTCTCTACACGATGAACGTCGTACTCTCTGCGAGGACGGAGCCACTTAGAACAGCGGAGTCCGCCGGATCTGATCGTCCTTTCCTTCGCAACATCATCAACCTACAACAACCAGCACTTCAAAATCCTGCAATTGGGATTGATATCACCTTTTTGTTGGTTTCCTGTCCATGCACACCCTGTATAGGTGTCGGATCAGAACTCAATCCGGCTCCATGGTGACATTAGCCCCGAGTGCAGAATTACCAACTACAGGCACCACCACTTGTCACAGTATCTGCCAAAGTCAACATGCCTTTCTATCGACACCTGCGGGACTGATTCCTCCAGCACACTAAAATCCATGACGCTGACGCGACAGTCATTTTCGCCAACGAGTCCGCCCGCACGAACGCGAGCAGATCTCCAGAAGCACAAATAGTTTACTGTCCTATGGCGAGTGGGCGGGGCCTGTACGCAAGAGTGTTGAACACACCGGATGTCACATAGGTATTGGTCCACTAGAGTCCTTCTAAACTTTCCCGGCGGCGTTCATCAAACCAACGCCAGGCGCAATAGAAGGGCGAAGCCCTCTTACGTCGGGGACTCAACCCGCAAGGCTACTGGGCCTCACAAGACAGTTTGGAACGACATCAAAGATTATCTTCGCTACGCCTCATATCTCCAGAAGAGCGGAATCTGGGTGGGGTGGCCCTAACACCGCAGTTCTCGACCCCGAGCCCGATCGCGAATGGCCAGTTCCTTAGATGAATCAACGTCGATATACGTCCGGTACCGTTCTGGGTCGTGATGGGCGAGAAATCTGCATATTGGCAATACGGGTGGCCGACCGGCCGTCCCCCACTCAAGAACGAAGCAGCGAAAGAAGCGGACAAGGCTGCAGACGACGACCACACGGCAGAGGATGAGCCGCCAACGCCGGCCTCCAAGGGAAAGCAAGCAACTAATCCATCCCTCATCACCGACGCGCATAGCGAACCAGCTGCGAGCACCTCGTTCAAAAAACGAAACCTCTCTCCCAAGCCTCTCGGAACAATGAAGCGACAGCGTGCCGAACCACCAACCTCAGCAGCCATGGAAGACCGTTTGGAGGACCTGGAGTTCACCTTGAAAAACGTCCAGGCATACGCCGAGGCAGTTAACGAAAACCAATCAATCATACAATCCACTGAGATCCCAACAAATGGTAGCTGAAATCGAAGGCGTTGGAAGTATGCCTGTTTGGTGAGATGTTGTTCTTGGCTAAATCTCATAAGGATGGCGCGTTCTCGTCCGAGGTCAAGTTTGAGGCCCTCTGGTCCCATTATATCCATTCCGACCGGGATTCCCGGCAAGGCGAGGCTATCCACGACGTGCACTTCTCTTGAGATCTATGCCACAACCGCCACTGTATAGAACCGACATGCATCGCCACCGAGTCGATGGATCAGAATATATCAAGAGAAAAGTGTAAGGCTAGTGGACGCTGCGATTGTAGGCTGCAACCACCATGCAGGCCAGAGAGGTTCAGCGACTATCAAGCACTACAAACACAGTCGACTGCCGTGAAAACGCACAACGCTCGATGGCTAGGCCACTGTCCGGAGTCCGGCTGCGAGTATGTTGCAACTAGTCGTGGGAAGGTCGTAGAGTTAAAGCTACATTTATGTGCAGCGCATGAGATGGGGGCGCGAGGCGGCGTATGACTCCCACGGCACGCTTGCCCTTGTAGGTGCTTGGGATACGAAAAGAAGTGGATCGACTGGCCCTTCCAGAATAGCTCGCCGCAACTGCAGGCGGTGAGAGAATACCTCTGCTTGGAGCATAAGCATTTTCTTCAGCTTCAAGGCGATAGCAAGGCTGCTTTCCATGCAGCACACCCGCGCGGTTGGCCTATAGACTTCCGCAACAATCAGAAGAAGAAATCCGCAGAGACGTTCCTTGTCCCAGTAGCCGCGAAATGGGGCGCCGCCTTCATCATCCCTTCCAACTCAGTTGTCTTCATCAACGCGCTCTACACCCTAGCCAAGCACGAAGGCCAGCATCGATCAACGGCCAATGGTTACCCTCTTCGCAAATCTCATCGAACAGAAGTTTGGAAGGCCAAGAAACGCGTGGCTGATTAGCTGCTGCGACTGCGTTACCACCTAAGAAATGACGAAATCAAGCAAAGATCTCCGGCATGTCATCGTCGCTACGGATCATTCGGTCAATGCTCCCGCATCAGATGACTGAAGGCCAGCGTATCGTTCCCAACCTGTGATCCTTAACCCGTATAGGTGGATTTTTCTCTCCCTTTTCTGAGCAGTACTTTCCTTTTTCTTTTTCTTTTTCACCTTCCTTTTTCTTTTACACGAACCTGCCTGGATACCTAGACGACTCCTTCCTTCGGACTGCTCTCAATGGCGCTTGCTCTGGATATCTGGATGATTACTGCCCTCTTCAATCGACCTTGGTGGCATATAATGCCGCCCTCAGCCTCGCCTCTTCGGCCTTTGTCGTCGACCACACCATCAGCAAAGCAGCGAAATGCCATTCCAAGTCTCGACCATACTCGAAGTGATCGTGTTGGTCGCCTAGAGCGCTATCTTAGGCCGATATACGATCAACCCTCGCTTCCGCTATGTCTTGCCTTCGCAGGATACTCTTTCTCGCTCGCTTATCTCTACTAGTCTAGTCTTCTATTCTGATCTATTAGATGTGGTCTAAAATGCCACCCCACCGCCTATCTCCTGGTTCGAATCTCTGTCTACGTCGATACCCGCTGGGGTATGGGGTGTCTACGTTCTGGTCCTCCGAAAGCAAAGCTGCAGGCCCCGGATATATATTGGGTCTGGCTGTTCTAATTTCTGTGTCCACCTTGGATTCGGGTTGGTAATGGCCTTTACCGGGGGTGAGCTATCCGACCACTTTAATCACGAAGTCACTTTCCCAGACGTCGCTGATTGCGATCCAGAGGGAAGTCTGGTGGAATCACAACTAAGAAATCCGGGCAAGATTTTTTTTAAAATTCGGATTTGAAGACTTGTGTAAGGCGAGGACAGTCGTAGGGTTCTGGTTCTCAAAAACGGCAGCCCGATATATGAGCTCTAAAGAAATACTTCAAGGAAAGGAGCCATGTTTCCCGCAAGCTTGACGAAAAATGCAAGACTAGGAGACGCTTCAAAGGCGTATGCGTCAAACGGGAGATGGCTTACAGTAATGGCAGACGCTGCAAACACGGACCTCGCCTTCAGTTACAAGAGCCTCGCTTAAGCGCATGGCATCCAAAATCGCCTGGAATAGTGGACCAGATCAAGATGGAGACTTTTAAGCTGATTGATCATGTAGCGGCCTGTTACCAGAGGGCTTTCGAGGTCTAAAATTGTTGGTTAAAGTTTCGATCGTATCCGGAGTCTCGGCCTGAATCTCCGCCGAAGATACCTCTCGCATAACGGGAAGAGGCCTACCGACTACCTTTGACCTTCCGCATGTTTAGACCTTTAGCGAATAGCAATGGCTGCACTACGCAAAGTTTCCGGACAGCAGCACGCAGCCTTCGAGTCGCCATCACCTAATAGAGTAAGAATTAATGATAGAGACGACAACAACTAAGAAGGGTTCAGTAGTCGATTTTAGGCTTCGGCTCTTGTCAAGAGATTGTTGATGCTGCTGATCAGAAGGACTTGAAGGCGGCTGCGAGCACCGGCTAACATTGGTGGGGGACAGTGTTATCACCCGGACGAGGGAGTGCTCCATTATCAGTCGAAGTAACGTAAGACCATTCGTGACCGTAGAGGCTCCGGCGCAGCTCAAGTGTGTTTGATATATCATCTTCTAGGCAGTCTGAACCACGCATGCTGGCCGTCATCAGTTCGTACCGGAGTTCCGTTGGTATGCAGCGCCCCTTGGGCTGTGCCAGGGTATCTTCAGATGGTCACCGGCCATCTGGTTCTAGGTAGTTTTGTTTCATTAGCTCTTCGCGGCGTAACCAATGATTCACGCAATATCTCGGAAAGTCAAAGTGGGAATGAAGTGCCGCTATTGCATCTCGTGTATCGCGCCTTAGGCAAGACCCGCTTGGTAACACTTGGCCGACGGAAGCGAAATGCTACAGCAACCTAGCTGGAGAAGAGGAATATTCGGAGAAGAGACCCCAGAAGCAGTAGAAACTGATACAGCAGAGCTTAGCTGCTTTACAAAGTGATAAGAAGCAAAACAGTGTGTGGTTAATTGAAGAGCTTTTCAATGCTCTCGCTAGGTGTTGAATAGATGACATATCTTGAATCTTCCCACCATTGCGGACGCGTTTATGAACGCTACGATAGTCCCGACTCTCAAACAACGCCATCGCTATGCACATCTATTGGTTGATATCCCGAGACCAAAATTCCATCCGTCCCTTCAAAGACTCACTTTTTCTTCCCCTTTCCGCCGCCCTTCCCTTTCGGCACAGGTGCCGCATGCCCAAAGTCCTTGACGTGCTGGAATAATCTCGTCCTCGAGGGAAACGCTGCATTGCAAACAGCACATTTGAACTTGAGATCTTCCTTTTCGGCCGCGGCTTGCTGGGCAGCGCGTTTGGCGCGCTTCTGAGCTGCTTTACCTAGCTTAGGTGTAGCCGCTAATTCTGCGTCATCTGCATCGTCTGCATCTGCCGACTCGTCCTCCGCTGGGTCAAGACGACCTTCGACTCTTGAGCGAGGAGCATAATCCTCGTCATCGTCGGCATGGAAATCATCTCCGCCAGTATCCTTAGGAGCGGAAGATGCCTGTTCCGCCATTGGTGGTGCTGCATTGCCATCTTTTCTGTCTACGTCGGTGTCGTTCGGCGCACTGTCCGCTGTGCTCGCGGCGTCCCCCAGGTCGAGCTGCTCGAACGATTCAGTCATATCGGTACCGTCGACCTCCTGAAAGCTCTCCTCAAGGCTATCGCTGCTGTCTTCTCCAGGCATAGGAATAGGTGTCGCTATGCCACTGCTCGTCACTTCTTCGTCCAGATTCAAGTTTTTGTTGTCTTTGCGCATCTGCCTTTTTAGCGCTTGTATAGCTTTTTGATGCTTTTTGCTCTTCTCATGCGCATCCCATTGCCGCTCGCTCTTGAATGTTTTATGGCAAGCCACGCATTCGTAATGCTCCTCTTCCAACTCCTCCTCTTCGCTCTCCTCCAATTCATCCGGCTCCCTCACCTTCGTCCATTCCGGCACATGCTCCTGCAACTTCGCCTCGTTCGCCGCTCTTGACCGTGCCGCTTGCGCTGCAGCAGCGTCCCGCAGGATCTTCTGCCTTTCCGCCTCCGACTGGTTGTTCGGGGTATACCGCGGGTCTCGCTTTCGAACAAATGCCACGAACGTCCTGACCGCATCATTGAACTCCCGAATGCCTTCGTCGCGCAAACGTTTATTTTCTTTCTCCATCATGCGCCTGTAGCGCCGATCGGGCGCCTCAGAATACCTGTGGATATCGTTCCACGAGAAGGACTTCTTCGTCGCAAAGCCACCCCATACTGCATAGAACGTCTTGACAAGGTCCTCGTACACATCGTCTTTATGTCCGAAGGTGGGGTAGTCCGGAACCTCCAACCCTTCCCAGTCAGCAGCGGCTTCCTCCTCCTTCGCCAGATGCTCGAATGTCTCACGGAGGAAGCCAAAGAACCCAGTAGGCGAATCCGTGAAGTCCACATTCCTGCTGAACTTCCCCATCAAGCGCGTGATGTCATCCGCTGTCGTGACTCGAATGTTATGGTACTCGGGGCGTGGTTCGTGGGACTCAGCGGTGTCGCCGCCGCGCAGTATGGCGCTCTCGTGCGAGTCGTACCATGCGCGTTCTTGAGGGTCGGAGAGGACCTCATAGGCGGCTTGAACTTCAGCAAAAAGCGCTGTTGCGCGCTCGACGTTGCCATAGTTGCGGTCCGGATGGAGCTCGAGAGCTTTGCGGCGGTACGCCTTCTTGATCTCTTCATCGGACGCTTGACGAGTAACGTCTAGTAGTTCGTAGTAGCTGGTCTTGACTTCGACGCTGCCCGTCTGGCCTGCGCTGCCGGCAGTGGAGGACTGATTAGCGCCCATGGTGTGGTTTCTCCAAGGTCAGACAGTAGGGCTGTTTGTGAGAAGCGCTTAACCTCCCACGAGGTTGTTAGAAAATGTCACATTGCTGCGCTTTTGGATTGGAGTCACAGCGGCAGCTCTCGCCGTAAGCCGAAGAGTTGAACGCCACCAAGAAGATCGCCCTCCGCCGAGCCCAGCAAAACCCATAGATAGCACCTACCCGCCATACACCCTCATCTTCTAACGACTATGGTTTCGCGTTCTCCCCGTTCTGTACTTTGGCGCGTCGTGTCGTGTCGTCACTGCTATCCTGTGGATGAGATGGGTAGCGCCTCAGCATTGTGATACGGAGGCCCTCGGGACAGCCACACTAGACTTAGTAAGAGGCTATCAACCGAAGTTTACTCTATGAAGTTCGGCCAAACATATCAGGAACGCCTCCGCGAGGATGGCTTTCCGCAGCATTGGGTGGAGAACGCGATATCCTACAAGCAGCTGAAGAAATGCATCAAAAGGGTGGAGAAAGAGCTATCAGATATAGGATTGGACGCATCCACGCTCAAGCAGCTTCTAGAACACGAAGAGCGGGAAAGCAGTACTGATTCTGACGGTCAAGAGGACGGGGAGCCATTCCAATATCTGCTCGCGGACCCAACCGCCGCCGCAAATGGTGAAGCAGCTACCCCAATGGTGGTGTTCCGGCCGAAGCTCTTGATTGCCGCGGACAAGCAGACGGGCGAACCGATCGCCGCGAGTCTGTCACCTGAAACTAAGGACTATCTCCATAAGTTGGCTTTGACCCAGCGTATGACAGATGTGCGGGTCACCGAACTTCCTGACTCTGAGTCAACAGGGGAGAGTGCGAGTCTCATCGCATCCAACACAGATCTATCACCTGCGGCGCTTTCCTCGCTTGCAAAGGACGCATCCCAGGCAGCAGATCGGGGTCTGCGTATGGTCGAGGTACCATTGACGTCAGATTCGGAGTTTTTCAGCACTCTGCAGAGTTCACTATCCGGCTTGGCCACGTTGAGGCAGCAGGAGGAGAAGAGGCTCCAAGGCGAAGTGATACGCCTCGGTCAAGAAATTGCAAATATCACGGAGCCGAAGGGAAGAAAGAACAGGCACGATCTGGCACAATGGCGGAAAATTTTCGAACTGTATCTGGAGCAAAACATCTTCTTTTCAACCAACGAGCTGGATCATGGAGCACGTGACTCCGCCGAGGCCGAAGTACGGTTGCGTGCGTTTTCCGATGCGCTCAAGAAGCAGCCTGAATGGACCAAATTCAGACGCAAGGGAAGCTCTCCCGCACTGGACCGGTTTGTTCAACTGAACCTAGACCTTTTGCAACATCTCAGATTCCAAGAGATCAATCAGATGGCTATGCAGAAGATCCTGAAGAAATTTGACAAGCGCACAGCGCTTGGTGTAAAAAGGAACTTTCCTACCAGCATTGAGGCGACGGTTTTCACTCAAAGCCTTGCGAAGAACATCTGCTTCGAACTCTCCACGGAACTGCTTTCGGTCGTTCCGCAGCTCAGCGATTACCTATGTCCCGTATGCTTCAGCATCTCTTTCAGGCCCGTTCGGCTGCGCTGTGGGCATATCTTCTGCGTCAGGTGTCTCATTGTCATGCAGAGGGCGAGAGAGGACCACTGTCCCTTGTGCAGAAGCTCTGTGGTCATGGAAGCAGATAGCACGTCTGTTGACCCGGAGTTGACCAAGTTTCTTATCAAGTATTTTCCCAACGAAGTCAAGGTGAAGCAGAAGGAGAATGAGCATGCGGCCGGCGTTGATGAGTACGGAGAGGCTTATAATGAGAAGTGCACCGTCATGTGAGGCATCTGCACCATTCGCAGGTCATTGCGATTCATGGCGGTTGGTACTGTTTTCAGCGAAACTGTTCTGGCGCGTATCAACTCATAATGTCTCCTTTCTCTGGTCACTTGTCTTTTGGGCAAAGCTAGCTTTATACCCCCGATTAATGTCACACTTTTGTAAACTCATCACTATCTCTCACGGTCGTCTGGTGCAGAGTCGGTTATACATGATCTGGCAACCAGCACCCAGCCATTATCTTGAAGGAAAATCCGGCCGTTATCATTTTTAAGATGCCTTTCGGAAGGGCAGCCCCCAATACGCAAGCCGCGTAGGGCATCCAAACACAAAATCGACTTTTACACAGAAGCTCCGGTTGCGATTATCAATATCCGATTTGCCCCGGCAAGAAATAACAACACTCGCTACATGGATTCTGAAGGAAATCAGTATTGACTCGTCAGCTTGTTACTCATCCGCCTGATATCCTTCTTCGTCTGACGTCTCCGAACAGCCCAGAAGTAGATGACCAGCGACAGGAAGCCCGCAGCCGCTTGCGCTACTCCAGCACACCAAGAGGCCGACTGAACAGCGAGGTCAGCTTGCCGCATCACTAAACGAGTCTTGCTTTCTAAAACCAAACAAACCCACCTGGACACCACAAAACTTCTCAAACTAAACCTCCTCACGGAAGACGTCCTGGATCCTCGCAGCTGCGCTTGAGCAAGTCCACCCCCACAAGTCCTTCGGCCGCTCCCCTCCATCTTTCTCATATCTGTATGTTCCCGCCGCAACGGCCCAGACCACCAGATTTCCCACAAACACCACGAAGCTGAATGCACTGCCAACATTGTCCATCCTATTAGCCACCTTGATGGACCACAGGTACGAAATTAGAATCCCGGCGTCCAGGAAGAGCGACGTGGAGGCGACGCCGAAGTACATGTACGTGGGCCAGACTTTTGAGTTTGCGGCCCAGGCGGTGCGGTGGACGGTCGTGCCGGTGGGGAGCAAGACGTCACGATATACATTGTGCGTGGTTAGAAATTTGTGGACGGTCATGGCGATGGGGACGAAGACGGCGATGCTAAGGATGAGGCTGGCGAGGCGGGAAAGGAGGCGAAGGAGACGGATGCGGCGTTTGAGGGTCTGGGTTGGTAGTCTGGGTCAGCTGGGTCTCTGGGTTGAGGGAGCTGGATTAGATGTACGGCGTCGGATCTGCGCAGCTCGTTCATTTGCGGGTGCTCTTGTTCATCCCAAGCTGGATAGTCTGTAAGGGGGACGGTTGATTCGACGCTGGCATAGCCGCCATTCGAGTACGTCCTGTACTCGAGAGGATAGTTTTCTGAGGCCATTGCGGCTTACTAGAACTTTCCGTTCAAGCCGTTTCAGTGGAATGCATTATTGAATGCTGAAGTTTGCAGGAGTATAGACCAATCGTGGAAATTGATCATGATCCACAACTCGCCGCAGTAAACTGGTGAGCGGCATGCATACTCTACAGGAAAATCCCAGAATCCATCGTTAAATAGAGGAAATGCCAGTTTCCCTCGGGCAGATACGAGTAAGCACTAAGGTATGCCGCTGCTTGTGTGCAATGCTCAGCCGCATGACGTCCTGGCCCTTTCTACTCGCACCGCACCTGAAACATTGCTGACTGTGCTCATGCTGGGAGGATTTCTATTGGTGGTTGAAGATTTGAGTTGATGGGCTCTGCTCTCTAGTCAAAAAGACTTCAAGAACTCCTCGGTCGATCCGCGTAGGGGTGCTGATTCGATCTAAGAGTGAATGTTTGAAAGGTGAATGTAGAAGGTCGTTGCTCACACGAGCAAGCGGGTTTGACCGATCAAAGGCGCTTGTTGCGTTCGGCTTTCAACTTCCTTCTAGATGGCACGGCAGGACAGCATTCCAGCTGTTGAAGATCGAAAACGAAACCTTTCGAGCAATGGGAAGGAGTGTCCTAGTGAGTGAGCTTGGGATAGAGAATCATGTTAATGAGGCCCCTTTCGGCAGAGTGGCTCGTGCACGCGACGAAGCATCCGAATATTCTGTACGGTGAACTACAGACTATAATTATATAAAGCTAGTGAATTCCACCTATCTTAACACCAGTATTAGCGTAGTGCCGCCGATCTTCTCGTCGCTTGTCTGTTGGGCATTGTTAGCGTTATACCCCGGTTGTATAAAGCATGGTATACAGCTAGTTCATGGAATGTTGGAGTCAGATGGGAGCCATCGGTGATGTTTTGTTCTTCGCTGGTTGCGGCGAGGGTTGAGACTGAACAAAGAACGGACGTGAGGACATGAAGGTATGCAGATACGGAAGGGATATTACGAGGAAGCAAGAGAGAATTTGCGCTCAACAAGAAGATTGTTCGATTCAGAGTTGTATACACAGCTAGCGAGCGCTCTGGTTGGTGTGAACATAGCGTCTCGGAGGCGAGGCAGTGCACAGTCCCTAGACAGGAGTAGCTTCGTACACCATAATTTCTTGCGGCTTTGCTGCAAGGCTTGATACACGTAGTATTGAGTGCTCCGGCAAAGTCTACATCGTAGTAACTCGGAAAAGACAGAACGAGAACTCGATACATCTCAAGACTCAGCCAACCACTGTGCCAGTTCGTGGTAATACAAAAGAAGGTCCCACTACCCCAAGCACCGTCGTAGCATCTACTCCTCCACCTTCTTGGCCCTTCTCGCCTTCTTAGGCTGCTTCTTGGTGACCTCATACTCATAATCCTCCTCGTCCTCATCATCACTCTCTTCCTTCTTAACCTGCTCCTTCCTCTCCACCGCCACATCTCCATCCCAGCCCCCCATCTCCTCCATCTCATCATCCCACGGCCCCTCCTCATCCCACTCCCCCTCCTCATCAAAATCCTCCACCACCTCCCCTACAACTACTCCTCCTCCGCCTCTAGGGAGCCTGCAACAGGTCATCCAAGATAGCTACCATCAGTTCGAGCCAGCGGACCTCCTCGAGCCCGCGCGCCCTCCGATTGATTGGGGAACGCGGTGGCCCGGGGATCTTCCCCTTCCCCTTCGGCTTCGTCTTTGCGACTTTGAAAGTTGTGGTTGGGTCGCTGACAAGACGCTCCGGCACTTTGCCTTTGGTGGAGCGAGTGGAACGTCTTGGGGCCGGTTGTTTGGGGGCCATTGTCGTAGAGGTGGGTGGTATAAGGGCTGGGTAGGGTGACTTGGAGAGCAGTGTTGATGCACTCGAGATGCAATTCAAACCTGACAGTGGGCCATAGGTTCCAGTGATCCCCGTTATATGCATGAAAACTGGACAAAGGAAACGTCATAACCACAAGTACTCATGCGCTCCGCAGTATGGCCGTTTTCGGCTCCTGTGTGGATTGAGTCGTGAGTAGACAAAGAACGCGTCCTTGACCCCTGCCTCGGCGCGCGAGTGCCTCCCATGCAATGTTGCGCAGCTGAATCTCGCTAGTAGTTTCGACTTCAGTCTTGCAAATAAGGTGTCCCTTAGCAAGGCTGTCAGGATCGGAAGGTGGAAGTCGACCCTCATAGGAGTTGTATTCCCGAAGCACCAGCATCTCGTTGCTACAGAAAGGCGATAGCGCTTGAATGGACTCGGAAGAGGAGCACGACGCTCCGCATCTACGTCCGAGCGGACACGCAATGGAGAAGATGTGTTGAAGGATTCGCAATACTGCACTAGAACAATGCGACGGGGAAATGTGCCTTTGAATTTGGCAGAAAGATAGCTAACGGGGTATAATGTACCTCTAAAGCAAAGCGCGCCAGCACTTTATGAGTTCGACGCCACTGACACATAATGAAACCGCGGATCGCCCCCCAAGAATCGCTCAAGAGCCTTTATGGCAAGCCATTGGACTTACAGCCATTCACATCGTGACAAGCAAAGATAGCAATGATACCATCAGACACCAAAACGTCCAACCTAACCACAAATCAAGCGTTACAAGCGTGTAAGCATTTATGAAGCGACAAAAGCAAAGCGTCCCAAGTCCAGCACTGGCGTTTTCTCGTCAGAGCTGTCTGACTCATCCTCACCCTCGCTATCGGGAATGAGCAGATCTTCGCTACCTTTGCTGGTGTCTATACCAACACACGAAGCCTCTCTAACTCTCGTGGTGCTGTCTTCCAAGTGCCTTGGCGGGCTACTGGCTGGGATAACTGTCTCCGTGTCTGCAGCGAGCCAAGTTGAGTCGTCGAGGTCCGGTTGCTCGTCTCCATCTCCGACCTGATTGAAGATTAACGGCGACATTTGAGGGCCGGTCACGGCAAGCTCAGGAGATGCTGGATGGCTTGCTGGCACCTCGGGCGCTTCCGGTACATCCAGTTCCGTTGGAGAGGACTCTGGAACTGATATCTGTGACGCTAACCCATTTATTGACCGTCTCATGCTCGTCACCGGAGCAGAAGATGTTCGTGAGAGCTTGAGTGAGCTGTTGATCCTCACAGTAGCCTTAGGTATCCTTGAGGGCGCGGCTCTTCTAGGTTCGGGCGCTTGATAAGTAAACTTCGCCCGCAGGCCCTTGACTTCAAGTGAGAGTGCCTCATCAAATAAAGAAGGTTCATCCTCTTGACTCTCAGGTGGACTGCCAAAAGAGGTAGCCGGAGTTGCCGTCCCGAAGAAGCTCGTCTGGGAGGTCTGTGAGGTAGCAGCACTGGCGACCGTGGACTGCGAGTCTGCGGCGCTGATTGTTTGTGTGCTCGACTGCGTGTCGTCGGCGAAGACAGAGAGCTTTCTGATCTTCTTCGGCTTCACGACGAGATCATCTGGATCGGGTAAATCGGCCATGGCCTCCTCAATCGACTCGTCTGACCAGAGATTGAACTCCGCCTTCGCGGTCTTCCTCCCAGTCCGAACAGAGGGGCTCGGTTCGGTTGTCGCTGAAGCAAAGAAGCGACTACTGCCGGACTCGACGCGGATGGCATCCCCTGAACCGCTCATGATATTGTCTGAACACAGCCTAGGCCGCTTGCTAGGATGCGCCACAGACGTCCGACTTGACCATGAGTCTGAAACGGTCCGACGGCTTGGTTGCGGAGCAGAGGAGGGAGCAGCAGGGACTGAAGTCGAGTGAAGCCGGGAAGGAGCTGGTCTCGCCAACCAAGATGATGGGTTCTGCTCCAGCAATCGCTGCTGACTCGGAGAAGGTGTAAAGCAATTCGGATCCAGCTCTGCCAGAGGCGTCCTTCTGGGCCTGAAGAAAGAGTCAATGGATTTGTTCCTCTTCAAGTCAGGTGTCTGAACTGTTGTTTGTTGCCGGGACGCAGGCGCCAGTGGCTTCCTCATGCTCCAGGCTTTGACGTCAACAACAATGGGTTCCTTGGTATGTGGATGGAGATCACCTCGAGCAACGCCAGCAGCAGCCATTGCATCGACGTACTTGCCGATGTACAGCAGCTCGGTGACATCAACGCCAGGCTCCGGATCCGTGCAGTTTACCAAAGTCTTCGCCAGTGGACAATACACCCATTGGTATAAGAACGTCATCTCTGCCTGGTAGAAGGCTTCCAGGTAGCTCGGCGGAACCTTGAACTGGCCATCAAATTGTATCGCACGGATGGTCCTCTCAACGGTCTTGTGCTTCCTGATGAGCCTGTACGCGGTCTTCAGGCCCATGTTGGCGATGTTCGCCAAGTAATCACAGCCGCTCAAGATTGCCATTCTTCTGAACTCCACGTCGGACCATCCCGCAAAGCTAACCTCGCGGCAGGCGGTAAAATCATCTCGGCGGATCACGACACAGTCGCCGTACTGGTCAAGTTTCGTAATGAGGCACTTCGCTCCAAATACCAGCAGATCGGAGTCTTCGGAGAGGATTCCATCGATGATGCCCTTCCGCTCAAGATACGCCATCTGAGAGTCCGCTTCATAAGGTGCGACGATGTATCGGATTCCGGCAAGTTTGAGCTCTTCAATAAGTAACCTTGCCATCTCAGGCGTCACATCAATGGACTTCTGAAGCTCAAGGTGCGCCTGGGACGTCTTCCCAAGTTTGAGCAGCTCTAGCCCTGTCTTCTTGCTCTCCCTTCTCCTAGCCGCCCGCTCTTTCTCCGTACCTGACTTGCTGGGTAGGTAATCGCCATCGAAGACAAGATAAGGCGTGACGCCGAAGTGCACCAACATGCGCACTCGGCTCATGGCGAAGTCGACATATCTGGTGTATGATGAGCATCCGAGCTGAGTAAGTGTGGTGGACTACGGCCGCCAGATGTGTGGGGAATGTATCAGACGTACTTCGTGGTCGGCTTGTCAAGCGCCAGGTCTATAGCACAGGACACGGTGCCCCTATGAAGCCAGCCATAGGCATCGACGCCGATTGTCCGGCCGGCGAAGGTTTTGAGATTGCATGGCTTGTGTATAGACTTGAGTAGCGGTAAGAGTCCTGAGATGATTGTCAGTCGCAAAACTCATTTGTTCTGGGATATTTAAAGTAGCCAAGCATGCATCACGCCCATCTATACTCCTCTTTGCTACAGACTCGAGTGAACCAGAACGTATACATATGTACTGACCTGAGATACCCATCTCGCCCCACGTCAACAGACGGAGTCGCTCTGTCTAACGATGCCGGCTCAAGACTGCTTCGTCACCATTGTATTCGCACAAGTCCTAGACCAAACGACAGCGGTCGTGACACCGTGAAGGAGTGCAAGGAAGGCGCATTGCAGTCAAGGTCCCCTAAGCGCCGCAGCGGAGAGTGACTTCGCCCTTCCGCCCAAACGCAACGCGACGCGACTCGGTTCCTCGTAGGGCTGACGGCAAAATCGCGGACCCCGGTCTCTTCAAGAAAAAGTCCCCCACCGCCTGCAAAACGCTCCCAGCTCTCAGCGGACAAGCACATGTCACCACAATTGACACCACCACCACCACCACCACCACCAACACCATGCCCTCCCTGACCAAAGTTCAAAAATCCATCACCAAAAAGCGCTCCCACGCCTCCAAGCCCTCCGCGCTCCACGCCAAATCCCGCGACGCGCACCGCCTCCAACGCGCCTCAGACCGGGACGCCCGGCTCTCCCGCCTCGCCCACGCGCGCTCAAAGCAGCACGCCCCCCTCGTCGCCCGCATAAACTTCTTCCGCACGCTCATCATCTCATCCACCGACCCGACCGTTCCCCACACGCCAGGAGCCCCGCTAGACGTATCCTCAACGCAGGCCCTTATCACGCGCTTCCTCTCGCGGCACGATGCCGAGACCGCGGAGCTGAAGGCTTCGCGGCGGCCCGGGAGGGCAGGGAGCGCGAGGGAGGAGGCATTGAGAGGGGAGCGGGAGCGGGAGGAGAGGGAGTACGAGAGTGGGTTCTGGGTGCCGGATTTGGGCGATGCAGAGAATATCGTCATGTTGGCGGCCTGGACGGGGGATTGGGTGGGATTGAACAGAGTTAAGTTTGTTAGGGTCAAAAGGGACGGAGGCGTTGCGGCGAGTAGTTTTCCGCCGAAGGGCTTGTCGTGAGGGATGCTAGGGGCACCAGGAACACTTGCATAACGACGGACTACCTGGGATGGGAAGTCCAGCAGAGGCAGGATCAAAACGCACGAGGGGGACGAGATTCGAAGTACTAGCAGGCAACGTCGGGCAGAACACTCCTCACATTAACTCAAAAGTCTTTACAAGGTAGGCCGTGCAAGCGCTGGCCGAGCATGAAGATCCGGCGCCGCAGAAGATGGAGTAATGCAGACGGAGAGGACGACATAGCGGGGGTATGGCTGCACTTGCAGTATACTTATTTTGTTACATGCGCAAGTTCACCAGTAGCGCTCCATGCAAACTCTTCTGTACGCCAGACAAAGGAGAGAAGAGACGAAGATTACATTTGATACAAAAGCGCAAAGCTCCCAGCGAAAAAAGCTGTAGCCTATTCGACGAACTTCTTGAGGTCTATTGAACGTGTCAGCAGGTTTCGTAGTAGAAGTGGTGAATACACGTACTGCCCAACCATCGAATATACTCCTCGTTCTCCTTGTACTCGATGTAATCCGGCAAGAAGAGCGCCATCTTCGTGTCGACGCCCCGCTCCTCAAGATACCTCTCAAGCAACACCTGCAGGTCTTCGTCGAGGTTGCCGAACGACGGGCCAGCATAGATGCTCCTCTTCTTCCAATCCTGCTCCGCCGTCTTGCCATCCGCGAGTGCGGTGTCCGGATACCAGAAGACGTTGTCGATCACCATATCGCCATCCTGCGCAACAGCCTCGATGGCCATCGCACCCTTGCCCTGTCTGGCGACCCTGACATTGACCCGCACCGGGAAGCTCATGCCCTGCCGACCCTCCTCGTCGCCCATGCCCTCCTCATCCGCAAGCTCCGGCCTATCGGCAGGCGCAATGCGATCCTCAGGCGCAACTTTGATGTTGCCTCCTGAAGTCTTTCCCTGGTTGACAGCACCCTTGGTGTTCGCACCGCCGGACTGACTCGACTGGATCTCCCGTGCATCCTCCTCGTCGAACATGGCCTGGTCATCCACCTCATCCTGCTCCTCCACGCTGGCCGTCAAGTCCGCGGTGCTGAACTTGACCTCGATGTCCTCGTCGTTGTACTTCCGGCGCAGCACGACCTCTTCCGAGCCCTCCTTGTCCTCGAGGCTGAAGGGCGAGTTGTCGAGGTACTCCTTGATGTTTTCGGCGGCGTAGGTACCTTGGTCCTTGTTCTCGTTTTCGGTCTGGAGCTCGTACTCGAGCTTGGCGACCAGCTCTTCGTTGGCTTGGCGTAGGCGCTGCGAGGTGCTGAAGGAGGCGGCGAGGCGGGTGGAGGTGGGTATGCGCCATGATGCTTGGGATATGGACAGGAGAGATGGCTTGCGGGCGGTTTGGACAGCGAGACGGCTGGTAGCCCGGGGAACGGAGCGGGCGATGGCTCTTAGTGAGTTCATCTTCGCTGGCAATGGAAAAGAGGGATAGAAGGGGTATCGGGAAAGGAAACGAGCAGTTATGCGGATGAATGGGTTGATGTCAAGATGGTGAGAGAGCTGGGGATCTCCGGCTTCGAAAATGTGCCGGCGGAACTTCGGCGATGCCTGAAGCTGCGATGCCTGAAGCTATGATGCGGTCGCTCAGGGCAGGGACTGTATGATAGCCCACTTTGACGCGCCAAACCGCAGACATGAGTGCGGCTCCGAGAGAGAAGAAGAAGGTGTGTACGAGCTATCGGCTCGGAGATGCGCATCGGGCTGACCTACCGCCCATAGCCCAGCGCGCTGCGCTCGATCATTGCCGGTTCGACGGCCGGCGCAGTAGAAATTGGTACACCTCAAGACTCAGTGCTGTACAGACTCGAGATTTACTAACAATTACTCAGCGATCACATACCCTGCCGAATGTACCTACTATCCTCTCTTCTTCCCGTCAGCGTGACTGTCTCACCTAATATCCCATCTCAGTCGCCAAAACCCGCACCCAACTCAACCGACGATTACCAGACGGCAAGAAGCTGCCATGGCCGCCCTTCGGAAGTCAATGGTACGCAGGCTGCACGACATTGATAGTAGGCAACTCGATTAAAGCCGGCATACGTGCGCCACCCCATTCCCTCTCCCACAGCGCCCCACACAGCTCACCACGCACCTCACAGGCTTCGTCGCCTTCGACACCTACAAGTCCTTCCTCGCCGACGAAAACGGCCACGTCTCCGGCCCCGGCAACGTGATCGCAGGCTTCGGCGCCGGCGTAACCGAATCGCTCCTCGCCGTAACTCCCTTCGAGTCCATAAAAACACAGCTCATCGACGACCGCAAGTCGCCCAAGCCACGCATGCGCGGCTTTCTTCACGGCACCGCCCTCATCGCGCGCGAAAAGGGCATCCGCGGCTTCTTCCAGGGCTTCGTACCCACGACCGCGCGGCAGGCGGCCAACTCGGCGACGCGCTTCGGGAGCTACACGACGCTGCGGCAGCTGGCGCAGAGCTATGTCGCGCCGGGGGAGAAGCTGGGCGCGCTCAGCACGTTTGGGATTGGAGGCTTGGCGGGAGTGATTACGGTGTATGTGACGATGCCGCTGGACACGATCAAGACACGCATGCAGAGTATAGAGGCGAGGAAGGAGTATAAGAACACGTTTAATTGCGCGGCGAGGATCTTTAGGGAGGAGGGGGTGCTGACGTTTTGGTCGGGGGCGGTGCCGAGGTTGGCGAGGCTGATTCTGAGTGGGGGGATTGTGTTTACGATGTGAGTTCTGTGAGACTGGCTAGGTGGCTGAGTGAGACTAACGGTGTCACAGGTACGAGAAGACGATGGAGGCGTTTGATAAGTTTGACCCGGAAGGACGATACATATAGAGGCTTCGGTGGGGTATAGACGTCACTTTTCGCATCCTGTGCATCGAACATAACTGCGGTTCGTCTAGATTCCTTATGTGATGATTGGATGGTTGGACTGAATCCGGTATGCATCATATCTGATGTCAGAGCTAGTGTCGCAACAAGAGCTCAAAGGCAACATATGAGTGTTAAGTTCTTTACATCGAGGCGGAAGCGACAGCATGGTGTCTGAAGTAGTGAAGCGCAAGGTATCCTGAACAGCAAAGCCGAGATTTTCCACCCAAAATAAAACGCTTGAATCAAACAGAGCCTCCCTCCGAGCTCTTCAAATGTGCGCAAGACATGCAGCTAATGAAGTCCGTTACCACATCATACTCCCACCACCAGGTGGGAAGCTAAAGTCGGGGATGTTAAAGTCTCCGGAGCTGAAGTCCTGTGGGAATATCTTGTCCCACTCGTTCTAAGAAGCAGTCAGTAACCTGCTGCCACGGCAAAGTTAAGCAACTGTCTGTCGAGCAGACTCACCCAGTCAATATCCGTCATAAGGTCCTGAGGACTCTCACTATGTCCCATCGTGCCCGCACTGCCAGGGACACTCGCTCCGGTCGCAGAGCCAGGCCCGATCTGCTGCGCCGGGGTAATCAACGCCTCCCCATGAACCCCATCAGCAATGCTATTGAAGTCAAAACTCGGTCCAGCGTTGTTCGCGCTAGGATGGCCGCGGAAATAGGCCATCTGTTGCGCTCCTGCTCCCTGCTTTACGTTTTGCGAGTATTCTGATGCATACGCTAACGGACCGGGTTCCCTCATTGTTGCCGGTGCACGTGTCTTACGGATGGTTTGGAAGACACTTGCCCGGTCGCGCAGCTCGATGAGCACGTAGCGTACTTTCTCGAGCGTGGTCATCTCGGGCGAAAGCTCGAAGACGTAGTCGAGACAGCGCCATATACGTTCTTCCTCCCGGGGGCTGGGGCGGGAGACGTAGAGTTCGCCCATGAGGAGGAGCGCTGTGTGGTACTGTTGTAGAGCTCCTGTGTGAAATGTTGTCAGCGACCACACGGTCTCGGTTACCAGTAGGTTGGAGTCATATACGTACCAGAATACCAAGCCCAAGGCGCTAGAGAAGGATTAGTCTCCAGTGTGATTGCGTGCTCCAGCTGCACCGTCCCCGATGACATGGTGAGTTGTCTCAAACGTTCGGGCATCATGCGCTGGGCGTTAGTGATATAGCGAGAGAGGACGCCTATATGCATGCCGCGCGAAGCGACAATGTACATGCAGTAGGCAAAGTAGTGAATCGGTATTCTCTTGTCAAGCATCGGGAAGTAGCGCTTCTCCATGGCGGCCCAGAAATTCTGGACTTTGCTCAGCAGCGCTGTAAGCGTCGTCTTCTTCCGCTCTACTCTCGGCCGCTCGACCCATATGAGGCGTTGCATCTCAGTACACTCAAAGCGCATCCTGGTTAGCGTCATGTCTGTCCATCTATCCGCATCAATGGTAGGCGGATTCGGCGACTCTAGTTCGAAGTCGTCAACGTTGAGCGGGAACTTGGTATCGAAGTCTTCTCGCCGGATGATAGGGCGCGGCCCTACAGCTTGGCATACACGAATGTCCAATACACACAGCTGATACCAAACGAGCCGGCGGACATGTGTCTCCACAGGCGAAAGCCCGTAATGTGAGCCATCGCGGTTCAGACTCATGCATTCAGCAAGCCGTATAGCTGAGGCGAGTAGAGCGGAGTGGGCTCGTGAGACCTCTTTGCGGCAGAGTGGTATCTAACATACGTGAGCAATACGTCAAGCACAGATTTCGGCCCTACGTACCATGTACATGACGAAGGCTTGTAGTGTCTCTAGCTTGGTGGTGCGAAGGAAGTTTGCCCGGGCCAGCGCAGTCTCAGCGCCCTGCCGGAAGTTCTCAACCAGCTCAGGTTTGGAAGCGCCATACTCAGACAAGATCGAGTCATCCGGCAAGCTGATAATGGCCGAAAGGAGGGCAGCTAAGACCGCTGCTTGAAAGGAATAGGGAGGCTCAATATTGAGGCCGATATTTCGCCAAAATAGGCTATATTGCCTCTCGAAGGAAGGTCGGTGGACTGTACGGGTCACAGGGTGCACGGCTTCAAAGTATCGTGCTATGAGTTTGTCTGTTGCAGCCTTAGAGGGTAAGAAATGTAACAAAGTGTCTCTTCTAGGCTCAGGAGCGAAGAGGAAGCTGGACGCCGGCGGGATGTAATCAGGTCCGGGAGCTAGACTATGCGCACTCTTAGGTGACGCGGCAAGACTGGAGAAGCCGCTATCTGAAGGTAATGCCCCCGGTACCACCTTGAGTATCTCGTTGAGCTGTGTTAAAACTCAAGTCAGTAGCTGAACTTCCTTAGGCGTTTAACTATCTCGAGATGCTCACCTCCTCTGCCAGTTTGGGTCTGGCATACCCCCCTAGCTTTTCTGTAATCCTCATTTTTCCTAGTGCTATACCTAGATCCATAATATCGTCGTCCGCCTCCTGAGAGTATGCAGTATCGGCGATGGCCATCGGGGTTGGCTCGAGATCTCGCTCATCTTCAGGATCATCCTCATCGGCACTGTCTGCATCCTCTAGGCCGGGAAGATTTATGCTCGGTTTCTTCTTGGATACACTGGGTCTTCGGGCAACGTCCTCCTCAAGCGACCTCTCCAACGAACCTATCTTCTCCTTCATCTCAGCCAGACGAAGCTGAGCAGCTGGATCAAGCGTGGGAGCCAGGAACAAGCAGTCCCGTGAGAATTTGGTGCAGTTCGTGCACGGGTTCTGTTTGTCGCACTTGAGCTTGCGCCGCCGGCATTCGAGACATGATGTGATCAGCCTGTTACGCCGCCTGATCCTAGGTGGTGCAGACGCGCTGGCATGAGCCTTTCTTTCGGCCGTTGAGGATGCGGCTCGCTCGGGACTCGGTCCTGAAGCTCGCCGGGAGGTATTGGATGGATCCGACATGTTTTGCATATACGCTTCCTAGCGGCCGTAGGTTACGGGCGTAGAGATACCGAAGGAACGGATTCTACGGGAAGTAAAATAGTGTAGAGCTATGCGGCGTCTAAGAAATGACAGCGAAAGATTGGTCTGTCGACAGTTCTCTCGACTTCAGTCTATAGATGTCGGAATCTCGAATCTTGATGTGATTTCAGCCCCCATGGAGGTTTTAGACTGTTGTCAAACTGTGAAAGGGGCTGTGCCGCCGTCCTACACACTAAGTTCTACTCGTCATGCATTCAGCGTTCGCCCTGCAGAGCAATAATTCTGGCTGCTCTGCGGCTCGAGACTCGTGTCCGTCTGACTGCTTGCGTGTGTGAATGAACCAATTTCGGAATTGATTGCGAGATTGCTTGGATGCCTCTGTGTCTGCCTGGCGATCCCCGTTGCTTCCCGCACAGACTACTGAAGCACCTGCATCTCAGCCATGGCTGCAAACAAAATGTGCCTGCAGAACACCGAAGACCTCTACCAACACCCCTGGTAGCCGATATGAGGGTTTCTCCAACAGGCGCACTAAGCGACCATGAAAGGCATAAGGGGAAGACGGATAAGGAACGGTTGGATGAGGAGCTCTTGTTACCTTGAACATCCCCTATTCTTAGCTCCTCGTGCCCTAGCAGCATGCAGGTGCATATTCTCCGTTGCCAGTTAACCTGTTTAGCCATGATAAAACCAGATAAAGTTTGAGATGACTCACGACGATCTGCCTTATCAAGCACTTCGTCAGCTGTTCCTTTAGTAAGCTTCTCCAAGTCTTGAGTCCATCGCTCTTGGGTTCCCATGTTGGTACACTGAGTTTCCAGACTACTGATTATCCAGCCAGTATAGCCTGCCAGGGAAGTGCTAAAGGAAGTCACTGTCGTCTGAAAGCATGGCCTGGCCAGGCTTGATGAAGTGTCTAGGTATACAGGGTTTGGTAAGTGAATGCCTTCAAGCAGGCTTAGGGAGCACCCTCATCAGTCTATATCGTAGGAATAAGCTCCTGGCTAAGCTTTCGTTCTTTAGATCTGAGTCAAAGCCAAATTCACTTTGCTATAACCCAAAACTGCCTCTGAGCAATGCAAAAGCAATACTATGCAAGAACATAGCAATGGTCTTCTCATCAGATTTCGGTATAGAGTATATTAGGGATCCCACCTTCAGGATTGAAGACACAGTAACACGTTTTGGTCATTGCTCATACCTTCTGCCATTTCCCTTACTTCGTCGAAACACAGTACGATAGTAGCCGCCGTAGCCACGCTTTTCCCAAGGCCGGGCAGTCTTTATACTTAATTATCCTTGTGCAGGGACATCCATCAAATAACCACGGCCACCAGCACTTCAAGAGCTGACAGCGGCCCAGGCCCCACAGGCCGTACCGAGCACCACAATCATGGCCCTCACCATGTTGTACCTCCCCCAGCTCTCTACCAACGCCGTCGTACTTTCTCCCTCGCCGAACTCCTTACTCCTTTTCTCGTCTCGACTGTACGTCTCAGCTATCGATCCCGTGCCCGGTCCCGCCAGCCTCTCGGCTCTTCTATCTAATGCGCCGTTCACCGCTCGCTGTACGGTAAGTGTGTAAGGCAAGATAGACGGCACAATTATAGCCGCAGTTGTATAGAGCATTCGCGCGCGGGAGCCAGCGGGAGCGGTAAATGCGAGGTAGGCCCATAGAAGGGCGCAGAGGGCGCATTGGGGTACTGTTGCGTAGAAGCCGATGCGGTAGCCGATGCGCCATTGGGAGGCGATAATGTGTTCCGGTGCATTTCTAATAGAGGGGACCCAAAGGAAGGAGTAGGTCGCTGTAGAGCCTACGGGAGTTTAAGGTGTTAGATCTGGTATTTGGGAAAGGATTTCTGCATGAATTCGTGAGTACCGGCGAGGAAGGCGGATGCTGTTATCGCTGCGACTTTGGTGATAATGGTTGATAGAGCCGGTGGCGGAGAGATCAGGGTGTCCATTTTCATCCGTTCAGCAGAACTGGCTGCCGGTGACGACCTGAAGCCAAATACTGATGCGCAGTATTTTCTTCAAGGCAGTCAATACGAGGTTGATATGGTGAACTTTCTACCACCATGGCATCATCGGCGAAGGGGATCCGAAAGCGGTGGCAGAACCCCGAATATTCCTTAGGGCTGGCTTCGTTCATCAGCCGTGCCTCGGTCATCCATAGCTGAAAGGCAGATGTGCTTTGGAGTATCACTTAAAACTATGGAGCTTGAGCTTGCGTGTATGAGTAGGTAGGATGCATAATAAAAGATCCGCCAAAAGAGGAGCGACATCGGACCTTTGTGCCGGCAGATTGACCTCGGAACTGCCCCGCGGCGCTCCAGCACATCGGAGCGCGCGGTCATAATACCTGAATACTCCAGATGTGCAACACGGCGCCAACACGTATCTGCTCCGAATCAATCCCCTCAACCTAGCATTGCGTAGCCACGACCAACTCAACGGGCCCCAACAGCTAGCAGTCACATCAAAGACCACGGACAATCCCCAGCACCATGCCCACCCCCGAAGAGGTCGAGAAAGCGCACAAAGTCCTCTACGAGCAAGGCCTCCAGATCCGCTATGAAGTAGCCGGAAAAGCCTACGTTGACCGGGCCCTCGCCAATGGCTCCTCCGACTTCGCGCGGCCGATGCAAGAGCTGGTGACTGAAGGAGCCTGGGGTTCAGTATGGTCGCGACCGGGACTAGAGCGCAAGCAGCGGAGTCTGCTCAACATCGCCATGCTGTGTGCCTTGAATCGATCGACGGAGCTGGGCGTGCATGTGAGAGGGGCTGTGAACAATGGCGCGAGCGAGGTCGAAATTAGGGAGACGATAATACAGGCGGCATTTTACTGTGGGATGCCGGCGGGGATGGAGGGATTCAAGGTCGCTGAGAGGGTTATTAAAGAGATGAAGGAGGAGAAGACGGAGAAGGAAGATGGGAAGCAAGACAGCTAATGTAGGGATTGGAAAGAAAGTTCTACAAAACCAAAGCATAACTTCAGCAGTCTTGGGATTGTCATCCTCCCTACCAGCAGTGTTGTTACTGCAGTAATGGCGCTTTGGAGGCTACCAACATGGGTTGAATGAACCTTTGTTGGATGGTATGAACGGTTATGGCCCTCGGATCTGTAGGCCATCCCGCTAGAATCCAAGCCATGAAGTCCTCAGCACTGGTCCAGCTCGCATTGTCTATACTCGCTTCCTGGGCAGGCTCTCCAGCGCAGGATTTACTCCTTTGCTGATGTTGGTAGTTGTGTTTGTTAGTCCTACTCCCGCCAGCCTCGAAGGCTGCTTGGGAGATCATGTCACCTGTGAAGGATTTTTCAATGTTTTGAAGCACGAAACCAATGGTTGCGTTTTTAGTCACTTACGCCATCTACCCTGTTGCAGCCCTTACAGTACCCGTACCGGTGCATACGCACGTCAGGCGGGAAAATAGCCTCACGGCCAAGGCGATCTAGCGCTCTTTCACCGTCAACTTAACAACGTAATCTACCATTAGCAGCTGCAATAGCTCTTAGAGATTTGACGATTAAACCGAAAGCCTTAGATAAGCTGTTCGGACCGTCTTGTGGAGCACTACGGTGATACTAAAGGGAGCATTGTTACTGACGCAGCCTGTAATTCTATGACCGCGGTGAGGCCATTTTCCCGCTCGGCGCGATAGGAGGTACACAACAAGGACACTGCTCGGAGTCTTCTCCAGAAACCAACGGCACGGAGTCCCGCCCGTCGAGCGAAAGGATCTGAAACCAAGAAAGCGCATTCGCAGCCCAGGATCACGAAGGAGCGATCAAACCGCTCGAAGCCGCACTCACTGCGTAAGTGGCTGGCACACGCGCGGTTCCAGCAACGGGATCTCCCCGCTAACGGCCGCCAGTGGTCGCCAATCTCTGAGGAAGATTCGTTAATCCTTGTTCGTTGCAGCCCTAACCAACGCAACACCAGGGCCATGAAGAGCCGCAGGAGATAATGATCCGACCCCTATCCAGAACACAGGGCAGGTTTACATAGTTGCCCTGCATAACTCAATACAGGGTCCCTCATCAAGGGCAAGCCACCGACGACAGTCTCAAAGCCCAGATTGCGCTGAGAGGATTGAGTGTACTTTCGAAGGTGATCTCAACGGCGTGTACAAAAGTCCCAAAGCGGAATCGTGCAAGGACGGGACGGGTGATCCACCATCGTGGTATCCACGCCATCAATCTGCAGCATGCCACTCGACGTCAGCAAAGCACTGACATCGACGACTCCTCTGCACCTGCAAGGTCACGAGGGGTAATCATGACTCTCGCCGGTATGCAGCTAATCTTCCACCAGGATTCGCTTTTCCTTTGTGACAAGCCATGGCGCGAAACAACAATCAGTCAGTATCGTCCCAAACACCTCTGAGGAGCAGTGCCCAGGACAAGGACGAGAAGAGCTCCATGGCCGACGAACACAAGGAAAACGTAGACAAAAAGCAGCCCACCAAAGGCCGTATAGCCGGTGGAAAATTCCTAGAGGAGCTTCGAGGAAACGACGATGACAGCTCCGACAACGACGATGGTCCGCTCAAAGAGGTCGATATGGATCTGCCGCTCACACTGACCGAGACGAAACAGGTCAACGGCGAAGAAGTGATCCTACTCAAATTCGCCTCTGGGGACAAGGAAAACCCATTCAACTGGAGTAAGAAGAGAAAGAGCTTCATCACCTGGTTACTCAACCTTATGACACTCTTCATCGGCCTCGCAACCACGGCCTACAGCTCCGGAATCAACAGCATGGTGGAGGACCTTGGCACGTCTAACATCATGGGCCAAATGGGCCTATTCTTGTTCAACTTTGCTTGCGCGATTGCACCGCTTTTTCTGGCGCCTTTCTGCGAGCTGGTCGGCCGGCGGATCATCTACGCTGGGTCCTACGGGGGCTTTACACTTTGCTTCATTGGGCTGGCACTGGGGAAGAACATCGCGACCATACTCATCATGCGGACGCTCCTCGGCTTATTTGGCTGTGTGGGTACGATCCTAGTCGGCGGAACTTTCTCAGACATGTTTCCCGAAGACGAGCGAGCAAAGCCCGTGGCATTTTTCTCCTACGTGGCCATCCTAGGCACAATGGCCGCTCCAATATACAGTGGCTTCATCAACCAGGAACTTGGATGGAGATGGATTGAGGGTATCCAGGGCTTGAGCAACATCCCCCTGCTCATACTTGTCGTCATCTTTCTGCGAGAGACGCGCGGCGGAGCTACTCTACAGAAACGTGCAAAGGCCATGCGGAAGGCGACTGGAGATGAACGGTACAAGGCACAGATGGATATAGACACCAGTGACGTTAAGAGAATGTTGCACGCCTCTTCCGTCAAGGCTGTTCACATGCTGGCAACTGAGCCAGTTGTCTTCTTCTTTGGATTGTGGATTGCATTCGCCTGGGCCGTCACCTTTCTCTTCCTCTCAGTTATTCCCGTCACCTTCCAACAGAAACGCGGCTGGGCCGAAGGCGTTGGTAAGTGCTCCATCACTCAGAACTCAGATACTCGACTTCTTTTAGCTATCAGTCTCACTAACGTGTCTCCAGGCGGCCTGCCGTACATTTCGCTCTGCATCGGCGTCACCCTCGGCTACTGCGCCAACTTTTTACAATTCCGCAAATACGACAAGATCGGCGCGTCGAACTCCCGCAAAGTCCTCCCCGAGCATCGGCTCTACGGATCCATGTTCGGAGCCATGTGGCTACCTATTGGCCTCTACCTCTACAGCTTCACGCAGTACGAATACCTTCCATGGATCGCGCCAACAATCAGCCTCGCGCCCATCGCCTTCGGCATCTTCTTCGTGTTCGAGTCCTGCTACAACTTCACTTCGGACTGCTACGGCCAGAGCGCGTCGTCGGCTATCGCGGGCCAGGGGCTGATGCGGAACACGCTTGGTGGCGTGGCGCCGCTGTTCGCGACGCAGTTCTTCACGGGTGTGGGGAGCCAGTTTGCTGGGCTCATTTTGGCTATCCTTGCGACGTTCCTGAGCTTTATCCCCTTTGTTTTGTTCAAGTATGGGCATAAGTTACGGGAGAGATCGAAGCTCGCAAAGAAATACTAATGGAAGATTTGTAAAGATATCATGTAAGACTAAGTCGGGAGGACGAGACATGCCTTACGACTGCATAGCGCGTGTTTGGGCGTTTTGAGCTGTTACGGCTGTCGATGTTCTTAGGAAATTGAGTAAGGTATTCTCGGATATGTATCTACGAAGGAGGGGGTATTTACTGACGAAGCGGTAGCCGCTTGACTAATCTCCAATGCCATTAAGAAACATCAACAACTAATTTATATAGTCTGAATCTGCACCTTCTGTTCGCTAAAGATGTATCTAATGTGTCAGTCCACCTCCGTAAGCACCTAAATACTGTGTTGAGAAGCCTTATGGTCGCGTACCGTCAAACGACCGCTTCCTCAGTAAATACCCCGTCCTTCGTAGCCGCAGCCAGGGGCATATCGGCGCACTACTCCTGCCACTCGGGAGAAGTCGGGGTATTTCCACCCGCGTCTTCCTGTACTACTAGTACTGATATAAATATCAAACATCTAAGTGTTGATATTGAGACTCAGCCACGTGATATGCTTCAGCACAGCGGCGTGCGAGAGGGCGATTTATCCTGGTGGTGCTGCTGGCTGCCGTCAGCATTCTGAAACGCGCAGCTCAACATGTCGGCGGAGTTGGCCCAAATCTGGGTCGTGCTACCTGCCATAGATCATAAGATACGAGCCTCGCTTCATTAAACTACCTTAGAGTAGGCCTTTGATAACATCATCCGCTGTACGGTCGGTCTCTGACTTGACTCGAAGGAAGGGTGGCATCACTAAGGCATCGTTCTCTGGCCCCCACCCTTTGAGTAACCTGACAAGGTAACAGCATTCTGAATACGATTGATAAGCGTAAAGTCGTCCTGACGAAGCGTTTGGTGGCATAAAATCAATTGCAGTGCTTGTTAGGTTGAACTGCCAAATACTCAAGAACGATTGCAACAGCTCTTGTGTCAAAGTATCTACAGTGCAAGCCAACTAGTCACACGTCTCTGCTCATGGCTTACGAGAAGTCAACTACCGAGGCGCGATCGTCTTCGATTAGTGCTTCAAACACAGTGCCTGTCGTTGACTTTTCACGCTTTCTTCTCGGCTCTGATGTAGACAAAAGAGCCATCGCCCGTGAGGTAGATGAAGCATTTCGCAAAGTCGGATTCGTCTACCTGCAGAATCACGGCATCCAGGAGCAGAAAGTGGATGAGTGCTTTGAATGGGTGAGAGCAAGCTCCCCCGTAACACGGTTTGAGTAGACCGCCCGTAACATCTCTTTAGCTAACGTACAAGACCCGCCCAGAGTCAGAGATTCTTCGCTCTCCCCGAAGGCGTTAAGAAGCTTGCGCCCCATCCGCCTGGTGGCTCACATCACCGCGGCTACTCGGGCCTGGGCATCGAAAAGGTCACTCAGAATGTGTTCGAGCAGGAGGAGCTCGCTGCATTAAGGCAAATGCCAGATTTCAAGGAGAGCTTCGAGAGCGGAAACGTGCACGATCAAATGCAACCTAACATCTGGCTCCCTGACGAGAAGCTGCCCGGCTTTCGACAGTTCATGGAGGCCTTCTTCTTGGTATGATCCTGCGTGACCCTACGTATGAAGTTCTCAATGACTGATGCGGCAAAAGGACTGCACTGACCTCATACACACAATCCTCAATGCCCTCGCAATCTCGCTCTCACTTCCCCCTTCTCAGCTCTCCAACGCCCATTCTCAGTCCCTGTTCCAGCTGCGTCTTCTCCACTACCCATCCATCCCAAGATCCCTACTGCACTCCGGCGAGAAGAGTCGGATTGGCGCACACTCTGACTTCGGTACCTTGACGCTTCTCTTCCAAGACGATGTCGGTGGCCTCGAGATTCAGCATCCCCAGACCGGGGAATTTATCGCCGCGCCGCCAGTACCCGGCGGTGTGCTCGTTAACATCGGAGACCTGATGATGCGCTGGAGTAATGGGAGGTGGAGGAGTACAGTGCATCGGGTTGTCGCGCCTCCGGAGTTGAAGGGCGAGCGCGAGGGGCTTGAGGATGAAGAAGCAGGGAAGGAGATGTGCAGGCCGAGGTACTCAATTCCTTTCTTTGCAACGGCAGATCCGGAGACGGTGATTGAGTGTTTGCCGGGATGCGAAGGACCGGACGGGAAAAAGGAGTTCGAGGCGATGACAGCCTTGGAATATGTTCAGATGCGGATGGCTGCATTGTACGCTTGAAGAGTTGGGTGATCATGGTACTCTACTCATTACTGTCATGGAAAACCCGAGAAATCAACGGGAATGGACAGTTATGACGCGAACGTGGTTTACAGCAGTCCCTCCCTCTCTTTCTTAGTACAGAATGGGAATAAACTTCAAGACCCGACGCCAATGTGGGCCTTCAAAGGAGGTGAGAGCCTCGAAAATGCATTTCCGTCTTCACCATCTAGCTCTCGGCTGAGGAGGCAACTCTACCGAAGAGGTTACTTCTCTGCTCTAGACTCTACATAATGCTGACTGCGCTCAACCTGCTAGGCGACAGTTCAAGGTGAACAGCCATGACATAAGGTAGAGAAGTGAAGAGGACTGTCAAGGTGAATTGCTGTGAGGCGCCATAAGGCTGGGGTAAGGAAGAAGCTAGTCAGTTTTCGGCTAGTGCGGCGAGAGCGGCCGCGCCCGCCTCCATCCCTCTTACAACTCACAATAGCCAGCCAGGCACGGCAGCCATATCGCATATTCCTCCACAGCAGGCCACTGGATCGAGCGCACGACACAACCACAGCATCCCGAAGACAAGAAACGGATGACAGCATAGCCAGCATAGCTTGCGCGACCCAGATGAGGTGGACCTTCGGCCGGGCGGCGTCGACAGTTCGGCCTCGCGCCTTCACTCCTACGTCGTGACACGGTCGACGTAGCCACGACAGCGACTTCCACGACCGTCACTGCCTTTGCGCTGCCTCGGCCGCCGTCTATCATGCCGCACGCGGTATCTGTTCCGGACGCTCAGGAGCAAGCGGACAACAGCCTCATCAGCAACCTGCTGAGCGGTGGGAATGACGGGCAGGATAACTTCGACTTTCTGAATCGGGACCTTGTGCCCGGGGAGAAGGCGCAGGATGCGGTTGATTTCGAGGACATAAGCGACGATGATTTGGCAGAAGAGGAAGATGCGCCGGACACGACGGCCAGGGCCAACGGCGACGTAGCTGGCGACACTGAGGACGACCTTCTCGGAGAATCGTTTACTGAGCTCAACGGCGACGGCGGTGACGACGATCCCTTCGCTGATCTCTTTGGCGACGAACCTTCATCCCCTACGACAGAGCTCGACGGAGTGAACGGGGGTCCCCAGGCAGATTCGGGAAGCCTTTGGTTGCCACCTACTGGCCGTTTGTCGCTGCCCGGCTCTTTCGCTAAGCCTCAGGTTGATCGCCCTGCTCCGAGACAGCCAAGCCCCGAAAGCGCATCTCCCCAGAACCAACCCTCCGATATCGAGGACGAATCCGACGAGGATCCTGAGCTTCGAGAGCAGCGGCAGCTGTTCGCACAGGCTCGGCGAGATCGAGAAGACCGGTCGCGGCGAGGAGGGGCCTCCACAGACCTCCCACCGCACCCGCAAACCAACGCTGAAATCTTCGAGGCAATATGGCCCGATTTCGAGCAGGACAAGCCGCCCCGCTTTGGAGTGCTCCTTCCAGGGAAACGGGCCTTCTACCTCGCTAAGACTCCTTCAAAGGCTCCAAAGCCGATTCAGCCTACGAAGGTGAGCCTCGAGCTTGGCCAGGACCAGGAGCGAGGTTTCAGGCTTGCAGGGGCCACCACCGCGAAAGCGGCGCGGCAAGCAGAGGTGGAGCAGAAAGGATTGGTCCCGGTGATAGAAGCTGAATCCGGAGAACCTGATAGCGACGACGATATGGAGCTCGATATACATGATGAGCGGGAGAACATCGGTGGGGTTACTTGGCAAGACTTTAATGTACTCTGCGAAGACTGGGACATCCGAAGTGAGGCTTCGTCTGGAGCGGCAGAAATACGGTTTAACGGCGAAGAAGATGTTTTTGATTTCGATGACAACTACGATGCGCCTCCGCCTAAGAAGCGGAAGGTAGCAGAGCGGGAAATGATCCCAATTTATCAAGACACAATCCCCCCGCTGGATGACCCAGAAGCCGTTACAGCGAAGATATCACGGCGCATTACCCTTGACCTCAACGATCCGCAAATGCTCATTGATATTCAGCCGCCAGACGTTGCGCAGAAGAGGGCCCGCGCAGCTGGGTCTAGTTTCCGAAAGGACGTGCAAGGCAGCCTTACCAAGACCCTGTTCCGCAGATACAACATCTCGAACGATGAAGCTTACGATGCCCTCAAGGAAAACCACTCTCACAAGGTTCGGAGCACCCTCGGCAACCTTACAGTCGAGCACAGTTTGCCTGCTCTAAAGCTTCAGTATCCGTTCTACAAGGTCAAGCTCAGCGCACGAGAAGCGCGATCCTTCCATCGGCCTTCCATACACTTTCATCCGAATCAGTTGGTCACTTTCTCTAAACTCAAGTCCACCAAGCGGAAACATCTCAAGGGCAAGGAAACGCAAGAGATCTTCAAGGAATCGGCCGATTTGACGTTGGGCGATAATTCCAATATGGTTTTGATGGAGTACTCTGAGGAGTATCCCATCATGATGTCCAATTTCGGTATGGGCAGTCGCCTCATCAACTATTACCGGCGCAAGGACGCGGAAGATAACACCCGGCCGAAGCTCGACATTGGAGAGACAACGGTCCTTTTACCGCAAGACAAAAGCCCCTTCTCGCTGTTCGGCAACATTGAGCCTGGTCAGACGATGCCAACCTTGCATAACGCAATGTTCCGAGCGCCTGTCTTCAAACAGGAGGCTAAACCCACCGATTTCTTGGTTGGACGTAGCACTACTGGCGTGCATGGCTCGAACTGGTACATGCGCAACATCGAAAATGTCTATGTTGTCGGCCAAGAGTTTCCATCAGTTGAGGTGCCGGGCACGCACTCGCGCAAGGTAACCGAGGCTGCAAAGCGCCGGCTGAGGATGATCTCGTACCGTGTCTTCTCGAAGAACCAGCGCCCAGGCTACCGAGGACCTCCGCTTAGCAATGATGTGATCAGGCAGCATCTACCGGGGACCGATATTGCCCAAAACCGCGGCAAGATGAGGGAATTTATGCAATACGATAAAGATTCAGGGACCTGGGTTCCGAAAAAGGGCGATGTCATCCCGGACGATTCGACCATGCGCAGCTGGATAAAGCCCGAGGACATTTGCTTGCTTGATTCTATGCAGGTTGGTCATCGCCACCTTCAAGACGCTGGATACAGCAAAGAGGAAGATGTAGCTGGGGACGACGATGAAGAGAAGGACGGCCAGAGCTTGGAGCAACAGCTCGCGCCATGGCAAACGACAAAGAACTTCCTTAACGCCTGTCAAGGCAAGGCGATGCTGCAGCTGCACGGCGAAGGCGACCCCTCAGGCCGTGGCGAGGCTTTCAGCTTTGTGAAGACATCTATGAAGGGCGGCTTCAAGGCCGTTGGCGAGAGTATCGAAGACAAACTTGATGCGAAGAGGATCAAGGAGCTGGGGGGCCACAGCTACAACGTCGCCCGGCAGCAGCGCGCTTACGAAGACTCTATTAAGAGGATCTGGGAAGCGCAGCAGCGCAGCCTTTCATCAACGATCGAACATTCTGACGTCGAGATGTCCGTCGATGAAGAGCCGGAGCACCCCCACCGTGATCATAGGTCAAGATCGGAAGTCGGCACGCCGGCAGGCTTGCGCCGCGACGATGAGACTACTAGCCAGTTCAGTCGCTTCAGCACCAGCAGCCAGAAGGGTAAAGTGCTGAGGATCACTCGCATGACCGTTGACAGATTTAGCGGTAAATTGGAACCTGTCGAGGAGATTATCAAAGATCCGAAAGTCATCCGGGCGTACCTCAAGCGCAAGCGCGAACAGGAGCTGAACAACGTCGACCTGTCACAGTTGAAGTCAACAGGTGATAAGGAGCAAGATGAACTCAGGAAGAAGCTGTAAGTTCTGCCACGAAGTGAACGTGTTTGACCTTGAGCTGCGAACGGGACAGAGTTGCTTGTCGCATGACTACTCAGTCGATGTCCTCAAGGGAACCCCAGAGGAAACATCAGTGGCACCGCCTCGACTCTCTTCTTGGTTGGCACCTTTACACCGCTCGCAGCGCTAGACTTATTAAAATGCATCTATCGCCAGTCAGTATCCGCTAACATATCTATCAGCCTCCTCGACGAGCTCGCCCGCCTTGAGCGCAATAAAGAGCGCCGCCACGTCCGCGAAAAAGCCAAAGGCCTGCACAACGGCTCGAGCTCTCAGCCCGCAACCCCCGGCTCCCCCTCCGCCGGCCCGTCCAAAGCAGCCGGCACACAGCGGCGCTGCGCCAACTGTGGTCAGGTTGGCCACATCAAGACCAACAAAAAGTACTACGAATGCAACATTTGCCTTTCCTACTACTCCGTCTCTCCCTAAACTAAAGTGTACTATATACATTCACTGACACCATTCTCCCCGGCGCAGACTCTGTCCGATGCTTAATGGCACGATGAAGCAGGACAGCGGGTTCGATAGCTCGGCGTTTGGGGCGCCGGTTGTTGAGACCCCGGCGCCGCAGGCGTCCCCTTCCTGACCACCTTCCTTCTTCCCTCCTTCCCCGACCGATCGATCGACTCATTCGTCTTCCCTCAGGTTTTCCGTGTGGTTCGATTGCATGCATGGCCTTGGCGCGCTTGGAGTATAAAAGATTACCCAAGATTGATAGTGATGGGTTGCATTGTGCTTTGTCGATGGTTTGCGGGTGCATTGCATGGCGTCAAGGTCATATGGAGATGAAGTGCTTCGGGGTGGAAACTGAGACGACGCGCCAGGGCATGCTATCACTGTTATCATTCTGTGCTTGCCTCTGTAGCCCGACGTAACACTCGGCGACAGAACCATCAATACCCGGCACGATATACGCGCTTTAAGCTCCGCAATGAATATCGTATTTTCAAGTGCACGAATCAGCCAGCAAACCCAGATACTACTACTCCTCCTGAAACCTCCTCGCCCTCTCCGCAACAAGCGCCCTCAACCCTTCAACCACCTCCCTCCCCAACCAAGCCAATCTGCCATCCCCCCTCGCCATCGCCTCCTCCGCCCACTTGAACAGAATCCGCAGCTGCCATAGACTATCCATATCCACCGCGCCCATCCTCACTTTCAGCGCGAGCCGATCATCCACAACCGTCCCCCTCATATCCAGATGCACAGAGCTGTGCACGTCCGCCGGAATGATGAGACCGATCTCGGACTGGTCTATCCACGGCGGCTGCGGCGACGATGACGATGCGGCCGAAGGCTTCTGTGAAGACCGCGACGTGAAAGCCGGCAGCCGAAAGATCCAGTCCCACATTGCGCGCGCCGTGTGTGAGGCCTGCGCGTCGTTGAGCGCGGCAAGCGTGGTGCTGAACACGGGACCGTGCGCCTCGGATGCTGGACGCCGGCGCACGTGGACGGTCTGATTCGACCGGAATGCGGTAAGGTGCGCGGCGTTGTGGGCGAAATCGAGGGTTAGGGGCCAGTGCTCTGGGCCGGCTGTTCGGATTTGGGCAATAGTGTCCAGAGGTGGGAGGAGGCAAGGGGCTGTCAGTGCCTTCTCGGTGCCGTCTTTAAGGCTGAGTGTTATGGGCGAGGAGATCGCACGGTGGGTATCTACGTCGCGGACGATGATGCAGCGCGGTTCGGCGGCGAGGACCCAGAAGTGGCGGAAGGCTTGAAGATGAGCTTTATTGTCCAGGACGTCCATTGGGAAAAGGGGGTAGAAGGCGCAGATGAGCGATGCGATGGCGAGATTGGAGGTGCTCAGGGTGTAAGTTCCGCCACCCAAGAACAGCACGCCTAGCGCCAGGTGGGCAGCCATGTGCGAGCCGTACGGCGTGTCCGGGTTGATGCGACCGTGGAGCAGCCGAAGCCGGCGGAAGACGTCGAGATCGCCTGTTCCCGCCATGACTACGGCCGCGGATATCGCTACCAGGTCTTGGCAATTACGAACGGTGTTTCGTGTCAGGCGAGCATCGTAGCGGATGGCGGGAAGATGAGCAATCCGGATGAATTGATCAAGGTATCTGACCAGAAAGTCGCGGACTCTCATGTCTCCACTGCCAGCATGGCGGAGACCAACACTCCAAAGAAGACCAGCAAGAATGTTGAAGAAGGGCATATGCTCGCTGCGGAGCATCTTGATCTCTCTCAGCAGGTAGATGTCTTTGTACTCAACTGGAAGATTCTTTACGATCCAACGATGCTCGGCTTGGATGTCGTCCCAGAGTATCATATGCTTGGCTAGCGTCCGGAGAAGGAAGGTATCGGGGCGAACGTAGTCGAACTGAGGAAGGGTGTCCGGAATATCAATCTTGCGAGCAACAGCATCGTTTTGTGTTTTCATGAAGATGAGTGCAATTGCTATGATTGCTCCAGTCGTAGCACGATCGAGGATATGCACGACGTCGACAGGCTTGGGTCCGATAGCAACGGCGAGAAGACGGTCTACTAAGCGCATATCGTGAAGACCTCTGAGATCCTTTCCCTTACCAAGGTTGATGAATCCCAGCGCGAAGCCAGCGGCAAGCCTATATCCTTCGTCACGAAGAGTGTCGGGCGGTCCTGATGGGTCTTCGATTTCGATATGTTCGAGTTCGGAAAGCATCACTTCGCTCATGCGTCGGTGTTGGGTGTTGGAGTATAGCAGACCAATACCCATGAGCCCGCTTGTCTGCGTGAGAGGCGGTAAATTGAGATCCGCGGCTCCAGGCGGCAGCATGCGAGTGACGTGAACTGATAGTAACCGCGTAACAAGAGCGTCCATAGTTCCCAGATACGAAGCCGAAAGGCCAAGAAGTAGGCCTATCGAAGTCATGTTATGTTTGGGCGTTAGGTACTTAAAGGATAACCACTTCGCGATGGTCCGAAGATGACCATTCAGGCCCAGAGCGAGGAGCAACCCAGCATGTTTGTTGCTTAGCTCTGGCGGTTTGTTGAAAACTATCCACGAGGTGTCGATGCCTTCGGCGCGCTTGGAGATGCTGAGTCCCGCTGTTACACCGGCATGGAAAAAAGCCCAGCAGTATTTCTCTTCTGTGAAATTGCTCCTGTCCGCTGTGACAGTATTGTTCATCGGCTTCATGACGCAGACGGTGTTGAATCCATGTAAAGGATATTTCTCGGTCAGTAATGGTTTCTTGCTATCGAAGTACAGCATCGACTGGCCGGGAGGCAGGGCAAAGGTGCGTATCATGACGAGCTGCATCACAGCTTTCTGCGCGTCCAGGTACTCAGCTTCAGACCATGCTGGGTCCGGTACGCATTCTGCAACCGCTGGCCGCAAGGGTTCCAGTAACCTCGCAGCCTCACTGAACCGACGGTCTTCACTGAATATAAGCCTTGTGACCATGAATCGGTCGGCTTCGGGTGTGCTTTGTACTGGGTCCGACTGTTCGGTTGCCTGACAGATGGCGTGTATATCTCTTACGACCGTGGTTGTGAAGGCAGATGCAGGCTGCAAATCCGGCGTGCCTTCTCGATGTTGCTCCGAGAAGAGGTTGAGGTCCTTCCGATTGACCAGCTCGAGCAACGCACTGTTCCACGTAGTTGGGGGGTCCGCTTGACAACGCGCTATAGTCTCTCGACAAGGTGCGGCGATCGCTTCGGGTAATGTCTCAATCATCCTAGCATCGATACCACACTCCAACATGACTTCTGCAGCCATGGTTTCCGAATACTCGGTACCTTTAAGTTTCATGAAGTACCTCGATAATGCCACCGTCCGTGGCGTGAGTTTCGTGAGATAAGTCTCTAGCTGCGCGTTGGGTGGGTTAGTGATGATCGCAGAAGGATTCCTTAGACATTGGGCCACCATGTCCAGCATTGGGAACGAAGTACACGGTCTAGGTGAAACGCATTGTTCAACCCACTCGTAGATTGAGGGAGGTTTAGCCCAAGGAGCCGGGATGGATGTGGCCCCAGGCACAGAGAGATCTTCGAAGATCCATCGGCTGGTACCTGCCCCATCGAGGTCGTAGTATCCACCCAGCCTCCAATCCCAACCATCCCATCCCATCCATCGACCCAACTGGGCAAGGACGGGACCCAGGTTGCCTGTGCTTATTTCAGAATTTGCTGGCTCGAGTATACTCAGCTTCCGTTCTTCGCGCAGGAGATGCAGACCTAGCAGCAGGACGGATAAGGAAGCCAAGTGTGGGGACTGGTTGTTCGGCACTCGCAGACGGTTCCATTGTTCGGTAGCTGCTTGACCTTCCGGTGTCTGCAAGAAACTCCGAGCCTGGGAAGCGCAGGATGTAATAAAGTCGCTCTTCGAGCCTATCCCGAAAGGCTGTGTGTTCGTCGGATGGTTCGAGGAAGGAATTTGAGGCCTAGTCGGTCGAGTTGCATGCTTTGCCCACTCCCAAGCTGGGCTACTTGAATTGCCGCTACCAAAGCGCTGCGCCTCGGACTTCCACATCAGATCCCACGCGGTATCTGATCTAGCTGGTTGCGGACTGGTCCGAGACTTAGCAGACCGAACTTGCTCACTCAATCGGACATTAGTCTGGTCATTGGAAGTTGATACGTGAGTGACTGCGAAGAGCGTGACCACGAAGGCGGTCCATTCGAGGTCGACGATGTGGTGGCTGTTAAAGCTACGATACACCGTCCACCACATATTGAGGAGCAACTCAGAGGCTGTGGTGGGAAGGATGAACTGGCAAACCCTCAAACAACGAGAGACCTGACTGTTACGAGGAGAAAGCTTGAACTGAAGCCTGTGCTTCCGACTTTCATTGTCCTCCACGTCGAAGATACCACCCTCCCCTACATTCAACAGGCTGCAAAGTTGCCTTGGGACACTCAACGTCCTTTGAAGCCCGGCGATCTTCCTTGCTGGCGAAGTGCTTTCCATTAAGAAGTGAGGGTCTAATATCCTTAGCTGAGGTAACTCAAATCGGAGTGGTGGAACATAAGCCCAGCTGGCATACAACCATAGGGCCAAATCTCCAGCCGCTGCCTGTTTCAGACATAAGACCCGAGAGGCAGCTCCGTCGGCAATGCCAATGGCGTCTAGATGGCTTTTGAAGCGCTGAGACCGGACAGGGATCGGGACCAGGGAAGTGCTATTCCGGATAGGCTTGTTACTCGTTTCTGGCAGTGATAGGCCAGTAGATGGATGGGTTCGCCGAACCATGAATTCTAGTTCGATGTGCTCTTGGATGTCTTTGCGAACAATGTGAAGGAAGAAGCGGTGTCCTAGATTGCTGGGATCCGAATCTGAGAATGGAGATACCGCGGTGAAAACTTTAAACGGATTGCGTCCCTGGATGTAATCAGCCACAATTCCAATGATACATGTACTGAAGCACCCGAATTGACCGACTACAAGGTCAATGCAGTTCCACAATGCAGGAGTGAGTTCATTGTAAGTACCTGAAATGGATGCCGCTCCTGCTGGGGACCGAATCTAAGCGGTGAAACTTGAGCGCCAATGGGTATCTCTGCAAATTTCAACATAACAAATTCTTTTTTTAGTCCATCTATAGGCTCATCAAGTGCAAAGTTGTCGAGATCGTCGAGCAATGAGTCTTCAAGCGTATCATCAATGTCAAAAAGCTCAGTGTCGCCGTCCATATCATGACTTTCCGAGATCTCATCAATGGATGCCTCGCCGAAACTCAGCCGTAACATGCTTCCAGATGTAGATGCCCTGAGTTTTGCCACGGGATAAGTGTCCAGGCCGCGCCGGTCATTGTAACCGCCGTAAGAATGGCCTCTACGCCCACGAGCCCCGAAGCTTGTCCCAGGGTTGGTGCGTTGGGTAGCAAGATCTTGGAAGGCTGTTCTATCGAAGCTGGTGGACAAGTCGGCCCTCGACAGCAGTGAACTTACTCGTCGTGACTCCTTTGCTGGTTGTCCAGGCAGATCATAGTCGGGATCAAGCTGAGAAGCCAAGGCCTCTTCTACTGATTGTGAGCCGCTAGATGGCTTCACCTTACTTGTACCGGCGTACATCGGCACAGTTTTACTTCGCACGGCAGCGCCGCCCATGCTTTCTCTGAGGCCATCTCGGGTACGCAAGCCAGGGGTAGTAGTACCGGTGCCGGGAACGTAAGAACTCCGCCTCCGTATCTTGTTGCTAGCCGGTTTGGGCTGCCGTTTCCGAATGGATGATACTCGGCGGGGCTCTACATAGGATGCGTACCATACCGAATACATTGCAGTATCGTAGTTGACCGTGACAACAACGATTAGAGGACTGTCAGCGACTTCAGAATTGCCAGGCACTTCGCTGCCCTTGGAAACAAACAACACTTCTTCAGCCTTGTCCAAGGATACAAAATCTTCGGTCGATGCTCCATTACCGGTAAGGGACGAGGTTGGGCGAAGCGGGGCTGTCACAACTAGACCCAGTTCAGAAAGCGGGTCCGTAAAAGAGAAGAGACGTGGAAGCTCATCGATTGTGGTGATTTTGGATTCCCTGAGAAGGTCTGCAAGGAACTGTGTATTGGTAGATGCTGCCCTCAGTCCCTTTGACCCTCGGGGTACATTGAAGGACGACGAGAGCCGCTGCGACGCACCGATAAAGGAAGAGGAGAGTCTGGTTCGAAATTGAGATTGGGACTGTGATTGGGAGAAGAAGGAGTTCTGAGGTACTTGGGGCAGAACAGGCGTTGGAGCGATGTTTTCGGCAACTGGGAGTTTCCTCTGCAATATTAGACCTCGAGGAGCTGCGAACGCCCTCTCAACCTCAAAAGGAAGGTTTACAACATGAGTTGAGCCGGTCAGGAAGAAGATGTGGGCCTGGAGCTTCAGGAAAACAACAAGTGCTCGAGACCGCCTAGTCTTAAATCCATCTCCGGTGTGCTGGCCAGATCGCTGCCCCGGTGCGTTCTCGGAAATTGATTTAACTTCTACGGAAGTCCTGCTCTGCGCAGCGGTACTCTGGGAAGCGTCCGGTTTATTGCTACCTCGTACATCTTGCCTGAACTCATGGTCATGACTCCGTCCGAATAGAGGAGTGTCATCCGCAGGAAACCATGTGAGAACAGCTTGGATGACCTTCTGCTGCTCAATCTCAAATCTGAACACCTTCTGTACCAAGCCACCTCTGGAGTAGACAACGCAGTAATCTGTGACTAGAACCTCCTCATCTCCAGCTTCGTCGTCATTGTAAGTTTCCCAGTGGTATTGTTCTTCTGAAGGCTCTTCTGGCAAGATGTGCTCAGCAATCAGATATTGGAGTCCAGTAGGAGTGTGGAGGCCCAGCGACCTGAGAGACGCCATGACATCGCCGGCATTGGGTGTGTAGTCGCGTTGCTGGCGTTTTCCGCATGCTTTGGGAGATGTGGAAGTGGTTGTTGATGCCAGTCACGGGGAGACGCGTTTCTTCGTTCGGCGACTCACGAACCTGGAGAGCTCCGTCACCCACTTGCCCGTCACCGCACCGCAACTGTTCGCACAGCTCCATCACCTAAACATGCCAATACGAATGAAACCTCGTGTGTCCCACAAAGGCAAGAACGTTCAGTTCAGGTACTGTTTGAACCCGCCTTCCCTTTGGCTTGTGAAAGCTCGTACTAATCCAACGTTCGAAACAGCTACGACCTCCCTTGCCGTATTAATTGCGCGAAAGTCTATCCTGTCAAGTCACCAAATGGCTCTACGGTGATTATCTACGGCCACGATACCGGCTTGACAGTGTTATGGAGAGGAGGGAAACCGCTGAAATCGACGGTGACTTCGAACGACGCATCCACTCAAGCGCAGCCGAACGGCAATCAAGACGATGCTGTGATGATAATTGACTCAGACGACGAAGCGCCGCCTGTCCCCTCCTCGTTCCAACCTCAATACGACGCCGAGTTTGAACCCGAAGACGAAGAACACGATCCTTCTGAGCCCTACCTTCCGGTAGTCCAACACCTCGATCTTCCGCTCCCGGCCGAAGTCCTACACCTCTCCGTACCTCGTCTGCCTCCCTCCAACCCGTTACGCTCAGGAGAAAACCGCCCTACTATCTTCATTCGCAAAATCGTACTTTCGGTTGCCTGCACAGACTGCACGATCCGCGTCATTGCCCTGCCCCTTACGCCCCCGTCAGCTGCACGGAAGTCCAGGCAAGTAGCCGGGTCGGCGATCAGCTTCTTTGGAGGAGAGCAACTCGAGCTGGCCTCTCAGCATGGACACCAGAGCATACCAGATAACCTATCCATGACGTGGACCTCCAGGCAACCTCTTCCTGCCGCCCGCGACCTCGACCCTTACGACGAAGAAGATGCGGATGACGCAGATTCTGGACGAAGTTCGCGTGCTGCCCGAGACAGATCACGATCAAGAGATAGTTCAGACATGCAAGAGTGGGACCTGTTGATCGCCTCGCATTCAAGTGAAGCCACCGGGTTGCTCATCATCTCTCGGGTGTTGCTTCCGTTGGATGGCTCTCTATCGAGCGGCCAGGTGGTTCCTTCTCAGGTTAGATATCTTCGGTCCCCTGCTGTCAGAATCGCCTTCAGTCCGACGACTTATCCATACCATCGCCATGCACGGCTATTGGTTGCCGAACGTACGGGCGCGGTTAGGGTATATGACCCGCTATCTTCAACATCGCGGCGCCCACAATCGTCGTCGCGCTCAAACACCAGCTTTAACCCGCAGGCTGCGCCTGGAGGTTCCTGGCTCGGAACGTTTCTTACTAACTACGGAAGCCAAGGGGATCCTTCGGCAATCTTACCTGTCGTCACTCAGCGCAAGAGGATACTAGACGCCCAATGGGCTTCCAGCGGCAAGAGTATCGTTGCCCTCCTCAGCGATGGTGAGTGGGGAGTCTGGGATATTGACGGCTCCGGGCCTATTAGCATGTCACGAGCCTCTGCAAACACGTCCCCTGTCTCCTTTGCTCTCCGCGGCAGCGTTGGTGCCTCGAGCTCGTCCTTAATATCTTCGTCATCGACTGTCGACAAATTCCGTGGCAGCAGCACTTCTCTGGCTCCAATGACACCAAACACCCGGCGAACCAGAGAGGAATCACTTTTCAGTGGACATAGCTCCAGCCAGCCCGGCGCACCCAGGGGAGGTATTTGCGTGTCCAGTACGGCTAGCAGTACCGGTGGCGTGCCTTATGACTCCGTCCTGATCTGGTACGACAACAGTGTCTACCGAATACCGAACCTCCAGCAATACTGGGCCCGCACTACGAGCGGCAACACCGGATCCTTGTACGGCTCTGGGCTTGCCCGCATCGAGAGCCTCGACATTCAGGGCGAGTTTATTAGCGGCATAGAGCAGTTTGATCTCGAGAGCACCGCGGCAAAGATCACCAACCAACGGGACTTGCTGGTAGTGGCCGAACGTCGGTTGATTCTGCTTGGCAGTGAGATCAGGTCAGGTAAAGATGTCACGCTATTCCGCGGTGAGCAAGAGCAGGACGGTCAGGTCAAGTCTGCGGATCAGAAGATGCTGGTGAGCCAAGAGCTGGACCTGGCTGGCATGAGCAGAGTACTCGATGGCATGAGCGGGGCTAGCAATGGGATCCAGACTGGTCTTGGGAAGAGGGTGGGGTTTGCGGCCTGACCGTTAACTGTGTGTTTCAGGTTGCCTGAGGGTGGTACTGATAGTCTGTGATGGATCTACTGACGAGAAGCAGAGACAATATTCATCGCAGGTAAGTTCGTGAGTAAGGTTTTTGGCGAAGCACGATACCCCTCGACGTTGATGTAAAATTCAAGACCTACTAATTTATGCTGCATGCGACTAACACATTGCTACAACATGACCTGCTGTTCCTCTCCACCACTTCAACTCTCATTCGCGTGGCAAGGTGGAGCACTAGGCGAGGTCCTTCCTTTTTGCTCAGTATTCCACGCGATACACCAAACACGTCTCGTTTCGCTTGACCGTATTCGGTCTTTGAACAGCATTCGGGCTGCAGTATCTCTTTTGAGGCTTGCAACTTGAGCACTTGCTTTCTCTTGAGAGCAGATGCGAGGACAGTTCGGGCTGCATGCAGCGGTTGCTGGGTGCTGAGAAGATACTGTGACATTTCTCTTTGATGAACAACACTCACACACATAATTGCTATGAGAGTAATGAACCACATGGACTGGTGACGGCTTTCGCCGCTGTGAGATGGGTGTTGCAGGTTGAGCTACATAAAGCTTTAACTTCAACAATGGGTACAACTTAATATGCATCCGCGTTGCATAATGTAACAATCTAGAGAATGACCACCGCTTGCCATTTTAGTCAGCCTTGGCGGCAGCCTGAGGCCATTTCAGGCAGCAACTCGCCCATGCCCTTCACAAAAGACTTGCTCCTCCTCACCACAGCATCACACGAGCGCAGCGTAACGCTCACAGGACAGTACTTACCTAGGTATCTGGTGAAAGCAAGCTTGATGCACATGTCCGTTTGTTTGTCTAGCTGTTGAACTGAACTTCGAACAATTCTCCGGCACACGCTCGCTTGCAGAACCACTAACTGCATCACGTTTCTTCTTACTTACGACGTACTAGACACTTCGACATTCTCTAATCCCGATGTAGTTGATGCTCCTCTGAGTACTGCCTCACACTGAACCCCGCTCATTCTCCATCAATCTCTCTCCACTGGAGGCTGACCTAGCCATCCTTCCGCCGCCTTCGCCCGACCATCTCTCTTCCACATCGTCGTCTTTCGAATCACACCTGATGGACATCTTCATCCGAAATGTAGCCATTCCGGCTAACGACAAGCACCTTACTGATGTGCTCCGCTATCCGCTTGAGCAGCTGTCAATCTTTGCCTATGATTGCAAGAAGATGAAAAACAAGGGCTGCGCTATCCTCACAATAGCCGACGAGAGCCTCGCGGCATCTTTCATGACCATTTACGGCTACAGAGAGAACCCGAACCCTCAAGACAGGCAGGCCCAACGAGCAAAAACCATAGTCTTCCTTCAACGAACTCTGATTTTCACTCAGAGCACCAGCAAACCTGACGAGACGCTTCTACGAGCACTGAAATTAGAGCAAAAGGTCAAAAGCGAGAAGCAGAAAGAGAATCTAGTGGCCAAGCTTGGCCCACCCCAGCCAAGTTTGCAGCAGAAATATGCCCTCAGCCAACTCTGCTGCGGAGTCTGGGACTATCACCACAGAGCCCTCGCGTATGTGCCGTACTTTCAGGACCGTCGAAGCGGCACCATCATCTTCGGAAAGACCTCACTCGTGATAATCCTAGAGGCTTCGAATGGAGTGAACTGGAGATGCCGAATTGACATTCCTTACTACAGCATTGACAGTATCACCACAGGCAGCTATGCCAATCCAGCTATCGCGTTAACGCTGACCATGGCGCCTCGTATGTACCGCTTAGATCCCGACCCGAATTTCATGCCAAACGACCTGAGCGAGATTATGGCGGCGCTATCGATGAGCATTTCCAGACCGAGCCCATTACAAAATCAGAACCAGAAACGAACGAGAATCACCAGCATAGAGCTGCCTCACGAACAAATCGTTGGCAGCTGTTTTGTTTATCAGATCGTACTGTCGAACTTTGCAGAGATTGCAAATGTGTATCAACTGCTCGATCGCAACAGAGGACTGCCTTCAAGCATACGCTACGACTTCGTTTGGCTCCCCCCAACACAGGACCTTACAACTGACATGAGGCAATTGAATGAGGCGTTGCAGTACGCGAAGTGGCCTTTTCCTTTAAAGTTTCAAGTGCAGAGACTGGCAACCAATGGCTTCCTTCGCCCCAAAAAAGTTCTCAGACTCCTCCCCGCGATCACACGAGTATCTAAAATCTCCGGCGCTCATGCTGCCACATGGGCTGTCCAGCAGGTGGCAGATTCTCTACCCATACCGGGCCCGGACGCTGCACCTGAAGAGTTCAATGTGAACGACCTAATTATGAAATTAGAAACCACCGCAGCAAGCTGGCGGGACGAGGGCTCCGTCTATGATCTTACTAAGCGCCATCAGCATATCGTGCTAGTTCACAAGGTCTTCATCACGCCCACAGGAACATATCTTGAGGGCCCAGAGATGGAAGTCACCAACAGGGTCCTACGCAACTACTCCAAGCACACTGACCAGTTTATCCGCACCACGTTTGCCGATGAAACCTACGAGCCGGTTCACTTCGACCCAAACGCATCAATGGAGGAGATCTTCCACAGCAGGTTCAAGGCAGTGCTGGATAGCTCAATCAACATCGCAGGCTACGGCTTCACCTTTCTCGGATTCTCCCATTCTTCGTTGCGCTCGCAAACGTGCTGGTTTATGGCACCCTTCATCCACGACCAGGAGTTGATCGTTGCTCAAGAGGTCGTCAAACGTCTTGGTGACTTCTCGCATATCCGATCTCCAGCCAAATGCGCAGCTAGGATCGGACAAGCGTTCTCTGATACTAACGGAGTGGTAACCATCCGAGAGGAGAATCTTGAGCCCATGTATGACGTGACGCGCAATGGTCGTGTGTTCAGCGACGGTGTAGGCACCATTTCGCCGAAGCTTCTCAAGCGGGTTTGGATTGATTATGCCATGTCCCGTAATCTGAAGCCTACCGCCCTTCAAATACGCTTTGGTGGTAAGTGCGCTCTCTATTTCTGCATCACAGAGTACTCTACCTCACTTGCGACAAGGACGAACGGTCTCAATGCATGTTTTACGATGCTCATGCGGTATTTTGTTGTTTTCGATTACTCCCTTGACAGTTGAGCGTTTCCATCAAGCATGTGCATACTAATCACATGGACCGCAGGTGCAAAGGGTATGCTGTCTCTCGATACCACTATATCCAGTGAGGTAATACGACTTCGCGAATCAATGATCAAATTCGAAGGATCCCCTTCACTAGACCTCGAGATCTGCGGAGCGAACTTCAAGCCGCTACCAATGTATCTCAACCGGCAATTTATTAAGATCTTGGAGGATCTTGGAGTGGATGAAGACGTTTTCCTGGAGCTTCAGAGTGTTGCTGTTGAGAGTATCCGACGCATGACTTCGTCTCCAGTGAACGCTGCTACCTTCTTGGAGATCTCACGTACTGGCCTAGCCACGAAGACACCGTCCCTCATCCGAATGCTGAACGACATGGGTTTGTCATTTCACAATGACGACTTCCTTCAACACACTGTCGAGATCGCAGCACTGGTAGCGCTTCGCGAGATCAAGCACCGATCACGAATCCTCGTCGAGCATGGCGTTACGCTCTACGGTATCATGGATGAGACCGGCATCTTGAAGGAGGGTGAAATCTACTGCGTGACCGAGACAGCGTCTGGCGGCCGACGTGTTCTTAGCGGTGGTAAAGTGGTCATCACTCGTGCTCCAGCTCTGCATCCTGGCGACGTTCAGGTGGTCAAAGCAGTAGATGTGCCAGCTGATTCTCCACTCAACGCTCTACACAACTGTGTTGTGTTCAGCCAACACGGCGCGCGTGATTTACCCAGCTGCCTAAGCGGTGGAGATCTGGACGGAGATCTCTACAACGTCATCTACGACCCGCGTTTGATCCCTCAAACCACGTACGAACCAGCCGACTACCCCAGAGCCAAGGCCCTGGATATTGGAAGAGAGGTAGTGCGGCAAGACATGACGGACTTCTTTATTAAGTTCATGGAGACGGATCAGCTCGGCCGCATATCAACGCTGCACCAAGTGCTTGCCGACCGCTACGTCGAAGGCACACTGCATCCTAATTGTATTCTGCTCGCTGAGCTCGCGTCCACCGCTGTCGACTTCTCTAAGACTGGTATTCCTGTCGACATCAAGCGGATTCCACGCTCTATTAATACCCGGCCGGACTTTATGGCTCCCGGCCCGCGCGTGCGGATCGAAGACAAAGGTACTATCTTCGAAGACGAAGCTGACGAGGATGCCGACGAATTCGAAGACCCTGTTAGGAGTCTCGATCCAGACAGCCGGGCCGTACGGTATTATGAGAGTGACAAAGTGCTCGGAAAGCTGTACCGCGCGATCGACGAGCGCGCGATCCTCTCCGCCATCCAGGCGCGCTCCAAGACCCAAGCCCAGGCCCTGGCTGACGCCACAGCCACCTCGCTCATGGACAAAGTGTGGGTGCACGTGAAGCGCAACACGGCGCTCGTACAATACGCACACCACCTCTTGGCTGCACGCGGAATGAAAGAAGCCTACGAGCACAACCTTGCGGACATGATGTCTACCTATTCGACGCATCCGTCTCAACCGCTCTCAGAGTTCGAAGTGTTTAGCGGGAGTATTCTAGGCAAGTGCGCGGGCGCGCAAAACAAGCGCGTCAGGGAGAATAACGCCAAGATGAAGGAGCAGTTTGAGCGGGACGTTACGTTCTGGGTTGAGCGTATCACGCATGGTGATGATGGCGATAGGGAGGAGGCGCTTGCGAGGAGTATTGCGGCCTTGCATGTCGGGATGGAGGAGGGCAGTCGGATGGCGGGCAAGGGTAGGAGACGGGCGGAGTTGAGGAGCTGGAGGTACATCGCTGCTGCTGTATGCTTGAAGGAGGTTGAGAGATTTCAGGGACAGTTCGGCGGCGCTTGGAGGTGGGTTGAGGTGGATGGGATATCGACGTTGCGGAGGGTGCCATGAGCGAAAAGCCGGACTTCGGAGTTTCAAAGGACTAGAATGCCTTCAATGGACGGGAAGGATTGCTTGAATGTAGGCGCTTGCTCGGCGCTATGGGGCGGCTGACATATTTAGATACCCCTGGTGCAACATGGTTTCTTTCTGTCCTTTCATCTTGATTCGGTTAGGCGGCAGCACCTTGTCGCAGAGAATAAATCCAGCAGTGAATCATGTATTGACACTACCTTACGACGACAGCTCGTGCATCTCAGCCCTAGACTTCCGCATTACTTCCTCTCCTACTGGCATCTCAAGAACCTTTGACTCGCCGCTGAGCTCCGCGTGCGGTACCAAAGCCGCTGAGCCACCTCCATCGGTTTCTCTGATCTTGCGTTGAATGCGCCGACGGACGAGAACGATTGTAGCGAGAGCTGCTACGACAAGAATGCCAGCAACAACGCCGCCCGCGATGGCTGCAATGGGAGTCTTCTGCCCCGCCGATGTTGGCCTGACGGACGAGGTGGGCGCAGCTATAATTTCCGTTAGCATCAATGTGCGCAAGTATTCTGAAACAGATGGTCACAATCAGATTTACCTAGGGAGTTGGTTGCGTTGCTGCCCTTAATCGCATCGCCTTCCATAAACAAGTCCCGAACCGTTAGAGAAGTCCATGGCACGGACGACAGCGCCCTGGTATATGTGATCAGCGCTTACTCTGGCCTCAAATACTGCTCGAACGGTGGACAGAAACGCAAGAAAACATACCCTCTGCTGTACCACTCCCTCACAACACCCGGACTCTCATACGCCGCAGCATCAGCATCATACTCATCCGCCCACGCCATAGCACTGATATCGAAAACTCCGAGCCCATTCCGCCACGGATCCCCCGCGCTGAAAGCGTATGGACTCTGACTGAGATCCAACCCGCCCACTATCAGCATTTGCCGCTTCCCAATTACTTCGCAGCTCGCAACCATGCGCGGGCTTGTGGGGATGTAGTCCGCCTTGAACCACACGAAGCCCGGGATGCTAAGGACATAGAGCTCGTCGTATGCTTGGTTGAGCTCGACGTTCCAGCCGCCGTGGACAAATCTGGGGAGAGCAATAGTGTGAGCTTCTACGTTTATCCTGTGGTTATGCGAGACCGAGGTGCAAGGCAGAACTTACATCTCGTAGGTACCGTTGACGCCCTGGACGCCGACCGCGCAGAAACTGTCTCGAGGACTCGGATGCTCCCCAGTCGTCCCCTGGGAGTGCCAGATCTTGGATACCGGGTCGTAGATGGTGATGTTGTCAAACGGAATGAACTCCGGGTTCGCATTTGAGAACGTGCCTGGTTGATACAGGTCTGGCGAGGTACTTTGCCCGCCAAACATTACGAGCAAACCGTCAGTCCCGAAGCCGGGAACGTGTTGCATGTGGCCCCAGAGACCCATTCCGTTAGACGAGTACCCGATAGAGCTCTCGTTTTTCCAGCCTCCCGAGGACATGTTGAAGGATACTAAGCCGGGCAGTGGAATGGCATCGCCCTCGAAATTTGGATCAGAGTGAGAGGTCACAACTCCACTCAGAGCATAGCCAACGTCTCCGCCCGTCGCGGTAGTTGCACCGTAGGGACGGGTAAGGTTCGAGAATGCTGCTGAATCCGAGGACAGTTGCTTACTCCACGAGCCACTACCGGCGCCGTCCGCTGTGAACTTCCATAGAGCGAGATCCGGCGTCGTCGGATCGCTCGGCATCGTCCCGCCCCCCCACAGGTAGAACGAAGCGCCGTCGCTGTCAGGCCACAATGTCGGCAGGTTGAGGACGGGCACGTTTGCATCCTGAATCGTTCGCACTTCCACAGACTGGTTTGTCCACGAGCGGTTCACTTTAATTGAGAGGATGCTGTCTGAGAGGAAAGGAGTAAGCCAAGGCGCTGATGCTAGTCTTCCCAAAGCTTGTGGCCGTGTCCGAAAAAGTTGCTCTTGAGGGACTCGGAAGTGGCTTGGGACTGCAGATAACGGTGATGCGGGTACTCACTTGCGCTCGATTGGTATAGCGAGCTTCGATCTCCGTTAATGGTTTGAGAGAGCTCGCCACCTAGGATATAGACATGGTCACCAAGCAGAACAGCTGGGTAACGGCGTCAGTATTGCTCGCGGTTCTGTAGAGATGAGGATGTTCCGTACTCTTGTGGAAGGCTCGTCGCCTGTAGTCCGACAATCCTGGCACTTCAACCTGTCTCTGTGCCAGCCACCGTAAAGTCTCATCTTGAAAGTTGCTTGCACCATGCGCGGCTACCGCAAAGAGTGCGAGAACGAGACCATGAATGGAGCTGACAGCGAAACCCATTATCCTTACGGCCACCCGAGCGGTCCTCGAGTAGCAGTGCGATGAAATAACTACAGCTGACCGAGAGGAAACTCTGCAAAGAATATTACTTGTTCAATATGAAAGTGGATCCATGATAAAAGGCTGCGTGGGCGAACTGCAGTACCATGTAGGTCATTAGGGCGCTAAAAGCCAACAAGTACGCCTACGGAACTGCCAATCTACTCTCACAGAGCGGAGTGGAGCTGCAATACCAGGCCACTCACCATCACTGCGGATAAGGCCATGCAGCGGGAGGATCAAACATGGAGGCGGAGCGTTTGATCTTGTTCCCGAGTGCAAGGACATCCGTCTTGGCACCGTGCAACGCTGCCGCCCGGTACGCTCTCAACCAATTGGACGAGTTACCGGCTCTGTGATAGCAAGCAACAAAAATAGTCGACGAAAGGTGATGAGCTGGGCTATGCAGCATCTGCTGACGAGTGTCCTGAATACCGCTGGACCAGGCAGGGTTAGGACATCGCTTGGGGAAGCGAGGACGTGGGGAGACGGTCTCCTGAAACGGCGACGACACCCAGTAAGTTCGAAAGCGTACTTCGTAAAGTCTGAGTGTTCTGAACACCAGAGCGGTTCGATGCTACAGTTGCATTGTCATGGTCTCTATACTTTCCCACTGCGCGTCGCCCTGGGGTACATATACAAGCTTGGGTCAAGAGAGGTTCCAGAGTTCGCCAGGGGTGTCGCACTGATCACGAACCCGACGGCACGCACATGACGGCAGCGGTCGTTGGTCTCTGGACGTGTTCCTCCGTTGTCCGTATGCGAAGCCGCGCCTGTTGTCGTTCGTTGTGCAAACAAGCTTCTTATGTATACGGTAAACTGTGGTTGAGCCGCTTGCTGATCTCTTCCTCGGTAGATCCCGGCCCCTCATGAAAGTTGTCTTAGCCCCGTCACAATGCCTCGACCAAAGTTCCCTGTTTACCATTGAGAGGAAGGGAGCGCTTGAGGATGTCGGATTGTTGAGATTGGAACGTTGACAGCTGTCGAAAGACCCTTTTCCGAGGCGTTCTCCCTCAGCCGCATTGCGCTGTCCTACTAGACGACGCCAACACACGCAAACCCACACACCTCCTAGCAGCTGCTTTAAACCTTACGGCATATCAGAGGTTATTGAGTCTTTCTATATTTGGTACTTACCAGCGCGGCCTACTGTTGCTTATGTCTCACTAGCCTGGAAGTCCAAGAATACATGCTCCTGAGTTGGGCGTGATCTCCAGCTCGCAGTTCCTCGGGGTTGCTTTAATGAAAGATTACTCAATGGTATCTACCTCTCCAATGAGTTCTAGAAATCGCGATAGCCGGATGTCTGCATCAATACCCGATGAGGGATCTCAGAGCTCCTATGGCACAAATGATACTCAGCACTATCGTGACCGGACACCACTACCCACAAGAGTCAATAACGCGTGTCAGAGGTGCCGGAGGAACAAGACCCGCGTACGCTTGTTGATCAAACCCTACAAGAAAGGAAGCTTTTACTGATCCTGCAGCTAGTGTGATCCCTTCCGACCTTGCTCGCTTTGCTTGCGAGCGGATGCCGAGTGCTTACCGAACACAGCCTGTAATTCCAGCTACCCTCGGAAGTAAGCCGGTATTGTCGACGTTCGAATGCAGTCGAGTATTCCGTCCCTTGTACTGACACTGACTATGAGTCGTGAAATAGAAGACGCAAGGTTGGAGACGCTCACCATGGCGACCGAGAGCTTCCGGGCCCAACGCCGCCACGGGACACAACTCCAAACCAGTCATCCACAGTTGAGGAAGCTGAGTCGCCTATAAATATCGGCGAACCTTCGGCAGCAGCTCGAGGAGATTCTTTTGAACCCCCGGCAACATTCCGTGCACAGCAGACTGTAGATTACGGCGAAGCGGAGTCGGCTATGGGCATCGCTCGAAAGGTAGCTAGCTCTTTCACCACTGAGCTCTCATGGGCATGAACTGATCATGTACGGACGCGCACAGATTGTCCAGCTTGGTAGCCAACATATCGATGAGAGAACAATCTCTGCCATACCCGGGGGCGACATCGGCGAGCATCGTCTTGCTGTAACTGGACGGGATCGCAACAACCGGCGTCCAATATCCTCCATTTTGGGCTGCCCGTGGCCGTCAAGGGACGTGGTGTGCACGCTTATGGAAGAGTATTTTGATGCCGTTCATTGGTTCTCGTTGGTCATCTACGAGCCGAAATTCCGCACCAAGTTTCAGTCCATTGAGGATGGCTTTGCCAGGCCATCACAAAAGGCATTCCTCATTCTTTTATCCGTGATGCTTGGTATGGCTGCATGGTACCGATCACAGAAGAAAACGGTGGAGACGGATCATCCTGGCGAAGACTGGACAAGTTGGAGATCGAAACTGCTCGAGAACGCTGAGTCTCACTTGGTGGAGCTGATGGATCAAAGCTCAATTACCAGCGTGCAAGCCTGCATCTTATTGGGCTCGTATTACGTTTATCACGGCAGACCTAATCTCTCTTTCGCGCTGCTAGGAGCAACTATCAAAACCGCCCAAGCCATCGGGCTTCATCGGGAAGTTCTGTCCGAAGGACCTGACGATCTCGAAGAAAAGAAAAGAGTTTGGTGGACCATTTATACCTGGGATAGGTGAGTTTTATTGGAAACTCTGTGTGACGGTGTTTTGGCCTAACTTTTCCTAGATTTGCCACAACAACTTACGGCAGGCCTCTCGGAATCAACGACAAGGATTGCAATGTCACTATGCCTGCCGACGTTCATGAGTGTCCCTACTTCAAGAGCGGCTCCTCCGACCGCGCTGGTTCCCCAGTTTGTTTCTCGACCTACCAGCGGGAGTTAAATGAGCTTTACATGATCGCCTCGCCGATGATCAAGACCATCTTTGGTGCACACAGCATGAATTCCGTGGAACAGGCCACCGACAACCTTTACAGTACACCTGTCAAGACTATAACCGAAAAGCTTTGGAATTGGCGGCAGCGCTTACCGCATCATCTGGTGCTTGACCTTGATCGCGAATCTAATCTCGACATGTCTTCAACCCAGAGGATCCACCGCTTGCAGGCTCTAGCTCTACAACTCACGTTTGATAATTTAATTATTATCCTTCACCGGCCCTTCCTTGCTCAGCAGGTCAACTTTCTCAGCAGAAGCTACTCAGGACAGGATCAGGCCAGAACCCCTTCATCACCCCAACTCTCTTCTCCAACATATTTCTCCGCATCTCATACCGACCACCGGGTCACCTCGCAGCTGAACTCGCAATCCCCTAGTCCCGAGCAATGGTGGAATGCGGCAGTGAGAACTTCAAGAGTGACCGAATTACCACAACTTGCTCAACTCGCTACCGACAGTCACCTGGTCGCCTTCTTAGCCATCAATCTGTTCAACTCAGCAATCGTCATGGTCGTGATGGCTCTCTCCGATCCTCTTTCTGACAGAGCGCAGGAGGCAAAGCGAACCATCACACGCATATTCCGGCTGCAAGAGCTCCTTGGCAAGCGGTCTATGCTGTCTATGCAGAGCAGCGTCGTTCTCAGAAAGGTCGTCCACATGCTGCTACAGCGTGAAGCGGAAGCCATGTTAGCTCCTGTCACCTCCTTACAGCCAACCTCGGGAGAACATCGTCGCGAGCCGTCGGGAGCGTCTACTCCGGGGCTTATCTCCGTTGAAGACACTCTTCGCCTTCCTCTCGATATGCCGGCGGATTTGGTCAATCATTTCCCGGTTGGCCAGGAGCACATCAGTGTGGACAGGGCTATGAGACTGAACGAAAGCCTGGTATCGATACAGCGAGGTAATGTTCTCGTGATCTACTCTGGTTCCCTGGTTCGAATTACGCTCTGTCCATGAGCATGCAGTATGCTAACCCGTATCATTGCACAGCTTTGCCTATCGGCTCCCATGGTGCCCAGTATCTCAATGGCTCCGGTAGCGGAGAGGCGGTCCAAGGCCAATCAGTTTCCCAGTATGCACAACAGACAGGGAATGAAGCATGGGCATACGGCAATTATGGGTTCAATGTCGCCACAGGAGAGCCCGGAGAGCCCTCGGGTGACGAAAGTAGTGTCGACCTCAGTGGGAACGGGCTCTACTGGTTCTGGGACACTGCTTGGGGAGAGCCGCACATGTAATATGTGTTACACCAAACACACCATATCTAACGCCGTGTAAATGCTTGGTATACTCGAAGTTGTGACGGTATCGAACCAAGCGTCAGAATGTCCAACAGCGTGACTGTTCCCAAACTTCCGCCAATTGCCAAACATCCAACGCGAGGGTGCTGGCGACCGGATCCTCTCGCTACACCGGGCCCCCGCTAATCTGCGAGGCCTAATTCGATAGCGTTCTGCCCGGCGGTCTGTAACAGTTAGTCTTGCGGAATGCTGGGGTGGAGAGAGGTGGTGGACTTGGTTGTTACGCCATTCGCTTTCCAAGTTTCTATCTGATAATCTTTTCAGTTCAGTCTTGAAGTCGTCTAACATGATGCTGTCGGTAAGACATTTGAAGATCAAGGCGAGCTTCCAGTATGGGTTGATACTTTACAATGGCTGGAAGTCAGCGATGTTCGTTCACTGTGAGTATGACGAGTATGCAAGGTTAATTTACCCATCCACAGCGCCGCTTATACTCGGAACAAGAACCGCAAGGACATCCATGAGGGTGAAAATGATGGATAAACATATGGCGGCTAGAAGGATACCAAAGCGAGGACGTCGACCTATCAAGCTAAGAATGGAAGTGCTGTAGCATTTTCTTATGACGTGGAATAGGGTGAGAACGGTGAATATCCACCATGGGTCCCTGGGTACGAGTCAGCTTTCAGTGGAATGCACGAGATTGAAGACCCATAAAGCGAGTGGAAACGGTACGAACGCTTCCTCACCTGAAGAGAGGCTCTGTCGGCCGTACTTCACGGTAAAAGTCGTTGATGTTGTTGAAGAAACGGAAGTTATTCACGATTTGTAGAAGTATTGGAGGAACGGTCATGGCAAGTGTGATAAGGTATACTCTGCTCACTATCTTGCCTGTCTTTGGCTGGAAGAGCGATCTCGAGTCGGTGAAAAAGGGTTTGATCTTGATCCATGCCACAACATTGTGCAAGAAGTATGAGCAGTACAGCAACGCAGCTGTCGATGAGAGGTACCACCCGTAGCCGTCGAATGACATGAAGCAGAAGGTGCCGTGCGTTATAGCGAGCAGGAGCTGAATCAGAGATGTTGGTAAAGTTGTCACCCAGTTGGAGGCTTGGAGCGTTGACACACCTCGAGCAAGATCAGTTTGTGCAGCAGGACGCCTCTTCTCATGTTCGCGACAGTGACGCAGCACATGATGATCAAGGCTCCAACCATGAAGCCTTCGCTCCATCCTTCAAGTATGAATGCCTCGTCTGTGGCATCCTTGCGCCAACTCCCACCATTGGTTCCGTCTGCGCGGTCAACGAGGTGGGAATCGACTATTCGTGATGGTGCCATGGCGCATTCAAATAGCGCCCATTGAATCGATTTTCGCTCCACAGGGCTCAAGGTCTTGAGGTCGTCGATGCTAGTCTCCAAAAATGCCTCAATGGGACGATAGAGGCTGAATGAAGTGTATCGAGAAACAGTATTATCGGCCGGTGTCGACCAGTTCTCCTCTCACGCGTCTTCCAAAGCTGTGATCAAAATTGGGCACTCCGACATCGCGCGGGTTTTCCATTGCCTAGAGGCTCGTTGACGGGCTGTGAGGTGTTTGAGCGATCAAGAGTTTGGTGGCGGCATGCGGGGTGGACTTCCGACGGAGAGTCTGATCGACAGCGGCTGTCATTTCCACTCCCTCCCTCCATTTCCCCGCCAAAAATGCCGCATCAAGGATCTCATGTTTGAGCCGTCGGAACCGGTGGATGGGCTTCTCATGGCATACACGTGCAGGAATGCGGGGGACTCACGGACCCTGGCCGAGCCCTGCAGGTGAGCAAGCGCTTGGACTGTCGATCAGCCGCGGAAGCCAGGAGAACTCCTGGGCAGCCAACATCCATGGATGCCATTGTTCACTTGTTCGAAGCCAACTTGGCGAGACACCTGCAGAATCGGTGAGGTTGATTGTGAAAGCCGGAAACCAGGAGGATGAATTAGCGACCTTAAGTCGAGTTCCGGTTAGCGATCTTCCTGCACTACGAGTAGTGTAGCACTTGTAGCTGCTGGATAGGAGTGTTTAGACCTCCTCGTGGACGGCTCATGAGGACTTTAGGTCACTCGGAGCGCGCTCTGAGCTCCCAAAGGCGCTCTAGGCCGAAGAAATGATATGCTGATGTAAGCCTATATTATGTCTTGACTTTAGATCTTGCTGGACTTCGATGGACAGTATGATGAGAATGCTTGTATTTACATAGGAGATCGTGCCTATTACTTGCCTCTTAGACAGCGGCTAATAACCCGATAGCATTTGACGATAGTAAAGTACGACACTTCTTTTCCGAAGGTCACAATGCCAACGACGCTCTTGTACAGGCTCGAAAAGAGATAAAAGCCGAGTTTTTCACGCGAGTTGGAAACGTATTTCAGGTGAGTTTGCACTTGTAAAAAATCACATACATATTCCGATGCGAGCCATAATGGAAAGTCGATTCAGTGTTCCACATTGTCCACATCTGAATCACTAGGTTCGTGAGGAGTCACTCGTCGAGCGGCCGGTGGTGGTTATGATGCTCCAGACGGACACTAGTCGTTTGAAGCTACAAGGGTCAACCCTGTACGGACTGCCCGCTCTCCCAGCTGCATAAAGCCAATAGAATAATCATATTGGCTCAACACGGTGCCTGAGTGGTTCGTTCCACAGCGAGAATCAGGGAGGGCTGGCGGACCGCACAAGGCTGAACCTTATTTCAAGGAAGCACTGCATCGCAGTACAATCGATTTTATCATGGCACTAGTCCGGAGCTTCCAAATAAGCGCGATCATTGGTGAACGGAGGCGAGTAAATTCCATATCATCGCCATGCCAAGGCTCACGGTGTTCAAGGGACAAAGCCATTGAACTTGAGACTTAAACTATAGAGTAGCTAGCGGAATATTACAAGCGGCTAGTGAATCATATGACCGTCCATATTGGTAGACCTACGTGTCGAGCGATGTAAAACACTGAGTCGGTTCAGCCGCCCAGACCCGTGAAGCATCGAAGGGGGTAAGACATATTAAGCTTGTCAATAGTCTCATTGTAGTCTGCATGGCATTCCGAATGTAAAAACTCCCATTCCCGAATCCCAAAAGCAATGAACATTGTCAATCTGGTATGTACATCTCCTGCTAAAGCTCATCATTCCTTCATCAACCGTGCCCAGCGTGGCCCCTCAGCACGAGATACATTAACGAGTGTGCTCGATACATCCTTTGCGAGATCAATCTGCAGCCACCTCCAAGCCCTCGTACGTGCCATCCTTGTCCTACTCAAACGACACTCTTCTTCTTTTCGTTCTTCAACTCGACAATATCCATGATTTCCTCGTCATTGCCCTCAAAAGCCTTGTCACCGAAGGCCACTGCAATCTCTTCAAGGGTATGGCCTGCGGTCTCGACGTAGTAGAACTGCGACAGGCCGGCCGAGAAGAGGCAGAAACCCGCAATGACGAGGTAGAAGTAGCCACCAATGGCGGCGAAAGCGTCTGGTGCAACCATACCAATGATGAAGTTAAAGATCCAGTTGCTGGTAGTGGCTAGTGCCATACCCTTGCTGCGGCCGCGAAGAGGAAAGATCTCGGCAGGCAGAAGCCACGGCATTGGACCCCAAGTGAACCCGTAAACTATGTTGTACAGCATGACGAAAGCATATTGGCCGTTAGCTGCGGTGGTGACTGAGAAGTTGGCTTCGGTAAAGGCACAGACGATGGCCAATAATACCGCCATTAGAATGCCTACATTCCATGAGTCAGTCAACCCAACGAAACTTGCGTTCCCTAGGACTCACCTCCAAGGAGAAGCAAAGGTTTCCGACCCCATCTGTCCGCTAACCACCATGTGACAACAGTCGCGGCGGTATATGGAATAGCGTTTGCGCCGGTGTAAAGGAGCGATTTACGGTTGTCGAATCCGGCGGACGCTAGTGTGCTTGGAAGGTAAAAGGAGATGATGTTGATTCCGTTGAGCTGAGCGAACATCTGGACTGTAATACCGACAATAGTACGCTTGCGGTATCGGGTGAACATTTCCTAGTACAGCCTTGTCAGCCTCGAGAAACATCATGGCAAAAAGCTTATCCGAGGTCTCACCTTCCAACCAGACTTTCCCAGGTTTGTTTCGTAGATGACCGCCTCTTGAATCTCTACAAAGACCTGCTGAACATGCTCTGCGTGTATATCGCCATTGGAATGCAGGTCGGCGACTGTTTGGAGACTTTCCTGCATAAACCCGGCCTTTGCCAGCCACCGAGGGGTTTCCGGGAGGTAGAAGGACATTGCCACCAGGATGAACGAGAGTACAATCTGAATGATGAATGGACCCTGCCAGGACATCGGATCTGGAAGCAGGAAATCGAAGCCGTAATTGACCCAGCATGACAGCATATACCCAGCGATGAGACAAGTGTACTCGATTCCGACCATCAATCCTCTTCTGTGGGGAGCCGCAATCTCAGTTTGGATGATGGGGACGGTCATGGAGAGAATCCCGACGCCTAGACCTTGGATGGTGCGACCGGCAACGAAGAGTGCGAACCCAGGAGCGAAAATCTGCATGAAAGCGCTGAAGAAGTAGATGAAACCGCCGAGGCGGACACACTTCTTTCGACCGATGACGTCTCCGAGTCTTCCTGCCAAGAGCGCTCCCACAGCTGCGGATGCCTGCATGCACGCGACAAATATGCCAGTGATGGAAGGATTGATGTGAGCCGTAGTGCCGTCGGCGCCTCCATAGTCGCTGAAGAAGCGTCTCACAAAGATCGGATTGACCAGCAAGCCGGATAAGATACCTACTGGCGTTAGCGGACATCTTCGAAGTGATCAAGGTAACATACCAGAGTTGTACCCAAAAAGCGCGTCACCCAAGCTGCCGAAGGCGCAAGTTGCGAAGAGCAATGCTGCTCCCTTGATGGGATACCTGGCGGTGACTTTCTTGGGCTTGAGAGTCCTCTCAAGCCAGCTCTCCTGTTCCTTGACCAGAGCGGCCACAGAGTGGGAACGTTCCCTGATTGCAGAGTTGTACTCTACAGCAGAAGGTCTTCTGTGATTCATGGCTAGGAGGATAAGTCTCTTGCTGAAGATGTCAAGTTGTGTCTGTGATGGATTGATGGGACGAGTACTCGATGTGCAGAAGACTGCTTTGCTCGATGGTTTAGAACGAGCGTCCCCTTAGCTTCCTTATATACATGACTCCCAAAGTATCAACATCCATCTATCGCAATAATCCATGCCGCCGGCTCCGTGGTGATGACCTTTCTAGAAGCGCCATCGCGGGGTTTAGGCGCCATCTGCAGGGCCTGCGGAGAGCAACGTGGAGACCCCAAGAAGTCCATTGTGGGCTAGGGGGCATCCCGGGTATGTTTTGGCCCAGCCCAGCTGATTCGTGCGACGCTCGGAGCAGGGCTTGGCACACCGGACAGCGGAGGAGGCGGCGGAAGGCTTGGACTTCGGAACCGAAACCCCTGTAAATCCTTACGGAACCGTCCACCGGCACGCACTTCTTCCATGACCGCCGGAACCGAACGACTAAACACCAGAAGATGTGCCATCGGCAGTTGGCATTCGGCTCTTCGCGCAACCACGTCAGTGTCTGACTGAGTGTCAAATGCGCATGAGCAATGCATTCAAGCCCGGTTTCGATGGGGCCAAACAGCAGCTGGATTCGGCTCCCGTCGTCTGGTCAGAGACTGCGCGAGTCTGGGCATGCCAGGCTAACAGTTGATGGACTCGGTTCCGCCCAGAATCGACTAAGATCGTGAGAACGAGGAGCTCTGCGTGCGTGCGGAGGTTGCTCTCGTGATACGGAGCGTGCATCGGCGGACGAGACCTGCTCTCCACATATGCTGACCCGTCTCAGACATGAGGAGCATCGGAGAAGGAGGACAGATCGAAGATGTGTCCCGAGGCGGACAGGCTTGCTCAAGCTACAAGTAAGAGCACTTGCCTACGATCAAACGTTCAACTCCCGTATCCGACATCTCAAGCGGTCTTCCACATCCAAACTCTTAAGCAGGCTCACATACCCAACCTCTCAAGCAGTCTTGTACCATGTTCTCAACCGAGAGTGCCCAGAACCATGACCAGAAATTGAACGAAGAGAAACCAGCATGGTCTACTCAGGACGTACCCAACCATGCTTTTGTCCTTCTGGAAACGAGAAAATTCGGCTTCGAGGAACGTCCAATGCCCACACTACAGTCACCAAGGGACGTCCTGATAAGAGTCATCGCAACCGGACTTTGCGGCTCTGATGTAAGCAGCTCCTCGTTTTTCCCATACGGAGCTCACGGATGTCTGGTCTCCACCCACCCTCATAGAGTTTTGTGTATAGGTCTGTCGCTAACGTTGTCGAGTAGATCCATTACTGGCACCACGGCCGCATCGGTAAATACGTCGTCGATAACCCCATCATACTAGGTCACGAGTCGGCGGGAATCGTCGAGGCATGCGGTCCCGACGTCAAAAGCCTAGCAGTCGGTGATCGAGTCGCCCTCGAGCCCGGCGTAGGCTGCAACACGTGCGAGGCGTGTCGAAGTGGCCGATACAACCTCTGCGGATCAATGCGTTTCGCCGCCACACCCCCTTACGACGGCACACTCGCAACCTATTATATTCTCCCGGAGGAGTGTTGTTTCGTCCTTCCGCCGCATATCTCTTTCCAGGAAGGGGCACTGGTTGAGCCTCTGGCTGTAGCCGTGCATTGTTGCAGACTCGCTGGGGATATGCAGGGTAAATCGGTCATCGTCTTCGGTGCAGGTCCGATCGGACTGCTCGGCTGTGCTGTAGCGCGTGCATCTGGAGCAGCTACTGTGGTGGTTGTGGATATCGTGCAATCCCGTTTGGACTTTGCCACACGATTCGGCGCCACTGCGACTTATCTGATGAGCTCGCAGCTGGCTGAAGTCAATGCTGATATCATGCTGGCTCAGACAAGGCTTTCTGAGGGAGCGGATGTCATCATTGAAGCCACGGGAGCGGAGCCTTGTATCAACTGCGGCATCCACGCCCTCAAACGCGGCGGGACGTTTGTGCAGGCCGGACTGGGGACTCCGGTAGTCTCTTTCCCGGTCGCGCAGATCTGCGATAAGGAAGCAACTTTCAAAGGGAGCTTTCGATATGGTCCAGGCGACTACAAGTTTGCAGTCGAGCTATTGCGGTCTGGGCGCATCTCCGTAAAGGAGCTCGTCACACACGAATTCTCATTTGTAGAAGCGGAGCAGGCTTTCATTAATGTGCTTGAGCGGCGAGGGATCAAAAGTATTATCTATGGGCCTAGTGTTGACAAGAAGCTAGTCAACGAGACTGCAATGTTGTGACTGATTGCGGCGCCGTCTCGGAACAACGTAGCGTGAATTTTGGGCTGGAACTGCTAAGAGATATTGAGGGTTTACCGCCGGGGGAAGGAGGCGTAGAGGCCGACCATGGAGTACCCGGGAGCCTTCGGCGTTCTAGGTTCTCAGCTTAATAATTAGTCGCTGCGCACGACCAATGATTCTCAAGAACCTCACAGATATATCCATAAGTTGCCGAGTTTTTCCAAATCTTGATGCACTGCGAAGATCTCAGGCACCGCTTCAGACTAAGTAAACCTGTAGCTTGTATAGCCACGTCTGCGCAGCAACGGTCAACTTCGACGTCTTCAGAACTGCGTATTCCGCGCCCACAGAGGCAGTCCCAGCCAGAAGCCCCACGACGCGATCCTTTCCAAGAAGGCCTACTAAGTCGTAGATGGGTACCTCACTCCCCCAATACTGCGTCGTTTCGAACTGGAGCGGAGGATTCTTGACCGCAGGCGCGAGTCGTGGTGCTGGGTTGACCGAAAGCTCAGACCCGAGCATAGGTTCCTTGAGGTTTGTACGCTTCCAGTCTCGAATCTTGCGGACCTGCTCCACAAGATCATCACCCTTCTCCGCCAGCTTCTCGCTCCGCGCTCTTGCCGCCTCGAACTGCCTCATCGTCGTCGAGCCGGAGAGATCCAGGACGCAAGCGACACCATCATGGCCCTCGACGCTCGCGATGCCGTTTGAGTACGGCACAACGAGACTCGCGTTGCTGTGCTGAAACACCCGCTTCAGCTCTTTCACCGCGGCGTTTCTGAGCAGCTCGAGCACGAGGTCCGCCATATCCTCTCGCCAAACAGTTTTACTCGTACGTACGCCAAGCTGCTCGCGCAGCCGCAGCGACATTGCGTACAACCATCTACGCTTGACGCCGAGGTATTGGACGATGCGGCGTCTCCCCAGAAGTCGGAGAGGAGTGCCCTGGTCGACGACTCTTTTCCCCAACGACGAGACGGAGAGCGTCGTGGGGAGGAGCCATGGGTCGCGCGTCTCGGGATGTAGCTTGGTATACAGGTCGACGTGGAAGAAGGAGGGAAGACGCACTTGTGTCGAACCGCACATGCGAACGGGAGAGGCGAGGATGTGTGCTAATGAGCGGAAAACGTCAATATAGTCCTCCCAATGTTTCGAGAGGAGTGGTGGCTAGGGGAAGGGGAGGGAGGTTAGGGTACCATAGGGATTCTGCTGCAGTTTCTTCTGGAAGGGCGTCAAGCTGCTGGGCTTGGGCGTGTGCTTAGGCTCTTTGTATCTCTGACGAGCGGAGACAATTATAGGGTCCATTATGGGCGGCAACGGGAGGGGAGGACGATCTCCTGAGCGGACGCGGTGTGTGCGGCCATCTTTGACCGCGGTGGCTTGCGGTTGCGGCGCCTCTGTCGTGGCATATTGCTTGCGATGCTGGAGGCGGTCGAGGCCGGGCAGTTCTATTGTGAGACGCTTGCTGGTATGTAGAAGCCTCAATGGTGTGAGGCGCGTCTTCATCACCTTTCAGACACACGTTGATGCAGGTGGAATGCTCGAAGGTGCTGCGAGGTTCACGATCTTGGCAATATGCCTTGTCACGTGCGAATATGCTTCCCTCCCGCCTTCAAGCTTCCAAGAGAGAACAGCAACCACCAAGCCGACGGAAGCAGAATGTCGAGGTTGCTCGGCCCGTCTCTCTGGCCTCAAGTACGGAGCTGCTGTCCCGCGAGGACAAGCATACGGTCCTTCTCGAGCCTCCCTCGCAATGCTCCCCCCAAAGCCCCTCCGGCAGCATGGAGTCCCACCCCATTCGTGACAGAGACCATCGTAGGTTACCGGATCCGCCGATCTGGAGCGCAAGAGCTGGGGCTGACTGCGTAAGGGAGGCGGCTGGCATACATGTACGAGCCTCCAGCTGAACCCCTAGAAACACAGCGCGCTGATATACGGTCAAAGACGACATCTTCTCGCGGCTGCTGAAGGAGCGCATCGTATGCCTCAACGGCGAAGTCGACGAAACTACCTCCGCATCCATCGTCGCGCAGCTGCTCTTCCTCGAGGCCGATAACCCCGAGAAGCCGATAAACCTTTACATCAACTCACCCGGCGGGTCGGTCACCGCAGGTACAGCCTCTCCTCTCTCCTCTCCCCTTCCCTCTATCCTCATTAACGCCGCCACCCCAGGCCTCGCAATCTACGACACAATGACCTACATCCGCAGTCCCATAACGACCATCTGCATAGGCCAAGCCGCCTCGATGGGATCCCTCCTCCTCTGCGGCGGCTCCCCGGGCCAGCGCTTCTGCCTCCCGCACTCCAGCGTCATGATCCACCAGCCGAGCGGAGGCTACTTCGGCCAAGCATCCGACATCGCGATCCACGCAAAGGAGATTCTGCGCGTGCGGCACCAGCTGAACCAAATCTACCAGCGGCATATGACCAAGGAGAAGAGCCTGGACGAGATTGAGAAGTTGATGGAGCGGGATTATTTCATGGGTGCGAAGGAGGCGCTGGAGCTGGGGATTGTGGATCGGATTTTAGACAGGAGGGAGGTTGGGGGGGAGGGGAAGGAGGGGAAGCTCTAGGGTTGGAGACGTGAGGAGTTTTCAGTCGCATGTACTCCGTAGATACCCAGCTCAATCACCTGAGAAATATCAACAATCGGGTTGTTGCAGCAGAGAAAGTTAAGATGGTAGCTCGCGGGTCTCACGTGCCAATCCATCAACTCCTGCTCTGGAACCTGTTGTGGACTTTCGGATGTAAAGCGCTTGGTATCGTGATATGATCATGTGTAGTAAATAGCAGCAAGGCGCTTGTCGTTTCCATTTGGGATACTAAAACGCCAGGGCATTGCAAGCGCTAAAGCAAGATGGTGTAGTAGGCATGGTTGTAGGTCGTGAATTAGGAGAGAGAACGAGCTGCGGCTAGGCATATATACAACGAAGTACAAAGTATGCGAAGTAGGAAGAGTGCAATGGGGCCACCTAAAACAATTCACCAGGTCCAGAGCGAGCGCAATGGGTATCATCATCCCCACATGTAACCCTCCTCCGTGACCATCTTTCCAAGCGAGTGGACTCAGCACAACCAACGCGCAACACGCTTCAAGTAGCACGAAAAGGCAGCGACTAACAAAAAAGGAACCACATCCTGAACCCCTGCCCTCCATCTTCCTCAATACCCCTTAAACTCGTCCATAGGTGTCTTCGGGTATTCTCCAGGAATATGTAACTGACTAACGCTCATATCAGTATTATGCCTCAGCAGAGCCGGAAAGATGTGGCCCGTCTCGCGCATCTGCGTCGGCCCGCCGGTTCTGTCCTCGGCGAATGACCTGCTCGGACTACTGATTGTGCCTAGGAAGGCTGCTGCGCTGCTGCTGAGGGAGCTCCTAGTTTGGGGCTGCGGGTCCTCATCGACAGTGTTGGGCTTGTCGTCCACAGCGCTGGGTTCATCGTCCACAGTTCTAGGCTCATCATAGACGGCTGGGCCGGGTGGTGGTGCCGGGGAGAGGTCATCGCTTGGGGCGCGAGTTTGCTTGTAGTTCGAATTTGTTGGCTCGACGGAGAAATCGCGAGGAGGGCTTGTCTGTGGACTGTGGATGGGTAACTGAGGTGAACTACGCTCCGCTGGTGAATAAGGAGCCTGCATGAAGCTGGCCGGTGGGACGAAAGAATCACTCGGCGCATTGTACACACTATCGAGGACAGGTGTCTCGGCTGGACTAGGCTCAGCTGGCGAGAAAGGAACCTGCATCGGTCCGGTTGGCATTTCTGTAGCCATGACGCCGGAGGTCGGATATGGTGGGTCCTTATGCTGTTCCTCGGGGTCCGCATCCACTGCAGGAAGAAGAGGTTCGGCAGCCCCGCCTGGAGAAGCGCGCTCAGGCGGAATCTCATCGTCTTGGTGCTGCGGCTCTACGAAGGGAGTTGTTGCGGGTGATGTCGGACTGCCAGTGACCGGCTCGAAGGACGGCTCGTCGCGTTTCTGCTGAACCATAGCGAGACCGCCTGCTGTAGACAGCATGGCATCTGTAGGCGGAGATTCATATGAACCCGCCTCTTGCTGCCGCGCCGTGACATCTGACGCGCCTACCGGCGTGAATCCAGCCGAGGATATGTCCAAAGACGCAGGGTTCACTGGGGTTTGACCCCAGTATTGCTGACCAGTTGCTAAAGATGCCTCAGGAGATGTATCTGTAGTCAGAGGTTTCTCCTCAGCCATGCTCTCTCGCTTTTGCTGATACTCCTGCTTATCCCTTTGCTGTTCCCTCATATAAAGCGGTGCAGCAGGAGGCGTACGCGCAGGCGAAACATCCTCCTTAGGCTCACCGTCTTGCTCTTGCACATTCTCTGGTTTAGTGGTCTGTTTCTGGCTCAGATAAAGAGGCGCCACAAGCGGGGCACCGGCGGAGAAACGTTCCTGCTCGGATTCGGGAACCTGTTCCCCTTGATACTCTTGCGGTCGCATATCTTTTTCTTCACTCAGCCTCTTAGGCTCCTCATCCGCCGCCTGATGCCTCCGATATGCCTCGGCCCCAACAGCACCCGCCGCAACACCGCCAACGCCGGCTGCAGCCGGAGCCATCCAATCACCGTAGCTGCTGTTCTGCCTTACTGGAGAAGGCTGAGACAAGGGCCCAGCCTGACCGGTGATCTCAGGCTGGGTTTCCCCTAAAAAAGGCTGCTGTTGTGCAGGTGCTTCGTTAGAGACTTGGGTAGGATGCTCTTGGCTTTGATACTGCTGCGTCGGATAGGTTGCAGTCGGGTTATTGTTGGCTGCGGGTGCATTGTGGATACTCCGTGACTCTGGGGCTTGCAATGAATGTGTGTCGTCTCTGTCAGTTTTACGTTCCTGGTCTGGAGGCTTCGACGACGCGGCCTGAGACGATTTGTCGTGCCCATGGAAGTAGCTGGGTGTCGGGTCACGGTGAGCTGCAGCGGCGGCAGGCGTTGCGCTAGTGGGAAGCTCTTGAGGGGCTTCCCGCTGGGGTTCGCGCGAGGGCTCTGGTAAGGCTACGAATACGTTATGAGCAGGGTTACCTTCATCAGGGGTTTCATCGGCGCGGTTGTCCCGCGAAAGGCTGCGCTGAGACGGCTCGCGTTGGACGGCTTGATGCTCCCTCGTCGGCCCTGTTGACAAAGCCGCACCTTGTAAGCCTCCACCCGTCGTGCTCAGATCCTCATTCCCATTGCCGGGATCAGAGCCTTCACTAGAAGCGGATGGTGGGGCTTGCAAATGACGGTTGATTTGAAGGTCACTTGGGAAGCGCCCACCTGGTTGCGGCCTCTGGGGTGCCGGCTCTGGGGTTGATACCTTGATTGCGGGAGGAGCAGAGTACGGCGCTTCGTCCTCTTCGTCTTCGTCGATGCCGGATCCACTGCTTACAGATTTGGCACTGTTGCCACTGACGCTGCGGGCGTGGGATCGACGGACAAATGCATTGCGCTCTTCGCCAGTCTTTTCGGTGAGAGCTTTGATGTCGGTGAACCATGCTAGCATCGTGTCGTGAGACTCAGCTCTAAATACCCAAGAGTGACCGCGGTGCATGCCGCCGGCTTGACGGCCCTTGAGACTGAACTTGTGAGACGTCGATCCAGCCTCGGAATGCGATCCGAGTTTTTGATCGGGCAGAAACAGTGACATAACTGGTGGTTGCGAGTAGATGCGGTCGGCCGATTTGAACTCATGGAGATGAGTTGGCGATAGGACATACCTAGTTGAAGGCGTTAGGTGCTGTTTGGTTTGAAGATGGGAAAAGACTTGCCAGCCAGGAGTGTAGCTCTTCAAATACTTGCTCTTACGCTCCAGCATACCAGCTCTGACCTCAGTCGCAGCAGGGTGGTTCTTGCTAGGATACTCGATCTCGTGAACCTTTCTGAGCGGGAGCTTCGGGTTGACGAAGTGCGGGTCATGCTCAACAAATTGGTTCCACTCCCGGTCTCTCGGCATGGCGATTGGGCCAGAGCGCAGCTGTTCCACAGCTTCGTACGAATCATCAGCGTCGCGCTTGAGGATGGTAGCCAAGGCATTGTACGCCTTCTGGATCTCGCCGACGACAATCGATTCCAGCTCGCGGCCGGAAGTTTCAAGATTAAGATACGCCTATCCTGATTAGCACCAGATGTCGAATAAGCTGCTATTCGCTTACTCGGTGCAAGTAATTCTCTTCGTCGATCTGACGCTCAATCTGCCTCTCAACACTCAAGCGGACAATGTACGGATCAACTTTGCCCACGGCACCGTGCGGATCGCTATCCATCATATCCACCGCTTCTAGATACGTTGCAACTGCCTTGCGTGTGCCCTCCTTTTCTTTATCCACAGAGTTTTTGAAGTCTCCCGAGAGAGATTTGATCTCCTTGATCTTCTGTGCTAGGTCTGCACGAAGGCCAGTCAACTGCGTGATCACATCATGCTCGATGTCGCGCGCTTTCGCTGCCTCGATCACGGTGTGCTTGTGGTAGTCTCGCAAGATGCGGTTGGCGTCATTGAGGCCGCCATCAGTAATGAATAGCGAAGGTGCATTGAGGTTGTTGATAGTGTTCGAGACTTTGACCAACGCTTTCGACCGATGCTCATAAGAGGCTTGCACCTCTCCAAAATAGGTAATGATATCTTTCAGAAGCTTACGCCAGGCTGTGGTGATGTTTAGTGCTGCGCTTTATAGAGGAAGCTGTAAAAGACCCACCCTGGAACCGGTTCGCCAATATATCCGTAGGAGTGCCATGCGTCGGAACTGGCGTATGGAAGACATTGTTGAAGCCAGGATCCAGCGCGTCAGGGTCAATGGTGACGCTCTTGGCGCTTCGCAGACTCTTCTTGCTACCGCTCCTCTTTAAGCTGGACTGCCTCTTCACCGAATTCTTCTTCTTCAGCGTGTTGTGCCGTGACGGTCCTTCAGAAGCTAGTGTGGTTGACGGCGCGGTGGATCCTTTGGACATGGGACGTTGCTCCATGTCGTCCGACGTTCCGGTTCCTGGCTGTGGTACCGACTGCGATAGAGGAGAAGTTTCAACTGGAGCTCCAGTACCTCCGCCAAAGTCTTGCGCGCCCATACCTCCGTAGCCTCGGTTCATGTGGTCTGCGTCGGGCGCTGGCACCGAGCCGTCAGCGCCCTGCGCGGGCGTCCGCGGCCTCGCTGCCATGCTGTCGCAGACAACCGTGCGGCTCCCTCCGGATCACGGCGTTTGTGTAGTGATAGATAGTGCAGCCTTGCGCAGGCTGCGGAAGCTGATGTGTAGGTGGTTAGAGGAAATAGGACGTTATCAGGAGCTTGCTTTGAGGAAGCCGATCAGCGCACGCAGCGATGACGTTTGTTGCTAGGTCTGGGCTCACATGAACATGAACATCGACCTTCCCTAGGCTCTTGGTGTCTTAGCCTCTTGGTGCGGGAATTGCGATGTTGCCAGGGCGCGCTGAAATATCAAGCTATTGAATGCAGCTTCGATACGCCAGCAGGGAGACGAAACGAGAAACACGGCCGAATCCTGATTACTTCCCCGCACGTGTCCAGAAGCAGCAGCGACAACTGCTGTGTTTGACGTCACGCCTTGGAGTTTCACCCCCAACTGCCCTATCACAACAGCGGCTGGCTTCATGCAAGATCCTCTATAATTCTGTACTTTCAATTGCGGTCGACACGGACGAAGCGTGGAACAGCCCAGGAGGTTCACAGTGTCCTGTGAACATCCCGCGCGTACAACGTCAGAGGGTATTATTGATCTTATATTATCGTAATTCGGAAGGTCATCAAGGCCGTACCACTCCATCCGGCAAAGCTGCGCCATTGACACGGAGAGCTCCCGTACTATAGAGCGTCATCTCCGTGGAAGAACCTCAATATAGCGCTTGCGACCGACTCTCCATCGTGTTCCATATCCGCCGTCTTCTTCGCCGCCTCTGCCTGATCCAGGTCCTTGATCCCACCGCTCTCCACTCTCATCTCAATCTGCCGCTTTACCATCTTCTCGTCGAAGCCCAAGTGTCCCTGGCTCGTGAACAGCTTCTTCGGCAAGTACACGCCCTGGATCATTGTTGTTTCGGAGGAGCCCCAAACGTGCGCAGGTGTATCTTCGGGAAGAAGGTCGGTAGTGGAAGGCGACGGTCCATTGACAACGTGGTCCTGGTGCATCTGGTGGAGGTGGATACTGCCGCTCTTCTTGAACAGCTTCTCGCCGACGGGCGATAGCTTGATCTCGGTGTGTGCAAGCTCCCACTTCTCGCCTGGTGTTGATTCTATTGTGGAGCCGAGGGCGCGGCAGAGGACTTGGTGGCCGAAGCAAACGCCAGAGAAGCGCATCTCTGGTCTTTCGGTCCAGAGGTCTAGACGCGGATTAGATATTTGCCGCCTAGCTTGCGAATGATGAACCCAACACCAACCTTGAATTAACTTGACGAGCTTGACAATCCATTCGTCCTCGCCATGAGCGTCGTACATGCTTCCTGTGATCAGGATAGCGTGAATGTCCTCCAACTCCCCGCGCTTGAAATCGTCCAGTGTAGGCACCTTCCCGCCCTCGTTCTCGACGATAAACCGTATCACGGTCTCGACCCCGAGCGGAGGGTCATGCTTGTCTCCGGCCTGCTTGAACAGCTGATCGAATATGTCGCCAAAGCTACCTCGCTCGCTCTCGGTGTCTGGATGTGCTTCGTCTGTCTCCAAGACAAGCATCCGAACTTTTTCAGGGTGATCGGCTATACTCGTACGGGTCTCGTGGTTCGTCATGGTGGATTGTTATCAAAATACTATTAAGCAAGAGGTATGGTGATAGATATTGGAAGCGCACTTGTAGACAACTGAAGCGCACCAAGCCCGAATTTGGAGCCATTTTGATCTTCCAAAGTCACTCAGGGTCTGCCCAAGCTTCAGTTCGCCCTGACCGCCAAGCACAGAAAACTGTTCGTCCATGACGGTGCCAACGAGGCCGATGGGCTGTGGTGGAAAGCGTCTCGTAACAGATATGCGGGGCGCCACATGCCAAGGACAATTCGGCGTCATTGTTGGCACAGCACCGGTAGTTAGGGCTTTCGGATGTTTCTCCATCCTGCAAGGTCCGCATTGCGGGAGACGGGGTGGAAGGAGTTTCGATGCCCCCCCGTGCTGGCTCCAAAATGGGGGAGGTCACACACATCACGACCTTAGGAACATGCTGTAACTGTTACGCTAGACATCAAGTTCTGTCCAAGGGTTCTCCTTTCGAATTCACATCACGTCTGATTTCTTACACTTGCGTAATGACGTACAACTACAGTACAATCGGCTTCATCGGCCTTGGTGTGATGGGATTTCCCATGGTAGAAAATCTATGCAAAAAGCTATCAGATTCAGTACGCATCTATGTCTTCGACGTATCGACGTCTACCGTAGAAGAGCTGTCCTCGCGGACCAGTGGGCGGGCAGAGGCCTGCAGCAGCTCAAAGGAGGTTGCGGAGAAGTCAGTATGGACACTTCACGACCACTTCAAGGCCGGCTCTATGTCAGCTCACCAAGATGTTAGGATGTTGTGATGTCGATGGTCCCTGAAGGCAGCCACGTCCGCTCGGTATATCTTACCCCAGGCACCGGCGTTCTCGCTGCAGACCTCTCCAACAAGCTACTGATAGACTGCTCAACGATTGATACCGCTACCTCGCTTGAAGTCGCCGATGCGATCGCTAAGCAACATCCAACCGCTTCGTTCTACGATGCACCCGTCTCTGGGGGCAATCTCGGCGCCCAGAAGGCAACGCTTACCTTCATGGTCGGCTGCGCAGAGTCAGACCCAAAGTTCCCCATGCTGCAGGGCTTACTCGGTATGATGGGCAACCCAGACGCCATCTTTGCTTGCGGAGGCCAGAGCCTAGGATTGACCGCGAAACTGTGCAACAACTACTGCTCCGGCCTTATCGCGATAGCTACTTCTGAGGCCATGAACATCGGTATGAAGAGCGGGATGGATCCCAGGGTGCTCGCCAAGGTCTTCCATGCCAGTACGGCGCAGAGCGCCATCTGTGATAAGTGGTGTCCAGTCCCAGGTATCTGTCCTGAAGCGCCGGCGTCGAAGGGCTATCAGGGTGGCTTCAAGATACAGCTAATGCGCAAGGACTTTGGGCTCGCGGTTGATGCGGCCAAGCGTGTGGGCGTGGATCTAGCTTTAGGAGAGAAAGGACTGGAGACGTACACGGCCGCAATGAATGACCCAAGGTGCAAGGATTTGGACTCGAGGGTGGTGTATAGACATCTGGGAGGAGACGAGAATTGGGTGGAGAGGTTTGAGCAGAATTCTTGATGGTGTTGATTTGTGGCTGGCTTCCAATTCGGAAGCCAGAATATTGAGGACTATAGGATACTCCCCTGAACTTAGCACAAGGAAGGAAACGGATCAAAAGTATCCGCTCACAGTAATCTGTTCCTGCCGATGGTAATGTCGATTGAGATCCTCGTCAAACCAGTGAAGACTGCACCGTCCGCTGACCCATGCACGCTAAACATCTGTTTCATGACGCTCCATACGAAGCCCTCCAAACTTGGAGACATACCCGGTATGTGGCTCGTGCTTCATGGGCAAGTCTTTGCAACATTCGCATCGAGGCATCTCGTGCGTATCGTCGGAGTGCATCTGCCTCAAGTCTGCAGTGCACTTTCATCTTCGTCTACGGGCCAGCCCGTGGCGTAGCTGAAATCGCCATAATATGCACACAACGCCTGAAGGTAGACTGTCAGTGCTCTGAACTTGCATCGTTGTCGAAGTGTCAAACCCCACCTTACTGGCCCCACTCACGCAGTAATGAACCACCTCAAGCTTTCTTCCCTCAGGGGCATACCGCGCTACCTGGTTGAGGTCGGATGTCCGCGGTAGGTAGAGTACTACGTCCTTTGTGTACTTTGAGAAGAACGAGTACAGGTCATGCAGCGTATATGGCTGCATAGTAGACAAGTCGAAGACCTTATCGGCGTTGTAGGATGGGCCTGTAGAGTCGCTTAGTCTCCTCCTTCTATGAGCACATGGCAACAGCTCCTGTGCGGGATACAACGAGCGTACCTCCCCATGGTGGACTAGCAAAAATGACAGCCTGAGTCTTCGCTATCTGAGCGAGCTTTGTCTTGATGATCTGAAAACAGTCTCCTTCGTACCACCAGATCTTGCTGGCCACGCCATACACCTCGGCGTTGTGTTTCGCGCACTGTAGGACTTGCGGGTCTTGCTCAATGGCAAAGATCTGGTCCCATTCACCTGAGCGGGCAAAGGCTATGGCGTTGCCGCCCGCGCCGGCAAAAGCGTCAATGAGTACCCTCTTGCCCGTGGGCCTGATCTTCACCATGTGCTCCGCGATCTTGCTTGACTCAGCATCAGAATTCGTAGATGCGTATTTGGATGGAGCTGTCCTACTTTGCTACGGGTTCTGGGGTGACTCCGAACCAGGCGTCATCGGTCATCCAAACGCCTTCATCGTACTTGGAGAAGATTTTGTAGCGCTGGGAGAAGTATCTATATTCATTTGTCAACAGCGTTGTATGTTTGGTAGGACAGACAAGTTTACTTCCGGGTATTCACTGGGACCTGAGAGTGATGTGTGTGGTGGAAGATTCCTGGCGTCCCCGTTTCAGCGTCCTCTGCGCCCTCTGCGCCCTCTTCCTCATGGTTGTAGTAATTTTCGCCCATTTTTGACTATGTTCGCCAGACCGGACTCATCTGTCGCTTTTGATCATGCATGATGTGACCGGCAATCGTCCTGAATTGAAAGTGAAGCAGCGGCGAAGTCACGAGAAGCTCTGACCACGTGATACCCCTTGGAGAATGAGATGAGAATTGCAACCAACTTCGAGACCTCATCGAATTTTACGCGCATCTGAGATCCGTGGGCGTGACTCGTCATGTTTGGAGCACTCAACAGGTTGATCTCGCGCCTCGATGCTGAACCTCAGGAGCAGAAGTCAGGCATCCAAGGCGCGTACGGCTTCCAAGTGTTGAGAAACAACAACCTCGAGCTGCCGATTGAGCCGTGGTTTGATTTCATCATCGGCATCAACGGAAGAACCATCGTAAGGGCTTGTCTCACAACGAGTGTGCGCAGTACTGTATGGCTGACCGCTCGCTAAGGACAACCCCGATCCAAGTCTCTTCGCGGCCGAAGTGCGAAACTGTGCGGGCTCAGCGATTAGCTTAGGCTTGTTCAGCGCAAAAGTCTGTGTTCATGCCACGTCGCCTCAAGTCGGCTTCTTCTAACGCTCTCCGTAGGGCCAGCGCATACGTGAGATCTACACCCAAGTGCCGACGAATCCTCCGTCGCTTGGGTTGTCTCTGCAATGGACTCCTTTGACCACGATCGAAGACGTGTGGCATATCCTCGATGTCATGCCGAACTCGCCTGCCGACCTCGCTGGATTGCTTCCGTACGGTGATTACGTGATCGGAAGTCCGGAAGGTCTTGTCAGAGGGGAGTCTGGTCTTGGTGAGCTCGTAGAAGATGTGAGTGTTTCCAGCGTCTGTACTCGCTACCCATCTCGCGATACACACTGTAAGATCAGTACTTCCACAAGAATCATCTCGTCTCTATCTTACGTGGGTGTTTGAGCACGTAGTCGGTGAAAGGAATGTAAAGCGTGCACGTCACATGGTCCTGATTGTAGCAAGGGGATGGGAAGGAAAACTTTGCTAAAACTATGCAGTACATGAACCGACCCCTGCGCCTCTACGTCTACAACCACGAATACAACGTCACGCGTTCCGTAACCATAACGCCCAACCGCAGCTGGGGCGGTACCGGCGCCCTGGGTTGCACACTCGGCTTCGGCGCGCTCCACCGAATCCCAGCGCCCTTGGAAGAACCTCCCCAAGCGCCAGGAGAGACGCTATTCGAATCTGCGCCTGAAGAGAAACGACCGATATCCTCCAGCTCGGCAACCATGGAACCTGCGCCTCAGTTCCCGCCCGCATCCTCTGAGTTCCTCGTCCCAGCTAATTTGCGGTTCCAATCGAAGTCTCCGCCGCCACCAGGAGGACCACCAAAGTCTCATAGGAAGGCCAGACAGCACCATGCAATCGCGCCGGCGTCGGCCATGGATGAGTACTTCAAGGAAGGTGAGGCAAAGAGTCGGGAGCAAGATTACTCCCCGGCGTCGAAAACCGGTCCGTCGAAACCGCCACCGCCGAAGGTTGGAGGTCCGCCAAAGGCTGGCGCGCCGCCCAGAGTTGTGTCGCCGGCAGTGGATGGAAGTGGTGCGGAGAGTGCTACAGAGTGATTGTAGAGGTAGTCTCAAATTTGATCAGTCTTCATCTGCTTCTTGTATTAGTGATTTCTTTTGCATTTCCAGACGGTAAAGCAACCCACGATGTTGATGAAAGTTTTCATTTATGATGATGAGCGAGCAGATCAGGCCTCTATGCATTGACGATGGCCTCCTGGAAGCGGCTAAGACGACGCCCATTGCAGTCTATCGGAGCCTCGAAGGGAAATTTGGCGTCCGCCGGAGCGGGGAAATCGGTCTTCAGGTCCTCGGCCTCGCTCGAGGATTCCTCAGATTCGTCGCTCAAAGATGCCTCAGAGTCTTGGCGAAGCTTCTCCGCCGTGCCCGTAGGTGTCCTTTCGCGCTTGACCAGCGCCTTGACTTTTCTGCCTGCGGCCTGCAGTTTCGCGGCGACCTGGCCTTTCAAGGTTTTAGCCTCCGGGGAGGACATCGTGGATTCCAGAAGGAGGAGGGAGATGAGAGTTTGATGATGATTGGAAGGATTGATGATAGGAGAATGTAAAGGGAGGTGGAAGTATGATGTAGGCTGGAGGTTGCGACGATGGAACGGTAAAGGATCCTGGAGGTAAGTGGTGAGGATGCGTAAGTATTTTGATCTGTGTGCGAAACGAGAGCTTCATCAGTTCCGAAGAACCGTAACCAAAAGGACACGACCCTAATAAAATTCTTCGTGGGTTTTTCGCTCAGATAATATACTCGAGACCGTGGTACACATTCCTTAGCGCGCACTCAACGCCCGTTCCGCGGTACGGCTGAAGTTGAGTCAAAACTTTCTTTGGGAACGTGCTCAGAACAATTCTTGTGCGCGTCATATCATTGCTCTGCTGGCCACGCTGGCTTTGCCATTTTGGTTCCCCATCGCGGTTTTGGGAGTGAGATCGATATACTTCTGGAGTGGGAATACTAGCAGCGCTACTCTAACGCCGCGCTTTGTGGGGGAGCAGCAGGGCACGAAGACCGTCAGCGGTAGCTCTCGGGAGCGTCCGCACCGTTGGCGAAGCCCCGCTAAAACGATGTTCGTGGGATTTGGAGTACCGTGGACGCTTGCGAAAGTGAAGTGGAACTTAAGAAGCAAGCCTTGGTAGGCAGTTGAGCTATCGATCTTGGACCCACGGAAAGACCTATCCAGGCTCAAAACCTCCCCCTATAAAGTTCGCCCGAGTCCCACTCCCTGATCGCCTCCAGCACATTTCTTCCCCTGTGCGCTTCGCACGGAATCTCACACATCACTATCATCATTCACCACTTCACAAAACCATCCATCATGAGCGGACCGCAGCGGTGAGTCCTACTCAGTCCCTCGACCCTGCATCGTCCTAACCTCGCACCAGAGCCTTGTCGCCCGACCACCCCCTACCCAGGCTACCCTCCTCTCCCATTATCCCCTCCACCATCAATACAGCCACCATCCCCGGGGGAGATGGCGCCTTTTTGTCCCCTCCCGGCGCCTTCAACCCCAGGCTCCTCCCCAACCCCAGGACCTTACCACCACTATCCGCCCTCTCGCTACCGGCGCACTGGCCCGTACCGCCTTCCTCCCCGCCCACGAGGGCGCTTCTGCCGTTGCCGCCAAGGGACCCCTTCCCGCTGGAGTGCTACTTCCGCCGCCCGCCGTCCGCAGCGATCGAGCAAGCCAGACGCATCCCGCCCCTGGTCCCATCAGCGCGAGCCCTGCCGGCCGACGCCACCTGGTCCACGCTGTCCGTTTTCCCGCCCCCGGAAGAGCTTCCAGAGCTCGAGTTCCACCTGCCGCTCCACGAGCGCCGGACGCAGACGTTTACCGAGGAGCAGATCGAGGAGTGGCGCCAGGGCGACTCGCGCCAGAGCCTCGCGGCCCAACGGGTCGAGCCTGATGCGTCGCTGCGGCTTGCGCCGCTGGAGTACCGCCTTCCGGCTGAGCAGCGGCCGCATTCTCCGGATGGGCTCGAGGCGCCGCGCCGCAGGGACACGCAGCAGACGGCCGTGGCCGGACCGTCGGAGGCGGCGTCAGCGGCGGCGGATATATGGTGGAAGGAGCTGCTGCCTCAGCCGGTTGAGCCGCCGGTGGTGATGGATGAGTCTGTTCGCTATGGGCTCGAGAAGTTGAGAAGGGGACGTCCGGCGAAGAAGGGGAGGGTTGCAAGGGTTAGGAGAGCGAGGCATCGACGCCCGCACAGGGAAGACTACATGGGGGACGTAGAAATGTCCGGGGCCTTACAGTAGTGTCGGCGACAAGGAGGAAGGGAGGGAAGATTGTAGGTCGGCCTCGGAGGGTTTGCACGAAGCTCTGGTGCAGGTGGGATGGTCGGCTGCCTTGGTCGTAGTTGTTGCCGGTGCAGGATAGAGCAGGAACCAGTGACTGGATCAGACGAGTCGGAGTACTCAATTTGTACGCAGCAGTTTATTCATGCCTCATGGCTTCCCTATACGCCCATAGTATTTCAGCCACGTGAGCTCCAGAAAAACCGCGAACGTGTTTCTGTACCTAGCCGCCGCAAAGGGCCTGCTATGTCACTTGTTCCCGCACCACCGAACGCATAAGCAGCAATAGCCTCGCCACGATTCTGCGAAACATTCATGATGCGCTGGTAATTTTGGACGTTGATGCCCAGTGACCGCAAAGCGAACAGAGCGCCCGAGGGACTCAACGGCTGTCGCTCATTCGTTCCCCGCAAGCAAACGGCGCGCGGGCCCGATCGACGGACATCGGACTCGAAAAAGCTTGATTTGACTTGCGTTTTCCCATGACTGTTTTCACGAGCAGAAACATGTTGTGCACAAGTGCGAAAGCGGTTTTGCATGTCAATCGTTGAGGCTTGCCTTGGGGACTTGTCAAATTGAACACCTAAGGTCATTGCTCTGCGGCTCAGGCTATGTCTGCATTGCTATCAACGACTCTTCTATGGGTCCAAAGCAAAGCTAGCTATACACTATACTGTGACTACATGATATGCGCGTAGTATGTACATGTCTAATGTGAGTATACTATTTCTTGAACGGCAAACTTTTGCAACGAGCAACCCGAAGCTGAAACAAACAATCTGCCGAGATAGATATGTACGATGCCGGAAAGCGAGCACTTGAGAGCCCCATAGCTCTGCTCATCCGTCTAAGGTTGCCGTGCCCTAGCATGTATGGCGTCGAGAAGCCGCAATGTACCGTCCCCTCGCCCCTTTCGTCGTCCCGATGACCGATCCGTCTTGTGCCGACCGCTCTACACGACGATTGCTGCGAAGCCAAGGCCCATCAACATCCACGAAAGCGCCAACGAGGCCTTGTTGCCAGCACCGTAGAACTGCGTCGGTGTGGGTAGGGGTGGGGGAAGAGTATAGTTGGCCAGGGTCGTGGAGGCGATGATCGACTCTGACGTGCTTGGGAGGGAAGCAGTCGTGCTGTTTGGGGCCAGAGTGAAGCTGGGCACAAGCGAGGTGATGGAGACGGTAGTAAGGACGGAAGAGGCAGAGGACACGGCAAGGGTGCTTGACACTGGAGAGACTTAGTATGGCACGGCAAGAGCGAGGAGCGTAGAGAGTCATACCTGTCGACAAGGAAGAGTTGGTTGGACCCCCCGGGATGGTGATCGTCGAAGTCCGCGTCCTGATGAAGGTCGGTGGGATGGAGGGGTAGACTGGAGGCGAAGCAATTGAAGACGAGAAGCCGGACGAAGTAGCTACTGAAGATGTAGAAGAGGAGGTTGGAACCGAGCTGGTCGAGGCAACCGATGAGCTTGCTGAAGCGGAGACGCTTGAACTGGCTGCCGTGGAGCTGACAGAAGCCGAGCTGGACGAGGCAGCACTGGACGAGTCAGCACTGGACGAAGCCGAGCTGGAAGAAGCCGGGGTGGACACAGCTGAGCTGATCGTCCACGAGGCGACGACGGTGGAGCTTGCTGAAGTTGAAATGGCCGGGCTAGAACTTGTCGAGGACGAGCTGACTGACGACGGGCTTGCCAGAGTCGAGCTGAGTGAAGCTGAGCTGGCTGACGAAGTGCTGACTGGTGAAGAGCTAGCTGATGGGGAGCTGACTGAAGAATAGCTCGGCAGTGCAGAACTTGTGGAGGTCATGCTCGGTGCAACAGAGCTCACCGAGATTGTGATGGTCGTTGGAATGGTAGCTACGGTCGTGGATGCCGGAACAGAGCTTGACGTGGGAGAGTCGATTGTGATTGTGGTCGAAGGAGTCGAAGTGTAGAAGAGGCTGCTCCAGTTGATGGTGCTCCAGTCGTATGAGGTCCAAGGGATTGTGCTCCATTCAACCTCAGTGGTGCGAGACGAGGTCAAAGTGATAGGGCAAAGGGTTGTTGAGATGGCAACCGTCTCAGTAACGATTGCTACTGGGGGAGACCGAAGCGGGCAGTCAGTGACCGTTGGGTGACAGCTGTATACGGTGTTGACCTGTGTGGTGTACACCGTCGAGGTCGAGATTGCTGGGATGACATCGACGAGGACGACAGTGACTATGCCGGTCGGCCTGGAGCCACCGATTTCTGGGGAGAGGGAACAGTGTCAGTATAGGGTCAACAAGTGAGGCACTGGAGAAACTTACGACGAGCATACTGGCGGAGGGCTGCAGCATTCTCTGTGAGGATGGTTAGTCGAGGTACGTCTTGAGAGCTCTTCCGACCTTTGTCGGCGTACCTTGAGGTGTTGCCATGCCATTGACGGCTGAGGCGGCCGAGGCCAGAAGGGCGGTGATCTTGAACAGCTGCATGTTGACTGTGGAGGATGCTGAAGGAAAGACTCTTCACAGGATGTAGTGTTGACTGGCAACTGTACAAGAAGAATGGGCTGGACGAGCGAAGAGTATGGGAGGTAACGAGCGAGCAAAGAAGTTGGGCTTGGATTGACTGTGGAAGAGAGAGGTTGAGGGAAGAGAAGGTCGAAGATGTAGTCAAGAAGTTCGCCAAGCGATGGGAGCCGGCAAGACCGTCGATGAGGAAGTTGCCCACGAAGAAGAAGTCGCGCCACCCCATGACGAAGGAAACCAGCGCACCGAGCATCGCCACCAGCCTCTGAGGCTCAATGGGCATCACGCACGCCGAAGCCTCACCACGAGCGCAATTGCGGTTTCACGCACCAAGTCTAGGATGAGTATCACTTCACGTCGACGAGCACGAGATGAGGACGCAGATGCTAGAGGGAAGTTGTGCATTGCTTCCACATCTCGTCAAAGTAGCATGGCTTGCGACATGAAGCTTCCACCATCTGAAGCATTGGGGCATCTGACCTCACTCGCAACGCAAGATCTACCTACGGTTGAAGGCAAATCTCATAGTCCAAGCAGCTGGGGGTGGTCAGGTTTCTTAAACTCAATTGCGGCTGCGATGCTTCGTTCCCGTCCGTTTGGCAGTGGTGTTTTCTTCTACGTCCCAACGGAGGTTCCCACCCATCACAGTCGGGATTGCGCCAAGTGGTGAAAGGGTGAAGGGGTGAAGGGGGGAAGGGCTTCATCTGGGCAGGTGCGCCCCAGTACCTGCAGCCAGCCTGCATGATGCAGATCTGTGCAACCCGGCATTGCACCTGAAACATTGTCCCGTTGCACTGCTCTACTGCTCCCATTACCTACCGGACGCCGATTGCACTTGGGCAACTGCTGGCGGGGAGATGACTGGCTCTTGCTCTGCGCTGGCTGCGTTCGCCCGCAGCTGCCGTCCACTTTCCCACCTACCCAGGTACCGTTGCTGCGCACAACAGGAGGCTTGGCGGGACCCAACCGTGCTTAAATTCTACCTCCCCCCCACCTCCATTCTTCCTTTCTCCCACATCACTCACAACTCTCAGCATCAGCTACCGCAAGTGAGCTTTCCCACAGCCCTCGCCCATTCTTCACTTCCTCGAGCACATCACTGACGTCCTCTTTCTCTCTCGCAGCATCCAACGCCGCACAGCATCAACTACTAGCTCTCTCCGCGACATCTTACACCAAACCATCCTCTACACCAACATCAGCCAAAATGCACGGCTCAAAGATCGCCCTCATGGGCGTCGGCCTCGTCGCCTCTGTCGCAGCTGGTACGTCTCAACATCTTCACACGACAAGCCTCGCTCGTCGCTGACTGTCACTCGCAGGCAATCTCGCTCCCCGTCAGGCTGGTACGCGTCTCTTCGATCGTACTCCCCACAGCACCTCGTTGAACGGCACTCTCATCTACATCGACAAGTCAATTGGTAGTGCCAATTCACCGAGGCTGCATCTCATACTTCTCCGTATCTTAGCCCGCTTGCCTTCCACGCTAACCTTTGGCTGCTCACTCAGAGACCGTCACCATCACCGTGACCCACGAGACAATTCCTGCATGGTGCGTTAGCACTCCGGTCATCCCGGTTGCTCCTCCGACCAGCGCTGCTCCCGTCACTTCTGCTACCCCTGCCGTCCCTGTCCCTGGCACTTCTGGCGCCGCCACCAGTGCTCCTCCAGCCGTCGGCACTAGCGAAGCTCCCGCTCCGCCAGCTTCTTCTCCTGCCAGCGTCGCCCCACCGGCCTCGTCAAGCACCGCCGGCGCAGGCACCACGTCCGCAGCTACCGCTTCAACCACCCGGGCCCCGACCTCTTCGGCCCCAGCCTCTTCTGCCCCAGCCAGCGCTTCGCCCCCCGCACCGGCTGAGAGCAGCCCGCTTCCCTCCAACGACGCCGTCACCAAGTCCGCCATGACCGGCTTCGCCATGGTCTGCGTCCTCGGCAGCGCCCTCTTCGTGAGCCTCGTCTAGACAGTTCGACTTCTCAGCATGAGCGTTTTCTGCTGCAAGGGTTGTGCAGGGTTGAATGCATGGAGGATATAATGGTAATGGGCGATATGATGGAGGGACTTGGGGCGACTGGATACTCTGGTTATTCTGCGACGCTTAGCATCTTCGCGGCGTGCGCACTCGGACATAGCTGTAAAACTCTGTGGTGGCTGCTTTCACTTCTGCATACTTCGGGGGGAGGGCCGGCTTGAGCTAGGTAGCAATTGAAGGCTTGAGTCATCCAGACTGCGCATCATTGACTTTCGAGGTCTTATCTGTGACTCCCAAGCCCTTTCCACTACCGTCAAGCCACCCAGCATTTGCTCAGCGCATCTCTTATCTGGATCAAAAAGTTCCCTGCGCTCCCAACAAGCCTTCGAGCATTTCCATGATCCAGCGCGGGTACCTTGCATTGGCGCTGGCGCCATCTCCCTAGCGCTTCCCAACCGGGAACATCAAACAGGGATCTCGGGTATCTAGAACGCACTGACGTTGGCTGGAGATGCATGAGACTCATCGCGTGCATATCAATCTGCACAAGAAGTCCACATCATTCGAACTGCAGCACGCAGTCTATGCAGTTTACCCTGTACGACTACGAACTAGACCCCCTGCAATCTCTCGAGCCAACGGCAACGAGGGCATCACTCCACTAACGACTGAGAATCGATGTTTTCTCGCTTTGCGATGCGCGGCGGCCCAGTTACGGCTGGGCGAGACGGCGATCCGGGATATCGATCTGCGTTCCTGAAAGCCGGAACTCGGGGCCTAAGGCTGAGGACGTGAGGACAGAAAAGGAGAGGCTGGTGGAGGGGAACGCGGTGTGCAGGGATGCAGATGGAGCTGTCATGTCGTGCGCCCTCGGCTCGACACACACACACACTCACTCGTGGTGCCGGATGGAGAGGGCATTGCAGCAACGTAGGTAATCTCCCGCGGCCATGCACGGCAGCGTTGGGAGAACCGTCAGGCTTCACGCGTGCGGTGAGGGCGATGAGTAACCGGACACGGCGGTAGATGGAAGTCGGTGTCCTTGATGAATTCGGCAATCTTCTCTTAACAATTCACGCATTGCCGCTTTGTCATCGCAGGAGTTGGACTGAATATGGTGGAGCTGAGACTTTCCCAATGATGCATTCGAAGTGTTGTCGGTTCAAAGGCTTGACTTGGGATGAGAACGGGATTGGTCGAGTTTGTGTCTGAGATGGACTGGCAATAGTAACCAAGCTTGGAGTCTAGGCCATTCTTTTTCATCCCCCGATGCAGACGCCATTCCATGCAGTAGAATGTATACCAGACGGCCCGTACTTGTCCTCCCCTCCCATAGGTAAATACGCCACGACACGACTATATACACATATGGACCTCATTTCTCACATAGCCCGCCTCAGTAGCCACCAGCGCTCATCTGGATGGCAAAGCCAAGAGGGCAACCCTCTCACGCGTCCTCTGTGCTGTCCTCAGCGCAGACAGGACACCCGCCTTTCAGTGCCTTCCCAATGACATGCGCGTGCGAGACTTTCGGCCCAACGCTGCGGGAGCTGTACCCATAGCTGTCGTCATCAGCTGAGGCGTTGATGGGAGAGAAGTCGGGTAGGATGCAGGCCAGATGATAGACGTGTCCGCAGGCGAAGCCGATGAGTGTGTCTTTCTCTGAACATAAGGTTAGATTTTGCATCTAGCGGGGCTGCTGAAGAGCGGCAAGCAATGCGAGGACAGCGACGTGGGGGAGGCAGAGTAGAAGAGAAGGGAACGCAAGACTCACCATCATCCGCAAAGGCCAGGTCACACTGAACACAATGTCCCGGCTCCGCCCTCTTCTTCCTGCGCTTCTCATCCATTTCCGTCCCCTTGAGCGGCGGCGGGACCGGCACTTCCACGTTCTCAACCCCCACGTCCACGTGCTCCGGCTCCTGGTGCACGATCTCGAACTTCACGCCCCTGACCCGTCCTTTCCGGAGCAGCTCCATTCGCACCGCAACCTCCCCTCTCAACACCCTCGCCACGCCCTCACTAATGGACACCTGAATCTCATACTCTCTTACCATGCGCCCGATGCCCTCTCGCAGGCCCTCTATTTCGAGACCTTCGGGGATGCGTCGAACTAGATCAATGGGGTTGATGGCCGTGCCGACTTCCTCGAGCAGGCCGCGTATGAAGCGCGGCTTGTCCATGGAGTAGGAGAGCAGGTCGTCCCAGAGATCGGGATCTTGCTGGGATTTGCAGAATGCGATTGCGGCGGTTACGTCGGAGAGGGAGGATGTCAGGAGGTAGAGGGCGCGTTTTGTTTGGCCGGTTTTGCTAAGGAGGTATCTGTCCCAACGTCAGAATTCTTAAATCACCCGCAATGATCATAGTGAAGGAAGGAGTGAAGATGGACTTACACCAGCTCCGGTATATATTGCCTTGTCTCGCATACCGCAATCGCCTTTTCCGGATCATAGCTGGAAGCGGATGACCTGAGAAACTCGCCAAGCAGCGGCTGATCGTACTCCGCCAGTAGCTCGACTGCCAAGTCCCCAAACTCTTCGACCAAAGTCTTGCCCTCGGTAGCGATCCTCTCCGTGCCCCTTCCGAACTCTGTCTCGCTGCCCGTCCCCTTCCACAGCGCTCGGAGGTAGAAGAACAGGAACGGCTGATACGACGGCCCCTTCTCCTGCAGCTGCTCGACGACAACATGCGGCCGTACAATACCCTGATACGCCTCATCGACAAGGAGACGCATAGCCTCCGAGCTCGCCTCTTCCAGCTCACTCAGCGGCGCAGACTCCATCTGCTCCTTCGAGACCCTTAGCAGCACAAAGCCCGGAATATCGTCCGCCACGGCCGCAAGGAGGTGATAGTCGCGGATGATACTCATGGCGGCATCCGCATTCTGCAGCCGGATATAGCACCTCAGCGCCTCCTTCGGCCGGTTGTCCGCCAGATACAGCTTGGCGAGCGCTTCCGTCAGGATCCGCCAATCGCGGCCTCTTTCCCCGCCTTCGACGCTGTTCTCCGTGACGTCCCCCGCGTGGAGCTTATCCTCAATAGCATTGATCACGCTGCCAATGTCGAATAGCTCCGGATCCCACTGCTCCAGCAGGTCTCTGAGTCGTAGCCTATCATTGATGATGTAGTGGCCGAGTACAACCTCGTATACCAAGCTTGGTAGTGGTGGCGTGAGTGGTTTTTTAGGGATGTATGGTGTGATGTCGTCGAATTTTCCCGCCTGCGCAAACGTCCATACCCAGTGCTCCCATCTCGAGGAGGTGCCGAGTACGCGTCCGGCTACTTTGCCCGCGGCTGCCCAGTCACCCGCTGAGACAAGCTGCTGGACCCAGAGATCGCCGATGCGGCGTTTTTCTTTCTCGACGGCGGAATTATGAGCGCGGCTGGCGGCTGCTGTGGCTGAGACGGTCGTCTGGGACGCGGTGGCGTCATCGGCGAAGAAGTCTGCGAGGCTCTGGCGCGTCTTGGAGGGCGTGCTGGCGGGTGAGGAATCTGCGTCTCTGTCCGCTGTGGAAACGACATCCGGATGCTTCTCGATGAGCTCCCATGCGTCCTTGTACTTCTCGTGTTCGAGGAGCCAAGCGAGATGGTCGGAGCGGTCTCGCTTGACTGCTAGAACGCAGTCATACGGACTCTGGATGAAAATCTTGAGACCGGGGCTGATAGTTGCGGGGTGTGGCTCCTGTGGTTTCCGGCCGGCGAGGGACGCTTTGCCTGCGCTGGCTGAGCCAGCAGGCGAGGATGACTTTGCGTTTTCACCGCTGTTGGGCAGGCTGATGATGCTTGCGCCAGAGCTGAAGATGCGAGTCGCGCTGACGCCTGCGTCCCAGAGACCGCCTCCAATGGCTTCTAGAGCGCCACGTTGGGCTGGAGTGATGTTCGTTGGTACTGGCGGTACATACAGCGTACTGAGATGATAATCGGCGCCTGAAAGTGACTCAAACCGGCTCACAGTCAGTGTGTCATCGTCGACGACTAGTTTGCTGGCGACATCGACTAGTCGTACTTCAGGCTGAAGCCCATTCTGTCGATGGTGAACGCCTTTTCGTGGCGTCGTCTGTACAGAGGTGGGGATCGGATTATTATCGTCGTCGCGTGTGCGGTAAGCAAGTACAAGAAGCAAAGAAGGGGTATAGAGCGATAACCCAGAGACAATGCAGTCATTGAACCGTAAGCTGAGAAAATGAATGTCAGCTGTTCGGCCACGGCTTGTTCGAAGCCTTTAACTCACAAACGCAAAACCTCCGCGCTGCCCACAGTCCTCTCCCCAACGTTCTTTCCAGTACCAGCCCCACCGGGATCTACCTGAATTACCCAGGCGGCGTCTCCCCATCCTACTACCAGCTTCTCGAGACGTTTCTTCGCGTTGGAGACCTTGCGTGTGCCAGCGGTTTTGTCAGGTGACCCGTTCGAGACAGGGGAATCATCATTGTCCGACTCAAGGTTGCTATCATTGATCCACTCAGCGCGCGCTTTCCACACCCCTGCCATGTCTTCCCAACCTTTTCGATTTGGTCGGTCAACGTGGGCGATGCGCTTCCAAGCTGATTCGCTATCCGCACTGTCGAGTCGGATGTTCGATCGCATGATCTTGATGCCCTGCTCGTTTACCCAGACAACATATTTGCCGGTCAGGGACCACTTGATGGTGCTAATACTACCCTCGCCAGAATGTAGTACCGTGTCCCTCCCAGTGTTCGACCCGAGGCCAATGGACCCGAGCCATCCGGAGGCAGCCGCTGCTGGACTGTTCGTGTTCGCGTTGGCGCTCACACCAGGTCGGCCGCCGGTCGTGAGTATCAGGCTTCCTGCTAGGCCGCCTGACAGGTAGCTTCGGTCGCTCTTGAACTCTGGAGAGAGCGCCACGGTCTGTACAGGCCTCGCGAAATTCCGCAACATGACATCCTTCGAGTCCACCAGAGACTGCACGCACACGTGTCCATCGATTGAAGAAGTCGCTATGTATATTGAGTTTGACGGCGTCGCGGGGATGGCTGGCTGCTGCTTGGGCGTCCGAGGCGAGGCTATGGCAGCGTTGTTCGTTGAAGGCGCTCTTACAGGCGTAGCGGGGGCTTCTGTGACGGTTCTGGCGAGGGCTTCTGGCCTGGTATTAGGAGCAGGTGGAAAAGGCGAGACTGATACCGCGGTGACAGATGCTGTATGTGCGCGGTAAAGTTTGAGGGGTACGAAGGACGGTAATGCTAGGACATTCTGCGGCCGCTTAGCAGGAGCTTCGAGAGCAGGTGGAAGTCAAGATGCTCACTATGTTGCCGTTATGCGTGCCAATAATCTATAAACTTTCAGTCTTCTCTTCCATCGCGTAACTTGCGTAGCAGCATTGCGGAAGCTCCGAAGGATATCCTGCGTACCATTTTGTCCCCAGCTACCATGGACGCGCTTGTTGCATCTCCGCCGCGGTATACCGACGCCAGATTACCCGTCAGCCGGGTGTACTTGAGCTTTGGCTCATCCTCCTCTTCGTCGTCCACCTCATTGTCTTCGTCCACTTCCCCATTGTGGGCGGGGTCTGCTGGCGCATGGTGGTGATGGTGGTGCTCAACCGCTGTCGTCTCCTCATGCTCGTCCTTTTCCGCAGCCATGCTGCTTCCATGAGCTGCGGTCCGTCCGGGGCTCGGCGGGTAGGAAAGGCCAGATTGTTATCGACTTCGCTGCATTGTTGTATACAAGGCGTTCCTTGAAGCTCCAGGGCTGGCGTGAAGGTGGTGACGACGGGAGCTCTCGGTGATGTCGTCGGCGGCAAGGCCCGCTGCGGAACCATGCAAAAGCCCGGAGGTTGACAGCTGGAGCCTCAAAACGTTTGTGACAGCTGCTTGAATCCGAGATTTAGGCCCCACGCTGTCAGCACTTTCACTCCGCATACAATGCCAACGCTCTGCTGGCGATGCAGACAGTCCAGCGGCATGCCGCGCACACCATCTTGAAAAGACGGGCACTGGGCCTGTCAAGCCGGCCGAGCACTGCACTTCGATTAAGCTCTATAAGAAGTCCAACCCCCCGGCATTCGCAACTAGTCGGCGCACAACAACCTTTCAGCTCATCCGCTATCTTGTTCAAAAAGCAACCTCAGCAGCAGCCGCAGCATCCGGAGGCCCCCGATGGCGCACAGGAGCAGCTGGGCCGGAAGCCATCACGGGCGTCAGTGGGAAAGACGTCCCTCAGAAGAGTAGCAGTGGAGGCAGAACGTTCAAGAGCAGGCTTCATCAAGAGGGTTGGGAGGACCCGCTATGTTGATCCAGAGGTCGAAACGAAAGTAAGTACCAACAACAAGGCATGCTCCCGCACCTCTTTGACATCTTCACCTCCAGACAATCACCGCGTACTGCGCCGCAGAACAGTACAACGTCTCTGTTGTTGCCCGTCTGGTGGAGTCTCATGGCTTCGTGCTCGATCCATACCAGACCGGGCTCTACCCGCAGGTTGTACACATCCAGACAGCGAATACGCCCTCTTTGGGCGCCGGGGACATCTTCATTTTCCCCTCTGGCACAGTGGTAGCATGGAACACGCCTGAGAAGGTAGCCTTCCACCTGGTCACCAAGATTCTCTCTCCCGCAGCAGAAGGCTCCCACCTGCACTTGGTCGAGACCGAGGACTTTGGCTACCTCGAGGACCCTCAGAAGGAATGGAGTAGCATCATCGGCGACACCATCATCCTGGGCACGAAGTCTCCCGATTCATCCGAGCGCAACACCGAACCAACTCAAGACGACAACACCGCCAGCGCGAAACCCGAAGACAAGCCCCTACAAAACCGCGAAGTCGACACCATCCTCGCCAAAATCGCATTTTCTTCTGGCCTCGCCCGCTCCACGAAGCTCGCTGTGCTCGAAACCCTCTTAAGCAGCTACTTCGACTCCACCCGCAGCATCCCGACCAGTCTCTCGCGCGGCTCCCGCCTCCCCTTCACCCGCTCATTCATCCTGCGCAAAACAGGCGAGCTGCTCAGCATCCGCGCGCAGCTGAATCTTTACTCCGAGCTCACGGACTCACTCCCCGACCTCTTCTGGGACAGCCGGCATGAGCTCGGATTAGAGGGCTACTACGACGACGTGGGCCGTGCCCTGGATGTCGGCGTGCGGATCAAGACGCTCAATGAGAAGATGGACTATGCGCAGGAGATTGCCAGCGTGCTACGGGAGCGGCTGAGCGAGAAGCATGGGCTGCTGTTGGAGTGGGGCATCATTGCGCTGATCTCGATTGAGGTTGCGTTCGAGTTGAGAAGGCTTTGGAAGGAGAGAAAGGAGCATGATGATCCGGACAGCACGGAGATGCTCCTGCGGAGGTTTCTCAAAGCCGCGATTGCGAAGGGGGAAAGCACCTGAATGGGGAACTGGCGCTGATGTGTGAGAGGCACTTACCACTCGACTCTTGTTTTTATATTGATACCCCGCTCCAGCGAAGATAGGTTCGTCTTCTGTACATACAACACTAGATCTCCACCCTCTCCATCATGGACCGTCACCACCTCCGTGGTGATAAAGACTCTGCAAGACATGAGTACTCTAGCAAGCATAGATAACAGACGACTCAACGGTCCAGTTCTTGGCGGAGATGGGCGGTAGACTTCGCAAGAGCCCTGTTGTTCCTACGTTCTTGTACATCAGGCGGCATGCTACGGTCTCTTCAGAGACCGGCTTGATTGCCCACTCCACCCATTCGAAAGGCTCTCTTGTGTGCAGAATCTGTGCAAGCGAGAAAAATATTAAACTCTGGGCTCAGTCGTCTGAGCGCCAACAGTCCAGGGAAGAGGGCAGACGGGGCGATTCCAGAATAGAACAGCTGCAGACACGAGGCTTAAAGATGCGAACCGGCTAGTGAAGATGAAAGTGCGGGAGCAACTGGCTCTACCACATCAAAGATTGACTATCAGCTCCTCTCACCTCTTGAAACACAGACCGACGCCAGTCGGTTATCCCAACACGTGATGAATCTAACCCTCGCATGGATGTGCGGTCCTCCCCGTTGCAATGACCAGACCGTCTACCCAAACCCCACCCGAGAACGCCGAATAGACATGCCTTAGACCCGGCATCCGTAAACGCAGAGGTCACGCCTCGAGGGATACTCAATGAGGAACTTTTGAATCCAAGTCGAACATCCAAAGGGACGAGCAGACCGAAGCACTTCATCTGATGTCCAGCTGGAAAGGCTTGAACTTCCCCCCAATAGACCCACATCTAGGACACCTCGCTATCCTACCACGCGCCTGCTCGCCAACAAGCACATCCACGCACTCCTGACAGATGCCGCAGATGCACTCGGTACAAGCATAGCTTGCCTTGAGCAGCGACAGCTTGTGACATCCGGCGCAGTAAATCTGCACCTGGTGCTGATAGGTTGGGGACGAGTCCGAGAGGCCCTGAGAGGCGATGTGGAAATTCTGGCCCGACTGGGCCGACTCGATCGACGACTCCACGGAGGGAAACGGATGCAGGTCCGCGTGGTCCGGCGGCGGAGGGGTCAACGAGTTCTGCAGCGGCGACGCTTGATACAGCTGGAACTGAGACGCGACGCCGGGCGGAAGAGAGGATCGGCTGAACATGTGCGGTGAAGCCGGGACCTGAATTGGACGTTAGTGGATGGACTTGCGAGGTTTGACGTGTCTGCACATATCCGTACCGGCGTGAGATCCCGACTGTCCGCTTCCGTGGCCGATGCTGCAGCGTCGATCAGATCTTCCCACCGAGATCCTAGCTTCGCTGCGGCCAGCGATGGCTCCGCAGACTGTGCCTTCCTGTCATAACTCATCCTCCGCTTGTGCTCTTTCGACTTTGTCCGCTCGTGCTTTGGCTTCAGCGCGTTCTGTGTGACAGACGGTTTGCGTGGGCGGTTTGGTTTGACTGCGCGCATGCCGGGGGGAAGCGTTGAGGAACGACCGGGCGGTGACCGCGCCAGCGCTGAAGGGTGCAGTTCTCGGCCTAAGTATGCATTCGGAACGGGGTAGGCATCGTCGAAGAATGTTTGCTGGTCGAACTCGGTCGGCGCGAAGTGGGCTCGCAGCCGGTTGGGCTTGGAGTCGTTCTCGGACAGGAGATCCTGGGTAACTCCAACGTCAGTAATGACCGCCTGGAAAGGGACCAGCGCCGACTTACCTGCTCAGGATCCCACGAGAAGTCCGCACGGTGACTGTGCAACTGTGCCAGCGCTGCTGCCGCGTTCGCGGCTGGTATCAGCGACCCGCGCCGAAACTCGTCTGACGACCTGGTAGAATCGAAGTTCTCGCCGAAAATGGGGTCTATGTTGCTGGCAGGGTCTGAGGGTGTCAGTCTATATGGCGACCAAAGCGAGATCCAGCACGAACCCGACGGTCCTGCGGATGTGCGTGGCGGTTGTGGTGGAGGCGGCGGCGGTCGTTCGGACGGCGGGGTGTTCACCATCATAAGGAAGCTCTCCTCTGTCGCCGGAAGCTTCGATATGTAGTGTTCAGGGTGCGCTCTGCGGATATGCTCCTGCATTGAGCGATACCGCTTCTCCTGCCCAGCGGAAAAAATCGCCTGTTACCTCACAGCTCATTGTGTCGGGTATGACGACGACGCGCATGGGGACAACAGCTAGAAGCAGGAGCAAGAGCGAGAAGACTCACGCCAACGCAACGTTTGCGACAGCTGGATCCATCGTGGTTCTTCAGCGGACACACAACCTCGTTGTGGGCGTCCGTGACGGAGAAGGAGCTGGTGAGCGACGAGCGTGGTGGCATTCCAAGCTGCATGTACCCCAACAAGGGCCCGCGAAAGCTATAGAAGACGAATTGGGGTGCGACGAGCACGAGGGAGCCTTCAATGGCTGACCGAGGAGCTCTAAGCAGCTGTGAAAAGCTGACAGCAATGGTGTGCAGCACAGGGGCAGCTGGGGAGCTGTTGGTGGTGGTGGCCGTTTCGAGTGTGCTTCGCCGGAGGTGTGTGTGGATGCCCCGCTGGTGAGGGGTCAAAAATTGCTTTCCGAAGCCAGGCAACTTTGGACAGCTGTTTGCTGTTTGCGGTTTAGTGAGGGCAAGCTGAATGGGCAAGCCGCAAGGCCGACGAATGTGGCAGCATCTGGCAGACAAGGCAGGATCAGCGCTGACTGGTTGCGAGTCGTCGTCAGCTCATCTTGACGTGTTGTGGTTGGTCGCGGCGGTCGAAAACAACAGGAATGCGGAAGGAAAAGCAGGAGCATTTGAAACACCGGACTCGGCCCTTGGAGGAGTCGTTCAGTGGCTCGCTGCTCACTGTGCTGGCCGGCTCTGCAGTGTTGAGCAGGTAACGTTATGCGGGATTCCGAGTCTTGCGCCCAGTTGGAGTGAGAGCCACGTGACAGCCACGTGACAGCCAGCGAAGTCTGCAAATTCAAAGCTGCTCGAATGACACCGCCCACGTGATTACGCGAGCCGGAAGTTGCCGGACCCCGCTGAGAGGTCGCGTGGCGGGGACAGACGGGAGTCTCAACTTCACAACCTGTCGGACACAACCTCAGCTCGCAGCTTCTGCCCCTACCGTATCATTATCACGCATGTTATACTACTGTAATCAACACAACCCGTCTGTGCTGGCGGAGGGCCGCCTGTTGCTATGGCTTCACAGAAATGTACGGCGTTGAACATATCGGATGACTCGCGCTGCGGAGAAAGCGCGACATCCATGAACGGCCTCTTCTGTAGCTTCCATTCCAAGCAATGTCAAGGCTCGAGATGACTCTCAGTCGACCGACGTTGGGCACACTGACGGCATTGCAGGCTTGTACAAGGGCTACAAGCGGCGCAATGCCAAACTTGATGCCCTCGTGAAGTCTCCTCCCGCTTACCTTGCTCAAAGCTCGGTTCCTCTTGTCAATCAGACATTCCACGATGTGGAGTCGCTGCATGTCCTGAAACAGCTGTATGAGCATCTTTCAGAAAGGTATAGGTTGTTGAGTCGTGTAATACTTGCCCGGAAGCTGCATCATGAACATTTTTTCTCCACGACGTTCGATTATGGCCATGCGCAATACCTGGCGAAGCTCCAAAGGGAAAAGCTGACCGCTTTGCGTGCTCTGGAGCGGCTCGAACGTCGAACGGCCGAGGTCTTGTATCAGCAGGAGAAGTGGTTTGGCTGGGTGCGACAGCGTCAGAACGAAGAGGAGGATGAACGCGCTGCCCAAGCTGCACAAGTCAAGAAAGAAGCTGCGATGTTCAAGCGCTATCGAAAGGAGTTGGAGCGACGCACAAAGGAGTTGAAAAGGAAGGAAGATCTCAAACGGCAAGAGGAGTATCTCAATAAGGCATACGCCGAGCGCATGTCCCAAGAGGACGAGGACGAAGAGTGGGATCCAGTTGATGATGCAATCGAGGACGAACGTGGCACCTACATCGACCTCATCAAGTTCTTCCTAATGCTGAAAGACAGCTCGGAAGAAGACGGAACTGGAGAGGAGAATGGGAAAAGCGGTGAGGCTACCGGAGCCGGTAGTTCGAGCGCCACGGAAGTCTCAGATGGATCGAAGACTGCAAAAAAGAAAGCGAAAAAGGCCAAGTTAAGCCAAGGGTCTACAGAAACTCCAACAATGGAGCCAAACCAGCTGGGAGAGAGTAATATCACGATGGAGACGAAGTCAGAGATCGAGAAGCGCTTGAGAGAAGGTGTTGAATACGAGAAAGGCGTCGGTCTCCTAGTTCGCGGCACAATCGAAAATCCTATAGAACTGGCGCACAGGACAGCGCCTATACCAGAGGAGGAGATCAAAACGCTTCTCGCCGACATCGCGGAAATCAAGCACTTACTTTTCTGCCGTCTGCTGCTGTCCCACGCTAGCGTTCTCCCAGCCGCTCTTCGCGCAGACAGTGTGGAAGACTTCTTGAACGACAAGGAAGTCGCCGCTGCAGATTTGAGAGACCTCTGTCTTAAGATGGAGAAACCCGGTCTTCAGGAAGTGCGCGATGCTTGTGCAGATCTGATTCGAGGCGAAGAAGAGGACGAGACAGATCAGAATGATGGGCAAGTGGACAACGAGGACGAGGTTGAAGAGGCAACGAAAGCACGCAAAGAGATGAGGCCTAGGTTTAAACGCCGCCGCGATGCTGTTCCTGAGGTTTGGCACACGAAGCGGGAGAAAGAAATGTTGAAACGCCGAGCGCAAAGCCGCAAGATGCTCGGTGACGCGGGTGCAACTATGATTGATTTTGGTACAACCAACGACGAAGGCGAGACCCAAACCAGAAAGATGCGTGTCAAGGTTTGTGGAAGGTATGTTTACAACTACCCTAGTGAAAAGTCTCTGACTCGCGGCGGTAAGATGGACACAACTCCATTCATGGTGGTGAGACACTAAACTCTGGACCAGGTTGGCTTCATTTCTCGATCATAGCAAAGGATAGTAGCTTTTACGACGCTATCCAGCTTTGTCGAAACTGGGACGAGTTCTTCGAGCTGAACGTGCTTGCCATTTGGCAGTACTTCCCAGCAGCGAAATGGCTGGTGGGCGATCGATTGAGATCACAGCTTCTGCACCTGGTAGGATCCTCCGTTCTTTCGTATCCAAGTGTGTGCAAAGAGAGCTTTGCTGCATTCATGTTTACGTTCTCATATATCGCCCGATAGCCGATCAACTTTCTTTTGTATCAAGCTGTCCGTGGCTTTTTGTTGAACATGAGCCAGGCTGTCGTTCGTTTGGCCAGGAGACGCATGTAGTCACAAAGGTGAACTAAAGCTGATAACTGTTTCTAGGGATTCATCCCCTACTTCCAGTTTGATCATGCAGCCAAAACATCCGTATGGCACCAGACGGGATCCCGGGGCCAAGGACGACGATCTCACGCAATGGTCGAGGCACGGAACTTCATGTGCGGACACATCAAGAGAAACGATGCCGCCAGTCGTCGATTTATTCAATACCTCTCAATGGAAACCAGTTGCGTGGTCTGCCTGGTTCGTGATGCGGTTACTGGGAAAACCGTAGTATCCCCTCCTGAAGAACAATTGTGGCTGCTCCGCGAGAAGTCCGGACTCGGAAGAGCGTCCAAGAACGAGTGGAATACCATCAGCCAGGTCGGGCCTAAATTTTTCGAAGAAATGGAGCGGTACCGCAGGTGGCACTTTGACTTTAACGAGTATTACGACGTCTACGTATGGGACGCTGTGCCTGGCCAGAAATTCTACAGCTTACATAACACGATCCAAGGGGTAAGCATTATTTCCTGCACGTTTCGTGGACCATCTAACAGTGCCAGCTGCTCATCAAAGCTCATCGGTTTCATTCAGTCCGAGAGTTCTACGAGGTTGAGGCTCCTATCCTTAGAACTCTTGTGAGAGACAAAGACACTCAGCGGGCTCGAGATGCCAAACCAGGCGAGCGGACCATATACGACTCTCTCAATTCCGCGGACACTCACTTCAAGTCTTGGAATGAGAAGGGCGAGGTCATTGTCGACACTGAGGAAGACAGAGTGGCAAGAGGAACATTCTATAACGAGGCTGACGCAGCAGAAGACAGGGTGCTATTTCCAGAGGAGCTCAGTGGCAGTACCAACGAGCTTTTCAAGGAAAACATGGCCTCCATGAATGTCTTTGAGAAACGTGGCCCTGACTTCAATCGCTTCGCCGCAGACCTGGACACTGACGAGGAACTTGAGAGTGATGATGGCGAGCACAGCGAAGGGTCGTTATGTCCCTCATGCCGATGGTCTGGTGATGATCACGACCATAACCATCACGGCGAAAACAGCGATGAGTGGGAGTCTGAGAGCGCAGAGTCAGATGCGGATGATGGGTTTTTCTCTGGACCACTGGCCGAGTATTTTGCTCAATCCGCGGCTGCGGCAGAACGCGGAAGCCAGGCGATTGACGTAACAAAATATTCCAAGGCGCCTCCAGAACTCGATCCGGCGAACATGGACCGGGAATTCATGTCTTTCATTGATCGGGAAAAGTCCAAAGGTAATCACAACTCCATTCTATCGAGAGACATGTCTGGAAGCATAGTACAGAAGAGCCCTGGAGCACACACGCGCGTCTCACCCGAACAGAATTAGGGGGCACGTTCGGAAGTCCTCTGTTTGGCCGCCGTCCCCGATATGTTGTACGACTTTTTCAATCAACACACTAAGCTAACAGTGGAGCAGTTTTCAAAGAAGGCTGGCACAAGGCAGACTTGGAGCCTGGCACCCAGCTCAAGTACTCTACTGCTTTGAGAATGGTCAAGAGAGTGGCCACATACAACCTACTCCGAGGGCGAGCTCGCATAGATCCATTCTTCAAGTTTTTGAAGCAAAGCGGGGGCGTCACGGAGCACCGCCGCGTTGTTCCCGACATGCTCAGTGCTTTTGCCGCTATGAGCCTCTTCTTCACACCTGAGTTCCTCACAGGCGATTCAGGCACAGGATTCAAGGATTCCTTGCTAGTCAAACAAGCCGAACGAGCGAAACAACTGCCCGATCGACGGCGGTATGACAGTAACAGGTACATGCCGAACGAGTTCTGGAAAGACTGGGATACCGTTCCCAAGAAGCATCAACCGTATCCATTCGACTGGGACGTTGCCATTCGGCCCCATCATAGCGCATCGTGAGTCTTACTTCTTGCGTCTCCAAGGCGTGACGGCGGTCCACTAAGCACTTCCATCAGTGTACAGATCTGGCGTCATCACCATGTCATACGAAGAACAGGTGCCGGGCAAAGCAATTGCAGCCAAGGAGCCGGGCCGTGACCTAGACCTCTACGTCGACTTCCGTGAGATGACCGAAACTGTCACTATGCCACCGGAGCTTCAAGACCCGGCTAAGGTCACGCGGGAAGGTGTGCTGAACACCGCTCGCGGGTTCGCGCGTGCTAATCCAAACGCCCGCTTCGCGGTCCTTCGAATCTGGTCCGCGCCGCATTTCTACCCGCTCATGATCGGATACGAGAGACGCTGGACCGTCTCCTTTGCTGACGCAGTTGGAAGACATTGGGAGTGGAAGTTTATCCCCAAGGACATGCTGTGCTCAGAGTGGAGCATCCACCACCAGGCTCGGCTGCGTATCCGGCCTTACCAGGCGAGCTTTGGTAAGAAAGTGATTGTTAAACGAGACATTTACTTCGTTATGGGTGAGGACGAGGCGGACCTGCTGAAGCTCTCCGCGGCTGTCATGTATGCGGTTCAGACTGAGCCGTGGAGGCTGGAGATTGATCTTTGGAGGAGCTTCGTCAATGTAGATCTGGCGTTCTTGGATGAACTGCACCACGCTTGGTTGGATTAGGCTGCAATCTGTTGGGTGGCACCTCAGATCTCTGGGTGGATGGGTATGAGTTTTATGAGCAGACCATCAGGGCAAGCAGATTGAGTCGAGGAGCGTGGAAGTATCATGTACCAAAGCTTCAGACTCTCTCTACTCTTTCTCGAGCACTGTATCTATGTCCGAAGACACAATCGGGAGCGAATTGTGCTGGCCGTCAAGCCAGCAACAAACATTCTGGCTGGGGCAGGCGGAAACGACAAGCAACTTTTGGCCAAGGATCAGCAGCGGCACGAAGTGAATTGCGGGCCATTCCCCGGTGCTCGGGCCCAGGTCTCGCCACGGCTTGCCGCGCCTAGTCGCTTCCGACTTCCCCGGCTCGAGTCTGCTTGCTCGCATTTCGTGCCATGCAGCTGATTGACCGGCCACCTGGGCACACAAGCGTACTGTACCTGCCTGGCTGGCTGACCGACTCGTGTCTCCTGCCATCATGGTCGCAATTAACATCTCCTCATCTGCCCTTTCCCCTTATTCTCCAGCCTCAATGCTGTACAGCTTCAAAAGACATTCATCCCCGAATAAACGGTGATCCGCCAAGTTATGCCGCTGACGGTCAAGTCTCTCAACGGCGACACTACCTTTCTCCTCACCTTCTCGCCCCCTAGTGCGCCGGCTACGTCGCCGGCACTCTTCCCGGGCTCCTTCACCATCCTCATAGATCCATGGCTCACCGGCGCGTCGAGCATCCTCCACCCAAAGTTCCAAGAAGCGAAGCACAGGAAGCAGCCGTGTGTCGCATCCCTTGCTGAGCTCCCGGAACCAGACCTCGTCATCATATCGCAAAACAAGCCAGACCACTGCCATGAAGAGACATTGCGACAGCTGCCGGCAAACTACGCGTCGACCATCCTAGCCGCGCCAGCCGCAGCGAAGAAGATCAGAGGATGGAATCACTTCGACCCGGAAGCCGTAATCGCGCTGCAGAAGTTCGACGAGAAGCGGGAGTCACGCGTGTTCCGACTCTCAGTGCCATCCCCATCTGCGAGCGGCTCACCGGGCGAGGTCACCATCGCGCTCCTACCTCCGCCGAAGCATGACATTACTCGCGTGCACAACGCCATCGGCATAACCTACCGCCCGCCGTTCACAGTTCTCTCCGCGTCCACAGGCAAATACATTGACTTGCCCGCCACGCCACCTGCTTCTCCGCTCTCTCCTATCAGCATCAAAAGCGCAACGCCGAAGACTCTTGCTGCGTCGCCCTGCAACGACCGCGAGAGGACGCTGAGTGTGATCTATTCCCCTCACGGAATGCCATACAGCATCATCAAGCCATACGCCTCCAGTCACCTCGTCGAGGAGGCCGCACTGCCCCTCACGTGCCTGTTCCACTCTTTCGACCGCGTACACAATCCGTGGTTCCTCGGCGGAACCGTCGCGAACGGGATGCCTGGAGGCCTGGAGATTGCGCGGAACCTGCTCGCTAGGGTCTGGGTGGGCGCACATGATGAGGAGAAGGAACTACACGGTGTAGCGACCAGCAGGATTAAAACGCAGAATTTTGGAATCAATGAAATTAACGAGTTACTGCGCGAGCCGGGGCAGGGAGCTGGGCCTAAAGTCTGGTCGAATGCCTTTGCTGTCAGTCTGGAAGCTGGTGAGGAGATCAGAATTGGCGTGAGGGAGGATATCAGATTGATATGATGCTATGTAGTACCTTTGGATATATAGATGGCGCATACCCTATTAGGCGTTTCAGAGGAGTTGTGAAAGCCATGTAGTCGCCTGGCACGACTGGAGAGGAGGTCTATCACATGATTATGGAGACATTTCATGGCGTCCAGTCCTTGTCAACATAGCTGTTCAATACTTGTTTACGGCCGTGATACAACATGGGTTGAGGTTGTCTTGTGGAAGTAAAATCAGGGTCAAAAATTTGTTTTGAACAACTAAACAACAGTCGCGCACAATCAGCGTTCGGATATAACTTTACAAATGATAAGGTCTTCCACCGATTGCTCAATTCCTTACGCTTCGGGGACTGATATCGTATGTGGGGAGGATCGTCTGCTGCTTGAGGCTTGCATGCTTTCTTCGGAAATCTCCGGACTGAAGCGCCGCAACAGCAAGCTCCCCCCATACGACCACGGCATCACCAATTGAACCTCTCCACTCCTCGCAATGGCGTTCCAACCGATGCTGTGGCATGTACGTGTCTCTGAGCCTCTACGGAGCATGTTGTTTCATTTGCTAACGACCGCCAGCGTGCCGCATTCTCTCCGATAGCAGTAGCCCTCACAGCAGGCGCAATCCTCTATCCCAAACGACCCGCGTACGCCGAAGAAGCCGACATAGCGGATGTCGTAAGATTCTCACCCAGAGCTTGTGCAAAGTTCCTATACAGGTCCAAATCCGAGTCACTGACGCCCGCCAGCTCTCGCGCAAGCCCATCTACGACGACACCCCACCGAACCTAACCCTCCCCTCCTCCCCCGACGGGTCCGGCACTCTCCCCTCCTCGCCGACGACAAAACACAATCCCTCCTCCCCGTCTCCAACCGACCGCCTCGCCACCCAGATCCGCCGTACGCGCCTAGCACTCCAACGACAAGCAGTGCGCGCCGAGGACGCAACCAACGCATTCATGACGCGCACGCTGCAGCTCGAGCACTCATTCACCAGCACCATTGCCTCTCTCGCGCCGCCGAAAGAATCCAACGAGAAGGTCGTCCCAGGGCTGTTGTACGTCCTTGTGGCATCCATGGCCGGCTCGATCGCGACGAGGAACAGGAATATCTTCCTCAGGGCTGCTGTGCCAGTGGCTGTGGGTATCGGAACCGCGTACACTGTCTTGCCGCTTACGACGAGAAACGTAGGGGATCTAGTCTGGCAGTATGAGAAGAGGTTTCCCGTGGTCGCGGAGAATCACATCAGGGTCAAGGAGAGGGTGGGCAGGTTTGTGGAGACGGGGATTGCGCATAGTCAGATGAGTGCGGCGATGCTGCAGGACAAAGTTGGGGGTGTGAGAGCGGCGGTCGAAGAGTGGGTTAAAAAGGGGCGATAGAGGGTGATAGGGAGGGCCAAACAGAAGGTTGGGCTTCTGCGTCGTGCCAATGCCGTGTATAGTTCAGGGTTGTCCTCGCAGCCTTGGAAAGTGTGCAGTAGATAGTGTATGTTCATTTGTATCCGTCAAGGAGCATGACCTTTTTTTGTGTGCTGCATCGGAGGCGAGAACAAGCATCGATTCTAGGCTTTACACAGCTGCTAACTATGTCTACGTAGAAACTGGATTTAGGGTCTATGTCCGCCCGTAAAGGCCAAGCGGTATGATGCTTTCTAGGCGCACGCTTATAGCCCTTTGTGCAGAACCGGTTTCCAAGGTCTATAGTCTTGCACCTGATCCACCGCCAATCCGAGCAACGGCTCTTCGGACCTCCTCGTTGACCAAGGCCGTTGATCAAGGCCGTTGATCAAGACAGGTATCCTGCGGCAGCTCAACCGAAGCCTTCGAGGTTGCCGGCGAGGTATCGTTCCGCGCAGCGTGGAGTTTGAGGACAGCGTCTATGAAGCATAGTCAGCGACAGGGAGGGCTATATATTGATAAAACAAAAGGGAAAGAGAAAATTGAGGCGTGTTGCCAGTGCTACAGAACACACTTGACTTCATTCAATGCAAAGATGCTGCTGCTGAAGGCTCCTAAATCGCAAGGAACTATGGAGTGAATGATCCTCGAGTCTGCTTGACAATTACCATGCCACTACGCGTCATCTGTGCTCCTAGACAGGTGCGAAATGCCACAAGCATCATCTCTGTTTCTCACAGAAACTTGTACATGAATAAATCTGGGTGAGGGAATTGCAATCAGAGCATCGCAACACAGCGATGTTGCAACACAATTGGAAGTGAAGGGTAAGGCGAGGAGCATTGAAGTGCAAGGGTTTAATCAGATACAAACTAGGTGTGGATTGGTGCTGCAGATGTTGCATGAGCTGCTCCACATTGCTCTCATGCGGTTTCTGATGAGTGTAGCCAATTGCAACAGCTTACCTAGCTGCAACCACACGCATCTTCGCACCTGCTGATTTAATATGGGTGCTGCTCATTACCGTCTCGCCATCTTGTTTCCAATCTCTAGACTCTCACCAATGACAAAAGGAGCTCCAACATGACCCACTCTGCTCGAGTATTATCAATAGCCAAGCACGGCCGCGAAGCGCGAGGTAGGATGGTGTGCAGGAAGGCAATCTTCCGATCCAAGAGATCATCGGATGGACAAGCCGGCCGTGATACTAATGTAGGAGGTCGCCGACGGCATGTTGTTGCTGACATGCCGGCGGCAACAACAAGCACCTGGGAGGGTAGTCGGTCATGAGACTCGGCGACAGCTAGTACTGCTATTCATAGCAGAATCCCAAGATACCCTTAAATCAGGCTGTTGTCTGAGTGATGTCAGTCGGGAGGTCTTCATGGGGAAGCCCTTGGGAGCTCTGAGAACCTTGGAACACTGGCCCTCCGCGAAACTGAAGTAATGAGGCTATTCGTCAGAATCCGATAGTCTAAGTTCTGAGGCGAGAATGCGACGCTGGATGTTGCATGCAGCTAGTGGGCCGTTTGTGGGGTTGCCGTCGGTGGCAGGGCTGCTAGTGGCCGTTGCAGCCGGACGGCTTCCAGGCTGCGTCACCCTTGGACCCCATGAAGATATTCGTCCTGTCTCCAGAGAATACCAAGGCTCTCGGCATGGTTGGCATCGGAGGCATTGTTAGTCTCCGGGCGAGTATGTCAAGTTGCTACTCCATACGGCGTCATCTCTCCTGGCCTACTAGGTATTTCAGCTGGGCGTGAACTGGAACATGAATAACCGTCGATCCCGATGAAGGCACCGGAATGCTTGTGCCTGGTTTTGCTATGAAGTGGGCTTAATCTAAAACCGGCGTTATGACGGACAATTAATTGGCTGACGCAAGAGCGATACCACGATCAGTTTACCCTCTTTGCTTCGGATCATGGTCTGACCGCTCACAGTCTAAGCTTCCATTATCGTCTTTCCATCATCTTTCGCTGCAAAGTGAGCACTCTGCGTAGGTGTCATATTCGCGTCCTTGATGTTGTTCTACGAGCCGTGACCGTCACTACTCTGGCCAGTCCATATTGTCCTAGTAGTTTTTAATACAGCAGTGTTCACCATGAATGACGGATAGGCATTGTTTGGGCCTTTATCATCAAACAAGAATTACAAGTAATCTCAATCGCCCGTTAGCTTTCGGGCTCTTTGGTGCCTGCTTACAGCGATTTCAACCATGATTGGTAGCCGCGGTTGAGATCTGCATCTACTTGCCTCAAGAAGTGACGACAACCGGACTTGGGATGTAGCATAAAACGACGATCGTTTCGGACATGGAACCAAAAGAGGCTCGATGTTGAGAGAGGAAAGAGACTCATGCTGGGACTACCTAGGTAGTTTGGATTGCAAAGGTTCCGGTACTAGAAGCCTGATGACGCATGTGAAAGCAGTCATAATGATGATGATGCCTTGGGTTGAGACTTGAAGAGTATAAAGGACAGACGAGGTCTCTGAGACATGGAACACCTATCCTCACACAAGCCACTGCAATCAACCATCTTTCTATACCTACACAAAAACAGCAGCACATTCTCTGCCCGTTTTAAGCATCATCACTCACGAAGTCTCTCACAGACTCCTCAACCAACCCAAAATTCAACCCGCAGAAATGAGAACCTCATTCCTCTCTCTCTTTACCCTCAGCGGTCTCTTCGCCGGTTCCCTAGCCGCGCCGACTATCTTCAGCCGTCAAGTCGGGCTCTGCGCGTCTGGTACTCCACAGTGCTGCGACCTCGACGTCCTCGGAATCGCCAACCTCAACTGCCAGACTCCTCCAGAAGTGCCAACGGACATCCAGAGCTTCAACGACATCTGTGCAAGTGTTGGGCAGATCAATCAATGCTGCCTCCTTCCGATCCTCGGCCAAGCCCTCCTCTGCAACTCTCCCGACGGCTCGTAGGTCGATCATCGTCAACACTGGCTTAACTCACTGGACTACTGCTGCTCGCTTGGAAGGTTGCTGTGTGGATCTTGTGGTTTTGTGGCAAAGCCCACAAGGGTTGGCCGAAAGCATGTATTTTGTACGTAAGGCAAGACTACGCGAGAACGTATCATAATTGAGGAGAGAAGGTACTTAGTTGCGCTAGATAGTACGGCGGATATGTATCTTAGAGATGAAGGAAAGTTGCTGAAACGAAGTCTTTCGCGATACTTACGCTTCATACGTGTTCTAGCTTCTCAGCTGCTTTCGTATAAGGCTCTGTTGATATTCGGTGCTATTTAGACAGTGTTCGTACCTGATAAGTGTAGGAAACGATTCAGTAATCGCGCGTTCACAAATAGTGTCACCCCTAGGGACGGCGGTTTACCCAGAACAGCTTCGATCCAGACACAAGAGGCTTCGCTGATGTTGAGATAAGTCTAACAGGCCATGCGCCCAGCCCTCAAGAAGCTTGGAAGTGTAGACAATCGAGACCGCAGTCACAAGTGTCCATATCTCTTCCCCTATCGTTGACAGGGCGGCACGGTTCCCAAGCGCTTGATCAATCGGGCAGCAATGTGAGTGAGCCGACAGTTGAGCACGCCGGCTTGCAAGCAAAATTTGCGGCATAGTCTGCGCGCATCAAACCATCCTGTTAGACTTTGATAAAGTGCGTGTCCTTAAAGGTACACTGGCGTCAGGAGGATGCCAGCCGTCATAAGTAGCCATACGGGCATCTACTGCCGTCCGGCAAGCCCAAGCACATACCTCGAACTGGCCTCAAAGCACTACCAAGCCGTATTTCGATCCACATACACACTAATAAAGCTTCACTAGGTGTCAGTATGATCGCCTCTGCGGATGGCTGCCCAAGTCAAACCATGCTTCGCCGCCAAGCCGGGCAAAAAGCATGGCGAGCTCGGATGACGAAGAAGGGCCCGCAGCGAGCAGCCATGAGCAGAACATCGTGCACTCCTCTCTCTCCCAGACATGCTGAAGAGAGCAGCAAGACAGCCATGGACATGCTCCCGCTGCCTTCGTCTCCAGCAGCGTCGCTACTTCAATGGCCTCGCCGAAGCCGCCAAAGCGAACTACGCCGCCGACCTCGCCCCTGCGACCCACAATGCGCCGGACGCAAAGAACGATGACAGGACGCTGCGGCAGATATTCGACTCGCAGCCCTTTTGGAAGGAGTTCTCGCAGCACGCCAAACACCAGGGCCCAGGCCAGTCGGCAGGCTTGTTCCAAAATCGCTACCTTACCCGACCGGACGGCTTCCAGAAGTTTGCGCATGTCACATTGCAGAAATGCATGAAGCTTGTGGACAAGGTGCTTGCTGCTTCTACTGTAGACGAGTTCAAGAGCTTGGCAAAGGACTTGGATAGGCTCAGCGACCTACTATGCCGCGTCATCGACCTCTCCGACTTTGTGCGCGCGACACATCCTGATCGAAAGGTCCAAGCCGCGGCGACGCAGGCGTATGCGATGATGTTCGAGTACATGAACAAGCTGAACACGACCACGGGGCTGAACGACCAGCTAAAGAAGGCATCGCAGATACCGGGGGTTTGGGATTCATGGACGGAGGAGGAGCAGGTTGTGGCGCACATCTTGATGAAGGATTTCTCCAAGAGCGCCATCGACCTGCCGGAGGGCGCAAGAAACAGGTTCGTGGAGCTGAGCAACGACATCACGAACACGGGAACGGATTTCGTGGACAATATGGCGCCGGAGATGTCGTACTTGCACTTCGAGAGCAGCAAGCTGAAGGGTATGGATCCGACGGTGGTCAGAAACTTCACCAAATGGGGCAAGGTAACATTGCCCACAGTGGGCATGCCCGCTATGATGGCCCTCAGGACAGTTGAGGATGCGGATGTTAGGAGGGAGATCTACATGGCCAACAGGACCGCCTCGAAGGGCAGTATACGGCGGCTAGAAGCCATGCTCAAGTCGCGCGCCGCGCTGGCAAAGCTGTCCGGTCATGACACCTTTGCTCACATGGCTCTCGGAGACAAGATGGCGAAGACTCCTGAAGCTGTCAACCAGTTCCTCTCAGCACTCGCCGCTGACAATTATCCTCGCGTCCAGTCTGAGCTCCAGGAACTGCTGGAGCTAAAGGAGTCAGACGCAAGAAGTGGCAACTTTCCTGCCAGCCTCAACGCTTGGGACAGAGACTATTATACCACGCGGTTGCTGTCGTCCATGCAGACGCGCATCCGTTCCCCCGATTATCTCTCGGCGTACTTCTCCCTTGGTACTGTCCTGCAGGGCCTATCGCGCCTGTTCAGCCGACTCTACGGTGTCCGTCTCGTACCTCGCGAAGCAGCTCCTGGCGAGACCTGGAACGACGATGTGCGACGTCTCGACGTCATTGATGAAGTCGAAGGCCACATCGCGGTCGTCTACTGTGATCTCTTCTCCCGCCCAGGCAAGAATCCCAATCCTGCACACTTCACGCTTCGCTGCAGTCGCGTGATCCAGCCCACCGAGCTTGAGGAAGCCGACTCCACGAACCACCCATTCGACACCGCCATCGAGGCTGCGACGGATGGCATGGCGGCTGCCTACTCCCCTTCGTCGGGAAAGCTACACCAGCTCCCAACCATAGCGCTGATCTGTGACTTTGCTCGCTCCACCCAACGAGGCATGATCGCCAGCAACAAGCCCACTCTACTGACCTTCAGAGACGTCCAGACCCTCTTCCACGAGATGGGCCACGCAATCCACTCTATCCTAGGCCGCACGACGCTCCAAAACGTCTCCGGCACGCGCTGCGCCACCGATTTCGCAGAACTGCCGTCCGTGCTGATGGAGCATTTCGCCGCGGCACCAGAGGTGCTGGGCCTCTACGCTCGCCACTGGGAGACCGATGCTCCGTTGCCGTACCGCCTCGTCGAGGAGCGCCTGGCTCTCGACCGCCGCATGTCGGGTGCCGAAACCGAGAGCCAGATCTTGCTCGCTATGCTTGATCAGGCGTATCATGGCCCGTCGCCTATGCATCCGCAGTTTGACGCCACGGAGATTTACCACCATGTCTTTAATAAGCACTCGGCTGTCCCGGAGCCGAGGGGTACGGCTTGGCAAGGCTTTTTCGGCCACCTGTTTGGTTATGGGGCTACGTATTACGCCTATCTATTCGATAGAGCGATTGCGGGCAAGGTGTGGAAGGACGTTTTCCAGCGGACAGCTGGAGGCGCGGTGGAGAGAGGCGCAGGCCAGAAGTTCAGGGAGGAAGTGTTGATGTGGGGCGGCGGCAGGGACCCGTGGAGGTGTGTGGCGGGGGTGTTGGGAGATGAAAGGCTAGCTGAGGGTGGAGAGAGGGCGATGAAGGAGGTTGGAAAGTGGGGTGTTGGTGAGTAAGAGTTGGGATAGGTTGTTCAAAGGCTTGATTCGTCTTAGGCTTTGTACATACAGGTGGTCCCGGTGGGGAGGGTTGTCAATATACAGTAGCTATTCTGTGTATCGTCGAATCATTGATATGGTACTGCGCTTACTTCAGGTATAATGTAAGGATGTTTACTTACAAATGCAGTACTCCTCGAATGTGCGTAACTGGCTTCAACAATGTAACACGCAGAGGCTTACTCCGAGACACGAACGTTGCGCCAAGGTTAGCTTAGAGTTGCAAAATAGTCCCTAGGAACGGAGAACGTCAACCGATATGGAAGTGGATCAAGGAAAGATTGAAGAGAAGCTTGCTGCTCTGTGCTTCCAGATCACGTGTATCGTCGACCAGGGAGTGATGCCGCGCACGGGGTTATGTGGCACCATACCTAGTGTCTTGACATATTGAGCAAAGCTTGGTCTGGGCAAGGACGTGACCAGTGCAGATAACTAGAGGGCATAGATGCCGCGTAACCCATTGTGCCGCATAACCCTCTGGTCGGCGTTATTGAGGGCAAGTTCATTTCAGCCCGTTCTTCAGCCACTTCAGCCTTGGAAAGCATGTGTCAGCCACGTGATTACCTTTGGTTTCATTAAGCTCGCCTCAACCTCGAGCCCCTCTCCGGACAAAGCTCACAGATCCACATATTCTGGGTGTTCCACTTCTGCGCGCTCACAAATGCAGTTGATCGATCATGCAATGTCCCGATACCCAGAGGATGGAAGAATTGCCACCAATCAACAGCTAAGGCGACAGCCACGCCCACATCGCATCGGTAAGGATGATAAATCTGCGAATATTTCGTATTCATCAGCCCTGACAATGCAAGCACGCATACCCTAAACCCAAAGTGGAGCAGTCTGTCGGATCCGCCATGCATCAACCCGGACGGCGCGCAGAGCCAAGCTTCGTACATCTGCAGCTTTACCCGAAACAGGACATCAATTGCGGTCATGGCAGGGGTTCAAGATCTCTTAAATCTGACTGCATCGTTACTCGATATTTTTCCTCCAGACACTCTGTCCTCTCCCCGCTAACGCTGCACTCAATACGACAATAGTCAAAGGAGCGCGTGTGCATATGTGCCTGTCGACCACGTTCCCCTCTTTCCCCTCTCGTCATTCCACTCCTCTCTTCAGTCCAACCCTTCAACCAACACGTCCTCACCAGGGATGATGGTCCCGTTCAGCACGGCAGCTCCGTGACCCCTCGCCAGCTCCCCATACACCGGGAAATATTTATCCAGCCATGGGATCACGGCTGCAGCACCTGGCGGACTGCGCCAATCGCGCATCAAGTCGCAGACGATGCTGAACAGGCTAACCAGCTGCACTCCAGCCGCCTGCATACGAGCATTCGCGGTATCTCGGATCAGCCCCGTGGTCGTACCGGAAGCCTCGACATTCGCCCACACGCTGTAGCCCTCAGCGCGAAGGGAGAGCGCGAGGAACGCCGTGCCTTTACGGGATGTGGATCAGCTAGTGCACGCAGCAAATGTTGCGGAGGAAGGGCGGGGAACGTACAGACGTCCGTCACGATACCAGCCACGATGACCTGCCTTTTTCCTGTAGCACGGATAGCTTCACGGAACTCGGCATTGTCCCAGGCGTTCACTTCGCCCTGACGCTGGATCAGCGGAGCGTCGGGATACATGTCGGTGATCAATTGTGGGAGAGGGCCATTCGGGCCTGGTATAGGTTAATACCAATCATTGCGCCTCCGAGCGGCGGTGGACAGACCTTGTTGAGCCGAAGTGGTCATGACGACCGGGATATCAAACAGCTGCCCCAGCGCCGCATGAGCGATCATGTTGTTATGATACAGGGTTGCGTCGAAGTCGCGAGCGAGTTGATAGAGGCCGACTTGAAGGTCGAGGATCAGGAGGACCTTTTTGCTGCTCAGCTTGGATCATGGACTTGCGTGGTAGAACCAACCGAGTCATTCTGGCTGAGTCTCTCCCATGGCACAGCTGAAGACTGGTCAGCATCGTTTGCGTCTTGTTGAGCAAGGAGATGTACCGTCTGCTGAAACAAAGCTGGCGAAGGCGCCGCCGATAAAGCAAGCCGAGGTGCTGAGCTTCATGATTGATCGGGAATTGGGAGTGGGAGCCTCAATGTAGAGCTTCGATGTGTAATTTCGGTGTGCGATGGAGCTGAGAATGGAGCATCTCTGTCCGCGGCAGAGTGCTCTTTATATTGGCGGTTCACCATAGCTCTTGCTAGCTATCAGATGCTGCTTTGCAATTCTGATAAATCCAAGACAAATCCATGAGGGACCCATATATCTTGCACAGTCCACCTGCAGCTAAGGGGTCTCGCATGCGCTGCAACACGTGCCCATGTAACCTTGTATGCAGCCCATTCTTAGGGTTACCCTAACCCAAAAGGATGCATGCAGTACCTTTGCAAGCTGCTACATACGCTTGTGCATTTGTATTCGCCAAGATACGAATTACTCTACCAGGTCGAGCTTGAGCAACCATAACGCGGTGTGGAGGTTCACAATCCGCTGCGCCTCACACAAAGGTACGCTCAGCCACCACGCCTGCACCCAGCTTCATCTGGTTCCAGCTACAGTATCAGCTCTACTCGCCGACTTTTGAAATTCTACCCAGTTTCAACTTCCAGGTTTTCGAAATGGCAGGATTTGGTTTCTCCCCAAGCGACATAATGGAGTTTGGCGCACTTGTCACAAAAGTAACTTTTGCGTTAAGGAAAGCGGGTCGAAGAGCGGGTAGTTGACGGCTATGCGGTCATGCGAGGGTCTTCAAGCTGTGCTCAACGGGGCCCAGCACCTCGAACTTCCAAAGCTCTCTGGGACTTCAGCAACCAGATAAAGTGATAGTCAGTAGACGCGGAAGAGTTGACCAAGGATTTCTGGAAGACCGTAGCGCGGTATGAAACCCCCTAGGGCACACAGCTACACAGAGTACTTTACTCAAGGAGTTGACTAGTCTTCTTTTCCGCTACCCTACAACAAGAGCCATCCATACGTCCACCAGCCCAAGCAGAGTGTGTACTCTTCCGGACGGCCCTATTGTATCAGATCGGGACGGCTTGCCGCCGCAGTTCCCTGGATTGCCAAGCGTTGACACTGCAGATTGGGAAGCCACATCCGAAAGAGGCGGAGATAGTGGAGTTCCCAAACACTACCCAATTGTCGGCACAACAGCTGGACTGGATGGAGGAAGCGAACAATGTGTTTCGGTCTTTGGATCTGGCGGACTCTTATCACCCAACATGGACAAGATACGACAAATCGACGCACCGCATGCACCACTTTTACTCACTGCAGGCGAGCCTTCACTCTCGCCTTCCCAAATCAGAGAGATAGAAGATGCAGCCAAAAATTCTGGAGCATCAGGCATCGGAAAAGATAACCAGTCACAAGAGCAACGAACTTTTATAAAGTACAAGCCCTCAGTTTCGCGGCGGAGCTGGAGAGTGTAGGGCTCGCCATCTCAGCCGTACGTCTTGTCGGTACAGGAATGCGACTTTTTGCAAAATTAGATCAGCTGTCCCGGGAGACTTTAAAGATCAGATAAGGTACCACGTTTGCGTAAGCAAAGCACTCAAATGTCGCGAGTATGGTTGGTTAGTTATGAGAGAGGATTTCGATCTGGCCAGCTACATAGATGCTGAACGGTTGGCTTTTGCCGTCCAAACCGCCTCACCGCGGTTCGGAACCATGACAGATACGTTCGCACCTGAATCATTGTTGTGAGTGCAGTTAGAGTCTTGCCAAGCATGAGCTGAAGCTCCATCGACGATATCGAAGAGGGACAGCTGACACGGCTGCAGTATCTTGAGGCGCGGCTGATCCAGGCTTATAGATGTTACCGCGAACGTGCGATGCTGCAACCCCTGTTTACCTGTCAAGCCCTGCTATTTGAGGATTGCCTAGACTCCCGTTTTGGAAGTCTTACCATAAGTATCTTTTCAGCCTCGTCAGCGCAGCCCGCTATTCCTTCCGATTAGTCACTCTCTCACGTCCCCGCTCTCACTTACTATCTATGACAAATGTTCTTACCGCGAGATATTCAGGCAGCATGTCAGACGAAGGTCCAAATCCTCTATTAATACAGTCTTTGGATGTCAGCCCTTGCGGAGTCCGGCAGGAATGTTCAGCTCCGACAAATACGATAACCGATTGAGACCGAGGAAGCAGATACTACATAGTGATAGCAAGAATCACTATTCATAGTCCTTCGGCAGATGCTTTACTTGGGCTGAAGTCAGATTCCCCCTCGCTCGAACTTCCAACATTGCCAACTATTAGCCCCAGTCAAGACACAAAGAATGGTAGTAAGATATCAATACTTGTTCTCTGGCCCTATGCGAGATGGGAAAGCTGTCTCACATATCATAGTCTGTAACCATCACGTTTGAGTATGTCACGGGTCTGAAGCGATCCATATTTCAGAACCCGCGTTTGAGAGGCAGCTGGGATAGCAATGGCCGATATTCCGAGCAATGGACCGAGAGCCCTATGAGGACAATCGATGGCACTGATGGTTGCCCCATGTTCACTGCTTCCGTTTCCTTGGATCTGGCAGACAAGGATAAAACATTCCGATGGGGTGTAGTTCTAGATGGTAATGAGCTCTCGAACTTTTGGGGGATCCCAAGAGAGGTTGAGGATGTCAACTCCGCGGAGCGGTCTCTTAAGTTTCAGATTCAGACAGGAGCTCCCAATCAACAGGCGGAACGCTACTACTTGACACATTGCCGTCGGCTCGGAGCCAACAAACGCATTCCAACGGGGGATGGAGAGCACTTGCTACACTTTGCCGTCTGGGCACCAAACGCGCAAGCGGTATCTGTTGTCTTTGGTAATCCGAACCTTGGCTACATCGATGACCTGGGCGTAGAGATCAACAGCAGCCCTCCGGTGGTGGTCCTGACCCGATCGCAAGATGGAGTTTGGGAGGGCAGCCCAGAACAGGCTTACAACACTTTCCAGGGCCTCCCTTACATGTATCAGATTCTCAACAAACAGGGACAGACAGTTTACCGAACCGATATTTTCTCGCGCAGCCAAATCGGGAAAGGTGATCAAAAACCACCGCACTGGAATCGAGATGTCGAGAATTTGGATGTCTTCTCAGCTGCAGCGTTGTCATTGACCCCGACATGGTAAGGGAAGGATTTGCATCGGCAGCGCCTATTCTTATCCCCGCTGAGGAGTTCTGGGCAACTGAGTTTCCGAATGGCCGTACAGTTCCGACAAACCTGGACGATCTTGTCATCTACGAGTTACATGTCGGTTCGCTCGGCTTCGGAAAGACAACGAGCGGCGACTTGAGCGACGCTATTCAGTTTCTGCATCACCTGCGCAGACTCGGTGTAAATGCGGTCGAACTGATGCCCATGGCTGAGTTTGGCGGGAAAGCGGGCTGGGGTTATGGAAACACCCATCACCTCTGCGTGGAGTCAAGCGCTGGTGGTCGTGACAAGTATCGCCATTTCGTGCGCGAGTGTCATCAGAATGGAATTGCCGTCATTCAGGACGTGTGTTACAACCACTACGATTACTACGCAGACCGTGCTGAATGGGCTTACGATTCCACGCTTGCAGAGGAGAACATCTACTATTGGTATGAAGGACCAAGGTCTCAGTACTCAGATTCGTCTGGAGGCTACCTCGATAATGGTTCAAGCGGGTTCACTCCGCGGTTCTGGGACGAAAACATTCGCCAGCAGTTCATCAGTAGTGCCGCTTTCCTGGTCGAGGAAATGCACGTCGATGGACTCCGCGTTGACCTAACGGATGCCATTCACCGGGACAACAAGCTCCACGCTGATGGGCGCCAGGTCGGCGCTGCCAATGTATACGGGCAGAAGTTTCTGCGTCAATGGAGTCGAACGCTGCATATGATTAAGCCGTCAGTGATGCTGATCGCGGAAGATCACACAGGGTGGGATGCAGTCACGAAACTACCAGAACAGGGTGGACTCGGATTCCAGGTGAAGTGGGAGGTTGGTTTCTATCACAGCCTTATTGGCGATTCGCACCATTCGGCAGGTTGGCCTCGGCAGCTTTTGAATGCAGGATTCGGTGGAAACGACGCGCTCGAGTTCGATAAGTTCTCTGGAACTCTCTACAACACGCAATATCATCGGGTGGTTTTTCCCGAATCACACGACGAAGCTGGTAACGCTGGAGGCACTGCTCGCACCATAGTGGTCGCCGTTGGTCATGCGCCTGTATATGGTCCAACACGCACCGTGGCCGAAGCCCGGTGCCGTCTGTGCTACGGTCTGTCGCTTCTCTCTGCAGCTACCCCTATGTTCTTCATGGGCGAGGAGGTGGGCGCTCAGAAGCCTTACACGTTCGACAACTTTGTCCACCACCGGGAAGACATTACTGGACTGCGAGATGGGATAGGTGGATTCATGTTTCGTTTCTACCAGGAGCTAATCAGTCTACGAAAGGAGCTAGCCTCTATTCGATCCCGCAACATCGACATCCTGCACCAGTCTAATAGCAATCGAGTAATTGCGTTCAAGCGATGGAGCGGCAACGAAGAGGTGATTGTTGTGGGCAGCTTGAACAACTCAGCGTTCAGCAACGGATACACGGTGTGGAAAGACGCCACGGCCATTCCCAACGCGAGCTGGAAAGAGGTCTTCAACAGCGACTCCGCGTTCTATGGCGGTCAGAACATCGGAAACTACGGACAGGCGATTCAGGTGACCGACAATCGTCTTAATGTTGTTTTACCTGCAAATGGCTTTGTTGTGTTGGTAAAGCAGTAACGAACTGGAATGTATCAAGTTATGGTCTTCACAGCGGGGAAAATCATTGGCTTTCAGTACCTCCAGACCTACATCATCAACCCGTATTCTAGGTTCGCGGTATCGGTCGTTGGCGCCTCGACGGCGTTGAGATTGCTGGCTGGATTTGGGTTTCTGCTGTTTGCGCCGTACATTGTATAGCGTCCTGGAGTACGGATCGGGATGTATGCTATCGCGCGCTTGGGCTACTGAGGCCGTTTTTGCTGTGGAAGTTCGGTCCGCAGCTTAGGGGTTGAAGCAACTTTGTAACTGAACCAACAAGTTTTTCCTTATCCTCTTCGTGCGGCTTGTCATTGGGGAGCGGTTAGCATTATCAAACGCAGAGTGTCTGAGTTGTAACTTTGTCGTGGTGCTCCTGGCGCAGGGTCACGTGAACATCACGTGATCGTTTGACGACTCCGGACTTTCCTTTGCGATCGTGCACCTAAGCGACTATCCGGGTACGTGCACAACCCGCTTATTCTGATAGCTTCACTGAACTGCTTGTTCTCCGGTGCACTTTAGCATCTTTGTTCGCTCTCGCGCACCCTTATGCCTACGCGTACATATAGGCACCCGCAGCTCGACGGATAGAGCGTGAACTCATCCGGTGGGGGCTGAAATGGCACAGCACTTTCCCCTTGCAGTAGAGGCGTACCCTATGCCTGTCAGGCGGCCAACGTCAGCGAGCTGAGTCCATTGCAGCCAATGACTGCGGAGACCAGCCATCCGTAAATTTCCAGGTGTAAATTGCACGATGGCGGCCTCATTTCTGTCTCGATCCTCAAGCGTCCGAGGTAACCCAAGCCCTACTGTTCTCTGATATTCGGCCTTACAAACCTCCAAGTCCTCATTCAATCTGCGCTTTCTGCAATATGCGTCTTTCTATTCCTATAGCTGTCGCTGTCCTTACCCGCGTTGCTTCGTCCCACGGCAGGACCGACCAGGTGGATGTGGCCATCGTTGGGGCGGGGTTAAGTGGACTTAGTGCTGCAAAGGAACTCAGCGCTGTCGGCAAGACCATCCTCGTTCTCGAAGCAAGGGACAGAGTAGGCGGGCGTATCCTCGACGTCAAACTGCCTAATGGCGGCGTGGTGGAAACCGGCGCCGCTTTCATCGGGCCATCGCAGGATCGCGTACTCGCGTTGGCTGCCGAGCTGCAGCTCGAGACGTTCCCGACGTACAACTCGGGCGAAAACGTACTTTGGCAAGACGGTGAGCGGGTTACCTACCCCACTGAAGGACCAGCCGGGAATATCCCGCCCATATCGGAATCCAGCCTTATGCAACTAGCAGAGGCACAAGCGCGACTCAACGCTATGGCGCAGGAAATCGACGTGAATGCCCCATGGAACCACCCTCAGGCCGTAGAATTGGACAGCACGACATTTGATTCCTGGCTCGACGGGGCGACACCGCTGGAGGAGGCGCGCTTTTTGTTCGACGTTGCAACGACTTCGATCTTCTCGGCAGAGCCGCGGGAACTGTCCCTCTTGTACGTGGTTGCGTACATCGCGTCGGCAGGCAACTCGACCACTCCCGGTACGCTTGAGCGGCTTACCAGCACCGCCGGCGGCGCACAAGAGCGTAGGATTAAGGGCGGCATGCAGCAGCTCGCTGTGAAGTTGGCAGAGCGGCTGGGCAAGAAGCGAATCGCCCTCAACGCGCCCGTGCGGCGTGTCGAGCGGCGTGGAGATAGCTACCAGGTGACTGCAGATGGAATTACAATCAAGGCCAGGCACGTCGTCATCGCTATGTCGCCTCCGCTTGCCGCTCGTATAGTCTACAGGCCGCAGCTTCCAGCCCAGCGGGATCAGCTCACCCAACGTCTCCCAATGGGCTCCATCGGCAAGGCCATCGCGATCTACAACCAGCCATTTTGGCGCGCAGACGGCCTCACCGGGCAGGCCGTCAGCGACAGCGGGGTGGTACGGTCGGCCTTTGACATCTCGCCCGAGGACGGCTCCTACGGGGCGCTTATGGGTTTCATCGAAGCGGACCAGATGCGCAAGCTGGACGACAAGTCCGAGCAGGAGATCCAACTCAGAGTCACCAACGACTTCGTCAATTATTTCGGGACGAACGCCTCGAACCCGATCGGATGGGTCATCCAGCGGTGGGACAATGAGGAGTTTTCGCGGGGTGGGCCTGTGGCTTTCGGCCCGCCGGGAGTTCTCACGCAATACGCTCCAGCACTTACGCGGCCATTCGAAAGGATTCATTTTGCGGGCACTGAATCGGCGCCGTACTGGACTGGATACCTTGATGGAGCTATTCGTTCGGGAGAGCGTGTGGCCAAAGAAATCCTAGATGCCTTTTGAGAGCGTGGGCACAGCGAAGGAGGGTTGCTTAGCTTTGCGCCTTTAATAAACCGTGTTGACTCGATTGAGACTGCATCTGTATCGATATTCTGCTAATAGCACCTGGATCTATGATTTCGCGAATGGGTATTCCATTCCCATACAAACGTGGTAAATCCAGGACAAATCCTCAAGGGGCCCATGTACCTGTAGCTAGAGGGTCCCGCATGCGCTACAATACGTGCCCATGTAACCTTATATGCAGCCCATCGAAGCGATCCCTACCTTATTTTGTGTGGAATTCGAATGGATGCATGCAGTACCTTCGCACGCTGCCACGCTTGTACATGTGTTCAGCAACTTGCGAATAACTCAGAACTTGATCCGACTACGAATATCAGCACTAATTCTGATGTGGTCCCTAGTTGGTGGAACGATGGAAGATGGAGCACCGCATAGAACCTACTTCTGGCGAGTTTTGGATAGCGTTGGAATCCTTCAGACGGGAACCGGTACCCTTAAGTGCTTATGGCGATGAGCGTAAGGTTGTGTTCACTGCGAAATCATGTGCTATGTTCCCAGTTACGCCACTGGCTCGACTCAGAAGGGTGCATGGTTAATCTATCGGAGTTGTCCAACCCGTTGCTTTTCAAAAACAAGAAGCCCACATCGTCCGCGGCTCCACCACAGGATTTCTTCACCGAGCCATGATAGCCGACAATTCCTGCACCGAGTTTCTTCATACCCGTCTTTTTCGGAGATCCGCAAGACAAAGCAGTCACGATGCGCCGAAGATCTTGGCGCCCCCTCTCTTCACCTGAACACGATCGCCACCCGGATACAGGTCAGAGCCAATCGGGCTTCCTGGGATTATGGTCTTTCTAGCCGCCCTGTCTTCGGCATCTTCCTCGGAGGCTCAGCAGCTATGTTCGCGGAAGACGCGGTGGCGAGAACCAAGTTGATCAGCACCGCCAGCCAGATTGCTGCCACGCCGAGAGATTCCAGACCGACCACCAGCCGACGGGGCGCCGATAGATGGAGCACCGATAGTGAGAGAGGTTTACTAGGCGCACGGAGCATTCCTATGGCCGAAACTCTTACGATTGCCGCGCGGATAAAGGTGAGGGCCAATCAGCATGCCCTCGGTGGCAGTAGTCTTTCCATCTAGACTGTAGGCGGGGTCATGAAAGAAGCGACAGTGCGTCCTCTGCGGACATCCACCTAGGGCAGTGTAGGAGGCGCATGGAGCCTTTCAGTTGCCGAGCTTCTTGCAATGATCATGGTCTGGATCATTGTTTCGTCCGCTCGCCGCTCCGTGTCTCCCGAGTGTGCAAGGCCATGGACTGTCGTTGTACGCGAGGTCTGCAGAGTCCGAGTAGGGCCGACACGATGGTCGTTAAATGGAGGATTGCGTAGCCGGAGACAGTTGTCAACGGGGCTCCGCGGAGCTTGATGCTGTTCCACATACTTGACCAACTGCCACAGATCAAGACTCTTCCCATACTCCAAAAGATATGCCAGCTGCCTTTCTCACACCTCTTCGCCATCGCATCCCTTCTTGTCGCCCTCGGACGCTGCTCACAAGCCGTCTTTCTCACACCTCTTCGCCGTCACATTCCTTGTTCTCGCTCGCGGAAGCTCTTCATACGTCGTTGAGTTCGCGCCGCCTGGTGAATCTGAGAAACTTAGTTACTGGACACTTCGACCGAAAGCCTTACAACTTGTCCTTTTGCTATCTCACCTGTCGAACGGCCACAGCGTTAACCAATGACCTTCCCGCGGACTAATACTCATGTCTTCGTCATTCGGTGTCGAGATGGCCGAAGGCGACCCCTCGCAGCTCCTGGTCGCTACTCCTAATCTTGAAGCCGCGCCTACCGAACTCCAGCGGTGAAGTGCTCGTGGTCATGATGCGCGAGCTAGTAACATCCAGCAATCCAGCGCATAACCCTGCTATTTTAAATCAGCTGCGTTCACCTGACCGAGTTCCATAAGGGTGTCTCTTGGAGTACTCACCTACTCAGCGCATGGTCGTGGCATCTGTGTCGTGCAAGTCCCATACTGGCTTTGAGCCTGTTGCCGACGATAGTGATTGTGTCAACGATCGTCGGCGAGATCCACGGTCAGGACGGGTGCGTGCTGGGTTGCCGCGGGGACCTGAGCTAGTGAGGGAGATGCCTTCATGACCCGAGGGGCGTGGCTGTTGAGTGGGGGTTTGTGGCTCTTTCCGGACAGGAACTGCGCGAATAAGTCGAATAAATCGGGATCGATGTCATTGAATTGTAGAGATCCATCAATAGGGTCAGAAGGTGCCTGGTCGCAGGCGATGCGGAAGTAGGATGATTCGTTGCAGAGTGAAGTTTGCTCAGACGCCAGCGTTCCTGATGGTCGTCACGATCCTCGAAACCGCGGCCATGGTTATGCGGATGTGATCGAAGCGGAGAGCGTTGGAGCTGCAGAACCACCGAAGTGCAAACGGACTTGTTGGTGGTTGGTGGCGAGAGGAAATAACCGGCGTGCGGAACTTGAGACTGAGGGATTTGAGGTTGCGATTGTGCTGTGGTGAAGACGGAAGACGCATGAGTTTTGCGTAAGCCGAGAACCTGCCGTGAAGTGAAAGCCGCGGGCCCCGCATGGCTAAATGGAAAGGTTTCCAGGGCCTGAAGTAGCTCGATGATGCCTTCTGAAAACCGCATACACGTCCAACCGTCAGCAGGACAGGATAGCAAGAGCAACAGATCACTCACTGAGACGGATTGAATCCACAGCTTGCATAGTAAGCTTGAGTCATGAGAGTGGAATGCACTAGTGATGCCGGTGATTGCAAATGCGGACAACGCCCGCCGATATCATCGCCTGTCTACGACTGGCAGTAGCGCGGAAGACCATTGATGACTGTCATCAAGAGGAGGCACGCTGCCGATCGTGATCCCGTGTCCCAGGATGTGAGCAGCGTGAATGTTTGTTTTTGATGTTGAGCCATATCAGGCAGTACTATGTCCGCTCACCACCACCATGAGTCGGGGTCTACTGCGTCCATCACGGAACACCGCTCCTGGTTACATAGTCAGCCTCCAAACCTGACAGTCATTACAAAAACGTTTGACTCACTGATAGAGGATGGTGGGCGTCGGTGCAAGCGGCAGCACGGGAGCCTCGTTGCCCTCAGTTACGGCTTTGAGTTTCAAGCGGTTTTCCACTCGCCTGAGCCAAAGGAACATTCGCCAGGGGAGACCAGTGATGCCGTCAAAAGCTGCGTGACGGATAGATCGACCGAGGACACGCATCTCAGTGTCCACACGTGCACTGAATGGCGGAATATGTAGAGCGAATTGATCATATCGTTGAGAACGCGGATCAGGCGCCAACAACAGCTCGGCTTGGTTGGACCAGAGAGATGGGCTTGATGAGGTAAACCGAGGGAGGACGATCGGAACCGCAAGCTTCAGTTCTGTGAGCTCCACCGCGGTCGACATTAAGAAGAGTTGTCCTGAAGCCCTGTTTGATCCACTAAGGCATCGGTCCGTAGTCCACGAAACGAGGTCTCCTGAATGAGGCTCTGGACGATTATCAACACCAACTCATGCTGCGCTGACATCATCATGTCATCTAGCTGCTGGAGATTGACTTACTGTGCAACAGCGGTGCGGAGGCCCAGGGCGCTACCTTGGCGTTTGCCTCCAGTATCCAAGGCTAGTCCACGGCTTCCCCAGCCGGAACCTTTCCGCAAGCGGGAGTATTACTATGGTGGGTCGATCCACGGCGAGGCCCGTCAGCACGAAACAAGGTTTGCACGCGTCTCGGCACCGATTGCAGGCGACATCCCCTCCTTCTTTCCACAAGGATTCGCCATTCTTTAAACATATGTGGACATTGCCACATCTCTTCCTACCCGTAAACATCCAGCTCCTCCGTCTTGGTGCGTTTGTCTTGATGATGTGTTCCATCTGAGCTCGGAGGAGCTCGGCAGTCTCTGGGTTTTCCTCTTGAAGTTCCGCCATCGTTTGGCGCTCTCCCGCATCTCTTTCGCCAGTGACCAGTAGTTCTACCGTGGCCTCCTTGAGACTCCCTTCTATGTTGACATTCGGGAAAAGAGTCTGGGCATCTAACGTCGCTGCACCAGCGTTGGTAGAACGTATCCTCTTTTGCGGTGCTTGGCCATGCGAAGAGTGCTGCGGGAGAGGCCGCTTGGATGGCGTTACCTGTTGTGTCAAAATGCCTGCGGAACTGCTTCCAACAGAGGCCTGCCTCGAGGGCTGATCACCAGGCGGGACCTGGGATCGGGTTCCTGCAAGGTTGGACCGAGCGGAGGACTATTCTGCTACAAAACCGACAGGCGTGCTACAGCGTGAATTCTGTTCCGACGGGACTTCGCCGAATGCAGCAGAACCGGAACGTTGCTCTTGATCAATCCCTTGTCCCCCGGACGCAGAATTGGAGTCTACGGAAGCTCGCCGGTAGCTAGACAAGGCATTGCTCAAAGCAAACGTATCTACGTTTTCCTTTTCACCAGTATTACCACGATATTCTTGTTCTCTCCCGTTATCGGGACTTTGATCATCGAAGAAAGGCGGGGAGTTGGACGCCGAGACAGAGTACCTGAAGGTTACGAACATTTCCTCGGCCAGGCGCCCAGCCGCGACGTCGTCGGTGGCTGCAGACCGAGGTTCACATTCAGCCGTGGCGGCGAAACTAGGTTCGACACGCCTGCCGGTTGTCAATGTGTGTGCTTCTATACAGATAGCTGGAATGACGGGTATTGAGCCCACCCTGCAAGAGTGCACGCCACAAGCGTCGCCATGGCTCGTTCGAGCTGGTCGACGGTGCGGTGATGCTCTTGCACTGGCTCTGCCGTCTTGTCCATCGATTGATCCAGCTGCTGGATCGTCGAGTGCCACTGGTGCAGCCCTTGTATTTCTTCGACAAGCTCTTCATCACGTTTGCTGTCGCGCTCGCCGTTACGTACACCGGGCGGTGGAAGGTGGTTGGCGACGTGCTCTAGAAGGTCTGGATGGACCATGCTTTACTTTTACGATGATGATGATATGTTTAAAGATTGCTTTGGGGTGATGATGAGGCTTAACGCTGTATGCTGCGGTTGGATGAGGTTCCGTCTTGCGAGAGATCGGCTGCCGCGACACCACATGCATCTCGTACTACACGGCCACAACTTTTCGTCGTATAGAAAGAGCGCCAATATACCAGAGTCATATTCAGCTGAGATTACGATTCAAATGAAAAGACTGTCACTACACCATAGTCATATGTCGCCGAACTTGTCGTCACGTGCGCGCATAGCCAACACCTGAGGGCATTATACCGTTGCATCGCATCGAGAAAGCGCACGAGTATTGACACCGTGGAGTTATACTCTGCTGCAACTCAGCGTTGAGATTAGAGAGCGCCAGTCTCCCAGAGGGAATTCTACTGGCGCGGCCTACCTCGCGTTACCTCAGCAAAGACATCAGGAAGCCAGCACAGGTATAGAACCATACTTGAGAATACCAACCAAAGAACGCATACAAATCACCTTCGGGGCATACTACCACTAAATTGAGCGCTGCGATACGACTATCTACGCTGCCTCATTTGACACCCAGGAGTTTGACAAGGCTCCGCCACAAGCGATATGCCAGCGTTCACTGGAGAGGGCTTCCGCTACCCCATTTGTTCGATACACCACGCTCACCTGTCGTGAAGAGTCAGTAATGTTCATATGCTGGAGGAGGCCGCTCAAGGTCTTACTAGGGGCTGTGTGGTGCGTTCGCGTTCACGTAGCGCGTGTAAAGATACCTCCCAAGACCATTTTTTGCCATTGTGATGGGCTGGTTTTCCCTGCTTCTACAGTCCCGCCAGTGATGTGGTCGCCTGCAGGCGAGACATCCGTTCTTCGATGCGGCCTCTGTGGCCAAGGGCCCTTCCACGGGACGCCTTCTTTTTCTTGGTCGGTAGGGTCACTTCGCCACTAGCTGGGTTGCTGCCGTCCTCTGTTCTCTTCTCCTCTGGCTTCTCGTCTTTCGTCTTCTTCTCACCTTCCGTCCTCTTCTCCTTTCGCTCCATATCTTTCTCGATCTTCCCCGGGAGAGCATCAACTACGGTCTTCTGATGTTCCGCCGGCGCTTTCGCGTTGTCTGTCGAGACTGGTCAGGTGATCTAATGAGATGCGGAGGGTTCGTAACGGTTTTCTGAACGTCGCCTTAGGTGTCCGTGTTGTCTGCCATGACTGATGAAATGTCCAGCGCGACGCGGAGTTGGTTCTGCGCTCCTCGTAAGTCAAGTCAGGAAGCTTGAGAGCGAGCTGATAGAGGGAATAGGCGGCATACTGGGGCCTGCTGCCAGCTCAGCTCTAGTGGGTGAACATCAGAGGAAGTAGGTAGCAGCCGCAACCTGCCATCGATTCAGCCCCACCAGACGGTGTCCCACCCTGGGTCGAAGCTATTTTCTGGTTGATGGCGGAAGGTGTAGCAGACGGAGGAGCATAGCCGTGGATGTCCAGGTAACGTATTCGATAGTGGATGGATGACGGAGACAGGGAGCGCCGCACGTGATCAACGTCCGCAGAGCCGCATCCGCAGAGCCGCACCCGCGGAGCCGCCAACTCCTTCAGCCCTCATCCAACCTAATACCACCCCTCTCATAATCCCTAAATCTCTTCCTTATGCGGTCAATGGTGGGTCTTTCTACATGAGGAGCAACGGTAACTAGCTATTCGCCTCGCACCCACCAGCCCTCGCAATGTCGACCAAGCGGAATATGAGCAGCCTGAAGCGCGCTCCGGTACGCCAAGCTTCGCGATTCCGGTCTCAGAGCTGACACAACCGCTAACTCGCCGCTCAATGGCAGCCTACGGCAGACGAGGAGACGGAGCAGGGGAAGGCGCGCCGCTCTTAACGCATCTCTAACGCGAATGGACCCAAGAGCACCACTGCGAACCAGCAGCAGTTGCACTCATCCGGCGCATCGTAAACCACACAACGCCAGTACTAATTCATCAGTAAGTCAGCAACGCGGAGGCCAGTTGGGTAACGCTAACGAGCGTTCATACAGATGCTAGTAGCCACCAGGTAGACGTTAGGCAGTTACGTTCCTGGTCATGGGTGCATGCCGAGGGTCTTCGAAAGTCGATGCGCTTGGAGCTCCCTTGTTTCTCTGTTTGTAGTATCTGTGGCATGGTTGTAGCTGAAACAGTAGTATTCAACCTATTGCTATTGTACAAGCATGACTACGAATAAACCGCTACGGCTTACATGAACACCGAGCTGCTATCTACGGTGGTCTTCAATCGCCAGATTATGCCGAAGGCTTCGTGCCGCTGATCGCAGTTCGGTTCGGCTTGTCCGCGGATTGCAGGCTCGTCGTACTGCCTGCCTGCCTCCTTCCTCTGGCAATTGGTTGCGTGCCCGAAAAGTTGCGTATAGGTGTTCGCACGTGAGAGCATGGGTAGGCTAATCGGCAGGTGTTGGCGGTAATAGATGCAGTGGCTACTGGTCTGACGATGTGCAAGGCTGAGAGAGATCATCGACGGCAACGGAGCCGAGGAAGATTCGAGGTAAACGTCTCTCTCGTGCGGGCATTAGGGTCGTCCGCTAGAAAAGCCGATCAGTATTATGTGCTTCTTGAATGATAGCCTGCCTTACCTTACTATGCTCGAGCGCTAATTTCCGGTCCAACTGGTCCTGGTGCAGCGGATGTAAGCGGATGAAAGGAGTTGGTTGAGACTGCCAAGCATGGTATTTGAGGCAACAACAGCTAACGACTATACGTGGCTGCCGAGTATGGTTCTTGGACCGAGCCGAAGCGGCGGTGAGGATGCGAAGCTTCGTCGTGCTCAGCCTGTCGATAACGACAACGTTGCAGCCATTTCCACTCCCACCAAACGCTGGCCTGGGGGACCTCTTTGAGGACGGTCGATGAGCTGATATGTCCGCCCACTGGAATCATACTGCTGGACGATGAGCGAAGCCCGGTACAGTGCTGGGGTACTTGGCGAGGCTGATGTGCATGATGTCTTAGTGGTGCCTTCCCGTTGTTGTGAAAGAGTAGATCTCGATGATCGAGGGCTGGATGGCTGTCGGTCCCTCGCAGTAGAGGGGAGGCCCGGATTTCGCAATTGTGCCAAAACATGAATGCTATCGACATATGGCTATTGCCGGTTGGTAGAACAGGCGGTTGTGGTCCACGAAATGTACCAGGAATGGATAAGGAAGCTCCAACGCTAGTGCGGGACGTAGTACCAGGACCAGGGATGTGTCGAGAAACGCTTCGGACGCCCGTGGAGCGGATGCAGAAAGTGATACGGTGATTGAAGCGTTGCGTGGAAAGCGAAGCCAGCAAAAGCCAAACGAGGCGTAGTGGATAATCCGAACAAATGCGATCGCAGCGGTGCGCGCTTCGGGCTGCTCCGCTCCGGCTTGGTCGCGTGGAACTGTGTGAGGTGATGGTGTTGGCGGTGGCATCTTGTGTGGTGCACAGCGGCCAGCAGTGGCTGTCTCGACGGCCATCGCCTTGGAGGTATTCGCCCCGATAACTCACAAGCGCTCCGGCGACATGTCCAGGCAAACGCAAAGCAACCCAGATGGAACCGTCTCCCCTCCCGAAAGGACCCACAAACCACCTCCTCCCCTGCAACAGAAAGCCAAGGCTAGAGCAGACACAAAAACCAGACAAACGCGATGTCCCGATCCATAGCCGAACTACGAAAGGCTCATCTCCACAACCCCAACAGAGATCACAACACGTAAAATCACCCAGCAACCTCACCATTGGCCACCAACAGCCCTTCAGACCCCTTCCAGGAATCTCCATATCGGATCTTGGCGGGAAATACGCAAATGAGGCCCGCGGGCCTCCCTTCAAAGGCTAAGCAACTCCCCAGTACATCTACTCTTGGTACCGACGGATACTATACATGAATTGGGACAGAAACGAGACCTCCCCGAGGTTCATAGGGAAAATAAAGGCGCATTAGGAACCATGACGTCGTGGCAAAACGAAAACTACTGAGTGGTGGAGACATGGAGAAGCTGGAGGTACATCCACGTGGGTAAGAGAAAGGGACGGATGGCGCCAGAGGACGGGTGATCATGTATCGAGTGAACGAGACTCATCGACAAGAAGGCGTTGTTCAATCTGGAGGCCGCTGACACATGACTGAGCGGCGGTGTGCTCCAGATTAAGATTCTTGTGCATGTCAAGACTGTGATTCTCTAAGCAGTATTGGCATGTCCCGATCTGATTGGATCATCAATGTGACACCGTATTGGCGAATGGCCGGAGAATGACAAGCTTTCGAGCTGGTGAGGTGGCGGGCCGACAAGGAACGGGAGGGTGGAGAGTTGGTAGGTAGGCGGAGAGCGAGAAGCTGACGGTTGGTCAAAGAATGACAAGCTGCCAGGCTGCCAGGCTGGTAGGAGAACGACGGCTAGCGAGTTGTTGGGTAATCGGAAAGAATAGCAAACTGGCGGACAGAACGAGGGATGAATGATGAATGGCTGTTCTACGGCGAGCTAGCAAAAACGGGCTGTAGAGTATTCGAGTTCAATGAGGCCGCATGCGGGCGCGGAGAAGCGAGTGACTTGTGTTTTGTGCTCAGCTGGCAACGTCGTGTTAGTGAACTGGCGCGTTCAGTGTTCCATGACAATGTGAACTTACCTGCGTTCGGCTTGAACGGGACTGAGCATTTGTCGCGAATGAACCAGTAGTAGCGCCTGGACCCCCTTGCTTCCACGTGACACTCAACCATCAATACCACAAACAGTACGCGCGGTTAAACGCAGCGTCTCGTCGGACCGAAGTCAATAGCGCTTCGGTGGTCGCATCCATACAAACAGTCCACGCAGCGATACTGCAGTGGCGTCAGAGCCGGACCCGTAAGTCCTCTCTTTCAATCCAGCGGCTCCTCGACCACGTGCAATAGCCGAGTGTTGAAGATTAGGAAAAGCGCGCCGAGACGACAGTACCTCTTAACAGCGTCCGCGCTGACATGCTCGACGGCAGCTTTCCACGCAGCTTCACGCTTCGTATACTTCTCTACGGCCATCCGGATGGTTGAGATTGCTAACTTGAGCTGGCCTTCGCGTTCCTTGAGCAGCTCCCGATCACTACTCGCCACCGCTACCACGCGGCGAACAAGAGCGTCGTGTTCTTGGACGTCAGCTAGCGCCTCGTCCCTGGCCGCAGTCACCGTCTTTAGATCGGTGGTGACACGCTGGGCCCTATCTTCTGCTTCCCCCTTTGCCGTGATGGCTGCATTCTTTGCTGTGAGGGCTATTTGCAGCTTGTTCTTAAGATTCTGAACTTCGTCTGCAGAGCCTGTCCTCGCCGCTACCGCCTTCTGCAGCTCATCGTTGAGCATATCGGCATCTGCCGTTACTTGTTCGAGCGTGCTCTTGAGGCTTCGGACTTGGGCTTCCGTCATTTGTAACGTAGTGCCGAGTCGCTGAGCTTCTGATTCTGCTGCTTGTCTTGCCGCGATGGCAGTCTTTAACTCGGCGGTGAGCCTTTCGACGTCGGCCTGAGCTTCACCCCTCGGCGTGATCGCTGTCTGCAGCATAGAGGTAACCCTCTGAGTCCCTGTGAGCAATGTGCCGAACTCTGCAGCCAGGTTTCGTATATCGTTCTGATGAGACTCCTCTTGAGCCTCCTTTTGCGCCTTTAACTCTTGACCAAGTCGGCGATCGCATTCTTCGAGCGCGAGTTGGTTTTCCTGCTTTTGATCACGAAGTCGACGCTCGAGATCTCTCACCTGCTGCAGCGCGGCTCGGTAGGCCTCATCCCGGTCAGCGAGTCTCTCCTCAAGGTGCTCCACGTCTGATGCGCGGGCCTCCATCTCGTCATGGACTTGCTTCTTAAGGTGCTCGATTTCGGCTTTGTGAGCCTCGGTCTGTCCACCAAGCATCTGCGTAAACTCGCCATATTTCTTGACCAGAGCGGTATTATGAGACAGAGTTTGCTGAGCGAGCTTCGCTTCCACCGTCTTCTCTAGATTTCGCGTAAATTCCTCATCTTTCACCTTCAAGGTGGCTTTGTAAGTCTCCTCCGCTTCGTCGAGTTGCCGTTTAAAGTCCGACTGCCTTTTGCTCTGTGCCTCTGCTAGCTTCACTTGTGCCTCACCAATCTTCCTTCCAATTGGATTGAGCCCCTCTCGCTCCTCCTCGATAGTTGGTTCATCGTCTTTGCGTTTATACCCGTATGTTATTCGTATTACGCCACGTAGCTTGTGTTCCGTAAGGAACAGGCTTGCGAAGCTGGTCGGCGCGATTTTCGTCTGCTGTGGCATGATGACAGACATCTGGTTATAGTCCATGAATGTCGGGCCCAGTCTTCTCAAAGGAGACGCGCGCACACGTATGCACGTGATAACCGAGGCCACGACGCGTCGGTCTTGTCGATTTGACTTGTCAAAACTGCACCTCAGCACAGTCTAAGTCTTCAACCTACACGTCATTTCACAATAGACAACAACACGCCATGCAGAAGCTCGAGCAAATCCAAGGTGTACAAGATCATCGTGAGTGAGAACGAAAGTCGTAGTAGAAATTAGGATAAGGCCGCCGCTCTGAGCTCAGCGTCGATGTGTACTCATAGGTCGCAGTCACAAAGGGGAGCGGGTCGATTGACTTGATCTGGGAAGATGTGCTTCATTTCTAACTATGTAGCAAGTCTCCGCAGTTATCTGCAGGAGCTGGGCGGACGTGATACCTGATCTACAAGTGTCAAAATCAAAGCGAAGCCACAGGATCACACACGCGCTCAGACGAATCTGGTATCTGCTCTCAACCCAGCAAGATCAATGCGCGATTGCTCGCCGCCTCAAGTAAGATACTGCTGTTCAGCCAGTCTACGCGCCGTTGCACAGCAGCGACGAGATCCAGCCACTCAGCCCCCTTCCAACGCCGCAAGCTGCGCTTCCAGCAGTTCTAGCTGAGCGCGCGTTGCTATGAGTTCTGCCTTTGCCTTCTCCCGTTCTTCCCACTGCTCACGCATACGGTCGTGGTAGTTCTTGATGTTCTCCTGTAATGGGGGACGGCTGAGGGCATGGACTTGAAATCGATGCCATTGCTCTATGTCATTAAGTTGAAGGATGGTCCAATTACTGCTTCCAGCGCTGGTGTAGTTGAAACCCCCGTCTTCGACATACGATTTACAGAGCTTAGAAAACAGACATTCGCCGATAATTGCCTGTGGTCGATCCCAGATGAAAAAAACCACGAACTGATGCATTATGAGTCGGCCTTCGAACCGCGCCGCGCAGACCGCTTCCACTAGGTTCATCAACCAGTTGGAGTTGGTGTGATCCTTGTGTTGCTGAAATCGCTTCGTCGCGTTCAGCGCGTATCCGACTTCGGATAATGGGTGGCCGGGCAAGGGCGCCTCCCATTGCGGCTTGGGAATTCCGTTAATTCTTGACTCGAGGTTGTCGCAAAACTGGTGCAGCGTCTCCACTCGACAGGGACTGACACTTCGACGGCTCTTTTTTGAAGCTTCAGTCGAGAGATAATTCCTGGCCCCGGCTTTGGCCTTTTGACGCGTCCAGTGGCTATTCCTTACGCGATCAATCTCATACGCGAGCTGATCGTCGTCACCCTTCACGTACGCTCGAAGAAACTCGATCATCTCCGCGAGTGCCTTGCAGCTTGGTGACTCGCCACGGTCGTCGGCGAGTATGTGAACATAAATTGACGGCTGCTGGCCTTCCCGTGTCTTGTAGTATGACAACGTGTCGAAAACTTTACCGCTTTTCTTATAGTACTCGCGGGCAATGTTACCGGAGATGAGCTCTAGTAATAAGGTCATTGGTAAAGTTGCAAGAATGGCAATTACGACGTCGTCCCATGCATCCGGGGGTACATCTCTGAGAGCAGGCCGATTGGCAGGCTGCTCTTCCTTCCAAATCACCTGGCTGAGCTCAAGATAGCTCTCTTTTAGTGCTTCGAGATACTTACGGTCTGGTAAGGATTGCGTTTCCGGTTCGATTACGACTGCTGCGGGATCGAAGACTTCTTGAGTTGCTTCAGGGCCGCTGCCCTCGCTGATGAAGTCTTCCATATCCGCCTCATTCTGCTGACCTGAGTCGTCTTCGCTGTCACATATTGACTCTTCCATTCCTCCCACGACCGTCTCCGTGACTTGCTCGCCCCCCTCTTCCTTCCCACCTTCTGTGCCGTCAACGCCCTGCTGTGCTGCAGGCGGACAGCCTGGTCTACCGACCGTAGTCTTCGACCCTGTTGCGGTGTTGGTGCTCTCGGCGCCTCGTTGCGCTGCAGCCTTGTTCATCTTGGATTTGCTCAAGCTTCTGCGCGGCGTCTTGTTGTCCATGTTGAATGTCGTGTGATTCAACTGTGGTGGATGTACTGCGTCAACCTCACAGAGCTTGATCTGCGAGCCCGACGCGTCGCGTTCTCGCGCGTGCACGTGTTACAGCTGACTACCTGCGGCTGCAGGAGATTCAACCGCGCCACCACAAGGGCGTGATAGAACTTATCAGACCCCAAATTCATCGAAACCTACTAAATCCACCAGGTTCACGAAGGCCTTTATTGTCATCGTTCCACCTCCCGTTCTAGATGGAACACGCTTATGAAGCGATACATGCCGTTGCCACGGAGCTGCAAAACACCATGCCTCAACGTCAGGCCGAATGTTTTCGACCGGAAGCGCCGTAGGAGAGTACGACCTCGAACGGGTGGAAGACCTAGCAGCTTACGCTGCGCGCAGGCGTCGTCCAGTCTGTCCGCAACGCAAGCCTTGCTTGGACTCGCGAGGATGAGTTATCTCACGTGATCGCGATGTTGGTAAGCGCAAGACTTCCGTTCCCGCTCTTCCCGGAGGCACAATCGATGATCTGATGGACTAAGACATAGACTGAAATTCAAGACGGAGGCAAGCGCCTTTACCTACGAGCACGAGCAGCCAGGACGGTATACCGAGGAAAGACACGCATAGAAAGGAGCGCCGATGGGTGGAAGAAGGAGCGCTGAAGTGTGGAACTGTGAAGAGCATCGGAAGAGGTATCTGGGAGAAGACTGAGGCTGTAGCGGATGACGCACCAAGCTGTAGGCATCTGTCGATTCCAGTATTGTCTACGGCTTCATGCTAACGACAGGGCAGAGATACGGCATGAATCCTAAACCGCTCTTCCTCCACCTAAACAACCCGCTACCTTTGCCAGCCTGGTTCGGATTGGATGCTCGAGACCACCACAACGGCCTATTACAACGCCCAAACTCTTGTGCGCCACCACCCGGGAAGCAGAAACACATCACTGCAACGGCCCGTTGCGACTCCCAAGCTCTGCGCCAGCCTGGTTCAGACAGGAGGCCCCGGGGACAGGCGCGCTCCTTGCGGAGCTAGTAGAGACTAACCGGCTGCTTGCCTGGGTGGCGGGGACTGGTGTGTTGCTTGCTTTGGCGAGGGCGTCCGGCGCGCTGTCTAATCAGGCGTTGGGGACGGTGGAGCTAGATGTGCAGAGGTCGCTCGCTCGGGTGCTGAGTGCTTAGGCGATGGGCGTGGAGGTGCTAGGTGCTGTGGATTTTGAGTCTGTCGCGCTGTACGCCGACCGGCCGCCTCAATCTTTGCCTTGTGCTTTACCCGCACCTCCTGGAAACCAGCTCTTGCCGTGAATAAAGGCCGATTAGACGCAATAGCCAATCCAGTGGTGCTCAGCCTATGCTGAAGCATTGACGAACAGCTTTGACAGAGAGCCTCTTCACTATCCGGTCTTCGGCTCTTGGGCCGTTCTATCTCTTCCAGTGAAATAAGTCAATCATGCTCAAGCAAAAGCTGCCCCTTTGAGTTGAGGGGTTAACATGTAGGCGGTTGAGAGAGCGGGCGTAGTTGTAGGAGAGCACCCGGCTGCTTTTCTTCTGCCAATCGCGCTGAACCTTCTGCCTCCGCTGTTGAAGGATGTGCCCGGGCGGCTTCTGCGCCGCGGACTGGAGCTGAAACACTGAGATCTGCTCCCCTTAGCTTCATGGGACGCCTTCCTCATCCCGAGTGGTTCCAGCTATACGCTTCACACAGAGATGAGCCAAACCTCAGGTAGGCTACCGCGGAACCGCGCACTCAATGTGCTGTGTATCTCGCTTGTCGGTACTCCACGTGCCCAAATTCAGCTCGCCCTCGTAAGATCCATTTCTGCCACACAACCTGTCTTGTATAGGCTGACTGTATGCGCGGGACAAAGAAGAATCGCAGCGTGACCCTGAAGCCATTTGACTTTGAGCGTTTGAGTGACCTCTGCGAAGGTCCTTGAGGAGTGCGTAGAAGAACGCTACGTTTGCTACAAGGCAGGCAGTAGCAATCTCCACTGACGCCCACTAGTATAAAGCTGTTAGTAAGTAGCAAACATCGCAGACTCGTCATTATGCGGTGCTAAACATACAAGTGAACGGCGCTCCTGAGATACAGAATCAGCAAGCGTGAGCGGCACGCGGGTTATAGTCACTGCAATAACAAACGTGCCCATACTAAACAAAGGCACGAGTTGGAGCTTCCTAGATTGCACCCGCACTAGTTAGTGAGATTTCGGTTGGTCTTGCTAATAACTCATACCTCGTTAGAGAGGTCGTTGTCTTCCAGACAACTGGTACAGGAAGCAGGATTAAGCCCACGTCCGTAGCAATGTTGGTAATGCCCATTGTTAACAAGTTGGCCAGTCCCTGGCGACATGGATCTATACCTCTTGTAAGCCGACTTTTCGGGACCTGCAGGATAGCAGCTTGGTGTTAGGTACGAACCGTAGTCAGGTCTTTCAAGGTCCCAAAATCTGAAGAACGAGGTCAGTAGGCTCTAATTAGCAATAGTAGAGCACATTATTATTTCTTACAATGATAACGGTCTGCATTCTAGGAGTATTGTCAAGATAATAGCAAGGAATGACAGGACAATAAACCACCATAGCACCCTTAAGCCTCGAGTATAATAAACGGACACATGTGTTAGTCTAGAGTAGAAGTCGAGAAGACAAAGTTTTAAACACCATTCGCTGGATAAGCGGTTAGTTTCTTAAATGTCCACACTTCGTTATATACGCACAAAAGCGCAAAGCAGACGCGCGCAGGTATGAACAACTTCTGGGCAAGGACCAGGTCAGCTAGCGGCGCATCGGCCCTGTCGAGCTGCCTCGAGAGTCCTACGCATACGCTTCGGCCGGCAAGGGGTAATATAGCGAAGGCCATCCACGCGTCGTCTTGATGCCACGTCCGATGGCATGAGACGTGAAGCTTGCATTTACAGAGAAGACGATAGCCGCAGCGGAGAGCTATCAGTACAACACAGATAACAGACGAAGGAATGATGTGATAAAGCACTTTGTTCATTGTAAAGCAAGGATTGCGATAGTGCAGTCGTGTGCGACTGTAGGTCAAGGATACCACCTAGGCATGTGGACCGGTGTTGGGATTTATTGGAGCACCAGACTTTGAGTGGCAAACCCCGCGCATCATCCATCTTCCCCTCCTTCGCGTCCGTGAACACGTGATAGATTATATCCCGGCAAGCGGATAAGTATTCTTCCTCTCTGCTTCGTTAGACGAAAGTCGCGAGAGGAGAGTAAATATATTTCGGAGCAGACTATCAATGTAGTCCACAAATGACTACGCTGAATTGTCATCCTGCGGTAATATAGCTTCGTAAAGTGAACCGTACTTCTCGTTTCGTGGCCGCTAATTCGCTGCATAATCCTTGTCTGTAGGAGTAAGCATCCATCGGCGTTCTGTTTCGCAGACCGACTAGATCCGAGCTGGACGCAGCCAGATCTGACGCATCAGATCTGGCTCTGAGCTGGACGCAGCCAAATCTGATGCGTTAGATCCGGCTCTAAATACCTCGCGTGCCCCGTGTGCCCCATATGCTCGGCGTGCTTGGCATGCTTAAGCTCCTTGTGCTTCTTAGGATACTTGGAGCTGCTAAGCTTCTTAGTAAGCTTTTTGGACACTACGCGGCCGAAGGAAGGTTGCCTTCCAATCGAAACGCCAGGCCCTTGCGATAGGCCTTGTGCTGGCGCAGTTGTCGTGGTACTCTCGCGACCGCAGTATCTCGATGAGAGGTTTTCTCAGCTTGCGAGTTAATGACGACGGAGCTTCGCGATCTTTGGCGCAGGTGTCAGCCTCATTTCGAGGGGCGTCCGAAGGTCGGCGTCGTGCTCTCTCCGCTCGTGCCGAAAAGCCAACCACGCCGATGTCTATGTCTGCGTTTTAGCCCATGCTACATGCCACGAGGCTAGCTCGATCTGCCAATGCGTACGATACAGGGCTGTGAGGGGTTGAAGTTCAGCCGCACCCCTCCAGGCTCTAGATATCGAAGTGTCGTCAAAGCAATAAGGAAACTGCTATGCCGTTTGATTCCCGCGTTCACAGTATTCTCGACCTCCAAGTGCATCGTTGGGGAATGTCGCACGGCGATTCGGATCACCACAGTCTTTGGTTACCTAGGTGACCATGTTACAATCACAGCAGTGACCTGGCAGGGGTCCCAGGCAATCGCAGTAGATTAAACTTGGCAGGTCCCTACAATATTGCCCCTCGTCTTTGAAACACCAGGACTACCCGTCACCGTAACTCTTTCTCGTTGTATATCGAATTAAACACTTGTCACCCTTCTTAACATTTGCCAGATCTCCCCATGGAGACAGCTCATCTCCTAGAAGCAACCGCGTCGTCCGGCGCAGTCGACCCGACCATGTCCCCAGTTTCGAACACCCCGCTCCGAACTTTCGAAGACTACCAAGCCTCGGCCGACCCCTCAGACAACGTATACTTCAGCCTCGACAGCTTTAGGATCCGTTGGCCCATCTTCGGCGAGCTGTCAGACATCATGGTCATCGACGATCCTATGGACGCATCTTCAACCGCTAGACTATTTAAGACTGCCGATGGTTGGCATCCAATCGCTACTGCACCAGTCTCATACCCACCCATCTCTGCTACCTAGATCTCCGTATTCGCACTCGAAAACTGGGCCGTCTGGGCGGATGAGCAGTGTTGGTACTGTGAATGCGAGGAATGTCACCAGGCTATTGGGGGTCAGCTCGCCCCGGTTCACTGTAGAGGTCGTAACCCGGTCGACGACGGCGAGGGTGACGATCTACCCGATTGTTGCGACTGCCCAGGGCGTTACCGTGCTCCTGACCCTATCCTGGTCACGAATCCCGAAGGCGGTGCGGTCACGATCCTTGATGTGATCACCAAGGCGCATCCTTACCTCAACGCGCACGAAGAGGAGATTCGGATTGCTGCGGCTTTGGCCTTTGAAGAGGAATCCGAACCCCCCCTTGATAGTAGCTTCTATATGAACGAAGGCTTGTTCGGCACACTCTCCCTGTTTCACATTGAAGAGCCGGGATCCGAGGAGAGAGAATGGAAGGAAAGGGCAGAACGTGCTCGAAGACTTGTTAATCTCTTAAGAAAACATCTTGATTAGTCTCTAAACGCTATTAGCAAACCTATTGTATTCTAGAACTGAAATTCGGTTTAGATTTATATACTATATACTCTTATAAATACTCTAAAATATTATCTAGAGAGTATATAACTCTTATTAACCTTAAATCTAAAGCTAAATAATATATAGTATCTAGAATAGTATTACTAGATGTATTAGAAGTTAATAGAAATAGAGCTAGAGCTACTAGTAAATAAGTCTTAGTAGTTACATATAAGCTAGCGTAATACCCTTAAAGCTTAAGGGTGTTATACTTTATATAGAGTACTTATAGTATAATAATCTTAAGTGTTAAGTTTTTATTAATATAAGTAATATTATAGTTATAGAATTTACCGCTATATTACTATATCTAGAACTAAAAGATTATAGTTTCATCTAATTCTAATCTATATAGCCTTATAGATTCAAGTTAAATTCGTACTAGATTCAGTTAGTGGCAAGTGGATTAGATTTAGTATTAAGTAGAACCTATTAAGTAGAATCTACACGCGACGCGCTTGTAAATAACTATCTTCTCTATATAAAAGTTACTACAAATATTATATACAGCTATTTTATAGTATTAATTCTACTTATAGGGTAAATTTAGAGTTAACATAGAGCTTAAAGTAACTTAGAGTTTATAATAGAGATCTACTAAAAAGTGCGGTTAGGCCTACTATAACGCGCTAGTTGCGTAGTACTAGTATATATAAATAATAACCGATAATAGTAGTAGTAGTAGTAATACTAATAGTAGTAAATAAGAAGAAGAACGCGTATAGTAGTTATAGTACTCTTACTATTAGTATACTAGATAATATTTTACTCTACAAGCCTAAATACAAGATACTTATCTATAGGAAATACTACTATACTATACGGAATCTAGATATATATCTATAAGATACTTATATAGCCTCTATAAAGAATAGGAGAGCTATTATTAGTAAGTATAATAGACTACCGCTCGCAATACTAATAGAAGTGTAGCTACCTCTACTATTAAAGCCTCTATTTAAGGTACTTAGAAGACTATTAGACGCGCTACTCTAGAATATAGTAGTAAATTAACTTAGTTTCAGGTCAATTAAGAATACTAGTACTAGAATATTTACACCTTACGTATAATATATTATATAGGCCCGGTTGATTTAGGCTAGGTTAATTCGAATAGAGTTATAGATTTATACTAAAAAAATAAATAAATAAATAAATATTATAGACTATATTAATAGAAGCAGCTTTTATATAAACTTAGGGTAAATATTTATAGTCTATATTAAGATATTTAGTTGAAAGGGTAAGTTAGAATTAAGTTTATAAGATAAAATAAAGAGTAGAACTAGCCTATCTGCAAGCGGTTTTAGTAGGGGCACGCGAATGCAAACCTATATTAAGAAGATTAGAAAGACTAGTTATTAGGCTAGGAAAATAGTAAAGAGAGAAATAGTAAAAGTAAGATAGTAGTACTAGTAGCAAGCGAGTTTTTCGAGTATTTAGCTAAATATAGTTTAGTAATTTGTAAGAAATACTAATACTTAGTATAGCTAGAGTATATTAAGGGCTATTTATAAGCAGAAAACTATAAAATTAATTAAAGGAAAGCTATTACAATTAGAGAAGATATTTACTATTAGTTTACTACAAATAGGTTCATATAGATTCTATTATAACTCTAAAGAATTTAGTCTATATACTCTATTTCTATATTATATTTGTTTCTTAGATTAATCTAGATTCTATTATAATCCTAAATATATAAAGGTCTATACTCTATATTCATGCAATGTATTTATAACCTAGATTTTCTTATATTCTATTATAGCGTGTTTATTTAGGACTAACTAATAGTAAACACTATTTCTTAATTACTTTTAGCTACTTTATACTATATTGTATCTAGACTTTCTTTTATATATATAAAGTAAAAATATATTATTAGTTTTTCTAAGATTAGAGCCTATATATTAAAGTAAATTACTAGAAGCGCTCTTTTTTTACTATCTATATAACTATATCTACTTATTATTCTTCTCCTATCCTCTCTATAAACTAAAACTCACTTTTAAGATTCTATAATCTTTTCTTTAACCCTAATAAATACATTTTAATATATATTCCCTACTATTATATATTATTAGTATTAGGCTCTTAAGTTACATTATATTTTCGGGTGAAGTACTAGGTATTCTAAGAGACTTACTAGAAGGTTACTTCGCTTATTTATATTCTAAATCTACCTAATTCTACTATAATTCCCTTATCTAGAAATAGGTGTCTTATCTATCTATTACTTCGAGTCTATTATAGATTTACTTACTAAACCTATTTCTATTAAATAATTAATCTAGATATAATAACTTAATACTTATCTAGTTATAAGATTACGCTCGAGGAATAACTATAGCTATATAAGCGTGTAAAGAAATACCTAAAGAACTTCTATAAAGATATATTATTATAGATATAGATACATGGATTCTCTTATTAGTATTAGGTAGCTTGTTATATAAGCTCTATTAACTACCTTAAGCCGATTAATAACTCTAGAGTAGTATGCATGCAAGTAATACGTAACTATAAGAATATTTAGGCTAAAATCCAACGGGAAGCTACTGTAATAGAAACTAGCTTAGAGAGTTTAAAGGTAATAGGCTCTTTCTTCTTAGCTCGCTTCTCCTCCGGAATCCCTCTTCGCCTCGACTCTTCGCTTATCTCTAGCTATAGATCTTAATTCAAGTATATATTCTATACCTTATACTCCTATATTATCTTTATACTAGCTAGCTGCTTCTTACTAAACCGAATCCCGATTAGAGATTAATAAATGCTAGAAAATATATAATAAGTACGGAAGACAAACACTATAAACCTCTTTAAGCACTAATAATAGCTTCTCTTACTACTCTCGCGCTTAAGGAACTTGAATAGCTTCGGAAAATATAATAATAGCCGTATTATAAGTAGCTAACACAGAATCTATCGGCTTATATAATATATAGTTTCCTCGCACTAGTCGAGTATACGGTTAACCGCTATTATTAAGTGCTAAATCTTATTCTTATCCTCGCGAGGGCTAATAATATTACTACTATCTCTAGACTATCTAAAGAGATAGTCGGCTAGGCGATTAGACTATAGTATTACTAAGAGACCTAGTAGAATATCCCGCCTAACGTCTTAGTAGATAATTAGCTAGCGTGTCCGCTCTATCTATAGCCTAGTAGTCTCTAGAGTCTATATCTCTATATCTATTATAGCGGCTTCTTTCTACTCCCTATATTAGACTTGCTTCCGCTTGCATATAGACCTAAAATAGTCGTAGGTATCTAGAAAGAATACTAGACGAATAACTCTCCTATCTACTAATACCCTCTAGTACTCTCGCATTAGACTATCTATCTAAGTCAAGAGGAGGATATTATTATACAATCTATCTACTCTAGGCTTTAATGCATATTAGTGTAAGTAATCTTTAGAGAGATAGCATGTTATTGTTTTAAGGTTAATAGTATAGTAGCTGCACTAGCGGCATGCATAACTATTATTTACTTAGAGCTCTAGATATACTAGGGAGCGGTCTAGGTAAGAAGGGATTTCGGCTAGGTCACGGAATTAATATAGATACTCGCGAAGGTAGCGGGTTAACCCTATCCGATGCTCTTAAGGGACTTGGTGCTTCTGAGTAAGATAGAAGGTGACTTAAGAACGCGCCGGAGTAAGTATATACTTGCATGCACGACAAATAAGCGCTCGCTCTTCGAGGTCGGAATAGAGTTAGTAGAGCTCTAATTGGTCGGGCATTGTAGCAGGATTAGCTAGCTTAGAACTAAGACTTGGACTTTCGTAGAAGTTAGAGATACGGAGGAGAATAAGTTAAGAGAGCTAACAAAAGAGTTGCAAACGAGGTTTTCCATTCTCGATAGGAGGTTTGACAGAATGCCGCCTAGCAACCAACGCGTTGCCGACGCGTGCACGGACGAATTTTGGGAGATTTAACAGAACCCCTATAGACTCTAGTAACCGAAATGAGCGCACGGATATCTCTTTAGGGGTTTTGACAAAATTCCTGCGCGCATTAGTACAGTAGTAGTAGTAGTAGTAGTAGTAGTAGTAGTAGGTTACCCCAGACTCAAATGAGGTTGTTGGGCCGAGCAGCCAAGCCTGCACAACTGTGAAAGCTGAGTGCGGGATGTTGGAGACATTATGGAACGCTCGGCATCCAGCTTGGTCTCCCTTTTCAACGCAACTCCGTACGCTGGCTATTGAGAGCCCTTTCTCGCCTTGCCGTCGGACCGACCGAAAGCCCTTTTCACAGTATCGACTTCCTCGGACCGACGCTCAACCAATCACCACCCACCTCCACAGCGCTTTTAGGCGATGTCGGATCGACAAACACTCCTCTGCTTGCAAGGTTTGTAGGGGCGACGGTCCACTAACATGGACAGGAGTATTAATCTGGATGTGCTTCTGAGCTAAGCATTCGCATGAGATCTGTAAACGACGGTCGAGGGGTTGAAGAGGCCGACACTGACAGAGGAGTATAATAAGGCATTGGAAGGTGTGACGGGCACTTGTTCTATTTCCTCGCCCATCCTTATTCCTCCGTTTTGTCCTTGTTCATCTGCGTTGCAATCCTCCTACCCCGCAAAATGCCACCACCTTGGGTTCCATGGTGGAAGAACGCAGCCATCTATCAGATTTATCCTGCGAGTTATAAAGACTCCAATGGTGATGGCGTTGGTGATATCCAGGGCATAATTTCCCGCTTAGACTATATCAAGTCTTTGGGGGTAGATGCCATTTGGGTCTGTCCATTCTATGACAGTCCCCAGCACGATATGGGATATGATGTCGCGGACTACGAGTCCGTCTACCCTCCTTATGGAACTGTGGCCGACGTGGAAGCTCTCATCGCCGGCTGTCATGCGCGTGGCCTACGCGTCCTCTTTGATTTGGTCATCAACCACACCTCTTACCTTCACACCTGGTTTAAAGAGTCTCGCGCGTCTAATAACAGTCCGAAGCGTGACTGGTACATTTGGAGACCGGCAAAGTACGATAAAGCCGGTACCCGCCATCCACCTAATAACTGGCGCAGCTGCTTTGGCGGCAGCGCGTGGGAGTGGGACGAGTCAACGCAGGAGTACTATCTCCATCTCTTCTGCAAGGAGCAGCCGGACCTTAACTGGGAAAACTCGGCCACAAGAGCTGCGATATATGAATCAGCTATGGAATTCTGGTTACGCAAGGGCCTTGATGGCTTCCGAATCGATACTGTCAACATGTATAGCAAGGCGCCGGGACTTCCGGATGCGCCTCTTACTAACAGCCAAACCCCATGGCAGGATGCCTCAACACTCTACTGCAATGGCCCCCGAATGCACGAATACCTGCGAGAAATGAGCGAGGTCCTGGAAAGATACGGCGCCATGACAGTTGGCGAACTACCTAACACCTCGGCGTTGGCGGACGTATTAAGCTACGTCACCGCCAAGGAACGGCAGCTAAATATGATATTTCAGTTCGACATTGTGAACGTCGGCATGGGGCTTGATCCCCGATACGATGCCATTCCCAGGGACTGGACGGTTCACGATATCCGGCAGGCCGTGCAACGAGTCCAAGCTATTACGAACGGGACGGATGGATGGAGCACCGCTTTTCTAGAGAACCATGATACAGCACGGGCGATTTCTCGGTTCGGCTGTGACGAGACATCAGAACTGTGGGAACAAAGTGGGAAGATGCTCGCTATGTTTGTGGCTAGCCTGTCAGGGACCCTCTATGTTTACCAGGGGCAGGAAATCGGGATGGTGAATGCGCCAGTGACGTGGCCTATCTCCGAATACAAGGACGTTGAAAGCCAGAACTACTATAATCAAGTTCAACAAGAGACGGGCGGTGACCCCCTAGCTTTGTCGCGAGCGAAAGCCGCGATCCAACACCTGGGTCGAGACCACGGGCGACTGCCTATGCAGTGGAATGGCACGCCAAATGCCGGCTTCACAGAGGAGGGCGTTGCAACGTGGATGAGTGTCCACGACGACTACGAAAAAATTAATGTCGAGCGCCAGACATTCAATTCCGACTCACTGCTGTCTTTCTGGAAGGCAATTGTGGGCATTCGGAAGAAGCATCCCCGGGTCTTTGCTCATGGGGTCTTTGCGCCCTTGGAAGGGGACAATGAATCAGTGCTCGCCTACGAAAAGGTCTCCACTGAGCAGCGACTTGTCGCTGTCTTCAACTTCACCAAAGAGAAACAAGCTTTGGATTTGGTCACCCGACTGGGTCTGAAGAAACCGGTGACCCTGGCGAAGAACTATGCGGACGAGCCAGTGGATGTTTTGCGTCCGTTCGAAGGTAGATTATACTTGATGAGCCACTACTTATCCTAGGATCCGTCTACGCTGTGGATTTGGTAGTTTCAAATAGACGTATTCCTTAAGCGTACTCTCTTAATCAAACACCAACGATTTCACCTAGATGATACTTCCGACTGAAGCCGAACGCTGGACCCGTCTCCAAGGTGGTATACGCATACCTCGTGGATCTAGACCATGACTCCGATCTTACATTAAGATATCTCATTCCGGGAGTTGAGAGTATCGCCGTCCTAATATCTCTAAAATAATCCGAATTTTACTCTAAAATAGCTTTTGTCCAGATACTTGGAGGAAATACACGACCGGCACAGCCTGTCTTACTACTACTAACCGTGTCGTCGGAAAATACCTATAAAAATAGAAAAAACCTTTTTTCCGTGTCTATCTTCCAAGGTTGAAAATCTCTTGGAAAATAGAAAAGTACATGGAAAATAGGTGATTCCCTTAGAAAATAGCCTATTTAAGAGGTACTTAAGGTAGCTAACTAATTCTAGATACTAATTAGACTATATTACTAAGCTAAATATAGAATACTTGATTTTAGAAAGTATTTTACCTAGAGAAACTCCCTTTAAGCCTTAAAACTACTAAAAGACTTATTTTAAGTATAAAGAAATAACGTTAAGGTATTACTAAGCTATCTTTATTATAATTAGCACTTAATAGAGTATTCTAGAGCGCTCTAGAACTTTAATATATATATATAGTTATATTAAATAACATTCTACTAACTGTGCCTATAAGTTCGAGAATCGGGTGCCGATTTCTATACAAAATTACCCCTACACGGAACTTGCCGTTTTAGAATGAGACCCTATTCTTGGATTCTTACCAAGAATCCGGTCCCTCTACACAATAAGCCTATTTATATAACGCACTACGGTCGCATCCTCTTTAAAACTTATATAAACGTGTAGGACGATATAGTAAGTAACTCTATTAAAAAATTTTCTGGCTATCTCGCATAACGCGGCTAATACACGAAATTAACTACTTATATAGTATATACGAAAGTATATTAAATCCTATGATCTTAGGAAAACTAGTAATACCCGCTAGACGATCTACGTGAGCGTATTATATTATAGATAGCTTAGGTTTATATACAACTACTCCACTAGCTATAGTACTTAACTAAGGATACCTTTTTGTTAGGGTTGCTACTAGTAAGGGACGGTTATAACCTTAATTCTAGTTTAAACTAAAATCCGCTATTAATGCACTTATTATTATTAAGGGGAATATTATATACTTAAATTAGTAGAGGTATAGGCTTAGTAGAAATATTATCTACCTCTATACTAAAGAAGTTTCTAATAATGCGACTGTAACGTCTATAGTCTAGTCGAAACCATATTACGACATACGGTAATACAACTTCCGCCCTAACCTATACTATAATGCATTCTATATGCAAGACGCCTATACTAGCACTTAGGGTTCTTATAGAGGCTAAACGAGAGATCACCTCCACGTATAGCTACATAGAGGCTAACTAGTAACCGCAATAGGTAATTCTATAACTTAGTTGCTATATCTCTTAACTACTATATGCCGAATCTATATCTTATAAGACTAAGAGTAGAACTATAATCTTTCCACTACTAGGGCCAGCCTAGTTAGCAACATGCGAATAGTACTTAGGCTAGGGGTTTGAGTTAGAATAGGAGAGCTCCGTATAAGGATATGTTATATATAGTAGTTAAGGTCTAACACTACCAGTAAATGGGATGAGGGTCGTCCCATTTTTTAGGGTTAGGGTTCACCTAGTAAATTCTGTAGGGCTGAGGGCTCATCCCATTTATCTCACTAAAAGGCTCATCCCATTTAAAAATAAGGGGGGTAGGAGAAATCTAAATAGGTAGATCTTTAGAATAGGGTCTAAGGCCTAATTAAGAGGATTTTTAGGGGGGTAGCTAGTCCCCTTTAGGACTTTTAGGGGGGGGGAGTAAGCGGGATAGAGTTAAATATAAAAGGTTACTATTTTTAGAAAGTAAGCGGATAGGATTATAGAAAATTAAATTTTAAGCAGTAAAATATATAATAGTTTTGCCTAATTAGGCTTAGTTCCTATTTTATAGGGGGGGGGAAGGTTTAGAATCACGAGTTCTAGAGAAGAAAGGGGAGAAAGGTGGATTATTAAGAGATCTAGTATAGCTATTAAAAAACGGAAACTTATTAAGCGGCTAAGTAGAAGAAAAAAAGTATAGTCTATTATATTAGTTTTACGCTAGTCCTAATTAGGTAAGAAGTTTAAAATTTTACTAAGGGAAAAAGTAAGAAGACTTAGGTATTAAGCTATATAGTAAAGCCATTAGTAAAATAAGCAGCCTTAAGCGGATAAACTATATAAAAAAAGTATAGTCTACTATATTAGTTTTAGGCTAGTCCTAACTGGGTGAGATACTTAGAATTTTACTAAGGGAAAAAGAAGAGAGATAGGCTTATATAGCAATATAGTAGAGCTACTAAGAAAGTAAGTAGCCCTAAGCGGATAAATAGATAAAAAGAAGTATAGTCTACTACATTAGTTTTACGCTAGGCTAGATATAGAACTTGAGGTATATGCTTAGTAAGAAGAATAAAGAGTAAGACACTATAACTATTTCTCTAGGAGAGGCATCTAGAATCCAAGCGGCATCAAGCGGAGAAACAGGGCAAAAAAAGGATAGTTTATTATAATAGTACTCGGCGAAACCCGACTTTATGTTTAAGACCCCGGCGTACGAGGAAATAACCATGTGCGAGGAGAAAACCATGGGCGGTGGCGATGGCGATGGCGGTGGGGCGGGTGCGGGTGCGGGTGCGGGTG